GAGTTGTCGCTACCATGAGAATTTCGCACCGACTCTCGGTAAGTTATGGCTTTCGAGAGCACTTTCATTTCAGCCTACAGTAAGTACTATACAGTACAAGGGGAGGGCAGGGGATTCAATGCAACTCTCGCAGCAAGACTGGCAACATTTGCCGTCGCAGTGGCACGATCATCTTGTGTTCTGCCAACGACACGCATGACGACACTCTCACGATGTAATGCAGAACTTGCAGCCCACACTCGTCCTCATGCCTACAGCCACCGACTAGCGCCTTGCAGTCAATGTCTCTGAGCCGCTCTTCGACATTCCTTCGGGAGAGACTACTGAGCGAATACACTGAGTCCATTCAACCAGCCTGGTAGATGGCGGGACCAGCGACCACATGCTTGTTGATCAAAGACAGATTGGCGGGAGTGTAGAACGTGTCGGTGTCCGTCAGCGCAACAAAGACGGTGCTGTTGACCAGACTCGGTCCCTGGGGGTAGACAGTACCACCAGGCTGCCTGGCCTTTGCCGTGCGTGCATTCATGTCCACGTCGTACAGTTCCGTGTAGGACACGTTGAACTGCGAGACGTAGGCGGCGAACTTGGGCGTGCCCGACGTGTACGTCCTGGTCTTCTGCCTGTACGGTCCCTGGATCTTGCCAGGCTCGTCCCAAGAAAACAGATTCTCTTGGCCTGCGTGCGTCAGCGCCGTCACGTTGTTACTGATCGACGGTCCGCCGGCCGCCTTGCCGGCAGCGATCGCATCCGGCTCGTTCAACCACTTGAGCGCAGGGTAGATGTCCCAGGCCAGCGGCTGATTCTCCTCGGGACACGAAACGATCCACGGGCTCAGCAGCGTCCAAGCCCACGACTGCGGCAGGCCCGTCTCGAACCACTCGGGCATAGGGAAGAGTCCCTCAAACTGGCGAAACGTGTACTGCTGTCTCGCCTCGGTCGTGATCGACTGAAGGAGAATCTGAGCGCTAGCCCGATTGTCGAGCAGATTCAGGAATCCGTACACGCCCGACTCGCCCCACTTGGTGAGCCTCTGGCAAAAGTCGACGAACTCGGGCACCGTCTGGAAGTCGTAGCGATAGGTGCACTGCTTGGGCGCCTTGGCTCCCAGCATGTTGGACAGCGCCACGGCATGTCCGATCTCCTGCTGAGCCATGTGTCGGATCAGATGGCGATCCTCGGCATCGAGGCCGTGAGCATCGTAGTCGGCGTCCGAAAACTTGACCAGGCCGTAGTTGAAGAGGTCGAGCTCAATGTACTCCTGGTGCAGAGCCAGAGCGATCGACTGAAAGTCAAAGTCAGAGATCACCTGATACGAGGGGTCCTTGACAGCCAGCGAAGAAGCTGGTTGGTAGCTCGACGAGATATTCTTGCCCGCCTTACTAGGGTCGGCGCCGGCGCCCAGCTCAGCAGAAGTCACAGGACCGCCCTGCTTCCTGCTCATCATGCTAGGTGCAGCCGACGCAACATCGAGGAGAGAGGCGCACCCGAGGGCGATCTGCAGAAGCGTCGAAAGTTTGGTGAGTGTCAGCATCTTGAAAGGTGCTGGTCGGGGGTGGGAGAGTACTGGTGAAGAAGTGGCATTGCAGACGGAGTTTCAGCGCTACTTATAGGCGTCCGTCCATTCCTATCTGGCAGAAGGACCGACCAATCAAGCTATCACCCACACTTCGGGAGATAGCTCTGTCCTACTCGGTCATGGCCAAGCCAGGGCCACTCTTGGTCCAACCTTGCTCCTGTAGGCTGTGCTTCGCGAAGATCTGCCGGCGGATGACGATTCTCGCCGATCGCGGTGTCTCCGCTCTCGTCCGTCGGAGCGGTCCTCGAGCTCGCTATGCATGACCAGCTTTCGACTGGCCAGCGTTCCCCGAAAGGGTCTCTCCACCTCGGTTAGTGCCACGAAGGGTCCGTAGAGACTATGCAAAGACTCTCGGCACACACGGCACTAATGACTCAGGGATGACCGTACGTAGAACGTCCGGCAAGCCAGCCTACCACATGCAGACACTAGCGCGGCAAGCCGCGTCAAAGCCATGTCAGCATAGCATGGATCGAAGATCACCCTGCCGAGCGTGGCATTACTCACTTTGCAGTCTTCCACACGATGGATGTGACGCGGTATCACCTGTTGGCCGACTTGCTAGCGGCTGCGCGAAAGTCCGCATTGTACACTTGACCGGTGCGGTGCCAAGCGTCTCGGCGCCGAGACGATCTGCATGGAAGCCTCTTGGGCGGCATGACAGATGGCGATGAGTGATCCCTGAAGTGATTCAGCGATCCGCTAGATCTTTCAGCGCACGCTGCGGACCCTGGGTGTGGCTACGGAATTTCGCTAACGAGGCTGACCTTGTGGACGCTACCCGCGCCGAGTTTGACAGCGCGGGACTGCGGTATTATTACGCGCAATGCTCCACCTCCACCCCCGGAAATTTCCCAGCGACGGAGTTGATGATTCATTGCGGCCCCAGCAGGACCCGGAGTCTGAGCTCAGCTCTTGGACGCGCCCTTTGCGCACTCCACCTTCGAAACGGGTCGAGAGCATTCTGCTCTTCCACCATCTGCGTCCTTGACCGACTTGATTCTGTGCATTCTTGCCCGTCGGAGCCGGTGAAAATATCGCAACATGCCGCAGACTAGAAGCAATGGAGGCGCAGGAGGGAAGGAGCAACCCAAGCCTCCTTCGAAGCGTAAAGCTGCCGACTCCGAGACTGATCAGAATGGAAGCAGCAAGAGCCGCCGCAAATCCGATGGAGGCTCGAGCAGCGAACAGCCTCCGTCTGGCCAGAGCGGCGCGGATAAGAAGCTCAAGGGCGACGACATCGAAACGCACGAGACCGGCAACAACGAAAATGACGCAGATGCTCCCAGCGAAGTGCCTTGGCACGTTACCGAGAAAGGCTTGTACGTATGCTCGACTCAGGCTTGGCAATGCGACTCTCAATTGACCATCTGCTACCATTCTCAATCGTGTTGCATTACAATGGCATGGCTGTTACAGCATCTACTGGCTGTATCGACCCAAAGTGGTCGCGGCAGACAAGGCCGAAACAGCCAGTGCAGAGTCACTCGACGAGGTGCAGAGCACCTTTATGGTGCTCGTGCCCCGAGCAAGTGAGTCGGACACAGCACCGGCCTCAAGCGCCGAGAAGAAGGAAAACGAAGAGGGTGACAAGCGGGAACCGCCGAACCCGACGACGTACCGCCTGATCTCGCTGGGAAAGAAGCGTATGCCCAGTCCCGAAGCAGCGATCGCTAGCGGCAGCGAGCCGGGCGGCATCGGAGGTCGACATAGCGAAGCCATCTGGGCCACGGTCGCAGACATTGGCGCCGACCTGAACAACCTCGCTCAAGGCATGGGAGAGGAGCGCTATACGACCAAGACGCGAGGAGACCGCGTCAAGCCAGCCGCCAGACCCGCAGGTCGTGGCCATTACGCGCTGAGCATCAAGACGACCGATCCAGCGTCGTCTCGAGAGGTCCGGCTGACCTATGACATCTCGCATCCGAGTAGCAACGAGTTTGGTGCGGTGCAGAAAGAGCTCGGTCTGCATCCCTCGTCGTCGATTCTTGTGCAGATGCGCAACCCGACGTTGGCACCTACCGGACCTGATGCGCTCGCAGCCGGACTGCCTGAGGACAAGAGGGCCAAGTTGACCAAGGGGGAGCTGGAGGAGAACTTTGGCGGAGACGTCAAGAGCAAAGGCAACCGCTATGCACGTCCGGAGCAGCCTTCGCTGCTCGATCGCCAGGGCGTGGAGTTGCTGTTGATCAAGAGGGAGAAGCAGGAGAAGGAAGGACTCCAGGGTCTCGGCGACGAGCAGAATCGCGCACTTGCCGATCTGGCTGAGCGCGACCAGGAGAGACTCTCGGACGAGGCGGTTCTGAAGGAGCTCAAGCTGTCCGGCCAGGATGTGAAAGTCGAGCCCTTGTCTGGCGAGTGGGCGTGATCTCATGGCTACTGCTTACCGTAACGAAAGCTGCGCTTGATCTGAACGGACGCGTTTGGCGTGATTGTGTGAATCGAACGCTTCGCAGCGAAGAGCGAGATGACGGGATGCCTGGTGTGCAGGCTATGCCTACAGAAAGACGCCGCCGGCATCTTCCTGCATTGGTACCGCGTCCGACGATCCTTCTGGTGCGCTTGCGGGTCGAGAGACACCGTAGTGGCTCTGCACGTCCTGCTGTCCTGTCTTCTCTTCGAGCACGTCGAAGAGCTTTTCCACGACGCCGTTCTGCTTGGAAATAGTGGCGTCGTTGTCGGTGCAGGCGTTGCGCATCTCGGCCTTGTCGTGGTCGTCGAGCTCGTCTGCCGTCTCTTGGACGAACTGCTCGATCTGGCGATTCGAGTCCTCGAGCCGTGTGACGCTGTCTTGGAGACGCTTGATTTCGTGCACGAGCGTCTCGGCATTGAGGCCACGGAGCGCCTCGGTGGTGACGCTCGAGTAGTCGCCGACCACGGTGGGGACCTGCGTTGCGTCAGGGATCACGAGAGGCATGTTGTCGCGAGCGGCTGTTGATATGAGGAGGCCGCCAAGGGTGGGTTCAAACAACGTCAGCTCTTTGCAGTCCGGGTGGAGGGTTGTATGAAGCCACGCAACCATGGCTCAGCGCCGAAAGTTGATCGAGTGCCGAGTCCCGGCTAGCCGCACAGTCACAGAACCCTCTGCGGGTCGGGGTCTTGAACGGCCTAAAAAGGCTCGCGGGCCCTTCCGATGTTAGGTTTCCTACCTCGCTTCGGAACTTTTTGTTAATATGCTCAAGAGCCAAGCCAAACAGCCACACGGCAAGTCGATTTGGCGAAATTCATTCAAATATTAATCGAGCAGCGCTCACCTGGCAACCGTGTGGGAAAAGCGGCAGGGCGACTGGGATGTGGGAGCGGTGGGAAGGCGAGTGAGCTTCCCCGCATTTCGACAGCCCCCACGCCTATCACCGAAAGGCTGCTGCCGTCCGAGTGTCGGGTCGCTTTCGGAAAAGCCGAGCGTTGTGGCGTGTCTGCCAGAGCCAAGCTAGCCGCGCGCTGTGCGGCGTTGCCGGAGCCTCGGTCCACCGCTTACCGGGCCTCGAGAGAGAGCCTGGAGCGACAATGCACGCCAGGGCATTGGGTCGGCTGGTGCACTGTGCATCTTGCACGGCGTGCAGCGTGGGACCCTGGAGACAAATGTAGTCCTGGCTGCAACGGCAACTGCCGTCAGAGTCGCCACATCAGATGCCGCCTGCTGCAGCCCTCACTTACCTGTATAACCCGGCTCATTTAGGGCTCGATTCTTCCACCGCCCCGTCTCCCCACCGTCACTCCCTACTTATACTTGCCGCTTGATACCGTGCACTCTTTCGTCGTTTCCCCATCCAATTGATCCTTCAGCCAGCCATTGCAGCAGATTCGCACCCATGTCTCCGCCTACTGCCACCGACAACGTCCCAGCCTCCCAGACCGGCGCTAAGGAGGTGCAGAAGGGCGCACCCAAGTTCAAATTCCCCAAGGTGAGCACCAACATCCCTTCGTGGCCAGCAACCTGCCGCATGGAGAGCATCTACTAAGTCGTATCGTTCCTCTCGATCTGCCAGCCTACCACCTACGACTCGCTCGAGGCCGAGCGCCAGGGTCGCAAGGAGAGGCTCGCTCAAGCCTTCCGTGTATTCGGCCACCTCGGCTTCGAGGAGGGCGTCGCCGGCCACTTGACGTTCCGAGACCCCATCCTCAAGGACCACTTCTGGGTCAACCCCTTCGGCGTTCCGTTCCGATTCATGACCGTCTCTGACCTGCTGCTCATCGGTCCCGACGGCAGCATCGTCGATGGCGGTCGTCCCGAGAGGATGATCTACAACCAGGCTGCTTTTGCCATCCACCACGCCATCCATACTGCTCGCCCCGACCTTGACGCCGCTTGTCATTCGCACTCGATGTACGGCAAGGCCTTCTCTACCCTTGGCAGGAACAGTAAGTGTTTCACATCAAGCTTTCGAGCGCACTGCAAAAGCATGCGAGAGGAAAAGAGGCTGACGTGTGCAATCGTTTCAATCTTTGAAGTCGAGATCACGACGCAGGACAGCTGCGCCTTCTACAAACAGTGCGCGCTCTACGAGAACTTTGGCGGCGTCGTGCTTGCCGACGAGGAGGGCAACAACATTGCCAAGGCGCTCGGCGACAAGAACCGCGCGCTCGTACTCCAGAACCACGGCATCCTCTCGGCTGGTACCTCGATCGAAGCGGCCGTCGGCTACTTGTGAGTTTCCATCAAAGACTAGCTAGAAGCACAATTCCGCTGCTGACTTCTGATATGCGTCTTGTCACCACCACAGCATCATGCTCGAGAAGCACTGCCAGGTGATGCTTCTTTCGGAACCCGCCGCCGCGGCCCGAGGCACCAAGGTATGTCCATTCTGCCCCCGATTCACGCCAACTTGCCGACTTGAAAACATGCGACTGACCTGGAACGTTCCTTGGCTCTTTCCACTTCTCCTCTCGCGAATGATAGCCTATTGTCATCGGCCACGAGGAAGCCGAGTTCACACGCCGACAGGTGGGCAGCGACCAGGCGCTTGCCTTCCAGGCCTCGGTCTACTTCGACACCATCGCCCGTCTCGACAAGGGCGCCTGGAAGGAGTGATTCGTCCCGCCTTTTCGTCTCCGATCTTGTCTTTATTCTGCAACTCTTTTTGTTCGATATCATCATCACTCTGGTGCATGGAGTGTGTCCAAGACCCTGTCGCAGTCGAGCGAAGATGCAAGGCGATCTTTTTAGCGAGGAAGTTGAGTGTTAGACCGGCAACCACATTGTGACGCGAACATGCCCGCTCGATTCCGAGGTGAGCCTGGCAAAATCGCAGTCTGCGGCGTGCAGACGGTCACAGACCACCACCGACGCGAAGTCGAGCTTCTCCAGCGCACCCGCGGCGCGGCTGGCCGGGCTGCTGGATTGATGCGGAATCGGATTTTTGAGTGTTCAAAACCGAGTCGCGGTGGGCGAGCCAACTGCTCGACAGCGGCGCCCTGGCTGGAAATCCCGCTGAGCAACGCTGCACGAGTCGCATCTCGCCCTCGCCCTCGCTCGCCCTTGCCCAGGATCCGATTGCCGCTCGCTCGCATCCTCCTGCAAAGCTCCCGAATTGCTGCGCCTGCCACCTCGCTCCTCTCCACCATGCTCATCGACCTCTTCCGGACTCACCGCAGCGCACTTGCATGACAATCCGTCGTCGAGCTCCGGTTCCGGTTCCGTTATCCGCAGCCGCCGCGTCCATCCCAGCGCTCGCTGCCTCCACCAGCATTCCCTCGACCAGGCTCCATACCATCCCAGCACCGATAACGAGCGTCCACTGCTAGGGCCTAGGCGTCCCTACACGGAGAACTTCTTGCGCTCCGCTCCTCCCACTCTCTCCATCCAGCCTGCTCCTTCTCTCCGACCCTCCGGTCTGGTCGCGCAGTCCCACTTCAGCCCAGTCCGCATTGCTCGACCCTTCTGAAGCCGGCGCTATCCTCCCATCCACGCCACTTCGCGGCAGCTCATCCAGCCCGGCCCGCTTTCCTCCAACTCGGTTTCCCCTAGCACATCATCATGGCGGGAAGGCACAGCAAGTCTGGCTCGTCAGAGACGGACGCAAAAGCCTCAGAGGCAGCTACAGCTGATTCGTCTCAGCTCGAGACTAGCGAGGCAGCCACCAATCTCAAGGCAGAGGAGACAGAAGCTCCAGCTGCGAGTGCAGAGGGCTCCGCTGAACAGACAGAAGCCGCCGAGCAAGAAGACTCGACAGCCCAACCTTCCGCCGAAACCGCCCACGACGATGCCGCCTCGCGCGAATCGTCTGGATCCGACGACAAGGCTGTCGCATCGTCACCCTTCAAGAAATCATCCAGCAAGTCCAAGAAGGGCGGCAGGAACTCACGCGGCAAGTCCAATGGCTCGAAGCGCAGCAGCGACGAGCTCGACTCCACCAAACCCGAGAACGCCGATCCATCTGGCTCCGCGGATGCCAGCACCGACGCAGAAGCTCAGCAAGGCGGTGGCGCTGAGGCTGCTGCGGATGCGGACATGAACGGAGTCCAGGAGCAAGCATCCGCGTCTTCCGCAAACGAGAAGGAGGAAGAATCTACGAGCACCGGTTCCAACGGTCGAGACACTGCCCACGCCAAAGGCGCCCCAGCCAGCAAAGAGCTCGCTCAACTTGGCCTTGGCTCCTTTGGTGACGGTGCAGAAGACGCGCTCGGCCCACGCCGCTCTCGGCGTGGCCCAGGCGCATCGCCCGACCCGAAGGCGCGCGTCCCCAAACCTGAACCTGAAACAGATGCATCTTCACTGCAAGGCATCCCAACCGACTCAGCCGAGGCAGATGACATCAACGATGCTACCGCCGTCAATCAAGACGCTCAAGCCAGCGCAGACGCCGTCGGCGCCGCGGACGACGATCAGAAGGCAGCTGATGCTTCCGCCGTGCCGCAAGAAGCCATGCAGCTGGAGGAAGGCGCCGCCGATGCCAAGGTCGAGGCGGACAACGGATCTGGTCTCGAAGGTCAGCCCGAAACAACACAAGAAGCAGCCGAGATCGACGGCCACGACGTGCAGCCCGACGAAGGCGAAGCCGATTACGGCAACGCCGACGAGGCCGACCTCGAGGGCGAGGAAGGCGGCGACGAAGGCGTCACTCGCTGTGTGTGCGGCAGTGCAGACGAGAACGTCGGGCTCATGATCCAGTGCGAGACGTGCAAGTGCTGGCAGCACTGCGTGTGTATGGGCATGCAGGTCGAGGAGGACTGCCCCGACGTCTACTTCTGCGAGCAGTGCCGACCCGAGCTGCACATCCCCCTCTTGCGCTCGCTCGGCCTCCTGCCCAAGGCCGCCAAGAAGAGCAACGGCAAGGGCGGCGCCAAATACTCTGCTCGCGAGCTCAAGGAGGCCAAGGACGCCATCGCGCTGTTGGCGCAGGAGAACGCACGCAGGACGCAGGCTGCCGAAGCCGCCGCAGCCGCGGCTGCCTACAACTCTCGCGACCGCAAGGGTGGAGCCCACTCGCGAAACGACAATTCCAAGGAGCAACCCAAGAGCCCCAAGAGACGTAGCACCATGAACAGTCGCGATTCGGCCTACGGCGGATGGGAACCGATCCCTCCCGGTCTGCTCGCCGACGGCGAAGTCTGGGATGGCGTGGATGACCGCAAAGGTGGCAAGAAGCGCAAGCGTGGACTTCCGGACGACCCGAACGAAAGCTCAGCAGAGACACCCGAGGCAGGTGCGGGCGGCATCGACCCGGCATCCGCATCCGCGGACTCCAAGCGACGACGCATGAGCGCCAGTGACGCTGACCACCACGGAGACGCCGACATGGAGGAAGATGAGGCTGCCGCCGCGGAGGTGTCGACCTCAGCATCACGGGACAAGAGCAAGAAGAAGAAGGGCAACAACCAGTACACGGTGCGAGAAGCCTCCGTCACTGCTGAGGCCGCCTCGTCGAAGCCACGTCACCCGAACCAATATACCTACCGCAACAAAGACAGGAACGCGGCTCCATCTGCCAACGGTCAAAAGGCAGGCTCGAGCTCGACCTCGAACCTCACATCGCACTCGCCGAGCCCGAGTCCGAGCAAGGGCCGAGCGGAACACTCGCGTCGTGCCGCGGCGCGCGAGAATGCCAGTCAACTCGGCACACCCGCTCCCGGCGAGTCGTCGGGCGCTTCGGCTCGCGGGGCGGGCTCAACGGTGCAGTGGGGTCTACCCGACCACCTCACGCACCTCGCCTACCTGCTTCCTGGCCCGGGACATCGCAATGGATCCGGCAAGACGTCCGGATTCGCTTCGGGCGAGGAAGCAGGCAACGGAGGAGGTGCGATGGACAAGAAGGGCTCGTCGAGCGGCTCGGGCAGCTCCGTGCCTTCGCCGCCAGCGTCAGGATCGGTGCCGACGCCGTTCCACGTTCTTTCGTCGATCGAGTCTTCCACCAAGGTGCGCTTCCCGAGCCGTCGCATGACGCTGGGCGAGATGCGCAAGCGAGTGCGCAACATTGGCGAGTATGTGACGCGGAGCCAGATCGAGGCGGTGGAGCGAGAGAAGCGCATGAAGCTGCTTGGCATCGTGCCGCCGTATGTCGAGGAGATGGAGGCTGAGGCCGAAATGGAAGCCGAGGCCATGCAGAACGGCGCCAAGAAAGCCGGGGATACGCGCGCAGATTCGGCTCCGGAGCAGGTTGTGGACGGCGAGGGGAGCAAGAAGACGACTGCAGCCACACTGGGCAACCAGCAACCGCTGCCACTCAGCATGCGACTCATGGAGGAGCTTACACGCGAGCTCATCCAGTTTCAGCGAAGATTCGGCGTCGGCCCGGGCAGCTACGGCAGCATCAGCAATGCGCAGCAATCGGCAGGCGTTGCTTGATGCGGGGCATAACATTCAAAGCAGAGCCGGACTGAGTCACACCTGCAATCATCCAAATTTGCTTTCTTGTTTGCCTCTGGAGGGCGAGCGTCGCTCACGGCAGTGACGTGTATGGATGAGGATGGACTTGAATCTGATAGATGAGTTCCGTCGGAGAGAGTGTATCGATGCGGTGCGCCCGGCAGATTGTCAGCATGTGAATCGCTTTGGGGCGGCAAATGGAAGGTTCCAACGCAGCGTGCTAGGGCCTGCTCGGACCGATCGCTTCCGCAAAAGTTAAGGTCGATGCGTCGGCGGTGCCGTCGATGGTGAGCTGGGAAGCAGGGATCGTAGACAGGAAGCAATGGAAGTATCCTCGGTATGCCCGTCGGCGTATCGAAGAGATAAGATTGATGCTAGCCCATCCTTCGCTAGTTTCGACTACAAACTTCCCGATTGGTAGTACTGTACCTTTTCAGCCAGACACAGTACTTTCGATTGATTTTAGCCAGAGAATCGCAACAAGTTGCCTCAAAGCCTATGATCGAGTGGGCGATCGAGCCGTGCGTTACCTGAAAGTGGACCTGTAAGAACGTCCTCACCCGCCCGAGCCAAACCTCGTGGGGCGCAGTCGAGCCTCGTTGAGCTAGGAAATACTGACCTGGTTGGCCACCGAGTTGCGTGAGCAGCCGCCAGTCGCCATGCTCCTGTGAAAGGACCTGCAGCTATGCGCTCGACCGTCACCCAGCGGTCAAAGATGACAATCATCTCTTCAACCGTTCGACGCTGCCCGGAAAACCTCTACGGACTGACTCTTGGGCAATCGCACCTTCCCTTTGAGCATGCAAAGGGCAGGGCCAAGAGTGTCACCTTTGCGACGCGCCAAAAAGAGATGACTGGAGCTCTAGCCACCTTTTTCTTTTTTTGCAAAAAGTCGGGAAAAAAGGGTGCATTTTTTTTTAGCCCAAGTTCACGCAGGACCCTTGCAAGCGAGCGGAGAGTCCTTGCCCCAGCAGGAAGACACGCAAGCAGGCATGTGCAGACGCGCTGCTGCAGCTTGGACTTTTCTTCGCCCGCCTCTCGCGACCCTGGCATGTCGGCGTTCACACCGGTCCCGACCTGCGTGCAGCCAGCCAGGTGAGGGGGAAACATGCAAAACAGCAGCAGCGCCATGCCCGCTCGCTGCATTTTCTTGTGCCTTGTGCATTTCGCGCGTACAGTAGCTTGAGCCTCTCCCCGCCCTCTCCTGACGCAGCTGCGCCTGTTGGCGAGCCTCACCTCGCTGGAACCGACGACGGTGCAATTTTGGATTTCCTGCCAGCGTGAGGCGCCTGCCAATTCTTGCCTTCCGTCCACACCCATCGTTATCCGTCGCCCTCTTTCCCACCTCCTCCAATCCCCTCCCACCTACCGCTTCGAACTCCATCCGTCTCTTTCAGCTTGAGCGCCTTCGACTCACGATCGGACTGCCACGGCCCATTGCCGTGTCCGCAAGCAATTGTCCCACGTCGAGCTCAATCTGCCGTCTCTCAAAGTGGCCGTCGCCGTAAATTCAATTTCTCGTTCGAATCACCACAACTACGCGCCACGTCGCTTCGGTACCGCGCCCTTGCGACGCGACCCTCACCACCTTTTCCCGTGGGCCTTGCGCGCGTCATCTTGGAGATGAGCAAGACCCCCATGCGCATCTTGGCCTGACCATCGAACGTCGTATTGTCGCAGCCGACACAGCATATTTGCACACACCCATTCCCGCATACATCCATACGCAGGACCGCCCGCGTCGTGGTCATTACCCTTTCGAACGAAGCTGACGAAAACGCTGCGACCATCGCAGGCTGACTTGGGCACCGTTTGTGCCATCCTCTCAGTCAGTTTGGCCGTCCTCGACCGCTTTTGATATCTCCACATGCCTCCGGCACGCACATCGCGCCGTTCCGGCCTTGCAGCCTCGGCCAGCTCCTCGAGCATCGCCTCGCCCTCCACCAGGTCTCAAAGACAGGACGCCCCCCTCACTTCTGGCTCAGCAGCAAGATCGGCTGGACCGTCAACTTCGCGCGCTACGCCTCGCTCGACCGGGCCGTTGGCACCAGCCTTGACCGCGCAAAGCAGGCAAAGCGCCGAAAGAGATTCCGTCCAAATCACTCCGACAAAGTCTCCGGCTTCAAACAGCTTCAATGACCCCATCATTATCGATGACAGTGACGACGATGCCGATCCTGTCGCTGCAACGCAGCCGCTTTCGAGCTTGTCTCCCTCCTCGATCGTCAATCCCGACGAAAGCACATCGACCACCACTCTCGACCAGTCCTATGCCACCTCGCTCACCAGCGATCTCAACATGGTCTCCGACGGCACACTCACGTCAGTCAGCTCCGACGAGTCAGACAGCGACGTTCCGGAAAAGTCGGCCAAACGCGCTCTTCCCTTCGCTACGCCTCCGAGGCGCACAACTCGTACCGTACGCAGCACCCGCGTCGGAACCACGGCGACGCCCGTCTCGTCCACAGGCCGCAAAGCGCCGAGTCAGACCCCTTCTGAAACACCCACTCCCAGCCGCAGGTCAGCTCGCATCGTCTCCTCGGGCTCAAGCGTGAAGAAAGCGCTTCAAAGACGAGATGAACTCGACGCCAAACTACTCGCTAGCCCTTTGCGTAGGAAGCCCGACGCCCTGGATCCACCATCAAGCCCGCCGACCAAGAGACAGCCTGGACGACCGCGAAAATCCGCTACTGAAGCCAGCCTTATGCAGACGCAAAAGTCTCCGGCCACAGTGCAGCCACCAGCAAACCCTCTGGCTCAGATTTCGAGCTCGGCTGCGTCTCGTCGCAGCTCCCGGCTGTCTTTACCAGCTGCCGCAGAACCAAAGGATGTCCAGACAAAGGCGGCCAATAAGGCAGATGGCGAGTCGCAAGAGCCAGAAGCTCAGCCGAAACGGGGCAGGCGCTCGCAAGGCGCTGCTGTCTTGGCAGACACTCCTCCCGCCAGCGTCAACGGAAGTCAAGCTGCGGAAACTCCGCCAGCGAAGCGCGGTCCTGGTGGGCCACGGAAAATCACGCCCGAGGAGGAGTCGACCGTGTCTATTGCATCGAGCTCGTCTGCCAAAATACCCACGCGCTCTAGCAAACGCAGCTTCTCCGATCTCGCGAAGGCGGCGGACGCTGCTCCAGGCGGAACCTCGGAGCAGGTTAACGAGCAGTCACCCAGGCGCAAGCGAGGAAGACCACGCAAGCAGGCACCCGATGAGGCTACGGATGAGGACCACGGCGCAACTCCCGCCGACATCGATCCTTGGAGCGCCCAAGCCGAGGCGGACGCCATCGCGCGACAGCAAGCGATCGACATGCTCGATGAAAACGTCAGCGAGCTCAGCGATGCCAGCGAAGAATCGCAGACTTCCTCGGCACCGTCGCAGCCGGCAGCGCTTCCGCGCCGACGCGGACGTCCACCAAAAGACCGTTCGCCTGACGGAGACAGCGTCAAACGTGTGAGTCGCCCGGAGAAAGGCGGCAAAAAATTCCGCGTCACTGGTCTCTATGCTGGCGAGGCCGAGGCAACACCGTCCGTATCCTCCACCAAGCCGACACAGGAGCGAAACGTGGTGTTCCCGAACCCCATACATTTTGGAGCCAAGCTTTTGGTCGAGGAGCGCGACTTTTGCTTGCCCTATCCGATTCATCAAACCATGGACCAACTGCGCGAAAAGGTGCACGCCAAGCGCAAGCCTCCTCGCTACCAACAGATCAGCAAGAACAAGTACTATTCGCGTCCCAAGCTTCAGGGCGAAGTGCCTCTGTGCAACTGCCAGCCAGGCAGTGGATGTGGCTCGGACTGCATCAATCGCATGCTGCAGTTCATTTGCGATCCCAGGACGTGTCCCAACGGGAACAGCTGCACCAACGTCAGTCTCGGTCGCCGTACCGGCATCAAGACGGCTGTCGCCTACTACGGTCGCCGTGGATTCGGCCTGAAGACGCTCGAGGCCATCAAGAAACACGACTTCATCGACGAGTACCGCGGCGAAGTGATCAATCTTAGCGAGGCCGCCAAGCGGGTGACGGAGGAATACAAGGCGACGGGCAACTACTATTTGCTCGACTACGACTCGGCGGCTGGAGAGCTGCTCGATGGCGGCCGCAAGGGCAACATCACTCGCTTCGCCAACCACTCGTGCGACCCCAATTGCCGTATCGAAAAGTTCATCATTTGCGGCACCGACGAGGCATTGTCGGCCGAGTTCCAGATCGGTCTGTTCGCTAATCGCGACATCGAGGCGGGCGAAGAGCTCACCTACAATTACGGTTGGGCTGCCTTCCAACCTCGCGACACTATGACCGGAGCGCCGACGGCTCAGGTGCCTACCGAGCAGTGCTTGTGCGGTGCTGCCAATTGCTCAGGCATCCTCGGCGGTAAGAAGGCACCGGCTACTAAGCTGACTGCTTCCGATGTTGCTTCTGGCTCGCGCAAGAAGGCGGCCAAGGGTAAGGGCAAGGGGAAAGGAAAGAGTCGAAAGACGGCGCAGACGACGGCACGCCCTCGCCTGCGCGCGATGACGCCCATGATGAGCGCCACGCGCCTGTCATCAGCGACGATGCCGGCGTCGGCTCGCTTGAGTGCGGCAGGTTCCAGGAGCTCGAGGAAGCGCGAAGAGACACAGGCGAACCTTGTCACAAAAATCGTGATCAAGCGTATGGAGCGCTCTGCACGCATGGCGGCGGATACCGTAGCGTCGAACGCCGAGCCTTCGGCGGCCAGCAAAGCCACGCTCGAGAGCACGATCGCAAAGCGCGGCGTAGATGTGGCGGCTCCGACGCCCAACGCTGCGTCTCCCTCTTCACCAGCCAGCGTTCCGACCCCCGTACGCCCTCAAACCGCGGTGCGGCTCCCCCTGGCGACGCTGGGCACCGCAGCATCGGCCATGCCTATTCAGACTACGCCCGCCAGGGTGCAGTCAGAAGGCTCCACACAGCAGGCGAGCGGTGCGAAGCAATCTGCGTCAGCGCAAGGCCGGGTCGCCTCGGAATCGGGCGGTGCTGCATCGACGGCGCTCAGCAAAGCCAGCGACAAGAACGCCAGCGGGTCAAACCCTCGCGCGCTGCTCGCGCAAAGCCTAGCCTCGTCACGGCTCGGAAACAAGTTTGGACGCGCAGCGACGGTGACTCGCGGTACCAAGGACCGAAGATGGTCTGCGGCGCAGGCGATGGTCTCGGACGACGACGACGCTGCCTGGAACGTGTCGGATTCCGAAGAGCGAGCTTCGGATTTTCAGGGGCAGGACGTTGCAGCACAGCCGACTCCTGCTCTGGATAAGGCTGTTGCTGGCCCGCGTCGCCGCGGGCGTCGCAAACTGGTGCTTACCCCCGAGGAGGCTGAGCGGCGAGCGGTGGATCGGCGTGCAAGAAACGCCTTCCTAGCCCGCGTGCGCCGTGCCTCGAAGCGGGGCATTGTGATCCAGGATCCCACCCAGCATCCGCTCAAAAAGATTAGCATCCAGTGCACGGCAGCGCCAGAGAACACGTATATCCCGGATCTGCCCTCGTCGCTAGTGACGCTAGGCATGACCACGGCAGATGCTCGTCGTGCTCGCAACGCCTTTCTTGCGCGCGTGAGGAGGGCCGTCAAGCGGGGCTTCCCCAAGGACCTTGCGATCAAGATGGCCGCCAAGCCGCTCCCCGGCGATGGATCGCGAGACACGCCCGTGATGCAGGCACAGCGTGCGTACTTGGAACAGTTGGAGCGCGAGGCAGTCAGCGAAATGGAGGCGGACGCAAGGGCCTCCTCCAGTCGAGACGCCGCACAACAGAGCGCCCCGCTCCCGTCAGCAACATCAGCCGTCGATGGCTAGGTGGACACATCCATCTAGACAGCTGTGCAGTGATTCAACCCTACGAGCAGCACTCTGCAGATGCGAGAACATCCTTTGTACGGCTGCTACAGCCGATGTAACCAAGCCGTTTGCACTACTGACAGCTGCAACGATAGTCAACTTAGCTGTTGGTGTGGTTGGAGGCGCACTGCTGCAGGGTCCGGCCGTGCATTGACCAGATCCGGTGGGAGGGGGGAAAGGTGGCGATTTAATTGGCAACTGTTAAGCTGAGTGAAGACGCGCGCAAAGGAATGGCGACCCTTGCCCTGGCGATTTTGCCTGGATTCCGCTTTCGGAGGTTTGAGGCGGATGGGCGCCAGCTATGCTGCGCCGTGCCTGGCCGGGAGCGCCTTTAAAGAAGGGTCGCTCGCCATCGCTCGGATCCGCTCTCCCCTCCCAAATTTCCATTCCATCCGGATACCAGTTCATTCTCGGACCCGCACCAACCCCGCATCCCCGCCCCCAACCCCGGCTCCCGCTTAGCTCGTGGGCCGAGCTTTGCGGACTTCAACGATTGGCGCCGTCGTCAACAGCATCGCACGCCTCCCACGGGCCCTGGCCCCGCAGCATCATCGTTGCGCTCGCCACCGACCGTGTGCGGAGCGATCGCAAGACGCACGGCGCCTCGGCCATCGCTGACGAGGACGACGCCGGGAATTGATAAGTGCACTGACTTGCCTGAGTGCTGGCGAGGCTCAGCAACTTAGCACAAAGCCTAGATGGATACCGGGGCGTCTGAGACCGAACCGTTGGTAGGTCTGAGCGAGGGCGACGACGTTGGCAGGCACGAGTCGGCGTGGCAGCATGCGACCGATGCGAATCACAACGGCATCCATGCACAGGCGAGCTCGGCGCTCAACATCGAGCGTGATCCAGCAAGCATGAACATGAACGGACAGGACGCAGGCGACGCCAGCCCAGCACAGAGGGGGATGGCAGAGCATGACCACGATGCCGACGACGGCGGCCGTAATGGCAGCATGGGCAATGGCAGCGCCGATCTCTCGGTCTATCGATCGCCCAGTGGACCGCCGTCCGCATCGGCATCGCCGAGCCGCAGTGGGCCGACGATCCTCATGGCCTCTCGCAAGCAGAACAGCGCATGCGACGCATGCCGCAGCCGCAAGGTGCGCTGCAACCGCGACCCGGGCGAGGCCAAGTGCAACCACTGCAAGGCCAAGAACATCGAGTGCACCACGCTCTACGTCCAGTGGGCGACGTCATCCTCGAAGCGGCCCGTGAAGCGTGCACGCACTTCGCTGCTCGCTGCTTCGGAAGAAGAGAAGAAAGAGATCCCCAAACCGCCCGAGATCGCCGACGCGGCGGTAAACGCCCAAGACCGCTTGCTCAACGCCCTCTTCCAACGAGATACCGAGTATGCACCCATCGACAACCATGTCTACTACTACAACATCCTGCCATGCAACACGCCGCTCTCGGCAAGCGGCTATACCGTGCGCAACATCCTCCCTACCGCCTACCTTCCCGGACCAAAACCCGCCGCCATCACGAATGCCGAGCTGCATCTGCTCGATCGGCAGAGGAGGGAGGACTTTGTCAACGACCTCGTCGAGACGTTCTTCTCCGTGGTGCATGCGCGGCTGCCACTGCTTAATCCGCAGACCTTCCGCAAGCGCTACTATGAGCGCAGCAAGGAACTCGGCGGTCCGCCGTCGGACGTCACGCTCGCCATTGTCATCGCATGGGGCGCCAAGTTCAGCGAGAATCCGCTCATCGCGCAGGACCGTGCCGAGAGCGCTGTCGAGCTCCAGAGGGCGCACCAGCAGGCGCAGGCAGCTCTGCTCAAGGGCGAGTCCGAAAAGGCGGATCAAATCACGGGCATCAAGGGCGGCATCGAGCAGCCCATCCTCACCGTCCCCGAGGAGCTACGCGACCACGGCCGCAATCGCATTGCCGACCACCTCACCTGGCGAGCGCAGGACATCATGGACCGTCTCCGCGTGGCGCGTGTCGCCACGCTCGAAAACGCCCAGGCGTGTCTGCTGATGGAATCCATGCTGCTGCATCCCTCGGTGTACTTCAATGGCAATCCTAACATCGCCGGAACGCCCATCGCTGCGCCTCACCGCAGCCTGCTCGAATACACCAATGGGCATTGGTACGTGATCGCGATCAAGCATATGATCGACCTCGGCATTCATTGCAAGGAGAAGGTCATGACCATCAAGGACCCAGCGTTGCGCGGCGAGACGCTGTTCGCGTGGTGGCTTGCGTGCATGGCCGACGCCGCCTCGGCGCTGTACTTCCAACGCCGCTCGCTCATTTCGGCCGAAGACTACAACAGCGACCCACCGGTCGCAGACGCAGACAACAAGAAGGTGGCGCCACATCCGCTCGACAGCATCGACTCGTACCTCGCCTTCTTCGGGTCGATGCACGACGCCGTCACATTCCAGGGCAAGGTCTCGGCGATGCACTTTGCGCCGCGTAGCCACATCGAAGGCGTGCCCTTCGACAAGGTCGCCGAGGCCGCCGAGCTGCTCAAGAAGTGGCGTGTGGATCATCTGGAAAAGGTCGGTGTGCCGCTGCCGCACTGGCCGCCGCATTGGGACTACATTGCGGCCGTGAGCGCGTGTACGAGCGATATCAACTACCACGCCAACTGGATCTGCCTCTGGCGACTCGTCGACGAGACGGGTATCTTGGGCACGGACCGCTCCGACGCAACATCGCCTATTCACCAGGACAGGCTCAAGAGGAGGAGTGCGTCGGAGCGCGAAGTGCCGCGTGGAGACGCGCCTGACCCTGACCGGGTGCAGGCCGTGCTCGCCACGATCCAGGAAGAAGCGCTCAACAGCGCGCTGCGTATTGCTGGGCTGACCGAAATCCTGCGCAGCAACCAGTATCTTCGACTTGACCCGGCGAATTCGCTGCAGAGTCTCGAGATGGCGGCGCACATGCTCATTCGCTTCCAGCGCTCCGAGGTCGACATCATCGTCGCGGGTTTCCGTCAGTACGGCTTGTCGTACGAAGACTGCTTCGACAAGGCCGACGTGATGGAAGACCTGGCGGCTGCGTACAATGCGCGCGCGCGCACCGACCCGAGCTTCGTGCCCGGTTCGGCGCTCGGCTTGGCCATGGAGCGCGATGCAAGTGCGGACCAGAACGGCATCCCTGAACTCGCGATTGCGGCCGCCGCACTGTCGAACGCCGCTGCGTCCGCAGACACCTCGGCCGGGTATGGCTTCGACCCGCAGCAGTCAGGGCAGGCGCAGGCCGTCGAGGATCCAGAGCAGAAGCATGCAGGCGCCGCAACATTTGATGCTATCTTCACCGCGTCCGGCGACGCAGTTGCAAACAGTGCTATCCACGACGATCCTACACAGCGCTCCGACGGTATTGCCGTTCACTCGAATCAGGGCACGGCAGTCCATTCCGACCCTACACAACCCGCTTCGCTGTAGACCATTCATACCACGCAGACGGCAAATACCACAGCCTGTGCTTTCAGCCTCATGCGGTCAGAAAGGCAATCCGAGTGGTGGGGAGTTTTGATGGCATTGACATGAGATTAGTGCGCGAGCAAAGCGATTAACGTGCAAGTGCAGGTCAATGGCAACGGATCAGGCACCAACTCCGCTGATCGCTCGAGCATCACGGTTGCAGGGCACGGAGCATCTAGGGGGAAGCGGCGTACCAGTCGACACCCTTCTTGATGTTCTTGGCGAGCTCGGGGATGGCGGCCTCGAGGAGCTTCTCCTCCTCGGCGGAGACCTTGCCGACGGAGTGGATCTCCTCGACACCGTTCTTGCCGAGGGTGACGGGGCTGGCGAAGAAGGTGGCGCCCTGGTCCTTGTAGAGGGGCGACTCGACGTAGGCGCACTCCTTGACGCCCTGCTCGCCGTTGAGGGCCTTGAGGAGCGAGTCGGAGAAGACGGCGGCGGCGTAGGCCATGGAGAGGGTGGCGGAGCCGGCGCCGTCCTTGGCCTTGACGACCTCGTCACCGCCGAACTGGATGCGGTGGACGAGCTTCTCGTACTGCTCGCCCTTGGCGACGGCGTCGCCGCCGTTGGCCTGCGAGAGGAGCGGCACGATGGTGACACCCGAGTGGCCACCGACGACGGGGACGATGGTCTCGGCGGGCTTCTTGCCCGAGATGCCCGAGAGGAAGGTGGAGGCACGGGTGACGTCGAGGGTGGTGACGCCATAGAGCTTCTTAGGGTCGTAGACGCCGGCCTTCTTGAAGACCTCGGCGACGATGGGCACGGTGGAGTTGACGGGGTTGGAGATGATGAGGAGGTGGGCGTTGGGGGCGACCTCGGCGGCCTTCTTGGCGAGGTCGCGGACGATGGAGGCGTTGGTGTTGAAGAGGTCGTCACGGGTCATGCCGGGCTTGCGGGGCACGCCGGCGGGGATGACGATGACCTCGACGTCCTTGAGCGCCTCACCGAGCTGGTCGGCCTGGTAGCCAGTGGTGGTGGAGGGGGTGTTGACGTGCGAGATGTCGGCGGCGACACCGGGAGCGAGGCGCACATCGTAGAGGCGGAGGTCGGTCACGAGAGGGTTCTGCTTGAGCAGCAGCGAGAGGGGCTGTCCAATACCGCCCGAAGCACCGAGCACGGCGACGGCACGGTTGGCCGAGGCCGAGGTGGAGAAGAAGCGGGGCGAGGTGGCCTGAGCCGATCGGAGAGCCTGACGAGCGAACATGGCGAAACACGGAAGATGAGATCGAGGAGACGTGATGGAGGAAGGTGACCAACGTGGAATCGGCGCATCACCACCGGCAAGTCCACGCCGATCGCAGCGCAGGCGCTGGGCACAGACAGAGTCACAATCGCATCCACACACTCACACTCGAGCCAGCCGGGCGCACCAGGCGACGGGATGACGAATTTCCCTTTTCTTCGGCGCCGCCCAACGGAAGCGCTCGGAGGCGCACGAAATCGACTTTTTGGGCCGACGAGCAGGCAAAGCGGGCGAACCGCGCTCTGCTGCCGCATCGCAAAGAAAGAGTGGAGTGCCGCTCCGCTCGAATTTCGTGCTTCTCGTCTGGCACTTTGACGTCGAAGACTCGGAAATTGCCCCGAGCGCGCACCGCCTGCGGAAGGATCAGGAAGAACATCTCGCTGCGATTGTTGGGCCAAGCTGCTCCTCCTCCTCCTCCGCCTCCTCCTCGGCACCACTTCGGCGATTCCCTCTGCCGCACGTAATCGTCCAACCATCGGGCCCATCACACCGTCCCGGCTCGTGGGCCGTACATTCGCTGTTAGCTCGTCTGTCTCCTCCCACATTTGCCGCGGCCTGCAGCTGCCTCGCATCTCTCGTCACCGTGAGAGCCTGATCCCGGCGTGACGCGGAGCGAGATACCCGGTCCGGTCAGCCTGGCGGTGCGATGCAACCCTGTCCAACGTGCGAGCCAAAGCAAATTGACCCTGACCTTTCTCGTGATCACAAAAGGATCTGCTACTTTGGCAACGTCGGTGTGCGCCGTTTCACACGCTACCGTGGCACTCTGCGGTCTGCTTCCGATTGTCTCCGTCTAGCCAGGGTCTTTGATCCTTCCAGCCGAGTCTGTCCTCTTGAATACGCCTGCACGCCGCGTGTTGCTCGTGGATCGAGCATGAAGCCTGATTCTTTCGAGCGGTAGCCTGCCGCTGATCCTGTTCCGCAACCCTGATCGACTTTGGTCCGCAGTTGGGGCCTGGCTTGTGTGGCAGTCCCGTCATGGCATCGGGTTCACACTGACGAGCCGATCGAGAATTTGGGATGTTAGGTCTTGGAGAGCTCGCGTCCCTGAATCAGCTAAAATTTCTCGACACGTGATTAAACGAAGCTCGGCCGAGGTCAGCCTCGAATTTTCGGATCGCGCGCAAGGCAGACGGTGGCCTCTCTGCACAGGCTGGCTCAGCTCGCGTGCCCCTCCCAGGATGCGAGAGAGTCGTCAGAGCCAAGTCTTTGCCATTCGCACGCCTCCCTCCTGTTTATCGACCATCATCACCCTCCCTCAAGACCGTTGATATCAGCCAAAATGGTACGCATCTCAGCACATGGCCCAACATAAGCGCCATGGACATTAGTAGATGCGGGATCTGAGGACATGATGCGGTGCTCCCAACCCCCGCCAACAGCAGCCTCTTCGCCGATGCCGCTCTGGCTGTACTCGACAATGCCCACCCGTCCTTGCATCGCATCGGAAACCAATCGTACTTCCAGCAGATGATCGTCGAAAGGAGTTGCTGCCTCTAGGAGTATCGCGCCAACCTTCACACGGCATGTCACGATGCTCTCTGATGGCATCCTTCCACTCTCCCGTTCGCGACTATTCGGCTCTCGCTTTGCATCGCGGTGCACTTGCCGTGGACCGGCGGACCAAGTGTATGACAGAACACAATGTCGTCTTCGCGTTGTCCCCGGACCTCCAGTACTTTTGGGGATGAAGCGATCCGCGCCGTCTCTCGCTACGCACGACGATGCCCTGGTCAGCTCGGGGACCACTAGATCCTTCGAGGTCAACCTTGGCTTTCGAATCGAGCATCGCTTGAGCGGCCGGTCGCTTCTGTAGAGCACTGAGTCTGTCTTCCATCCCGTTGCCCTACCAAATGTCTGTCGCTTCAAGCTTCAAACATGGCACAGGATGCTGACCTCGTCTCAATGACCCCCCTGCTTTTCTCCGCGCTCGTCGCATCCTCATCCCTGTTTCTCGTTGTGTGTTTGCGTTTGACTTTTCTCTCTACAGCCCAAGGCCAAGACCGGATCCGCCAAGAAGCCCGCCGCCGCCCCCTACTCCAAGGGCAAGGCTACCAAGGCCCCCAAGAACCCTCTCTTCGAGAAGCGCCCCCGCAACTTCGGCATTGGCCAGGACATCCAGCCCCCGCGTGACCTGAGCCGCTTCGTCAAGTGGCCCGAGTACGTCCGCCTCCAGCGCCAGAAGGTCATCCTCAACCAGCGCCTGAAGGTCCCCCCCGCGATCGCCCAGTTCGCCAACACCCTGGACAAGAACACCGCCACCAACCTGTTCAAGCTCCTCAACAAGTACCGCCCCGAGTCCAAGCAGGAGAAGAAGGCCCGTCTCGATGCTGCCGCCAAGGACATCGCCGACGGCAAGAAGGCCGACGCCAAGGCTGACGGCAAGAAGCCCCTCTTCGTCAAGTACGGTCTCAACCACTGCGTTGCCCTGATCGAGGCCAAGAAGGCCGGCCTCGTCGTCATCGCCGCCGACGTTGACCCCATCGAGCTCGTCGTCTTCCTGCCCGCCCTCTGCCGCAAGATGGGTGTCCCCTACGTCATTGTCAAGTCGAAGGCCTCGATCGGCGCTCTTGTCCACAAGAAGACCGCCGCCGTCGCCCTGATCCAGGAGGTCCGCTCCGAGGACGAGCGCGAGCTCGCCAACCTCGTCTCGGCCGCCAAGGCCAACTACCTCGACAAGGCCGAGGAGATCCGCCGCCACTGGGGTGGTGGAGACCTCTCGCAGCGATCCAACCACAAGCTCGCCAAGCGCGCCAAGATCGCCGCTCTCCAGCCCAAGCCCGTCGCTGTTGCCGCCCCCGTCGCTGCCGCCGAGGACGACGAGGAGTAAGCGTCTCGCACACTTGCTTTTGCGTCCCTTGTGCAGCTGGGCGCGAGCTCTCCAAAAGCTGGTTCCCGTCCTTGGGAATCAACACCCCTTTTTTCTTTCCTGGCCGATGTCATGTTCGCTCGCTCACGCTTGCTTGGTGAATGGATCGTGATGCCGCGCCTCCCTTTTGCTGACACGAGGCTTCCGCAGGTGGCTCGGATGAGCCGATGGCATCTCGGCTGCTCCGTTGTCCCGTTTTCTGTGCAGCCATCCAATGCGGTGCTGGGTGGTTCTCGCATTTGTACAATACCCTTCGAATCGTCCATCATTGTTGTGCCGTCGAAGCTGTTGTGCCAGTGTGAATTGATGGTTTGGCCAAGGGCGATGACGCTGCAAGCATTCTGCCACGGGCCCGTGTCGGCTCGGTCCCGGCGCTGGAGAGTTTGACGGTGGGAAAGTGGTATTGAGAGCTTCGGAAATGCCGGCGATGGGCGCCGAGGCTGCGGCGCCTTGCTAGCGTACGGCAATGGAGACGAAGCCGCTGGTGGGCGTCGGCATGCGTCGGCCGCAGCGATGCAGCAAACATCGGCGAGGCGCACAGACCGCTTTCACACGACCTCGAGGGATGCGAAAAAAGCACGAGCAAAAAAAAAAAAAAAAAAAAAAAATGATTCGAGGCCTTCGAGGCCAATGGGGTAAATTAGGCTCACGGTCGTGCAGGATATACGCAGATCAGAGGCTTCCTACAGTTGTCCGGATGGAACTGAGCCTGAGCTTACGGAGCAGTTGGACGCGGAACCAGACCAGAGTCAGCTGTACGGACCGACGGTGATACCGCACGGTTGTGTCCTTAGCTTGGGAGGACATTCTGCCAAGAAGACGGGATTAATTTTTTATAAAAAAAACTTCCCTTTGTTTAAAGCAGCCGACGCGCCTCCACATACGTTTCCAGTCAGACGCGTGGCTTGACGCCGATGTCTTCATGCTTCCACGGCGGAAGAGCAGTGTGGAACGTCCCAGCCGGCGAGCAAGAGGAGACCAACACAGAAACCTAAAAAAAGTGAAGATCGACGAACCGACGCGGTGGGTACGACTTCGGTGTTCGCACCACTGATCACTCTTTGCACTCCGTCTAGGGCAGAACTGATCCGCTGCTGGTGCAGCTCACGAGGACACATCGTGGCGTCTCGCGGGCATACAACGGCGCCAGGTAGCTGCGGTACGTGCGGGTCCGCGCCGTTGATTTCCACGCAAAGAAGAAACGCGACGCATGAAGTCGGCCCAGCACGGATGAGGATTTTGCGCCCTCGGCTAAAGAAGCCAGGCGCATGCGGGAACACCGCAGCGGGGACCACCACTTCTCGCGAGTCCCGCTTCGTAAGGCCTCGACCGGACAATTAGGGTCCAAAGCGAGAAGAAGAGATAGGGAGGTCGGGTGAGCCGATGCCTCAAATGGCGGCTGATCCAAGCCCAGAATGCGTTGCACGAGCATGTTGTTTCGAGCGGGCGGCACCCGACGTCCGCTGTGACAGGCAAAATGATGGATGGTTCGAGCTTGGCTTCCGTGCCAGCACGGCTTTGCCGAGCCGTCAGACGGTCTCTGCTCGCAAGCTGTCGGGGGTGTAAGGTTGAAGGCTTCGCATCGCAGCGGACGTAGTTGAGCTAATCTCGTGGACACGCCGGCTCTGTGTGACCGTCGCTTGCTCGACCGTCGGTGTTGGAAGAGCTAGACAAACACACTCAGCCCTGCCCATCTGAGCGGCCCACCTTGTGCTACGACGACTTGACCATGGCTACGCCACGGCTCACGACCTCTCCTCGCTATCTCCCTCTTACAGCCGCTGTCTCGTGATCCGAGCTGGGCGATGACTGTACATCGGGTCACATCCGAAAGTCGAGCATCCATAAGTTAGGGCTGGTGACGAGACTGCAAACCGCTTTCATGTCGGCAGCCCATCGGCGCAGCTTTGGCGCTCGTCGCTCCAACCTTGACCTTGTCACTTCACATTGGCTCCCTTGCGCATTGCTGCTGGCGGATTAGCCTCGACTCTCCTTCATTGAATCACCGCTCCGCCGTTCTGCTGCGGTTCGTGGCTTGATCCTCCTCAACTTTTCGGAAGCATCCCGCACAAATCTTTTTTTTTTCTTCCGGCTACGGTAGAGCTGCGCACCGTTTCCACCCAGCGCACTTCTGCGATGTGTGCATCCGATAGGCATTGCATGTGCTCAGAGGGTCCGCACAATGATCCAATCGCTCTTGCTCGCCGTAACGAAGCCGTGTGGTTGGTCAAATGAGATTTTTCTTCGCCCCCTTCCTGGCCGTCTGCTTGCCGCTTCCTTTTTTTCTGGCCCAATAAATTGCCCTCCATTTGGCCTTTTTTTAATCAATTCTTTTTTCGGTAGGCATTTCAGCGCTTGAAGTGTGCGTGCGTTGCTCTTTTTGGGCCCTTTGCGAGGCTGCGAATCGTGCACTGGCTCAACCGCAGTCCAGGGAGCGGTGAGAGGCTGGGATCGCAGCCAGGCCGCGAGAGTGAGCCCTGAGGCCCTTCGATGCAGCCTTGTCCTGCTTCACCGGCCCACTCACCTAGCCCTTCTCCCTTCTCCCCCTTCCCACCTCCCCACCTCCCCGCCCTCCCTTTCTCCTTCACCATATAACCGGGTGCTCCTTGCGCTATCACCGAGCCCATCTGCACCACATTCGGTCTTCTCTACATCCAGCGCGACACGGCTCTGGTGACTGCTGCCGCCGATTGCTGTGCCTCTGCCAACGAGCTGCCCATAGCTTCATCATCACCACCTCAAGCTCTCCCTCCCCCCTCTCGAGCTCAATCGCACCCGCAGTAGGTCCAGACATACGCTCTGCGCCTAGATTAACGAGGGCAGACTGTCCGAACGTTCGTGTTCACCGAAAAGTGGCGCCGTTTCAGTCGCCTCATCTCGCCAAGGCCGCTTCGGCGCTCGTCTGGAGTCAGGCTCATAGCCGAAAGCGGAAAGCCTGACGGCCTTCCAGTGTCCCGCACTCCATCGGTTGTCGCTCTGAAGGCAGGACCCACAAGCTTGCTCCTCGCAACCACCCACTCCCAAGGTCGAGTCACGCCTCTTTACGATCCTAACGATATCTGGGCATCCTGGTTCTCGCAAGTTGTTGCGGCTCACTCTGCTGCCTCCAGTACCCCTCCTTCGATCTCTCCAAAGCTCTCTCTCAGCCTCGGTATCCTTCCGCACCTACATGTCAAGCCGCTAGTTCTCCTGAGCTGCCGTGTCAGTGACTATCGGCCTTGCGACGTGCTTGACGGCCTCGCTTGGTGGGTACTGCGCCTGGCCCAATCTCGCATCGCGCATCGCCGAAAGCGGTACTGCATGGTCGATCGGTTTGCTATCAGAGGTGCTAAGCAAAACTATCGGCGCAATCGGCTCACTCACGTCGTACTTCATCGGCCCAGTCCCAGCCGAAGATCGACCTCGAACTCAAGATGGACGCACCAACCCACTTCAACGATGTCACAAACCTAGCCGCTTCTCCACGCAATAGCGCCGCTCACCGCCAAGAAGCCAGCATGTCGAATCATTCTGCTCAAGGCGAAGCTGCCCAGCAGAGTCACACGAGCGGCACGCCGGACGCAAGCTACGATGACGGCTCGCAGCACCTGCTCATGAAGCAAAATCAAGCAGACCTCGCAACTTTCGGGACTCCGATTCTTGACGGCAGCTCTGGGCCCAAAGAAGCGGATGGCTGTAACGCGGCCGTTTCCAACGACGGTGGCCGCATCCACAACGTCGATGCATCCTGCCACCCCCGGCAGCTCGACATGAGCGCACCGCTCCGACAGGCAAATGCTCCATTCCAAGGCCCTCACGCTTCTTCCCTCGAGCAAGAGATCGGTGCAGCGCTTCATACGCAGATGGGCAACGTGCAGCAGTCCCCTGCCACACACGAGCACTTCTTCTCCCCTGCAGACGGCCAACGAGATGCACAGATGGCCCAGGACCGATCTCATCAAGAGCTGATGCAGTTAAAGACCGAGCCTGCCAGCTTTGCCGATCAGCAGCATCAAGTCAAGTCGTACCCGCCATCGCCACCCAGACGGAACCAGATGATCCCGCAAGCGGAGCCGCGATCCTTCCAAGCTGGTGTGCGATCCACCGAGGGTCGCCACATGATCTCGCATCGTCCAAGCCACAGCCTCGGCCAGGCGGGTGCATTCATGTCTGGCATACCTGACCGCGATATGTTTGGGCACAGCCACGTCAGCGCGCCCGTCTCTCCCTCTGACGGTATGAACTCAAGCACCTTCGCAGCCTTGTTTCAGTATCCGGGCGCTCGCCACGAAGTGGGTCTCGGTATGACCGAGCATGGCCACATGTTCGATCAGAGCGTGGCCCCAGGCATCTCGCGTTCCATTGGGCACTTGCCAAAGTCCTGCGCTCCCTCGGTCCGTTCCGCGTCGCCCTCAACCAGCATGGCATCAACATCGATGGCGTCCATCTCTCCCTTGGGAAGCGCTCGCATCAACGCCGACGGCTCCTTCACTTCGCAGGAGACTTCCTTCGATAGCATCTCCAACGCCGCCTCCGGCTCCTTCAGCCGGGCCTCCTCCACGTCCGAAGAAGCCTTCTATCAAGAGCTGGGCTCGCTCGGCCTCGCCTCGTCTTTGCGCATGACCAAGCAGAAGAAGAAGCTGCGCAACATTGATCGCAAGATGATTTGCGATTTCTCGATCGCGAACCCTCTGGTCAAGCAGGATGCCATCGCCAACGAATTCGGCATCGAGCGCAGCACCGTCAGCAAGATCCTCAAGCACAAGGACAAGTGGCTGGCAATCGACCCGCAAAGCGACGCAGCGCACATCGCCAAGCACAGAGCCGTCAAGTTTCCTGCTGTCGAAGACCGCCTCACCAGCTGGGTCGCTGCGCTCAAAGCCCGCGGCGAGCCTGTGCGCGACTCGATCATCCGACAGGAAGCTCTGCGCATCGCGCGCGAGCTTGGTCTCGGCGAGGACAAGTTCAAAGCTTCCGGCGGCTGGATCGAGAAGTTCAGAGAGCGCAACATGATCCCCAAACCTCAGCTTAGCGATGCTGCGAGCGCAACGTCGGGCACGGGTGCAGATGCCGCGGAGCTGGATGCGTCTTCTTGCGACGGCGGATCGTCGCATCCGACAGCTTGCGCCGAGGCGTCGAAGGAGGCCTCAGTCATGACACCGGGCGGTGCAGCGGAAGCGGGAAGCAGCACCAGTGGCCAGTCGCGAAGCGTTCGACGCCAGCCTGCGCGGGCAAGCAAGGCAAAGGGCACTCCTCAGAAGCGCACCCGAGACGATACAGAGAGAACACAAGCCATCTTGGGCATGTCGCCTCTAAGCCACGACCTGGCCCGCATGCACTTCCACAATGGCGCACCCATTCCGCTCATGCCAGAGCCTGGCTTCTTTCGACCCAACTTTTACGAGACTCATCCAGCTGCCTCTCAGTTCATGACGAACAGCAATCTCATGTACGGCGGCCATTGCGTCTCCCCCACGATGCAGCCCATGGAGGATCAGGACGAATCCGAACGCAAGCGCAGGCGTTCCGGGCAGCACTTTGATGCCGGACATGCGTCCATGATGCTGGATGCCCCAATCGAGTTCCAGTTCCCCGCGGCTGGCGCCTCCGCCCTGTCTCCTTTGGACGGCCTGCCCGGTGCTGCTCCTGACGGTCAGGCACAGTCCGATGTGGGCCTACAGACCACAAGTCCTCGGAGTCGTCGCACTGTCGCCAAATCCACCGCTGCAAGTGGCGGACGTGGCCGCGCACGCCGTGGCAAGGGTCGTCTTTCGGGCGCAAATCATACACCTCAGACCCCTTCGCCCCTGTCGATGTCGCCCACCGACGCTCGAGGAGAGGCAGTTCTGCCGAGGTTCAATGCAGCTGACGCCGAGCAGATCACGGCAGCCACGCTGGAGCGCATCCGCGAGCTACAGAGCTCTGGTGACAAGTCGTCGATCGTAACAGCGGAGCAGGCGCAACAGTCGTTGGAGCTGGTACTGCGCTTCCTGAGCGAACAGCCGAGCGACTTTTTGCCCGCCAACCACTTTGTCGTCTTCGGCCACTTGCAGGCCAACATCGAACAGAAGATCCGAGACCAGGCCAAGCAGAGCCCTGCTGCCGCCGACGGTCCTGCCTCGCAATTTCCTGCACCTGGTGCCTCCGCAAATGCGGAGGCGACCTCTGCCACCCTTGGCGACGACATGAACAATATGCCTCCAAGCTGCGCCTAGCGTTCGGGAGCGCAACGCGCCTGCCACGAGCGTCATCGGTTCAAGAAGGCGGCTCAGAATCGGACCTCGTGCTGGCAGACGTCCCCTGCGGTTGGATGCTTCCTCCGCGTCTCTCTCCAAATATTATTCTCGCATGGCCTTAGGGGCCCGTTCTTTTGCATCGACTTCGCGCACGCTCACCCTCGCAGACATTGCTTGCTGCCGGAACGCAGAAGCGCAACCCAAAAAATGGCTTGAAGATACCTTCTAGCATCGCAGTCTCTCGTTATTCATAATCAGCATCACATCCCCGCTTTCTCCCCTCATACTGTCAACGCATGTCTGATCTCGTAGCATCCACCCCCTCATCCTTCCATATCGTCCATCCATTCAGCATCGCAGCCGTTCAATTCAGCATTTCAGACCGCGTTACGATGGAGTCTGAGATTGTGGCAGCAGACGTCTTGAAGATTCGGGAGAGACTTGGTGGCAATGCGGCAAAAACGCGACTGTGGGGCCGGTGGGCCGCGGTTGCGGCGCTTCTGGCGGCAACCTATGGGGCGGCGCTGTTGAGCTCGGTCGCCACCCGAAAATGCTTTTTTCGTTTTATTTTTTGATTTCTTGATTTTTGGCTGTGGTGGAGACGGAGAGACAGGTTGGAAGCGGGGTAACGTTGGACGGCGAGCGGCCATCGCGGTGGTGTGCGCACGGTCAACGTGGTGTCAGAGCAGGTTCTAAGCTGCTCTGATCGCCGCCTCGCCGCCGCATATAAACCTCCACACCGCTCAATCCACGCTGATCATCGCCACGTCTCTACAGCCTCTTCTATTGAACCCAACATAACGACGCGGTCACAATGACGGTATTCTCAGGATCGAGTGCGCTTTCGAGTGTGCCCAACCACTCGTACTATGCGATCCCTGCTGCGTGGGTGCTGGCAGTCCTGCCGCACTTCTATGCTGTTGCGCTGTCAAAGGGCCAGTTCAAGAACGCGCACCCGCGCCAGCTGCTGCACGACCTGCTGGCCAAGAAGACCAAGACTGCCAACGACGCCAAGATCATTCGCGCCGAAAGCGCCCAGCTCAACGGGTAGGCCTCGAACCCTTTCCTTCCTCGACGTATTGAACGAGCACTGACCGTGAAAATTTACGTCGATAGATTTGAGAACCTCGGACTGTTTGCAGCGGCTGTTGTCGCGGCGAACGTGGCCAAGGTGCCCAACAGCGAGCTCAACACGCTCACTGCCACTTACCTCGCCAGCCGTGCGCTCTTCAACCTGTAAGTCGAAGCTATCCTACCCCGTTCCAACGACATCAGTTTCTGACGACTGCTTGACTTTCATGCGCAGGCTCTACATCTTTGTGACGCAGGAATCGACCGCTACTCTGCGCAGTGCGTCGTTCCTCACGGGCGTCGGCACCATCTGGACGCTCTTCATCAAGGCAGGTCTGCGTGCGGTGTGAGCCTCACGCACAGGACGCCATTCTCCATGCCAGTGCTGGTAATTTCATCACATTTCTTCATCTCTACGACTGTGGAGCGGGGAGTTAGACAGAAGAGACAGCTTTTGCGATGGCGTCGCCGAGTTTTTGTGTGGTTCCGTTACCCTTCATGTCTGGAGTGAGGATGCTCGAGTCCGAAGTGCCAAGCACAGCGTCGATGGCCCTCAGCACAGCTGCTGCCGCCTCGTTCTCTCCGAGATGGAGCAGCATCATCTGGCCCGCCCAGATCATGCCGACGGGGTTTGCAATGCCTTTGCCCATAATATCCGGCGCCGAACCATGGACCGGCTCGAAAAGGCTGGGGAACTTGCGCTCTGGATTGATGTTGCCCGAAGGAGCAATGCCGATCGTACCCGTGACTGCCGGGCCAAGGTCAGACAAGATATCGCCGTGCAAATTGGATCCCACCACCACATCAAAGTAGCTCGGCTTCTGCACAAAGTGCGCCGACAGAATGTCGATGTGGAACTGCTCCGTCTTGACGTCCGGGTACTCCTTGGCCATGAGTTTGAAGCGCGAATCCCAGTAGGGCATGGTGATCTTGATGCCGTTCGACTTGGTTGCACTGGTGAGCTTCTTCCTCCTTGTTGTCTTTGCCAGGTCAAACGCATACTTGAGGATCCTGTCCACGCCGATGCGAGTCATGATCGTCTCTTGGATCACCGTCTCGCGGTCGGTACCCTCGAAGATCTTTCCGCCCACCTCCGAGTATTCGCCCTCGGTGTTTTCGCGCACGATCCAAAAGTCGATATTGCCCGGCTGGGCAAGCGGACTGGGCACTCCCTTGACGAGCCGACACGGACGCAGGTTGACGTACTGGTCAAAGTGTCGACGCATCTGCAGCAGCGAACCCCACAGCGTCACGTGGTCCGGGTGGCGGTTCGGATCGCCGACTGCGCCAAAGAAGATGGCATCGAACGGCTGCAGCAGCTCGATCCAGTTGTCAGGCATCATCTTGCCGTGCTTGTCGTAGTAGTCGCACGAGGCAAAGTCGAACGTCGTCAGCTCCAGCGAGAAGCCGAAGCGCTCTGATGCCGCTTGCAGCGCCTGCAGGCCACATGGCATCACCTCTTGGCCGATTCCATCGCCAGGGATGACTGCGATCTTGTATGATCTTGCCGACATGTTCTAAAAAAGATGTTGTCGAGGAGCAGTGGAACAGTTGAGTGAGCGCAGCTGAAGCTTCAACACCTCTGATGGCGTCGGGAAGTCAGCAACATGGATGTGGTGGAAATAGCGCCTCCCACTCACCTATGAGGGCTCACACCGGGCACACCTTCGCACGGAGCAGCCTCCGCTCCCCCACCTGCACGAAGCCGCCGTGCAGCTGCTTGTTTTAGCCGGCAAATTCGCCGGCGAGGAGACTTTGCGAGATTCTACGGGTGTTAGGCTGCCACCGAAAGAACATTTTCAGGCGAAAAAAATCAGGCAAAAGTCGGAGCCGAACAACTCGAAGAATTTGCTGATTGCCGGCCTGCACCCTCCTTCTCCACCATCTTTGCCCCTACTACCGTCACCATCATCACACCCGCCGACAACGTTCATCTGGGTGGCTCATAGTGCAGCGCAATAGTCTGACTTGCCGCCGACATCACAAATCAATCATTCAAATGTCGCAATTCGTGGGCAACGTAAGTACAGCTTCCTTCTTGCAGCACGCTGTGTCGCTCCTTCGCACCATCTCATACTGACGGGCCACTTCTCTCGAATCGGCACTACATCTGGAACGCTTCCGATCCCTTCACCGACCTCGATGGTTCAATTGAACGACAATGCAGACATCACTCGCCTTCGCGCGCACATGGCATGCAGTGAGCGCGCAGGACCGCGTGCTGGGTCCTCTGGCAGTCAACATTGCCAAGCTGCTCATGGGCAAGCACAAGCCGATCTACGACCAGTCGAAGGACCTTGGCGACTACGTTGTCGTTACGAATGCCAAGCAGGTTGTGGTGACGGGACGCAAGGCGGACCAGCGCGTGTACCGCCACCACACCATGTACCCAGGCGGCCTCAAGGAGATCAAGTACAAGGAGATGATGGAGCGCAAACCCGAGGAGATCATCCGCAAAGCAGTGAGCGGCATGCTGCCCAAGAACACGCTGCGCGACCGCAGACTCGAGAGACTCAAGATCTTTGATGGCGAACAGCATCCGTATGCCCAGAACATCGTGCAGCGTTATGTCGAGACTCCCGCGCCAGCACCAGCACCCAAGGCTTGAACAGAGCTTTAAACCACAGCGTCTCGATGTACGGCTTTCGACGAGACAGATGGAAGCGCCGTTGCCAGACCTTGGACAACATATAGACCTACCCCCTGCATCCCTTTTTTTGAATCCCGGCGCACAGGCTTCGTGGGTTCGTGTACTTGTATCGTCTTCTCCGCTCTCATTGTGGTGGCTCTGAATTCCAGCGCTTTCACTGTTTGTCTCTTGCCTGTTTCTACTCGTTGCGAGCACACTTCGCTGGCTGCATCCTTGTGATCTTTGTGAGCAATGGGCGCTGGTCATTGCGCGGCTGGAAGTCGCCAACCAAAAAAATGCCGGGTCTCGGGGCATCCGGAAGGGCTGTGGAGAAATTTGGAGCCGACTTTGAAATGCACCCGTGTTCACCACTTGTCGTTTCGCCACCATCGCAACTGGCTACTCGGGATCAGCCATGCTGCGGTGTCTTGCCCGCACGTCTCTTGCACCTACACAGCCGCTGGGGCTGACTCGTTCTCTCTCCACCTCCACTCCACGGCACTTTTGGAAACGTTTCGTCGGGTCAACCGAATCCACAAAGGCATCTCCCCCACAACCAACACCAGAACCAATAGCCTCTGCATCAGCATCCATGCTCGACACAGATACCCCCTCGCAGACAGCACAGACCGCCGAGCCAGTAGTGAAGGGCAAGATGCTGCAGCGCGATGCTGAGCTGCTCGCCAAATTGCTCGACCGCGATGGAGGATCCGCCGCCGTCCCCATCATCAACGGCTCCTACGCAGAAGGCCTAGGCCCCGAAACCAAGAAAAACATGTTCCGACTCATCTGAATCCACGCACGCATTGTACCACCACCCCCCAGCACTCGGCGATCTCTCAATCAGCCCAAACACAGACGAATCATGGAGTGAAGAAAGGTTGTATTGGCATAATCTAGCTGCGTCGCTGCGTCGCACTCGACGGCACCACGTCGCCGTACAGCGACACGAGTGGCGGCATGGGCGCGCGCGTGCGCGAGCTCACCTTGACCGTCTGCGCCGCACCGGGTCTTTGGACAGCATGCATGTGCGCCTGCGGATGCATCATGTGCTGGGCCTGTTGCATCTGCTGCGCCTGCATGTAGGCATGCGCATGCAAGCTCGTCATGCTCATCGAGTGGCGCGGATCCGGTCGCAGGAACGCCGACTGGCTCGCGGCCATCATGGGCGACGCCATGGGCGATGCCATGGGCAGCTGCTGCATCGACGTGGCGTGGTGCAGCTCAGTCGGCGGCAGCAGCGACGCTCTGCGCTGCGTGATCTGCGGCGACACGGGCAGCGCGCCCATGCTGCGCTGGTGCGGGATCGCCGACGGCGGCACGAGCGAAGCCATCGAGCTCTGCCTGTGCACGTCCATCAGCGGCGACGCGGACGGCGACGCTCGCACGCGCGGGCTCGCCACGGGCGACACCACCGACTCCACCGCCGCCACCGAGCTCCTCGAGCGCCGCTGTGCCTCGTGCTGCGCATACAGCATCGACGGCGAGCGTGGCGCACCCGCACCCGCCGTCCCCTGCAGCTTGGCCAGCGCCGCATCGTGCTGCACCGCCCTTCCCACAGTGCTCGATGCCTCGCCCGCCAGCACCGGCGAACTCGGCGAGCTCGTCACCACCTGCTTGAGCCCGGGTCGGTGCTGTCCCAGCAGCGGATTGCCCGCGCCGTAGTTGGGCTCGGCCAGCAACACGGATTGACGCGTAAAGCCGCGTCGGTCGCGCGCCTCCTGGAGGATCTTGCGGTTCTTCTCGAGCCTCCTGGCCTCGGCGGCTGCCTTGCGCTCCTCGTACGCGCGCTCCGCCTCCAAGCGCCTCGCCTCTTCCTCCCTTGCCTTCCTGTCCTCCTCCTCGCGCTTGCGCGTCTGCTCCTTGAGCCGCAGCGTCGCCACCTCGCGCTCGAGCTGCTGGATGCGCTCCTTCTCTGCTGCGCGGTGCGCGCGGAAGAGCTGCAGCTGCGCCAGCGGCACCTCTTCGTCGCTGCTATCGGCTCCGCGCTCCGCCGCCTCGCTCACCTCCGGAATCGAGACTGCACTCCCATTCGCATGAAGCGTGCTGAACGCAGGTGCGCCCTCTGAGACCGACCTTGCGTCGTGCGACGGCGATGTAGGCGACCGCGGCGAAAGCAGCTGCGGCGCGCGTGGCGCCATCCACGGCGGCAGCCGCTTGGGTTTGCCCGACGGCGATGCGAGCGGCGACTCTCGCGAGGGCCGGCTGGAGCTGCGTCGGTTCGGCCCCTCCCACACCGCCGAATCGCTCGCGGACATCATGCGCGATGCGTGCTTGGACTGCATGTCGCGCGGTCGGAACTTGCGCGTCGGCGGGTACTTGAGCCGCCTCTCCTCCTGCACCGACGGCAGCCCCGCCAGCACGCGGATCCTCGGCGAATACGACACCGCCGAGCTCCCCCAGGCCGATCCACGTCGTGCGGATGCAGGAACCTCCTGCACAGCATGCTGGGCGGTCGGGGCCACCACCAGCTCGCCCGGCGCAAACTCGTCGGCAGGCAGCCAGACGGCGGTGCGCGCGAGGTAGCTCGGTCGGTGCGCCCAGGCGATGATGCCGTTTTTGTCGCCCTGCGCGTGCACCTTTTGGCCCGGCTCGAGGCTCACGATGCCACTCAGGCGGCGACTGGCGGCGAGACCGTCGAGCCCGCCCGAAGCCGAGTCGTGCGGTGCAGCGATGGGCGGCTTGGCGAGCGCCTCGGGGCTCACCATCTGGCGCTGGCGCAGCGCCTTGGCGATCAGCTCGGGCGCGATGCCGGCGCTGCCGTATTTGCGCTGGAACCACGAGATCTCCACCTCGTCCTCGATGCGCAGCTTGTCGCGGCGCAGCTTGCGCATCACCTCGGTGCGCGCGAGCGCCACGTGCAGGCTGCGCGAAAAGGCATGCGTGCTAGAGTGGCCGCGCAGCTTGAACGCATCGTTTATGGAGCGTGGGAATCGGAGGTCGTCGTTGGCGTACAAGACCTCACCCGCCGCGATGACCGGGATCTGCGCGCGCGCCTCGGCGTCTCCTGCCAGTGTAGACGCGAGATGTGCGTGCACTTTGAGTAGCGTGCAATTGTATAAGGCCTTCTTGGCCGCGCTGTCGAGCCCCGCGGGTCTGACCGAGATTGTGTTGGAGCTCTCGTCCGGGTCGTTGCTCGGTGACATTGTGCGCGCCTTTGCGAACGAGGACGGATAGCGTGCAGCATTGAGGCCTTGAGAAGCCGTGTTTGCTGCCTCGGGCGCGGGAGATGCGGGCATGGGTGCATGGTCGGCTCGCTCTTCGTCGTCGTCGCCGTACTCGTCTTCGGACTCGGAGTCGTTGCCAAAGAGGCCCCTGCGGTACTTGCGATGAACGACCACGTAGGCTGGTGCTGGTTTGTCGTTTGCGAACGTTCGCGCAGCATCCTGCGTCAGGATTACGCGCCCATCGGATGTGCGGCGCGGAGGTGGTGGCGCTGGCGACGAGAGCGTGAAGCTGGAAGGGCTCGATGTAGCACCTGCGATCTGACCGAGCGAGCTCGAACGTGTCGGCAGAGGCGCGGCTCTTCCGCCACGGAAGGAAGGCGTTTGCATTTGCATGTCGGTGTCGCCATCGCCAAAGTTGAGCACGGCGCGAAGGAAGTCTGAATCGGCCTCCTCTTCGATGACAGCGGGGATCTCGCGACGGCTCAGCTGGCTGCCGAACCCAGCCGGGCTTGCCACTGCGCTTGGCAGCGCGGGCAGGGCAAACGCGCTGGAATGCGAGTGGATGCTGCTCGAGGCGTGGCCCTGACTGGAGCCAGAGTCGAAGGTGTGATCGCGCGCAGGGGCATCATTGAAAGCGCCCTGCTTCGATTTGGGGCTCACGCCGGCGTAGCTGTCGGCTGGCGTGCGAAGTTGTTCGTGCTGAGCGAGGTTGACGTTGGACGGGAGATTGGAAAAGTTGGAGAAGAAGTCCTTTTGGCCGTTTGCGAGCCAAACCGGCTGGACGTGGGGCGGTGTGGTTGGGGTGAGCGGTGGCGACTGGGCGCCCGTGCTGGACGACGAGGCGGACTGGGATCGGGAGGTGAGGATGGGTGCGGCCTTGAGGTTTGAGCTGGAGCGGTTGAACAACCTGCGTCCGAGGCCTCGCAGGGTGCCCACGCCGCTCGACTTGGGCGGAGCGGAGGCGTCCTTGGCGCCCTTGGAGTCGGCACGTTTGCGTTGTGTGGTCGGCTTGGCGTAGTCAGCATCGCTCGAGGCGCTGAGCTGCGTTGAGCGATTCGATGGAGGATCAAAGTCGTTGCGCGTGTGGCCACGCGATGAGCCGCTCTGACTCAAGCTCTGGCTCTGACGCATGCTGGCGCTGCCAGACCCTTCGGCATCGTAGCCATCGTTGCTGCTCGAGGTGAAGGATGCGACGCTGCTGTTCTTGCGACCGAATGTCAAGGAGCCTACTCCCGACCGCGCCGGTTGTGGTCTCTGTGGCTGTAGGAACATGTCTGCAAGGTGATCCCTGTCGTAGTGTGTCGGTGTGCTCGTGGGCCAAAGCAAGGTTTGCGTGTCCAGGATATGAGGGTGATTGGTTGAGGTGAACGAGATGAAGCGGTTGGCGTGAATGAGATGAAGCGGTTGGCGTGAATGAAGTGGTCGGGGACTAAGCAGATGAAGTGGCGCCGGGTTGGTGGAGAGAGAGTCTATCCGCTTGGAGCGCGTGGGTATGGGTGGGGATTTGTTTGCTCTGCACTGCCGCGCGCTGCCCAAGTACGACTGCGCCGCTCTATTCCGGTGTTTGAAGCGCAGGCAGTGCCGACGCGACGATGTGATTTGATGGTACGGACCGGTGGAAGTGATGATGATGAAGGAGGAAAGTGAGATGGGTCGACTGGACGGAGTGGCGGATCAGGGACGAACGCAGCAGGAAGGGCAGGACGGAGGCAACCCGATGCAGGTGCGCGCTGCAAGCTCCAATGCAAGGGCAGAGGGGCCAAGCCACAGGACAGTAGCGAAATGGCCCAGTGAGGATGCGGTTCAGGGCGGCGGCGGCGGTGAAGCATGAGCGAGGATCGAGACGAACAATGATGCCATCCGAACCTGACTGGGCGGCGGAATCAAAAAATCCGGAGCGTGCTTTGCCCAAGCAGGCAAGGCAAGGCAAGGCAAGGCAAGGCAAGGCAAGGCAAGGCAAGGCAAGGCAAGAGGTGCCGTCATGACGGGACAGAGCAGGGCCAGGTGGGGCGAGGCAGGGCAGGAGGAGGCGGACGGGAGCGGTGCAGTGCAAACAGCGGATCTCACGGGACGTCCAAGAGCTCCAACCCGCCCAAAACGCGAGACGATGTGGGCTGACAGCTGCCGCCGCCTCTGCTGCTGGGCTGAAACGCAAGCGGGGCGGAAGGCGGCAAAGAGAAAGAAAAAAAAAAGAGGCGAGCTTCGAGGCATCGGTGGAGCTGCAATGCGATATGCAGGACGAGCACGAGCTCGACTGCACGGCTCCAACCGAACGAGCAAACGGCCAAAAAGAAAGGGAGCGGAATGCAAGACGGATGCAGCGAGGCCTCCTCCAAGTCGACAAGGCAAAGCGCGACAGGGGCCGGCAAGAGGAAGCGAGATTGGGGCTTGGCGAGAGAGAGGGTGTGATTGAGTGGTGAGTGGTGCAGCCGAGGATCTTCAAGTTGCTTTTCGGCTGCTCCTCCCATTCCACCCAACCACACTGCTCCAGAGCCGCAGGCGCAGAGTGACAGTCGGGGCGACGTGCGCTCTGAGACAAATTCGCAATTGACAAGCCGCTTCCGCCGTTTCCCAGGGTCTTGCCATGAAAAATAATATTTTTTTTTAAAAAAAAAAGAAAGGTTCGCACTCGAGGCACGTCGATCGGACCTCACCGACCGTCGCGGCCACCATCCGACAGAGCTGATATGGCGCGCGACTCATGGAAAGAGGCTCATCGGCCCAGCCTGCAAGGCTTATGCTTGCAAACGTGCGCCACTCTCGACAGTGTTCATCCTCGATTCGACGATGGGCAAGGGCGATGCTCGAGCAAGGCAGAGTGGCCACGTTCTGTCGATCCTCTGGCGATCGCCGCTTGCAATCCTCGCAATCCAGCCCGATGCATCCACAAGCTCAGCCAGAGTCCACCTCTGCCTCGCCCAACCGCGGGTTGCCACCACCTTTCCCGGCGCTCGCCGCTGCATGCTCGCTTTCGCGAAGCCATTTAGCCTCTTTCACCAGGTGTCGAGAGCCTAAAATTGAATCGATCGTCATTGTCAAGAGGGCGCGAGGCGGCGAGAGGTGCAAAGCGGATTCGATCGAAGGCGCATGGGTGTTCTTGCGAGCTCGACGTGCGTCGCGCGCCCGCATCGCCGCCGCACCCGCCCACCGCTCCGATGACACGCGCATGCAGGTGTCATGCAGCCCTCTGCAGCGAGATTGCAACCATGCATTTGCCTCTCCATTCTCCACTCTTTCCTTTCAACGAAAAGAAGATGCGGCGGCCTTTTGTTTTCCTGAATTCGTGCCCAAGGGTCCAGTCCTTTGCGCACAGATCGCCAAATCTCGCAAATCCGCGAAACCGCAAACCCGCAACGCAAATGTCGGAGCACGATTTCAGGTCGGGTCTCAGCTCCCAGCGGTTGCCATCGATCGTGCGCAGCCCGTCTTGTTCATCCGGGACACGGCCCTCCCCGGCGTCAATTGCCTCGTTTTGGGGTCCGTTCCCTCTTCATCAGCCCATCATCAACTGTCATCGGCTTCAATACAAAAAGCAGAAAATAACACGCCAAAAAATGAAGCCTGCCGCCTCATCCCGCAAAAAAAGCTGGAAAAAAAGCAAAAAGAAATCCAGATTTGTCGACACCCGTCGGATTTGAACCGACGCAGGCAGAGCCTATAAGTTAACCCGTCCTGTAGGACGGTCGAATAATATAATTCGAGACTTACCCCTTAACCACTCGGGCAGAGTGCCTTAGATATCTTTTCGACAGCAAATTGCACATATATAGTTGCGCCGCTTTGCCCACATCGACTCCCTGTCGCAGAGTCGTGAGTGGAGGTGTCGTTGCGAATCCGAGCCGAAGGCCGTCTGACAAGCGCCGCATCTTGCGACGACACACTGTCACTCACCGATCGTGGTGCGCTTGCATTGGACATAGCGGCACTGGGATGGCATCGTCGCCACTCCTGACGCTGCGGTATGCAAGCCTCGAGGATGTGGCGCAGGATCTGGACATGGTGATCCAGTCCGCGTCCGCCGATCAATGGAGCTGGCAGGGCGTCAGCGCCGGCGAGGAGCAGGCTTGGTCGCGCTTCGTACAAGATCCGAGCTCGGTTTCCGCTGAGGAAGCAGCGTCTGCGATCGCAGGCATGGCTGGCAAGATTCAGGTGACGCCGGACGTGGCGCTGTCGTTCGCGCTGCTGTCTCGGCATGGTGGGCTGGATGGGTCGCCCATCGAGGCGGGAGTGGACATGTCGGCGCCCACTATCTCGAGCCAGGGTGTAGCGACGATCAAGGAGGCGCTTGTCGGTCGCACGCGTGCATGGGACGACGACGGCGTGGAATCGCTCTTTCTGTTCGACTTGCTCACAACGGCTCAGGAGCAAGTAGCCTCTGCCGATCTCGCACCAAGCGCCGAATCAGGCGGGCGCGAGCAGGGCCTCGAATCTGTCCTGCACACCAAGGAGTCCGACTCGGCCACTTCGATCCAGATGGCACGTGCGCTGTTCTGGTCGCACCATCTCAAGGCACCTTCCAAGCTCAAGGACTTCAACAACTGGTGTCCCGAGCTGCGCATCTGGGGCATCGTCCGCACAGGCTACCCCGGCTACCTCTGCTTCGAAGGCGAAGCTACAGCGGTAGCGCAAATGGTTCGCCGTGTCAAAGCGCTTCAATGGCACGCCATACAGCTTCGTGTCAACGAAACCTGGACTTGGCACGCAACCTCACCCGGTGACGGAACGAAGCTTTCACCGCTCGAACAAGCGCTTCTTTCGTGCGCCCTGGCGCGGGATCACCCCGACAACACCGAGGCGGGCAAGGTGCGCACGGGATGCCAGGTCCTCGAATCGCTGGGTGAGCTCGTGCAACGCCTGCGCGAGTGTGGCCTGCCCCACGACGAGATCTCCGACGCACTAGGCATTCGCATCAGCACGGCACAAGGCTCAGATTCGTAATCCCACACACACACGTGTCAAATGGACGAAAGCAAATGCGGGTTTGATTGGTGTTGCGAGTTGTTGGATGCGGGTGGCGAGGATGTCTAGAGCGAACGGTATTCGCCGCTGAGCGCCGCCATGCGCACCGCCTGGCCCTCGGTGAATTCAGTCAGGCAGGCATCGCTCGAGTAGCTGTTGCGACCAAGGTGGAGAGACGCGAAAGGGTCAGTGAGTCTGATCCACGTCAAGCGAACCCACGGCGGAACTTACTCCATGTAGCTATCGGAAGCGACAGCACGAAAAGGGTCAGAAGGTGTTCAGAGGTCAGCAGTCGTTACGAGCACGGTGATGCAGTATTGCACTCACTTGTGGATCGAGTCGGGGCCTCCGCCGGAGCAGCTGTCCTGTCCCGCGGGGCATCCGCTCGTCGCAACGCTCTGGGGCGGAGTATCATCGACGAAGTCACCCGGCGCAACGCATCCGCCCTGGAAGACATGGTACAGCCCCAGCCAATGTCCGACCTCGTGCGTTGCGGTCTTTCCCAAATTGTACCCCGTCTCGCTCCCACCGGGTACAGTCGAGTACTGAAACACGACGCCATCGTTGGTGAGATCCTCGATGTTCCATGGGAACGAGCTGTAGCCCAGCAGGCCATTGTTGAAATCAACGCTGTAGAGGTTGAGCGTCTTTGCGTCTCCCCGTCTGAGTTGGGCCTTCATCTGGTCCTGCAGCGATCCGTCGGGCATGATGTTTCGGTACCAGCTGGCGTTTTCGACGCGGTTGGTGGCGTTGAGCTCAAACGCAAACCCGTACGCCTTGTAGTCGTCGTTGAGCGTCTGGATCTGGTCGGCAATCATGGCATCGGACAGGTTGCCGGAGTTGCCAGAGTAAATCACATGCCAGACGACGTCCACCGTCTTGCTCTGCTCGGCGAGCAGCTTTGCATCGGTCAGGGAGCGTGCATCGGTGGCGTTGTGACCTGTCGACTTGGCCTGACGCTGCTTGCGGATCTTGGCGAGCCGCTTGCGTTCGGCAGACACCAGGTTCTGCGAAATGGCATCCACGGTGCGGTTCGTGTTGGCCGCTTGGGCACAGAAGCGCGTGCGTGGCTGCTGCAACGTCTTCATCGCCGCTTTGGCCGCATCGCTGCTCTTGCCACCCTGACTGTGGGTCTGCGGCGATTGAGCGCCGTTCTGCTTCGACGCACCAGACTGGGTGGAGGACTTGCTCACCGTGCCGTCGGACGATTGACCTGGCTTGATCATGCCTCCTTCACCGTGATTGATGGCCATGTAGGGAGTGGCGCTCTGACCCGTCTGTGGCTGCGACCCAGACATGGCGTCGAGAGCTTTGAGTACCGCGGGCGGGTCAGCGCTCGAAGAGCTGTCCTTCTCGGCCGCGGGTCCGGTCGAGCGAGGGCTCGTAGCAAGCACAGGAAAAGCCTCACTGCCCGTATTTCCATGTACCGGCCTCGCAAGGACTCGACCGCCGCCGTTGGGCTGCATCTGCTGCTGCAGCACGAGCAGGGCGACCGAAATGGTCGGGGCGAGCTTGAGGAAGTGCAGCATCTTGTTCGTCTAGATTGTATGTATGATCTTGCTGCCTGTTCTGAGCAGAGGAGGGGAATGCGAGTGAGTGTTGATGTCGATCTATCCAAGGATTGCCTTTATACACGAGCGGTTCTCTGTCGATCTGTATCCGCAAGTCGGAGCCGCAAGGTGGGTTGGGGGAAGGTGCGTGGTGAAGACGGGTGTAGTTCTGCTGACTGGTGGGATTCCGACGGGTGAATGAACGCTCGGCGGATGTTGCGATCGGCGGATGTTGTACAGGAAGCTGAGTTGGCGGGGCGATGCAGGATGAAGCTCGACCGGCGAGCTGTTGGTGAGAGAGAGCGGGAGGTTAATCAGGATAAGCTCGGCAGGTGGGAGAAAGGTGGCGATCCACGTCGGAAGTCAAGGCGATAAGAATACAGTTGATCGATCGAAGCAACCTATCAAAGGCTGTCGGCGGCGATGGCGATGTGGACGGAGAAGAACGGATAGCGGGTAGGAGTAACACGACGGGACGATAGACACAAAGCTTTGGAGAAAAGGGAAACTGCTCAACAGGGTCTAGCTCAAGGCCCTATATGAGGTGAAAGAAGGTGGCGCTCGGTTTCAGCGCCGCGCTCAGGGGAGCAGCCATGCATGACGGTTCGCGTTGGATGTACAAGTTAGCGCGCACGTCTGGGATCTGTGCCCAAGCACGGAGAGCGGGACGGCACAATGGGGTCCATGTTCAGGAACGGAACGGAGAAGTTGAACGGATCTCAGAGTGTTCCTGCCCGTGCAGCGGAGCATCTTGCTATTGCTGGCCGATGCTCAGATGTGAATCAAGCTTGTGGGGAAGGGCAGGGCTGGGCAGGGCATCCGATGCCACCACCGGCCGGACAGGGTCACTTCCTAGTTTTTGCAGGATCTACGAGCGGCAAGCGAACGCAAGATGAACAAAGTAGACATGATCGCATGAAGTCCGGGACGACGAGGTGCTCGCATCGCAGCCTACGAGATACACAAGTGCAGACGGAGAGCAAGACTCGAGACGAGGCTGGCCAAAGCCGAGGCGCTTTGTGACATGTCACACTGCGCCAAGCATAGCGTGTAGCGGCCTGCTTTTTGGCTCGGCTGGAGGGTGCGTATCGACGTGGAATCGAAAGTCAAATCGGGGAGATCGGCAAAGTACAATCTTGATCTACTTCCTGTATTCCAAATTTTGTTTCTGTTAAGGCGGAAGGCTGAGCGTCAGGGTCGCCGGAGACGGCCACGTTCGCATCCAGGTCCGGAAGAGCGGTCCGGCGGATTCGAAGTGGCGCGGAGCAGCGGACTGGAGGCCGCGAATTGACCGCACCGGCGCTCCGCCGAAGGTCTTTAGGCTTTGGACCCAGGCACACGCCGAGTAGTGTAGAGCAGCTGCAAAGCCGCGTGGGGAAAGCAAGCAGCAGCAGCAGCAGGAGCAGCAGCCTCCGCCCGCCTCCCACAATGCTGTGGGTGTCGTCTGTCGCCCCACGTTGAGCCAACTCGCAACGGCCATTTCGCCTTGCACCCTCGCTCCAGCCCATCATCTCGTTTCGCTCTCCCGCAAGCTCAAACAGTCGGACCAGCCTTCCGGTTCGCAAACAGCCTTTCGTTCAGTTCGCCAAAATGTGAGTAGCCGGCCGCGTCCGTACGCCGCTCGGTCCGACGCGACCGCTAGCCCGTCCACCCGTTCCCCCGCGGTCCTGTTGGGCTTGCACCTTCCCCACGCTGTCACCTTTGGCTTCGACGCCTGCTACGGCTTGCATCGTCCATATTATCGACGCTGACCTGCTTTCCTTCCTACCTCCCACATCATATCCTCTCCTCCTACCTACGGTGTGCGCTATCCCTGCTTCACCGCTCTGCCGTCTGATCGCCTCCGTCTAAAACATCCCCCGCAACGCACATATCCGCCATGGCTCCTGTCGCCGTGACCGAAGCAGCGCCCGTGTCTGCGCCCGCCACCAAGCTCAACGGCACCAGCGAGATGAACGGCACCTCCTCCTTCGGGCCCAACACGTCCGCCGTGCTGCACGGTGCCAAGGACCTGCGCATTGAAGAGCGAGCCTATGTGGCGCCCTCGGGCGACGAGGTGCAGGTGCGCATTCGCGCCACCGGCCTGTGCGGATCGGACCTGCACTACTACCTGCACGGACGCAACGGCGACTTTGCGCTGCAGCACCCCATGTGTCTGGGCCACGAATCGGCAGGCGAGATCGTCGCACTTGGTCCTGACGTCGCCGCCGCGACGGGGCTGGCGGTGGGCGATAGGGTTGCGATTGAGGCGGGGCGATTCTGTGGCTCGTGTGGCAAGTGTCGCGATGGAAGGTACAATCTGTGCAAGCAGATGCGCTTTGCGTCGTCGGCCAAGACGTTTCCGCACCTGGACGGGACGCTGCAGAAGTACATGAACTGGCCCTCGTGGCTGGTGCACAAGCTGCCTGCCAATGTCTCGCTCACCAGCGCCGCACTCTGCGAGCCGCTCTCCGTGGTTCTTCAGGGCATCCGTAGGAGCCAGTTGCAGCCGGGTCAAAGCGTACTTGTGTATGGTGCGGGTGCGGTGGGTTTGTTGGCTTGTGCGGCTGCCAAAGCTTCGGGTGCTGGATTCGTTGCTGCGGTCGATATCGATGCGGGTCGACTGGAGTTTGCGGCTGCAAATGGGTGGGCGGATGCAACCTACCTCCTCCCCCGTGCACCTCCTACCGAGTCGAATGGATCGACTGAAGAGTTGGATGCACGTGCTCGTAGGACAGCCGAAGACAAAGCCGCGATCTCTTCCGCCTCGACCTCTGCCCAAACCCTGCTCTCTTCCCTCTCGACCCCACAGCCCTCCACCACCGAGTACGCCGTGCAGCCGGCACCGCTGGATTTGCGCAGTGACGGATTCGACGTGGTGTTCGAATGCACCGGTGTGCCCGCCTGCGTCCAGACGGGCATCTTCGCCACCAAGGCCGGCGGAAAGATGGTCCTCATCGGCATGGGGAACCCCATCCAAACGCTTCCCATCGGCTCAGCAAGTCTGCGCGAAGTGGATATCGTCGGCGTCTTCCGATACGCAAACACCTACCCCACCGCCCTCGCCCTCCTTGCAGGTGGAACCCTCCGCGCCCAAGGAGGTGGCCTCCACGCACAAGCCACCCCCTCCAACTCCATCGAGGGCAAAGGAAGCGCAAGGAAGATGGGCGGTATCGAAAACTTGGTCTCCCACACCTACCCCCTCGCCCAGTCCGCTACCGCTTTCCAAACCCTCGCAAACGGAAAAGACGCAAACGGAAGAGGCGTCGTCAAGGTCTTTATCACCGACGACGAACCCTAAACCCCCTCCCCCCCGACTTTCTCTCAAACTCTCGCCTGTCACTCCGTTCGCGCTGAATAGACTCGTTTGCAAAAAATGACTCCCTTGATTGTGGTGTGAGACAGTGCATGCGTGCGTGCCGTGCGTGGGCTAGATCTGGTCAACAACAGCAACGGACGACGATATCGACGGCGGACCCACTTCGCCGATGGGCGTGCTGGCGCTCGACCCCGCATCTGTGTCGTCCGTGTCGCGACTAGTGCGGTCGATGGCATGGTGCGTGCGTTCCAGCGATGGCGACACATCCTGCCACGACTGCGCCGTCGGCAACGAGTCCATGAACCCCATTCCAAACCGCACCGGCGTGCTCTGCTGCGGGCTAATCTGCGCAGACTCGGCCGCTCCAGCTGCTTCGGGGGATGCTTCAGGCTCGTCCGACGACGGCCTAAACGGCTCGTACAGCAGCGGTGGCGATTTGACAGCCGCCCCGCTTGGAGGCACCGCGTCTGCTGGCTCGTTTGACGCCGTCTCCAACGCCACGTCGCCCTTGGCGCCCTCTGTCGCCGCTTGTAGAATCTGGTCGATCTCGTTGGAATCGCGGCCGCTGAGCACTTGCTCGAGGGATTCCTCGAGGCCCAGTCCGGCCTGGCTCAGTCCGAGTCCAAGCGTTGTGTTGCCCAACGCCGTGCCGCCCAGCGCCGTTTCGCCATTCGGACGCGCTCCGTCTTGCGCTGCCGTTGCTTCGCCCGCAGGCTCTTGCGACACTTCCGCATCGGTGACGCCTCGCTCCGCCTGAGGCGCAGAGGCCGTCGCCTCCCCTACCGCATCCGTCTGCGCGCCAAGCTCGGGGTCTTTGTGCGGCGGTGGTGTGCTGGCCTCCACATCCATATCCTCGTCGTCTGCCGTGCCGTCCTGCTTGACCGCATCGGCCAGCTGCTGCTTCTGCAGCTCGTGCTCCTTCCACAGCTCCGAGAGCTCGTCGGCCTTGTTGCGCCAATACTGTCGCTTGCCGCTCACCTCGCCCGCCTGCCACTCGGCCTCGATGATGTGCTTCTGCTCTCGCTTCTGCTTGTTGCGCGTCGAGGCGCTCACCTTGCCAGTGAGTGTGCGCGGCCCGCGATTCTCGAGCATCATCGTGAGCAGCCGCTCGGGCTCGCGGAAGAATCGGTCAAAGTAGTGCAGCATGTAGATGCCGCAGTCGCAGAAGTTGGGCTGGATCGGCACGTCGGCAAGGATGTACTGGAGCTTCGGTAGACACTTGGCCAGCTCCTCGTCCGTCGGCCGATCCGCTTCGGCCTCGGCTGGCTGTCGCGTATCCAGAACCTGGATCTTGCGCGTCGGACTCTCGGTCGTGTCGGCGGAGGGGCTGGCAGCGTCGACATCTACAGCAGCTCTCTCCATGCCCGCTTCCTGGTGCGCTTGTTGCTGCGCACGTGTCAGCGGCCTTCTGTTCCTCGCAGCGCTCCGCTTGGCCCTGGCCGCATGCTCTTCTGCCAGCTTCTGGAAGAGGGCCGGCGAGATTCGCTTCTTGTCCAGCGCCTCCCGCCACAAATACTCGTAGAGCTTCTTGTCCACGTTCTTGTGCTCGCCCTCCAGGCTGTCGAAGATGATGAGAAAGGTCTGGCTGAGATCAACACTGGGCGATGCACCCTTCGACGGCGTGCTGGCGCGCGAATCTGCGTCGAGATCCATGGGAGATGGCACTGTGTCCACGCGAGCGTCCCTGTTTGGCGTGGGAATGACCAGCGACGGCAGCGGAGGCGTCGAGACTTCGAACTCGCTCAGCGGAGCCTCCTCGTCCTGCCGTGGCTTTGCGGGGACATCCAACTGAGTCCATTCGCCGTCCGGAGACAAGCGTGTGGAAGCTTTGGGAAACGTGTTCAAGGCGGAAGCTACTTGCTCCTTCTCTTCATCGCTGCCGATCTCGTGATCGCGATCGCCGTTCGTGCCGTGCACGGTCAACATGTGACCGGGGTTGACGATGAGCGCCAAGTACCAGTGGTAGTTCTCGTTGATGGGGACAACAATGTACTTTTTCGAAAAGAGGTCCACCTTGGACGTCCACTTGCGCAGCTTGCGATACGCGGTCTCGACGGTGCCTTCGGTGAGGAGCTTGTTGAAGAAGAACGTGTTGAACATGTACATGCTGTTGGCGAGCTCCGGATTTCTGGCACAGATGTGCTCGAACAGCACCTTGAGCCCGAACTCGATCACGGTGTCGTTGAGCAGTTGACCGTCGTAGAGGCGGTCATAGTCGGAGCGCAGCAGTGTGACGGCACCGATCCCCTCGTATGGATACTGCAGCATGGGCTCGTGCGAGGCAGCATGGCTCGCCGACCGCGTCTGGACTCTGGTTTTGGCGTAAGTGGCGCGCTTGCCCTTGCGCATCGAGATGGGCAGCTCGGGGTCGGGCGATGGTGACGAAGCGTCGCGCATGTCAACGTCGAACGTGGCTCTCGCCTTGGACTTTGGAGACTCGGCCTGGATGTCGAAGGTCTTCTTGCGCGGTTGCGGTGGACTGAGGTGGCCGCCGTAGCTGGAAGCGTTGGTTGTGTCGACATCAGGGCGGCGGCCTTCGCCGGGCCTGATGGCGGTGCGGGTGGTCTTTTGCTGCTTGGCTTGAATGGATGCTTCGACGGGCGACAAAGATGTGGGCTTGGGCCACGGTTTGGCCTTTACGTCTGTGACCGCGCGGATCTTGGTGATGGAGTTCTGTTGCCGCAAGTAGTTGAACTTGCATTCGTCACCGATCGCCCGACGCATCAAGATCGCCGCGGCTTTGAGCGCTTCCACGTTGGCGCGCTCGCCTTCTGCGATCAGGTGGATATCGGACGCTTCCTGAGAGGCCTGCGGATCGAAGGCAGGAAAGAATTTGAGCAAACGTCGCACGCTATCTGAGCCCTTGCGGAGGGTGATGGAGAGGATGCCGTGCTCGAGCACGTCGTCGTCGTTGCTAGCTTCGACGCGGACAACATCGGTGTACTGGATCGAAAGGGAGGAGCCGGGAGCTGGCACGAGATGAAAGTTGTAATTCAAGAACCTCGCCGTGGGATGTTCGCCGTCCTCGGATTTCCAAATATCCGACACAACGATGGTGTTCAGGCTGACTTCGTGCGGACCGGACCTTGAGGGGTCGTCGTGACTGCTGTCAGCCAAGTTGCGGAGCTTATCTGTGCGCCTGCGTTTGGAAGCAGGTGATGTGTCGCTGGCAAAAGCACGCTCGCCCGAACTGGCGTGCTGACGACTGGACGCCGGTGCATGAGCTGCGGAGCCATTTGAGAGACGATGCGACGATTGCGACGAGGCCTCTGGGGATGGATTCTTTGGTTTCATGCGTGAGGCGATGGTGCCAGCCGGGCGTGGATTCGAGCTGCCAGGCTGCGCTATCGGCATGCTATGCGATGACGAATGGATCGACCGGCGTGGCTCGTCTGAGGTTTCGAGCGGGATCGGACCATCTGGACGCTGGTCGTTGCGGAAATAGAACTTGTTTGGAGCCGCGGGCGAGATTGTCGTGGCTCCGTTCCTTTTCCTGTCTTTGGTCTGGAGGGCGGGGGCGATGTATGTGTCGTCGGCCAGCGGGACATGGCGCGGGGAAGTCAGCACGGGTTCATCGTCGTCCGAGTCGTCTATGACGACGGGATCGTTGTCGGCGTGCTTCTTCGAGCGGGTGGCGGAGCGCCGGGCGGGTGCGAGATCGCGAGCCTTTGCCTTGCCCCTGTAGGTGTGTGAGGGGTTTTTGTGAAGAGCGGCTCGGTTGTCATTTGGGCTGTGCAAGTGGTGACTGCGCGGCGAGCGGGATGACTGGGCTTGCTGTCGGCGGTCGGCAACTGAGCCTGTACGTATGGCAGTCTCTGTTCCGTCGCTATCTAGGTTGTCGTGATAGGAGTAGTTGTGGGTCGGAAAGGTGGGCTTTTTGGCCGGACGCGCACGCTTGGAGGAGCCGGAGCCGGAGCGAGAGGGGATGTAGTCGTCGTCATCGTCGCGCTTTGTGCTTCCGTGCTGCGGAATGTTGATCTTGGTGGGGACCTTTTGGCGCGCATGTGTGTCTCGGGATTGGCTCGATGCGGATCCGCCGACGCCGTGAACGTCTTCCAAGGCGCGGCGTTCGAGGCGCGAGGTGCCAACTCTGTCAGTGACCATGATTCGGCATCTGTGAGAGCGACGTAGCCAGCGGAATGGGTGTTCAGGTGGTGGTGCGTCGAATCAAGCAGCGTGATGAAAGGATCGCGTGGGAGGAGTTGACATGGCCGAGGTGTGGTGGTGCGACGAAGGCTGTTGGAGTGTGTGGTGTGTCGCGAGTGGCGGTGCGTATCGATGTCGGCGTGTGTGGGTGGTGGAGGTGATGGAGGTGCGAAGGTGGACGGGAGGGTGGATGACAAGCTCGACGAGAAGGATGCGGCTGCGGACGTACGAGCGAGTGGACCCTGAATCCGAGGCCGAGATCCGCTCGCCAACCGGCAAGAGCTGAGCTTGTGCGTGGAGAAGGCAGGTTGCGCGGATCGGTGCGGGAGAAAAGCGCGCGTGCTGTGTCGATGCCGACGTTGACGCTGAAGCGCGGACGTGTCTGATGCGGGAGAATGAGCGGAAGCCGGTTGGGCGATGGATTGGAAGGTGAGAGCGAGATTCGTGATGGAAATGCACGGCGTGTGAGAGCGCGCAGTGGAAGCCGCTGAGTCGAGCGCCGAAAAACGCGGCGGCTCACTCGCCTTGGCCAGTGAACAATTTGAGCTGCCTTGCCGCCTTCTTTTTTCCCTACCGCGATTCGCACAATCTGCCATTCACGGCTGCTCTTCTTGCAGGTAGCTGGATTGCACACAGACTGAGTTATATAGCCTGATGTGACGAGAGCCAGGTAGGAAACAGTACAGTCCATCGCCACGTCGGGCTGGATCCGATCCAATGGCTCGCCGTGCTGCCACGGAAGAGTGTCGAGACGAGCTGCTTTTTCATCTCGGTGGTCAGTGGTGAGTGGGCGCGGTCAGCCAAATTTCGGCCAGGGCTGCCGTCTGCGGGAGGCTCAGTTCGGCTGCACTCGTTGGAGAAAAATGCGCGCCTTTTCTGCAGTCACACCTCCACATGGGCCGCAACACCGCACTGCCTTCTAAAGTCACAGCGCCCGACAGAGAGCCACTTTCGGCTCCACCGTGCAGGTCTTCCAACTGGACGACATCCATCTCAACACTCTTCTGCTATCATACTTTCAGTGCACGGACGCTCGCTCTCCATCAATGGCTGACAATGCTGGGTTTTGGTTGCTGATGCGACCTGGGCGGCTCGAATAGATATGATTCGACGGGCTTACCATTCGAGGTCGACACCCCACTGCAAGGCGAGACATGGAGAAAGGGAGAGGAGATCAGTACGATGCGCTCGAGCAATCTTCGGAACGACTCGACCAAGCGGATACTTACGTTGGGGCTGACAAGTCGGATCGACTTGCCCTCCTGCTGGTGGAGCTCGTTGAGCTTGAGCATCTCGTCGTCGGTGAGCGTGATGAGCTTGTGGTTAGTCTCGATGCGGCTCGGGGTGACGCTCTTGGGCAGCGCCACCACGCCCCTCTGGGCGGCCCACGAGACGACCACCTGCGCAGGGTCGGCGCTGTGCGCCTTGGCGATCGACTGCACCAGCTCGTCCTGCAGCACCGGACCACCGGACGATCCGAGCGGCGAGTAGGCCTGCATGAGGATGCCCTTGGACTGGCAGAACTTGACCAGCTCGTGCTGCGGCAGGAACGGGTGCAGCTCCACCTGGTTGGCCGCGGGCACCGTCTTGGCCTTGGCGAGCAGCCTCTCGAGGTAGGGGACGCTCCAGTTGGACACGCCGATCGCCTTGGCCTTGCCCGTGGCGGGCAGCTTCTCCATCTGCTCCCACGTCTGCTCGGGCGTCCAGTCGCGGTCGAGCGCTCGCGAGCCGTCCGGGTTGAGCGGGATCTTTTCGTCACCTCTCTTCTCGAGCGGAACAGGCCAGTGGACCAGCACAAGGTCGACGTACTCCAGACCGAGCTTCTGCAGCGACTCGTCCAGACACGCCTCGGGCTGGCGGTGGTAGGTGCCCCAAATCTTGGTCGTCACAAACAGCTCCGAGCGCGCAACACCGGACGCCTTGATGCCCTGGCCGACTTCCTCCTCGTTGCCGTAGATCCAGGCGGCGTCCTATCGGCGCGGAAACAAGATCCAACAATTAGCAAGTCGGCAAGCAAGGAACGGTGCACGACAGCAGGTGTACTTACGATGTGCCTGTATCCAGCTTTGATGGCAGCCTCGACGGCCTTGGCTACCTCGCCAGGCGGCGATTGCCAAGTGCCCAGGCCGACCACGGGGATCTCGGCGCCCGTGTTGAGCTTGAAGGTCGACTGACCAGGTGCGACAGATGGATACTGCGACATGATGATGGTACTGCCAGGTTGGTGGAAGGAGAAAGTTGACGATGAACTAGTTCTTGGCGTCGTGGAAGGTAGTGGTCGCGAGGCAAGCTGGACAGAGAGTCGTGGCGAGGTTAAGAGCAGGACGCCAAGTGGGGTTGCACGGAGGACGGAGGATCTGACGGAGTTGCACCGAGAATCGAATGGAGTTGCACCGGGGATGAAATGCAACTTGCACGGCCTCTTCATGACGCTCCGTCGCCGAGATCTTGTCGAACCTTCTTGGCCAATTTTCCCACACTTTTGCCGTCGTTGCCGGCGCTGTGAAGCAATGAGACGGGTCGGCCCCCGAGCCATGGACTGTGTGCACAGCGCACAGAGCAGCCGCAACCTTCGTCCTCGGCGACCAAAAGGTTGGTACATCCAGCGTCGGCGTGGGGCTTCGGCAGTTGAGGTCGACGTGGGCAGCAGTGTGCGCGTCGACAGATTGCCGGCTTTGCACCGAAGCGGGTGCGGTGTGGCTTTGCAGGGCGACTCGCGGCATCGGACCGTCCGCGCCGAATCCTGAATCTGGCTGATCTCGACCCCGATTCGTTGTGAATCGGGTTCGGAGAAGTCTGAGATCTCCGCCACGGCAATCTTTGGATGAGGTGTTGCGATGGACATGACGCAGTCCTTTGCCCCCACTTCTACCTCGAGTAGCCACATGAGGGCCTCAGTGACTGAGATCAGACAAAGTTGAGATCGTCATCCTCCAAGTCCAGCTTTGAAAGCGCTTGAAGCTGGTGGACATTCGGACTGGACCGGGTGCGTGAAAATAGAGTGGCTAGCGAGTGCGGATGTTACCGGCCTCCCTTCACGACGGGGTCATATGGATAAACGCCAAGATCGAGCTAGTGGAAGCGGTTCAGCAAAGAGTGCGGGGAGCGCGGGCGGGACCAAAGCCAAGCGTGTGCGTGGGAGGGCGGCGCAAACTAGCGCAAGCTTGGACCCGAGAGTGGAGGCGTGGGCGTGTCTCACGCGCATCCAAGCTCGGAGAGCCAAGCGCGGGGTGGTTGCGGGGATGGTCGCCAAACGCGGCTACGCATCGCACCCATTGCGAGGGTCAGTTGACTCGATCCCGCTTTGGCGCGTGTGACTGCTCATCCCAACCTCGTCTGAATTTTATCGGCTTCAACTTGCTCATCGCGGTCACATGCAATCGACCGCCTCATGGGGATTCGGGGTGGTGGATGGTCGGGGGATCGCGATCGGCACGTAGGCTCGTGTGTGTGTGGGGGGGACCCTGAAGCTTAACCTCGACACGGGAATGCGCAGGGGCTCGCCAATAACCGCATGCGCAATTGCGCTTCACAACTGCACGTCATAACCACCCTGGTCCACGTCACGCTCTTGCTCGCTTCAACAGCAGTCACCGCGGGTTGCGCAATCCCCCCCACCCGCAGGACCGTCAAGTTGAGCCGGTCCCGCACCCGCTTGACTGGAGGATGCTCCACTCGATTGGGTTTGGCATGACACGTCGACGGCATTTGACTTGGGTGGTGATCTCAAATTCACTAGCGAGCTCGGGCGTTGCCAACCCATCCTCCACCGCGGGACAGACATGTCGTCACCGGTGCCACCCGACATCGTGCAAGTATGCAACACCGGCCTCGCTCGTTAGAGACCAGCAGACAGCGAGCCGGAAACTTGGTGTCAAGATGGATGTGGGGGAAGGGGGAGGCTTCATGCACGACTGGCTCGTGCAGCAGAATGCTAAGTTCTTTTGCGGGGTGGCAAGTTCAGCCCCACACGCCAAGTCACCCGCTCGAGCCTCGCGACGCGGGAGTGCCTGGATTGGGCACCACGATCGCACGCTTCGCCCCACAAATGGATGCATTCCGTAGTGGTAGCAAACATGGCGTCGTGTCACCGGCGTTCATGCCTGCTGAGAGCGAGGAGAGAGGTGGGCTGACCGCGACGATCGGGCAGTGGAGCCACCGAGCGCCGAGCACCGAGCACCGAGCAAGGGCCGACCAAGCCCAGTCAGAACCAGCCAAGCCCAGCCAGAGACGTGGCGGCGCGTTATCTCGCGTTCTCTGTTTGCCGGTGTGCAAACAGAGAAGCTACTTCATGCGTGACCCCAAGCTGCGGGGGAAAGTCGACAAGGCGGGCGCTAGAGAGTCCCATACAGCGGAGCGGATGGTTCCGACTGGGTGGCGAGGTGCCAGAGCCGGGGGCAGCCCTCCCGACGCGCTCAATTTCCCTCACTTGCTCGTGCTGCTCGTGCCTGTGTTGAAGGTCCGGTCCGGCGCGCTCCTGTAGAACCGGCATGTTGGAGTTGAACCTCTGCGTCGGCCCCTCACCGTCTCTCTCCCACATTTCACTTGCGCAGCTCGCAAGATGAGGGACAGCGTCGTCATGTTGCCAAATGATGTCCTCATTCCGAAGTGTCAGAGCAGAGACCCTGGCATCTCATCGAGAGAGATGCTGGAACCGGGGGCGTCTCGGGCGAGGGCTCGCTCGCACTTCGGTCGAAAGCGCAGCTGGGTAGAATTGAGTTTGAGTTAGGCACGAGAGAAAAGGCGGGGGACCAGTCTCCGGCAGACACGGCGCTAAGGAAAAAAACAAAAAGGGAAAAAAGAAAAAAAAAGGGAGAAATCCGAACCGGAGAGGTCGAGGCGATTGGGCTGTGTGCCGACACCGGCATTCTCGTGGCGATGCAATGTGGGAGAGACAAACTCGAGCGCCCGCCGCCGCACCCACCTCGTGACGACGGCACACCCGCTCCCGACGGGCGCAGCTGCCTCATCGACCTCTTTGACTTTATCCCGCTGTTCGTGTGGGGTGTGACGTTCCCACGACGAGTCGATGCGCAGCTCCGTGAGTTGACGGAGCGAATTCTAAGCTTTTGCGGGAGCTGGGAGCTTAGCGACCACTCCTGAAGAAAGGGGAGATCAGCGGGTTGGTTCGGGCCGCTTCCCCTCTCTGCCCGAGGCGGTGAATTTTGCCGGTGGTCGTCGGCATGCGCTTTCGGCTGGCAGAGGGAAGCGCGGTGTGGAAAGTTAAGCCAGAGTTGAGCCGGGTGAGCAGCTGCATTTCTCACGCGCCACTCTCGTTGGGCGGCGGCGCTGCCTGGGCTCAACTTGCCCTTTTCGAGTTTCTTTCCGAAAAAAAAAAGAGGATTTTTTTCAGACTTTTCCGGCTCTGAGCAGAGGGTGCGGAAGTGGCTCAGCCCCGCGCTCTCGAGCCGCACCCGCCGCGATGCCACCGAGGCGCTGCTGCTCTGGCTGACCTTTCTTACCTCACGCGCATCTCTGCTCTCTGCTCTCTGCCTGCTGGACCTCGGATTGACACGCGTTGCGCTCCTCTGCCGGTCGTGGGCCGGTCAACCCTTTTTGACTCTGCCTTCGTCTCTCTCTCTCTCTCTGTGGCTCGCCTGTCACGCTCTGCTCGCCGGCTCATCTGACCTCTGCCTGTCTGTACCATACCCACCCATCCACGTTCCTCGCCCCACACTCGATCCCTCCCCTCCTCCCTTGTCTCCCCATCCATCACTCGACAGACCTGCTCGTCGTCTATTCGCTCTACACAACCATCGCCGTCCATCCACACACCAGCACCGCATCCCACACGCACAAACTCGCATCGCTTCGACCAGGTCCCACGAGCGTCCCTCTCGACTACCACACGCGACCGACATCGCATCCGACCAAGCGCGACCTCGAACCAGCTCGCCGAGCTTAGCACCAATCCACCACACTCAGCCTGCCGCCTAGGAATGGCGTATCGCATCTTGTAATGTGCACCGCGGTGCACCTGCTCCCGACTCTTGCTCCTACACCCCCGCCAATCTCGCCAAGCCTCTCGTGGCGAATCCACACCAGTGGAGCACCATGCCGTCGGCACTCCCAGATCCAGTCCTGGCCTTGTCCATGGACAATGTGCTCAAACTCAACGACCTCAACCTCGACCAGCTCGCCAACCTCTGGAATGGTGAGCAGACTCTTCCTTATTCGCTCGCTTTGTGCCTTGCGAGCCTCTCGCTGACGCTTTTGTCATCCTTTGCTACACACAGTATTCACAAAGTGCAAGGAATCCTTGGAATCCGGCCGCCGTCTCGAAAACCTCTCGTGGCGCCTCTGGTTCCGCGAGGCTCACATCCTCCCGCCCGACACCTCGCTCTCGGATCTCACCGACTTTACGCCGCTCGACACTCCTCTCATCAGCCGTGCCAACAGCATCGCAGGCAGCTACAGACCCACTCCTCTTCAAACTGCAGCAGCAGCGGCTTGCGCCGGTAGTGCGCTCTCCGATCCCGAGGACGGCAATGACTCCGACTACTCCACCGATAGCGACGTCGATGTTGGCCGCGAGCAAACGGTTGCTGGTCCGTCGGCACCTACTTCGACTCCCGTCAAGAGGCGTGTCAAGCCGAATCACAGCCGACCCTCTACTCCATCCACCTCGAGCGCAGCGACAGCCACAGCATCGCGATCCGCCGCCATGTCTTCCTCCGCCCTCCAGTCGCAGCGTCTGGCAGAGACGGTTGCAGAGCGCACCACTCGCGCTCTGACCAGTGTCTCGCGCCGAACCAACATGGCCGACATCGATGCAGACGCCCTCAGGCGCAAGCGTGGCATCTCGTCCTCGTCTGCGTTCGGAAGCAAGGCGCGCGTCAAGCAGCGCAACCAGGATGGCGCTCAGCGAAGACGTCCGCTCAGCTTCCAGGCGGCGCTCGAAAATCTCGTGCTGACCAGCCGCGCCGACAACTTTGCCTCGCTGCGTGGCAAGCAGGGCAGCATGCCTCAGCTCGACGTCCACATGGGTGCCAGCACGGGCGCCCTCGATGCGCCCCGCAGCCGCTACGACGTCGACACCGACGACGCCGCACGCAACAGCGCTCCTGCCGAGCTCAGCCCCATCCAGAGCTCTCACATCTCGCAAGCCGCGCTGGCTTCCCAGCTCCGAGATGCTCTCGAGCCTTCCACCACCTCGGCGCCTGTCTCGCCCAAGTCTAACGCCGGCAAGTCGCGCGACGACGAACACTGCGACGCACCCGAGACCCGCGGTCCGCTCTCGCCCACCAAGATGCCCGTGGCTCTGGCGCCGACGGTGGGTGCCATCTCGAGGCGTGGATCGCAGACGCTTCTGTCCGATGCCGCCTCTGCCGAGAGCAAGAGCGCAGCAGCATTGTTCGAATCGCGGGCCATGCCTCCACCTCAGGGTCTGCCCACGCCCACGCCTGCCGCGTCTGCCATCAAAGCGCAGGCCGGCAGCGACGCTCACGCCACCGCCGAAGCAGCATCCGTAGACGGCCACGCAGAGTTGCACGGCTCCACGGGCATGACTCGATCCGAATCCGCCTCGAGCGCCTCGACGCAGGCTTCGCACCGATCAGCAGCGCACGCCGCAGGAGGACGTCGCCCAAGCGACGTGCGAATCCGAGCCAAGGCGGGCGCCGGTCTGCACGCCGGACACCGCTCCAAGTCTGCGACGGGTCTGCACCGCGGCGCCAAACACAGCAAGAGCTCGGACAAGCTCGGCGGTGCTCCGGCCCGCGCTGCGCCGCGCCACAACCTGCTCTCGGGTCTCGCCATGACGCGCGCCGCTCCCGAGCCGGCTGCTACCCACGCCGTGGCACGCAAGCCCGTGCCCGCGGAAGCTGCCGCTGCCAAAGCTACCTCGTCGGCCGCCGCCAAGAAGGCGCCGGTCAAGTTCACCATGGGTGGCGACGAGACCGACTCGGAGGAGTACGAAGACGAGAGCGACGACGCCGACGCCGTCCAGCCGGTCGCCGAGCCATCGGCATTGAGCAAGCCTGCTGCTCCCGCTCAAACGAGCAAGGATGCCGACGAAATCGTCGAGATCGAGGGCGAGGGCGACGACGACGGCTGGTCCAGCGACAGCGAAGCTGAAGAGCAGGAGCGCCGCGCCCGCCAAAAGGCCGAGGCCGAGCGCCGAAGACGCGAAGAGGAGGAGCGCCACCGAAGCATGTTCCAGAAGCAGCCGATCCGCTCCAAGTCGGCCGCCGACGTGCGCCTGCTTGCCCCGCACCAGGTCAGCACCGGCCCTAGCCCGCCCGATCAGCCGGTGCGCGGTCTGCTTACCTCGCTCTTCCACCCGGACGAGCAGCACTCGCCTCCCGGCCAGCTTGCGGGCCGTCCGCACGCCTCGGCGGCGGATCTGAGGACGCGACCTGCCCCGACCTCGCGCAAGAGCGGCAGCGAGGCGGGGCGATCTCCGCCTGCGGTGCGCCGCCGTGCGCACCGGGACAGCAGCGACAGCACGACGCAGGCACCGCGATCGCTGCGCGATGCTGGCTTGGCTGGTCTGACGGGACTCAAGACGAGCAAGAGCGCCGTGGCGCTGCCGCTGCTCGATACGCACGCCACGCGGTCCTCCACGGCGGGCAAGGCGAAGAACGAGCATGCGGCCAACGGCGGCAGCAGCCACCAGTCGGACGGCAGCGCCAGCAGCCCGGACTCGCCCGTCGCGGCGTCGTCCTTTAGCCGTCCGGGCAGCATCGCGCTCGCTCGCCTGCACGCGCTGACCAATATGAAGGCGCACTCGAAGCGCGACGCATCGTCCAACGGCGCAGCCAGCAGCGCTACACCCGCACACGAGCGCCGCCACATGTCGGAGGCGGACGTGCAGCTGGAACGCGAGGCGTCGTCGCGCTCGCTGCGTCTCGAGGTGAGCCCGGACGACCGCGACTTTGCGATCCCTTCGCGCTCGTCGGCGACCAACCTGGCGAGCAGCCAGAGCCGGCAGTCGGCGCCGTCGCTTGCATCGCGCCACTCGGACCAGGTGCAGTCGCGCGCGCAGCGCGATGCGCTCGGCTCGGGCTCGCGCTCCAACAGCGAGGGCCTGCCTTCTGGCCACGGCTCGACTCAGCAGGTGGGCAGTGCACCGGGACCGGTCTCGATTTCGCGCCCGCGCTCGTCGCTCAACCTGCCCGATGGAGCGGCGCCGCAGACGCCCCGCACCACGCGCAGGAACATGCTGCGCGACGAGCTTTCCGAGTCGCTCCGACAGAACCTGCTGTGGGAGCGCCAGAGCCGCTCGCGAATGATGGGCATCGGAGCCCCGATGGCGCCGCCGATGCAGCCAAGTGCCGCGCCGCGCCGCGACAATGTGCTCAACGGCAATGCGCTCCGCCCACTCACCAGCACTGGCGGTGCCGTCGCCCACCCAAGGGACGGCGAGCCCAAACCTAAACGATATTCCGAAGAGTGGGGCAGCTTCCACCACAAGGGCTGGTGAGCCGCGGCTGTTCCACTTGTCCCGCTACAACTACATGTACTTTTACGATCACATTCACACACCTACGTCTACCTTGTCACGCTTTACCTGCACGCTCTCACTGATGATGCGCTAATATACCGCTTGGATCCGCTGGGGATCCCCACCATGCTTTGATGAACGGCAGCGGCCCGTGTGCGTGTTGCGATGAGCTATTCCGAGTCAGAGCCAAGCCGCGCAGCAGAAGCAGCAGCAGCCGCTGTCGGCTGGATTTCCTCAGAAAAAGGCGGCTGCACAGATCACGCGCCCACCCAACACACCCAACACAGGCACGCGCCCAGCCCCCAACAGCCGGCCCGCAAAATCGAGGAAAAGAAAAGTGCACAGCGCACCGGCCCTGCCCACCCGTCACTCTGCAACGCTCCGTCCCGTCAAGGCTCAGCACGCAACGGCCCTGAGGTTCCACTGAGACCACCACCATACGCCAGCCGTCTCCGTCTGCGGTCACGCCCTCGACCCCTCCGGTGCATCGGCAGAGTTGATACGGACTCGTGCTGCGGTGATCAGCCCACAAAAGCTTGCAAAGGGCAATCCCCCACCACCACCACCAGCAACGTCGGCCGTACACACCGACTCGATGGCGTCCAGCTTGGCATACGCGGAAGGCGCGCGAGGGTCCGGCTTGTCCGCTGCCCTGGCGCGCGCCACCTCGCCTACGACCCAACAGCAGTGGACGTGTCCATGCCTCAACGTCCGCCTCTCGCTCGCCCCGGGTAGCACGCCTTCGGCCGCCAACGTCGACCGCCAACGCACGCCGTGGCTGGCAGAACTCGCTTCCGACCATGCGATCAACATCCAGTTCCCATCGCTCACCTCGCGCGAGACGGTGACCGTCGCAGACAACAGCAACGTCGCCTGTGCAAAGTGCCTCAACTGCGACACGATCGTCTATGCTGCCACCAAACCCGCCCCGCCCGGTCCAGCGCGAGCGCTTGGCTTCAACACTGCTTCGTCCAATGCAGCTGCAGCTGCTGCGGTCAGCGACGCTGTCAAGGAGCCCAATGCCCCCGTCAGCCCAACCTCGGCAAGGATGTTCCGTTCTCCCTCGCGCGAAGCCGTGCCGACGCGTGCCCACCGCGCCAACTCGAGGTCCAACGAGCCCCTCGTCCGACCGCTCGATCGCAAAGTCTGGATTCTTCCAGACGCCCTCAGCCCTCAGCAGGCTTCGCAGGTTGCTGGCAGCGACGCATTCTCGCCTGCGTTCAACGTCTTGGTGCCACGCATCCCCGCAGCTTCGCGGGCGCTGCCGCTGGAAGAGCCGGCCGCCAACGGCGCCAGCGCAAGTCATGCAGACAATGCCCGCGATGCAACCCCAACACGTCCTCCGCCTGGCGCCGGCGCCCGAAAGTCGAGCTACGGAGCTGGCGCGAGCAGCATCGGGTACGCGCTTCCAGCCGTGCCACAGCATCTCATCTCTACGCCTCCCGCCTCGCCGCGCATCGGTGCTCCTGCTTCGTCTGCCACCTCGCCCGGTGCAACTTCTTCGCCAGCTCCCTCCATCAACCCAGCCATCGCGCTTCCGGCACCACACCCACTCGCCTCGCAGCTCGACTCGGTCGCCATCGAGAGGCTCAAGGACATGCGCTCCAAAGCAGAGGCGGAGGTGTTTGAGCTCGTTCGTCAGAAGCGTCGCGAGATGGAACTGCTCGAAAAGAGGTTCAGGGAAGAAGCAGAGTCGCTCCTCTCCGTCACAAAGACGCCCAGGACAACCAGGGGCACCACGACCAACGGATCGGCAGCCCAGCTCATTCAGAGGGCTTTGAATGAACAGCAGCAGCAGCAGCAACAACAACAACAACAACAACAACAACAACAACAACAGCAGCAGCAGCAGCAGCAGACCTCAGCAGCAACCGTCACTTGGACAACTCGCGACAATCTCGACAGCCGAGACCGAATCGCCGCGAATCCCTCCAGCACCCCGACCGGCGTCGCCATCAGCGCCAGGTCGACAGCCTCGGCGACTCCGCGGGAGGCTCGCACCGCAACAGGCGAATCACGCCGCGACAGCATCCACGACGAGTACTCGGATCTGCCGCCATCTGCATTCGAGAGGCGTCCCGCCTACACCACGCCAGGCCAAGTCAGCGCCTCGTTCTCCAACAGCGGTGCGCCCGGCGCCGTGGCATCCTCTCTCGGTGGCCTCAGCGCGTCGTTCGCCATGCGCGGTCGTGACTTGCCCGCTCAGATGCAGGACTGGTCCGAAAAGCGACGTCTGCGCGAGCGCTATCCACAGGGAGACCACTCGGCGCTCCCGTCGGCGGCCAACTCCAACACCACCTCTGCGGCCAACTCGATCGCCGACTCGGAGGACGATGCGTGGCACACTCAGCGTGGCGTGCGCCGCACGCAAGACGCCGCCAGGACGCGAGAGAGCAGCCGCAACGACAGCGACGTCGATGCCGAGATGGACCGCAGGGGCCGCGGACGCCAGCCCTCCCGCCAGAGGGCGGGCTCGTCGTCGCGAGAGCCACGCGAACGTCAAAGCCAGTCGGCCTCGCAGCTGTCTGCTCCGCCTGCAGAGAAGGCCGCCCCTACGCAGCTGTCGGATTCCCGCGAGGATGTGGGCCGTGGTCGCGCAGGACGCGGATCAGCTCCGGCATTCAATCCACCTCCGCTCATGTCTTCGTCTCTGCTTACAAAGCGGCCGGCGCTTGCGTATGTGGACGACGGACGCGATGCCGACGAGGACACGCCTTCGGTCGGCGGCAAGCTCATCTCGCCCCAGTCGGTCGCCGAACCGTCGGCGCAGGTGACACTCCGACCGCGCGACCCGCCTCCCTCGACCGCCGAGCCACTCAAGCCCGCCACACGCACCGTCTCGAGCGGCGAGGCAGGCAAGCCCAGCGCCGGCGCACGTGGTTCCGACCCGCCTTCGTCGTCCACCGCATCCACTCCCGCTGCCAGCCGTGGATCCGACAGCCCCAGGTCGCGCAAGGCTTTCGAGAAGAAGGTCGCTTTCGCCGAGACCGAGGACCGCGTCGACCATCTCGTGGCCTCGGACGAGTACGACGAGGACGGTGACGATGACGATGTTCGAGGCCCAACGCCAGGCCTCAAGTCGGCCAATGCAGGCAAGAGACCCGATCCACCCCTCGTTGACGAGGCTGCTGATGCAGTGTTCGAGATCGACGAAGAGACCGAGGAAGCCGATGCCGAGGAGGCCGACGTTGCCGAGGGGTCGCCCGAGGCACGCGAAGAGAGCGACCGCCTCAAGGTGGAGATGTCCCAGTCTGGCTTACGCACCGGCGCGTCTGGTCGGCCGAGGGGTCAGGCAGACGACGCGATTCCCGGACTCGACGACGAGCCCGTCGGCGCCTCGGCGCGGCGCGGACCAGGCTCGGGGTCTCTGTCGGACGACTTTCGCAGCGCGTCTTCCGACGACGACGACGAGGTGCCTCCCGGCTTTGGCGCCGCTTCGTTCAGCGCGCTTGCCGCCAGCCACAGCGCCATGCACACGCTTGCCTCGTCGATGGCCAGAGCGCGCGCCGACGACGGGAGCTTCGATCCCGCCTCGCTGCGCATGGACGGGCGTGTGGTCGTGCCGCCGCCCTCGTCGGCCCGAGACGAAGTGGAGCCCGGCTCGTTTGTCGTCGGCTCGCTCCGCAGCTCATCCCGCCGCATGAGCGTGCAGCTCGCCAGCGCGGGGGCTACTCCGAGCGGCCAAGCTGGCGACGCAGCTGGCGCCGGCGCGGGTCAGTCGGTGGGCGGTACGCGCCACCAGAGGTCGTCGTCGCGCACGCGCATCAGCAACATGTCCAAGGAGGACGCAGACACGGAAGTGCGTCTGTCGGGACTGCTCGCGCCCAACGCGCCCTCGCACCGCTCGCTGTGGTCGCCCAAGGACGCCAAGGCCCGGCGCGCCGGCAAGCACAAGTACAAGCTCGACGAGGAGGACGACCAGAAGTGGGACCTGTGGAAGCGCAAGGTGGGCTCCACCGACGCAGGCGCCGCGGGCGAGAGCGACAAGGACTCAGCCCGCGCCGCGCCCATGGCAGTCGCGCCACCCACGCAGTTCATCGCCGCCGGCAGCGGCATCGGACCGCGACCGCTGCGCGAATCCACGATGATCGACCCGGACTACTCCAACTCCACCACGGCCTTCTCGGCGTTCGATCGGCACTTGCAGGCGCGCGCGGCTGCCTCGGCTGCTGCCGACGTTGGCGCGGCGGGGGACACCGCCACCGCGGGCGGCCTCGCGATCGGCAAGAGGACGTGGGGCTACGGCTCGTTCAAGGACGACACGAGCGGCTTCGAGACGGAGCCCAAGACGTCGCTGCCGTACAAGGAGAAGATGATGGTGCCCTCGCTGCGAAAGGCGCTGCGCAGGAGCATCTTCGAGCCCGAGCCGCGCGCCAAGCTCGAGACGATTCCGGATGCCGAGGACAGCCCCGCGAGCGTGAGTGCCGGTAAAGCCACGACGGACGCGGCGGCTTCGTCGGTGCGTGTGATCACCACGCCCGGGTCAGCGGCGGCTGCCAGAGACGCCAACCTCAAGGGCGCGCTGCCCGGCAGCATGATCACGCGCGGCTTCCACATGCCCGGCTCGACTGGTGGCAGCGGGGCCGCTTCGGGCACCGAGACTCCCAAGGCGGTGGTGGCTGCGTCGCCCGCGCGTTCCGCGCCTCTGACGGCGGTCGGGCTCGGCATCCCCTCGGTCGGCACGTCGGGCAAGTCGACGGTGGCCGTTGCAGCGAAGCGCGATGCGGCAGTGGGGCCGTCGCTGCCCGGTTCTGGCACGGCGACGCCCACGAGCCTGGGTCGTCGCTCGCCGCGCCCACCGTACGTGGCACCTCCGCCACCTACATCCGCCAATACGGTGCTCGAGAGCGATCCTCTGCAGAAGCCTCGTGCCATTGAGCTGTTTAAAGCTCCCGCGGATTCGAGTTTCCGGCTGCACGAAGAGGGCGAGGAGGCCGAGACGGACGAGGGCTGGACGAAGGTGGTGCGGTTCATGCATGTGGTGGAGCAGCTCAAGACGAACAAGCGGACGGGGTGGATGCACCACCGCGTTCCGGCGCCCGAGAGTATTGCGGACCACATGTACCGCATGGCGATGCTGTCGCTGCTGTGTCCCGCCGAGCACGATGTGGACTTGGGCAAGTGTGTTCAGCTTGCGGTCGTGCACGATCTGGCCGAGGCGGAGGTGGGAGATTTGACGCCGTTGGACGGTGTGGGCAAGAGCGAAAAGGCGCGGCGGGAGAAGGAGGCGATCGAGTACTTTGTGCACGACCTGCTCGGGTCCTCGGCGGCAGGGCTGCGAATCGAGGCGCTGTGGGAGGAGTACGAGGCGCGCGAGACCAAGGAGAGCAAGCTCGTCAAGGACCTCGACCGGTTCGAGCTTGGTCTCCAGGCGGTCGAGTACGAGCGGCGGTATGGGATTGATGATCTGCAGGCGTTTTGGGACGGCAGTCTGCCGCATATTGCGCATCCGCGCATCAGGCGGTGGGCGACCGAGCTCGCGCTCGAGCGACAGCGCATGTGGAACGAACGCGGACGGGAGGAGTACATCCAGCAGCTGCCCGCCGAGCATCGCACTGCCGACGCCGCTGCGGTGTCGAAATGAACATTCATGTGCCGAATGCAGGTGTAATGACAGAGCCACGTACAGGAGCAAAGATGCGGCGACCATTTCTCGCATTGTGGCGGCTTGTGACGGTTGCTCAAAGTGCCGAGGCGGGAAGAATGAGGTGTGGAAGGCGAGCAAACCGATCCAAGTTGAGCGTCATTGACATCCTCGCCACGTCCACCTTGGCGTGCGCAGGCCAGTTTCTGGCAATGGCACTTCTCCAGCGCTGCGACGCTCGCCAGCTTTCAGTGGACTGTCGCTGCGCACGATTGCGTCCATCGGGCGCAGATTGTGTCTCCTGCTCCAGCTTCCCACTTTCACACATTCAGCCACTGTATCGCATTCGTATATTCCCTTTCTGTGCATCTACGACAGGAACCAGCTTGCGTTCTGGTACCAGGCGAGCAACGGATTGGAGCCGTCCCTCAGCACCAGCTTCTCCCTCTCTGCATACCTTTCCAAAAACGCCGCATGCGCCAGCACATGCGGAGCCCTGGACCTTCTCTGGTGCGGCGAGAAATGTGGGCTGAAAAACGCGCCGTTGACCGCATGGTACATCTTGGCCAGATGGGCGAAGTTGGTCGGGAAGAAGATATCAAAATACCCCTGAAGGACGAGGTACGTGGTAACTGGCACCATCTGGGCGTTGATGCGCGTCTGTACCACGGGAGCGTTCACGCCACCAATGGAGTCCGGGAGCGAGTTGAAGTCGGACATGACGAGTCGGTGGTGTGGGAAGAACCGGTTGAGTGTGTCGAACAACCGCAGCGCGTTGGTGGGGACAAAGACGGGTTCGGAAAGGTTGGGGAAGAATGGTGCATGTTTCGCCAGCGCCGAGCGGAGCTTATCGGGCAGGAAGCGGAGGTAAGACGATTGCAGGGGCGATAGGTCTTGACCGATGATCTGCAGGTATCGTTGGATGAGTGGGTCGCTGAGCGGTTCGTACAGCTCGTGCATATCGCCCGTCTCATCGATCGACACCACCCCCTGGTACGGCGTCAAATCCTCGAGCCCAAACCGCACCACGTCGTGCGCCAGGTTATCCAGCACCTCGAGTGCGATCACGAAACACGGCTCCTGCACCTCGTCGCTCCACGCCAGCACATCGCGGTGAACCACCTCCACCCTGCGCGCTTTCGCATGCCTTGCCAGCTTTCGCGTCTGCTCCTGTGCCAACCGCTCGCTGATTTCCACGATCCGATAGCGCGTACGCGTGTAGATCTCCGGCTCGCTCAAGGCGATGTAGTCGAGAATCCCGCGTGCGAGCGCACCCGACCCGGCGCCCAGCTCGAATATCACCAGGTCGTCGTAGGGGTAGTTGTGCAGCTTGTACTCGGCCACCAAGTATCGCGCGATCGCGTGGGCGTAGTACGGCTGGAAGATCTGCGTAGGTGTATGCCACACTTGCTTGGCCGCCATGCTCTGCACATCCGTCTCTTGCACTCCCTCCCTCGCCATTGCCCGCCCCCTGCGTTGGGCTGCTTCCAACCCCGCTGCCGAATACTCCGGCACCCGAGCGTGCGCTCGCTCCTGTCGCTTTGCTACGCGTTCTCGTCGCTCCCGCTGCACGGATTCGGCAAACTCGGCCTGCTGAGTTTGCGCATCGAGCGCCGCCTGACGCTCCTGGACTAGCACAGCGATCTGCGTCTCAAACGACTCGTACCGCTCCTCGACAAGCCGCATGAACTCGCTCTCGTTCTTGATCGCGTTGAACTCGAAGCCGCCGCTGGGTCGCAGCACGCCCATCTCGTGCTCATACGTCTCCCCTCCCACCACCTCGTACTGCTCTTCCTCCTTTGACGACGCGGGGTTGGAGTCGGGGAGCAGCACAGCCTGCTTGGAAAAGTACCCGTACGCAGGGTTGTACAGGCTGTCGTGGATAAAGTCGCGCGCCAGCATGCGCACCTCCCTAGGCCTACCCCCCGGTCCCACCTGCTTCTCCTCCCCTCCCTGCGTCGATGTGTCGCTGGAGGACCGCTCCGAACCTGCAGCAAGATCATCCGCACTAACCAGCGGATAGCTGTAGTGCTTCGCGTCTGGGTGCAGCGTAAACGGATCGTAGTTGTACTGTGTCCTGTGCCGTTCTGCTTCATCTTCAGGCTTCTTGCTCGACGTGCTTGCATGCCTCACCCCGCTCGAATCCAGCACCTTGCGGGGCCGGGAGGCAGTCGAGATGACGGGGAATCGTTGCGATCCACTCGCCAGCAGCCGTTGAGTGGGCAAAGCAGAAGTGTGCAGTGCAGCACCCGCGCGCTGCACGAGACGCTTCGACGCTGATGCGGTCGCTACCACCATCGTTGAATCGTCCAAGCCACAGCGAAGCAATGTTAAGAGTAGGTGCCGATGTTGGAGAAGAAAGTATGAGAGCTCAAAGCGCGGCCAAAGCGCCCCAAAAATGGCTTTCAAAAGACGAGCACCAGCGCTACTGGCCCGAAAGCCGAACTTTTTTTTTCACCGCCGTCCCCCAACTCGATGCGCACACAACAGTCTCTGAATGACCTTGGATTGCTACCCTTGCACAACTACAGCTCAAGACAGATCGAATCCAGCCTCGCTCTGGATGGCGTACAGCAGCTTCTCGCGGCACGTGGCCTCGTCGGCATAGTCTGGCAGCTTGAGCATGTTGACGCACGTGCTGGCCGTGGGCAGGCGCGAGGTATCGTCCCCTGCTTTGCGGATGGCAAACATGGGGTTGAGCTGGCTGAATCCCAGCAGCGGAGGCTTGGGCGAGCTGGTGACGAATTTAAGGAACGCCTTGCGCATGGGCTGGTCAAAGCCCTCGAGCACGTGCCAAAAGTGCTCCACCGTGAGGTCCTTCTCGTGATAGCCGCCCAGCACCGTATGCTTGCGCAGGTCGTCAATATCCACCGGATCGTCGCTGCCCGAGATGAGGATGGAGAGCTCCTCGTGGTTAAAGTTGCGCAGCCAGCGCGGATTGATGATGTCCGCAAGCCCGGTGAAGAAGGCGGCGCACTGGTGCTGGATCTGCGTCGAGAGCCGGTAGTGCGAAATGCGGTAGATGTACTCCATCCGATTCAGGTTCGTCACCGGAATGTTCGCCCCACCCGGCACCAGCTCGCGCGTAAGGCTCACGCCAAACTCCTCGTCCGTCACGGTAAAGTTGAGCGCAAGCTCTTCGACGTTCCCTTGGTAGTTCTTGAGCGAGATGAGCCCCTTGTACAGCTCCTTGTCCAGACTGTCGATCGAACCGAGGTCGTCCAGGAACGACTGCTTGCCCAGCATCTTGGACAGGAAGAATCCGGCAAACTTGGCGTCCACCAGGATACCCTCGTAGAGCGCCTTGCCAATCACCCGGCCCAAGAAGCCGTACCATTCGAGCTGATCGCCCGAGGTGGCGTACGTGTGCGGGTTCGGATAGAGCTCCTGTGCACCGGTGGCCTTCCACAGGCCGCGATTGGTGTCAAACGCTTCGCGCACCAGCGAGGTGAGGAACTCCTTGAACAGTCCACCACCGTCGATGCCCGCTTCGTTGTTGCCGAATTGGTCGACAAACACGATCTCGAGCGGCTTCTTGATCTCTGCGCCCAGAGGAGCGAGCGCGGCGAAGCCGTCCTGCGCCACATGACTGCGTCGGATCTTGACCGCCCTGCGTCGCTGCCAACGATCGGCAAAGATGCCGTTCTTGACCGCGTCGATCTGGACAAACTGACGGAAGATCTGCGTGCGAACGTCAAAGGGGATCATAAAGGGGACGTTGTTCAGGATACCCAGTCGAGGCGAGAGGAAAGCCAGATTGAGCGCAGTGAGATGGCGGCTGCGAGTATCTCCGCGAGCGCGTAGCTGTTGAAGGCGCGAGAGCGGCTGGCGCGACTGCGCATCGTCGTCTTCGTCCATTCCATAATCGCTGTCCTCGCCAACGCGCATGTCCGCATCGGCATCTTGCGCCACCGCAGCGATGTGAGAGGATGATGTGGAGCTGTCGGCATTGCTTGGACTGATGCCGCCAAATTGCTCCGACTCGTCGTGCTGCTCGCTGCTGAGCTGCTGCTCTTCGAGCACTACCGTGCGCATAAAGTCGTTGAGGTCGAGGTGGCTGACCATGAGCCAATGGTCGGCAGGAGCAAAGCGACGCCTCGAGTCGCGCAGGTGCAGCTGCTTGAGCACCTTGGTTACGAGCGAGCGGAGTGAGAGCAGCGTCATGCGCATTCCCGGCACGCGCGGCGTGCGTTTGTGTGGGCGCGCATCCGTGAGGTCTTCGTCGTGCAGATTGACGAGCGGAGCCTTGCCCTCGTACCAGTACATGGCAAAGGCAACGTTTCGAAGGAGGCCGCTGATGCTCACGATCTCGTCGCGTGAAAGCCAGGCGGCATTGGCAGCATTTGACCCGCCGAACTGGTTGTCGCTCGGGTAGAACTCGTCATCGCCGAGGGTAAGGAGCACATTGGACAGCAGTTCGAACACCAAAACGAGCGCAGGCCAATCCTCGGAGGTACTTGTGCTGGAGAGAGACGCAAGGATCTCTCGCGCACGCGTGTCGTTATGCGCCGAGGCAAGACTGCGGGCAAGGCTGCTGCCACGAACGTAGCCACGCCATACTTCACGGATGATGGCGGTGCCGGTAGGACCGTTGTGGCGCTGCTGCTTGTTGTCTCGTGCGACCGAGGTGTCGGTGCCCGAATACAGGATACGGTTGAGGACGTGGTCGTGCACATCGATAGGCCAGGCGGCGAGCGTGGCGCACATGAAGGAGAAGAAAGGTCCACGAGTGGCTGCGGGGAAGCGGTTAGATAGGGCAAGTACGTCGGAGAGGTGTTGATCGGACACGAGGATGCGCAGCCTTTCGTACGTTTCCTTAGCGTCGGAGAGCCCGGGCTCGACCGCAGCTCTTTGCTGTGGCGTCTTTAGAAGATGACCATCGGCGGCGGAAGCTGATGATTTGGTGGACGGATCAAAGGCCGAGGCGGGCAGCCAGTCCTGGGCACTGGTGATTGCACGAAGATACTTTGCATGAGTGGCGCCGTCCTTGAAGAAGGCGACCCGTTGCGAGCCGAATGCCAGCATGTTCGAGAGCAGACAAGGTTGCTCGAGCGCTTGAGCCGCCTGAGCTTCGACGGTTGACGACGGAATGGTTGCGTCCAGTTGGGGAGCCTGGACGGATGGTGGCTTGAAGCGCAAGATCCAGTCGAGCACAGAGGTGAACGGAAGGTGCTTGGCGAGCTCCGTCACGGAGTCGAGAGGCAGACGCTTGCGAAGTGCAGGGATGGTGAGGATCTCGACTGCGAACGAGTGGATGGCCTGGGTTGCAATGTCGGCGGCCTCTGCATCTGACGAAGAGGCGCCGTCGATATCGATTGCGTTTGCAGCGTTTACGCCCGATGCTGTAGAGGGTGGGACAGAGGCGGGTTTGAACCTGTGCAGGGGAGCCAGCGCCAAGGAAACGGCCGGGGAGAGGCTGGACGCCTTGGACTTTTGACGAGCTGTAAAGGAGAGGATGTGCGTGCGAAGAGTGCGGTGAAGGCCGAGATCGAGAAGCAGGGCAAGCAGCGCAGAAGCCAGGTTGGTCTGTTGAGTGTCGATGTTGATGGAATGCGCTGGGGAGCGAGCGTCTACGCCGGTGAGCAGACCGAGGAAAGCAAGGATCTCGAGATCAAGATCGAGCGAAGTCGGCGAAGCAATGGCTTCGGTGAGACGAGAGGAGGCTGAGACGGTGAGGAAGCGGAGTGAATGCTTGGAAGCCAACTTGAGGAGGGGAATCCAGCTGCTTGCGGCATCTTGGCTGTGGTGATGAAAGGGGTGAAATACGAGAGGGGTGCCATCGACGGGGTGCGAGACGAGCTTGATCCACTGAAGGAAGAGTTGTACGTCTGTGGAGTCGAGTGCCCTCGTGATCGGGCCGAGACTGACGAGCAGAGTGCGAGTGGCGTGGATGAGATCCGCTGTTGGCGGTGCAGCTGCTGTTGCGGCAAGATTGGCCTGAGCCTGTGTCAAGAGGTGGGCCGAGTCGGTGCGCCATTGGGACCTGGTGTGTTTGGATACGAGGATGCGACGTGCCTGCGACTGAATGCGAACCGAGGCGAGCTGCCTTTGTCTATGCTGTTCGCGTTCGAGGCGCTGAGCCCTTGCGCTCGACGCTGGATCGGCAGACGAAGTGGAGGTGCCACCGAGGGTGACGGGCGCCCTGGAACGGCCGGCGCCGGTAAAGTGGAAGCTCATGGCAGCGAGACACTGCAATTATGAGAGCGAAGGCGAAGAGGAATGAGAGGATGGTGGTTGAAGGCAAAACGGAGGAGGATGGGCTCTTCTTCTTGTGACACGACGCCGCCTCCTGCTGAGCACATTCACGGTTCACGCCCCGACGTGCGATCTCCACTTTCTGGCCCTGAGCCAGCGTCAGGCACACGAATGCAATTTCTCAAAGCTGCGCTGGGCCTGAGCTGAGAGATTGAGCGCTGCTCTGACGCGTCCCGAGCTTAACGCCGAGCCATGCCTCCACTTTTCAAAATCTCACATTCAACACCCGGCCCGGCTTTTTCTTCGAGGCGCGGGTGTGGACCCTGAAGAGGCTGAGCATGCAATGGCCCCTGCGCCCTTCTGCTCCAGCCGGTTCGGCCTCCTTCTCTGCCTCATACCACCTCATCCATCACCCTCAGCAGACACAAGCAAGCAATGACCACCAAGGAAGAATACACGCTCTTTTACTGGCCCGGCATCCCCGGACGCGGCGAGTTCGTCCGGCTCTGCTTCGAAAAGGCCGGCGTTGCGTACAAGGACAACGACGATGTGCCCTACTTTTCCAAACTCCTCTCGGGCAAGCAGGAGGACGGTGTTGATGTGCCGCACTTTGCTGTGCCAATCCTTGGCGTTCACGTTCCAGCCGAGGCATCCGATTCGATCAAGAAGGCCAAGACGGATGACGCGGCCGATGTCAAGCACGCATCCGGCGGTAAATGGCACTACATCAGCCAGACCCCCGCCATCCTCAACTTCCTCGCGCCTCGCCTCGGCCTGCTGGGCGATGCGGACAAGCTCGAGGGGCTCGAAAGAGACGTGGCCATCGCCCATATCCAGCAGCTCTGCGCCACCGCATTCGACCTCAACACCGAGACGCACGACACCCACCATCCCGTCTCGGTCTCGAGCTTCTACGAAGACCAAAAGGCCGAGGCCAAAAAGAGATCGGCCGACTTTCGCCAAAATCGCCTTCCCAAGTTTCTGGGCGTCTTTGAGCTCACGCTGCACAAGCAACGCGAGGCGGCCAACACCGAAACGACAGGCCGCCGCCTGGTTGGCACTCAGACCACCGTTGCCGACCTCGCCGTGTACCAGGTGATCGACGGCCTGCTGTTTGCGTTCCCCAAGTGCATGCAGCACCTCAAGCAATCTGGCAAGTACGACCGTGTCTTTGCGCACCACGACGACCTCGCCGCCGAGCTCCAACACTACCTCGAAAGCGATCGCCGCCGCAGATACTCGAACGGCATCTTCCGTCACTACCCTGAGCTCGATGACGAGTAGCGATCACCTTCATCAAGCCTAGACATGATCGTACAAATGGAGTCGGGTGGTGCTGGGGCTGAGCCAAGCTGCACTCTCATGCGCGAGTCTGCAATGCCCAACCGAGCTCAGGATTTTCGCAGCGAACGTTGTCGGATCGGACGTCCGAACAGGCGGCGGCATTTTTTTTGAGCTACGAGATTGCCGGAGATGCGAGCGGCACTCGAATCTTTCGCGCCGTGCAGCTGCTGCAGCCCTGCAGGCGTCGACGAGATTGCCGAGGGCCGACACTCGCATTGGCTCGCACCGAAAGGCGGGGAAGGCACGCTGTGCGGCCATCAAATTCACCGGTCAAGACGGCCTGGCCAAGCTAGGCGAGTTTCCCGAACCCCGTCGAGCGGAACACGACACTACTCTCCTCTCTCTGCGCCAACAAGACTCGCTCTTGCCCAGTGCGCGCGCGTGCAATGTCCAGCCTCGAAAGCGCTGCCCGCTCTTTCGCTGCGGTTCGGCTATCTCTTGCCACCCCCGGGTCGGCTTTTTGGGCCAAAGCTTCCTCGTGCTTCCCTCTCGGCACAGGGACGTGTGCACACAGCGTGGGTGTTGGTCTTTGCCAACCAAAGTCGGCCCTCCTTTTTGCCGGCCAGCTAGAGGCAGAGAGTACAAAAAGCTCAACACAGCACACCGAGGTCTGCTCCGTTCCACTTCTATACCCCACCCAAACTTCTTTGTGCCATCTCACTGCAATCGTTGTTCACCATGGCTCCTGTCGCCGACGTCAAGCATGCCGCCTCCGAACTCGAGCTCTCCAAGCTCAAGGAGAACCTCACCCTCATGTAAGCGTCCTATTTTCGAGCTCCGGTCACACCTCACGCCCCGCGTCTGTGAGCATGTACTGACACTGTCTTTGGATTGGATTGCCGATGCAGGGCTACGTCCAAGAAGGAGCTCGAGCTGATCAAGTCGGCTCCGGCGGCGCCCAAGCCCGGTATGGCGCTGGTGCACGTGCGTGCCACGGGAGTGTGTGGTTCGGACGTGCACTTTTGGAAGCACGCCGGTCTGGGTCCGTGGAAGATCGAGCACCAGTGTGCGCTCGGCCACGAGTCGGGCGGCATCGTGGTGGCCGTCGGCGAGGGGGTTGACAACGTCAAGCCGGGCGACCGTGTTGCGATCGAGCCGGGTGTGCCGTGCTTCAAGGCGACGTGCGACTACTGCCGTACGGGCAAGTACAACCTGTGTCCCACCGTCGACTTTTACAGTGTGCCGCCCAAGGACGGCACGCTCAAGCGCTACCACGAACACCCGGCCGGATGGCTGCACAAGGTTCCGGACAACATGTCGTACGAGGAGATCGCGCTGCTCGAGCCGCTCTCGGTCACGCTCCAGGCCACGCTGCAGGCCGAGATCTCGCTCGGCACACCTGTGCTCATCACGGGCGCCGGGCCCATCGGAATCGTTCAGCTGCTCTGCGCATCCGCTGCCGGCGCTACACCCATCGTCATCACCGACGTGGTTCAGGACCGTCTGGACTTTGCGCAAAAGATCGTCCCCGGCACCTTCACCTACAAGGTGGACCCCAAGCTGTCGCCGCTCGAATCGGCCACCGAGATCTGCAAGGTCTTCTCGCGTGCTTCGGGCAAGCATATCGCCGAGGGCGAAAAGGACGTCCAGCCCGCTATCACCATGGAGTGCACGGGCATCGAATCGTCCGTCCAAACCGCCTCTTACGCCACCGCTGCCTCTGGGCTCGTCTTCGTGATTGGTGTGGGCGCCAACTTCCAGCAGATCCCCTTTATGCATCTGAGCACCAACGAGATCACGCTCAAGTTCCTCTTCCGATACAGGGATACCTGGCCGCGCGCGATTAGGCTCGTGTCGAGCGGAAAGATCGACGTCAAGCAGATCGTCACCTCGCGCTTCCCGCTCGAACAGGCCAAACAGGCAGTAGAACACGCTGCTGACAGGTCCAAGTTTAGCGTCAAGACCATCATCTACGACGACCAGGAGTAGAGTCCCCTCCCGTCCCTGGTTGTCCGCTTTTCTGTATCTCCAAAAAGGGTTGCTGTTTGTTCACGTTGGTCCTTGAAATTCTTAATTCCCGCATCTGTCTTTCGTGTGGTGTGAAGGGTTTGGGGGATGTGAGGTGCTACTTGCGCGTGGCAAGTTCCTGGAGCCAGGCGGGTTCGATGATGCTGACGGTCCTGGCGAAGGTCTGGGTGGTAAACACGAGTTCCTCGAACAGGATAGCGTCCGTCTGTCGGCTCGCACGCTCGCGCGCCATTTTGGACGGATGCAACGTCGACGACGGATGGATCTTGAACGTGCTCCCTGCGCCTGCGGCCGAGGTGATGCGCTTGTACGTATTCGGCGCCGAAGGCTGCTTGAGCGCCGCATTGGCGATCCTACCCTCTAGCAACGACTGTCGCATACCTACAAAGCTCTCGTCTTCCTCGCCCCTCTCCTCGCTCGCCACCTTGTGCGTGACGAACAATCCATCCCGATCAACCCCCGACTCGGAATCCGAATCCGAATTCGAATCGTCGCTCGAAAGTTCAGCAGTGGTGGTGGAGGGATGGTCGTCATCGCATGCAAGCTTTTGCTGCCTGCAAATGTTGCGCAGCTGGTTGCGAATGTGCAGCACATTCTTGACCGCCTTTTGGTGCACGTAGTGGTTCTGACACCATGCCTTGAGCTGCTCGCGCCCCTCCTTTTCGACCACTTTGCGATCGGCCGACCCTTGGCTGCGCGTCTTGGTCAGCATCGCCACCTTATCCGCCTCGGCCAGGTAGGCATACAGCACACACAGCAGCGTGGCATGATCGCCCGAGGGATGCACAAACGTCGCCTTGGCCCGGTTGGCTTCCTCCCTCTTCTCCTGGTCGGTCGGTTCAACAAGGATCGAGCGGTCCGACGAGAGGACGGCGATGAGGTCGCGCACCTGGCGCGCCACGGTCGGTCCACGCGCTGCCGCCGCAATCAGCGACCGCGAGTAGGCAGGCGACACCGGCAGCATGGCCATCTTCATTCCAATGCCGGTGAGCACAAGTCTCGCCGTCGCCTTCTCGCCCTTGGCTTCCTTGTTGGGAGGTGGGGTGTGGATGTCGAGTGCGCCGAGCTGTATGAGTTGCAGCACCGACTCTTGCAGCCCCTCAGGATCGGGAGTATCGAGCCAGTCGAACGTGTATGGATCCTGACCCATCGCGCACAGCTGCAGCACCGCAGCCGCCAAATCGGTGCGTACGATCTCGGGCGTGCCTGCGAGCGGCAGCGCCTCAAACGCCTTTTGCGTGTAGAGCCTGTAGCACTCGCCTGCGCGTTCTCGACCCGCACGACCGGCACGCTGCCTCGCCGCCGACTGGCTGATCTCCTGCACCTGAAGCGTCTCGACGGCGGTGCCGGGCGTGTACACCTTTTCCTTGGCCAGCCCACAATCGACGACGAACACGATGCCCGGGATGGTGATACTCGTCTCGGCAATGTTGGTGGCCAGCACCACCTTGCGCGTGCGCGGCGGCGTCGGACCAAACACCTTCAAGCTCGCACTGGGCCCCAACGCCGCGTAGAGCGGGGCGATCATGAGCGACATGGGTGTCGGCTTGGACTCAGCCTCGGCCCACGCGGGCAGCTCGGACGAGTACAGCTCGAGCGCGCGCGCGAGCGTGTCGATCTCGTCCTGACCCGTCATGAAGACGAGGATGTCGCCGGGCGGACGCGAGACGTGGATCTGCAGCACGGTGCGCAGCGCCGCATCCGTCCACTCCTGCGCGGGCTCTTCGGTGTGAAACATGGCGACGTCGTGCTGGCGGCCCTTGACGTAGAGGATGGGCACCTCCTGCTTGGTGTTGGCGGCTGCGAGTGCGCGCGCGTCCGTTACGGTGGCGTTGGCCCTGAGCGCGGTAGAGGGCGTGGCAAAGAAGTCGGCGAAACGGTTGGCATCGAGTGTGGCCGACATGACGATGATCTTGAGCTCGGTGATCTCGGCCTCGTTCGCAGGCTTTCCTCGCGCGATCCACGACTGGCGCAGCGCCTTGCGTTCGCGTTGGATGCGCTTGGCCAGTCCAAGCACCTGGTCCGTTCGCAAGGTCCTCTCGTGCGCTTCGTCGATGATGAGTACCGAGTACTTGAGGAGCAGGTTTGAGCGCAGCGCAGATGTCTGCGATGTCATTGCTGAGCTGGAAGTCTGTACGGGAGAGATGTCGCCGATCATTTCACGAAGCACCATACCGTCGGTCATGAACTTGACGCGCGTGTTGCGGGTGGTGCGGTCCTCGAAACGGATGCTGTAGCCGACCAATCCGCCCGCCGCGGTCCTTGCCTTGCCCTTGACGTTCGGAAGTACCGCGGGATCCGGTTGGCCCATCTCGACGGCAACACGGCGCGCGAGCGAAGTTGCGGCCACTCGTCTTGGCTGGGTAACGCCGATCATCTGGACGGGCTGGCGAGAGGCAAAGCCAGCCTCGAAGAGGAACTGGGGGATCTGGGTAGTCTTTCCTGAGCCGGTCTCACCAAGGATGACGACGGTGTCGCTGGAGCGCACGGCATCGATGATGGCCTGCTTGCCCGAGGTGATGGGCAGGGCTGCGCGCGACTCGAGGATGCGCGGGTCGACTGCCTTGAGCGCATCTCGGATCCAAGCGGATGCGGCACCGCCCCCCTCGTGAGAAGGGGAGGGAAGTTGCTTGCGGGATGGTGAAGACGGCGCTGACGATGAGGAGGGCCGTGATGGCAAACCGTTGATTCCGTTGCTGAGAGGACTGTGTGCGAATGAGGAGGGTGCATTTGCATACTTGCTCTTCTTGTGCTTCTTTTTGTTGGGCGAGGACGGGACGGAGGTGGAGGGCGAAGACGGCAGCGAGCCGAAGCTGTCTCTGGACCGCTTCGCCTGTGCTAAGGCTGTGTCCAGCGACATGATGCCAGTCTATGCGCAAGGTGGCTGGTGTCAGGAGAGGGTGCAAGGTTGTAGAAGCAAGCCGAGCCGGGCACCGAGTTTCAGCGGCTTCCTGCATCCCTCGGACCAAAAAAAAAGTGGAACAGCAGGGTCAGGCCGATTTCCGAAGTACCGATTTTTCTTGAAATTGTCGCGTCCTCGCGGCGTAACATTCATGAAGCGGCCCAACCCTGCTTGCCTGGCTGTGATCATCGTGCATGTCGTATGCAGCCACTTTCCTCTGGTGCACTACTGATATGGTGTGAGTGCATGGCAGGTGCCATTGGAAGGAAGTCCAACAGCTGATGTGCGGCGAAGAGAGTTCCGAGCGAGCAAGAAGCACAGCCACGAGCGGCGAACGTGCAGCGGCTCCGTTGGAAGAAGTTACTGCGGCTACCTGAATGGGCAGGAAGAGGATTTGTGATGCCGGCGTTCGGGATTGCAGATCAGCGGAGCGGCGGTCCGGGAAGCGTTAGCGAGCGGTGTTGGACTGATCTTCTCGCTCCTGTTGGTCGACGGAGCTCCTTGGGCTGTGTTCGGAGCTGGCTTCGGCAGCGAGGCGCGCTGGAGCGAAGGTTGGTGTTCCTGCGTCTGAAGCTTCGACCTTCGCTCGGCCTTGGTCGCCTTGGCCCGCAGCAGAAGGGGCGGATGACGTTCATGCACGTCTGAATTCGGAGCTGCGCCGACGCTCTTCGCAAAAAGACACACGGAAAAATTCAGCCTAGGCAGCGCAACACCGGATGTGCAGGGCTGTGCAGCGGTGCATCTTTGGATCGGCTCAGGGATCTACGCTACGCGGCTCCCTGCTTCGACCTCATCTCGGTGCGCTCGTCAGGTCTGCTTCGGAGTAAGTTGATGCGATCGGAACTGCCGTCGACTGCCATGCAGGTTGGAATATTGGAGGATGGCCTTCTCCCTCTGCTGTGCATTGGCAGCCATGCGTGCCGAAGAGGTCTTGAATAAATAGGCGGCCTCAAGGCACAGTGCGAGAATGGGGTGGAGCCGCCGCGCCACGCATCGCACTCGCACCGCACCGCACGACCAACCAACTCTGTCATTTGCAAGCCACGCACGTGCCTCCGCCCGCACCCGCCCCGTCCGCAATACTTTGCTCCACACCACCATCCTCTACACCACCTCCGAGCATTCAAAAGCATCTCTTTCCGCTTAGTCTGCTTCTTGGCGCATATTATAGTCGACATACTCTCGCCCCACTGAGCTACACGCTCTAGAATCGTAACAGGAGCACAGCAGCCTCGTTCGACTCGAATCCCAGTGCTCCGCCTCACAACCTGGCCTAGCTTCCTACAGCACACCCACACACCACCGCCAGCATGTCGGGCTTCCAGTCGGCGCCGCAGCGCACTCCGTACAACGTGCTCAACCAGACCTTCCTCATCGACAATGCGTACGAGATCACAAAGGACCTCGGCCAGGGCGCCTACGGCTGCGTAGCCGCCGCAACCCACAGGGGCACGGGCGAGAGCGTCGCCATCAAAAAGATCACCAACGTCTTCACCAAAAAGATCCTCACCAAGCGCGCATTACGCGAGATCAAGCTCTTGCGGCACTTCCGCGGCCACAAGAACATCACCTGCCTCTACGACATGGACATCATCGACCCCGTCGGCTTCAACGAGGTCTACCTCTACGAAGAGCTCATGGAGGCAGACCTCCACGCCATCATCCGCTCCGGCCAGCCCCTCTCCGACGCCCACTTTCAGTCGTTCATCTACCAGACCCTCTGCGGCCTCAAATACATCCACTCGGCCAGCGTGCTGCATCGCGACCTCAAACCGGGCAACCTGCTCGTCAATGCCGACTGCGAGCTCAAGATCTGCGACTTTGGCCTTGCGCGTGGATTCGAGACCGACCCCGAGCTCGCCAAGCAGGCGGGCGCAGGTGGCTTCATGACCGAGTACGTCGCCACGCGATGGTACCGTGCACCCGAGATCATGCTCAGCTTCCAGAACTACACCACCGCCATCGACATCTGGTCCGTCGGCTGCATCCTCGCCGAGCTCTTGGGGGGTCGACCCATCTTCAAGGGTCGCGACTACGTCGACCAGCTCAACCAGATCCTGCACTACCTCGGCACGCCGAGCGAAGAGACGCTGCGACGCGTGGGCTCGCCGCGCGCGCAGGACTACATCCGCTCGCTGCCATACCAGCCACGCATCCCGTTCCAGCGCCTGTATCCGCAGGCGAATCCGCTCGCACTCGACCTGCTCGAGCGCATGCTCGAGTTCGACCCCGCCAAGCGCATCTCGTGCGAGGAGGCGTTGCAGCACCCGTACCTTGCCGTGTGGCACGATCCTGCGGACGAACCCGTGTGCCCGCGCAAGTTCGACTTTGGCTTTGAGGCCGTCGACGAGGTGGAGGGCATGAAGACGCTTATTCTTGACGAGGTACGTAGCTTCCGCACCGAGGTGAGGCGGCAGGCGAGGATGATGCAGCAGCCCAAGCGACAGGAGTCGTTGCCCATCCCCACACGCGAGGATATCCAGCGCAGCAGCCCCACCGACGCCGACAATCCAGGTTACGCCCTGCTCGGCGCAAGCACAGGCATCATCCACGGCGCATCCAACTCCGAACATGCAAGTGGCATGCTCGACAATGCGTGCGTCATGGAGGATCCTGCCGAAAGCTTTGAGCGCGAACTCACACAGGCAAGATAGATCCGCCCCCATCCTTCGCATCGTCAGAAAAGCTAATCGTCAAATCACATTATCTCGCATTAAATCGATTGTGAGGAGGTGGGGGAGATCTAGGCAACGAGACGCGAGGGAGAGTCGACAAAGTTGGCTGCGTCGATACCGGCCTTGAGCACGCCCGCCTTTTCGAGCAGTTCGAGTGTGTGTTTGACCGTACCAGCCGAGACGGACTGCGTGTTTGTATTCTGACCCGTCGCAGGCACCTCCAGACCTTCGGGATTGGGTGTCTGCTCGTCAGCCCATCGCACGGTGTTGAGCCACGACTCGACATCTTCCTCCTTGTAACCGTGGTGGTTGACGATAAACTGCTTGGCCTTGCCGCTAGCTCGTGTGTCGGGGTTGGCGAATTCGTGGATACTCTGCTGGAGCCTGGTGAGGAACTCGGCGAGCACCGCACCACGTGCATCGCCCTCGGCCAGCGCCGTATTGGTCGACGCTGCGATGGTCCACGACGGCCAAGGCGTAGGCACGCTGCCGATGAATCGCACCTCGCCCGAGTCGACGTAGGGCTTGGTGGTGTACCACTCCCACATGAAGCACGACGTCGTCCAGGGCTCTTGGCCATTGACGCCGTTGCGCAGGTTCTGGAAGGTGTCGTTCACCTTGAACTCGATCTCGGCACGGTCCTTGGGATCCGACGACGCATTCCAGCCGTGGTTGAGCGCCATGACCGACGCCATGATCTGCGAGCCCGAGCCGATGCGCGAGATGCCAATGTGCGTGCCCTTGAGGTCGTCGATCGACTGGTACTTGTCGGCGCTCGCATCGGTGCCGGTGATGACGGCCCAGTTGAGCGAGGTGCGCACGTACGATCCGACGAGCTTGTAGTCCTCGCGACCCTTGGCGATGCCCGTGATGAGCGCCTCGGTCAGCGCCACAGCCACGTCGATCTTCTGTCCGCCCTGCTGCGACGCATCGAGCGAGGTGAGCATCTGACCGGTGCCAGATGGCTGCAGCACGAGCTCGATGTGCTCCTTGCCCTGTCGCCAGAAGGAGGCGTGCCGAAAGAAGGGCGAGGGTCAGCTTCGAATGCCGATGCGATACATGAACAGCAGAGTCACCACAGCCCTTGATCTTACCCAGGCGGTGTCGGCGAGCTGGAGGAGCGGCGCAGCAAAGTGTTCCGGCACGTAGCCGCAGCGGATCTTGGAAGTCATGGTGAGAATATTCTACAGGCCTGGCTCAGCAAGTTGCAGTCAGAGACGGGATGGTCGTAGGGGGGAGAAACTGTCTGGTGGTGAAGCGAGGTAGTGAACAGGTCCGTGCTGCCAAGAAGCTTTTCATGCGGACCTCCGCGGTCAAAGCACGTCAGATTCGGGCCTGCCAAAATCATCGGGCATCAGCATCTCCAATCACACCGATCTCGATTTGGAGCACAGACCACTGCACAGCGGAAAGGCCGACAGGAGGCGACGCCGAGCGGACATCACGCAGCCAAAGCTCCAACGCAGCCAACACGCCTCTGCCGCGCCGCAGCCGCACCGCACCCGTTCGGACCTCCACCCGCAGCAATCCGCCTTTCTCTCCTCCTGACCTTTCCATCACATCCCTGCTCATCAGCACTCGCGCAACCATGGCCGCTTCAAGTGCGAGCAACACGCGACTCAACGAGGCGTGCTCGCTCCTCGTCCAGTCGCCTCCCGGCCAGACGTCGCAGGTGTACCACGACCTGCGCGGCATCCTCTTCGACGCCGAGTCCAACGCCGCCGACAAGATCGACGACGCCAAGCTGCAGGCAGCCGCAGCCGTCGCGCTGCAGGAGTACAACACGCAGCAGCTCGTCACTGCCACGCTCGACGCCGATGCGTCCGGCTCGAGCGCGAACGCCGTCGTCATCTGCCAGGCAGGACAGGCTCCCAACCAGCCCAGCGACGCGCAAGCTGCACCGGGCGTGAGGCGGTACATCCACCCGCGCCTGCAAAAGACGTTCCTCTTCGACCACATCAAGCGCACCGTCTCGGACGTTCAGGATCTGGAGCCGGCAGATGAAGAGGCAGAGGAGCAGAGGAAGGCCCTCGAAAAGGCGCTCGACGAGTACGTGCGCGACAGGTATCCAGACGGCGTCAGCTCGGTGTTTGCCGTGTCGAGCGCGCCCGTGCACGAAGCAGAAACGCTAGCCGAGTCGGTGCAGAAGGCGGCCGAGAGCGATGCAAGCGCGCCCGCAGAGAACACGGCGGCCGTCAGCGCCGACAAGGAGGACAAGGACGACGAGCCCAGTGCCGAAAGCGACGAGGCTGCAGCAGACGACAAGGACGATCCGGTCGCGGCCGTGGAAGCCGCCGAGGCTGTCGAGTCGTCGTCCGCTGCCGCCCCTGCCGCCGCCGCCGCACCGCGCGTTCCTGTCAAGACGACGTACGTGCTGCATCACGTGGGCAACCGATACAACCTGTCGAACTTTTGGTCGGGACGGTGGCGGGCGTCGTACGTGGTGGATGTCGAGGCGCGCGTGCTGACGGCGTCGCTGGGCGTGCACGTGCACTACTTTGAGAACGGCAATGTGCAGCTCAACGCGTCGCGCCCGCGCACCTTTTCGCTCACCTCCTCCGGCGCAGCAGCGATCGCCAACGAGGTGGCGACGCTCGTGGCGCAGCACGAAGACGCATGGCAGGCGCAGCTCGAACAGGCGTACGACCAGCTTGCCGAACACGCCTTCAAGGCGCTCCGTCGACAGTTGCCCCTCACGCGCCAGAAACTCGACTGGGACAAGGTGCTCAACTACAAGCTCGGCGACCAGCTCGCGCGGTCCTGATCGCAATCATCCGCCAATGATGAATCGCACACCTTGTAGCGGATTTGCATAAAACTGGTATCACTTATTTTTAAGAGTCTGATGACGTTTACAGGACAAGTCTTTATTTTGGGAGAACGAGAGTGCGTTCAGTAGCCCTTGCGGAGGCCGTTGTGCCAGGCGTCGTCACGGATGATCTCGGCGGCACGCTCTGCGACCATGAGGATGGTGAGCATGGGGTTGATGGTGGGCAGGGTAGGGAGCACACTTGCATCGCACACCCTGACGCCGTTGAGACCGACGATCCTAAGGTCCTTCTCGTCGACGACCACCGAGTTGTCCTTGCCCTTTCCGCCGTGCATGGGCGCCGGGGTTCCCATCCTGCACGTTCCTGCCGGGTGGTAGACGGTATGCGCCACCTTCCTGGCGTATTCACCAATGTCCTTGTCGTTGGTGATCTTGGGGCCAGGGGCGATCTCCTTGACGAGGTGCTCCTTGAACGGCGACTGCTCGGCGATCTTGCGCGCCCATTTGACGCCCTCGATGAGGATGCGCTCGTCGTAGTTGTCCTTGTCCTCAAAGTACTTGAAGTCAAGCAGGGGTTTGTCCTTGGGGTTGGCCGAGGCGAGAGAGACCTTGCCGCGCGCTTGGGAGCGGCAGATGTTGGGCGTCATGCAGATGGCGTGTTTGGGACGTTCGTATCCGACGCGCTCCGTGTTGTCCGCAAACGGCACCTGATAGATGTGGAACATGAGATCCGGTCCCGGGTGCGCGTTGGGCTCGGCATCCTGCGGCAGCACGCGCAGGAAGAGACCGGCATCCGAAGACATGACCGTCTCGGGCGGGGTGTCGCGCGTCTCCCACATGACGATCGACTCGGGATGGTCGGTGAGGTTCTCGCCCACGCCGGGCACATCGTGCTTGCACGGCAGTCCAAGCGCCTCGAGGTCCTTGCGCGGACCAATACCCGAGTGCAGCAGCAGACGCGGGGTGTCGATCGCACCTGCGCACAGGATGACCTCGCGGCGCGCAGTGAGCGTCTTGGACAGACCGTGCTTGGTGGTGACCTTGACGCCCGTGACCTTGCTCGAGTCGTTGGCGGCGTACTCGAGCTGGTTGGCCCACGTCTCGAGGAAGAGGTGCAGGTTGTGGCGCTTGTACGGACCGTGCGGCATGATCGGGTGGAGGTAGGCGACGGAAGCGCTGCTCCTCTGGCCCGAGTACGGGTCGTAGGCAATATCAAAGAAGCCCACCGCCTTCTGGAATCCGCCGCGGTGCACAATGTGCGCGTTGAGATCCTCGAGCACTGGCGCGCCCGTAGCGCGCGACGAGGCGAGCACCCAATCGCGCGCCACCTGGTTGCGCTGCTGCGGCGCAACCGGCACGATGTTCATCTTGAGGCGGTCGCCGTACGGCTGAACGTTGCTGGCGTTCCACGAGGGGCAGCCGTAGTTGTTGCTCCAGTCGTCCAGGTCGGCGTTGAAGGGACGGAAGGAGATGAGCGTGTTGTGCGACGAGCAGCCGCCGAGCACGCGCGCGCGCGAGTGGCGGATGAACGAGTTGCCGCGCGGCTGCGGTACCGTCGGATAGTCGTAGTCGAGATCCGAGCCGAGCATCTCGAGCCAGCGGCTGAGGTCGAGCACCATGTCGTTGCCCACGTCCGTGGGGCCGCCCTCGATCACGGCCACCGAGACGTTGCGGTCCTCGGTGAGACGGTTGGCCAGCACCGCACCCGCCGTGCCGCCGCCGACGATCACATAGTCGAACTCGGTGTTGCCGCCGGGCAGCAGGTGCGAGGCGAGCGAAGCGAGACGCTCGCGTGCCGAGGGGCCCGACGACGTCGACGGCGTCGGGTTGGCCGGCTTGTCCTCGACCGTCTGGCCGTGGACGGGGTCGGTGTCCGGCCTAGCAGGGTTGGGCTTGGGGGCCATATGGAGGGGAAGTCGGGAAGGGAAGATCTACAGCTGAGGTCAGAGCTACGTTCTATGAAGCCCAATTGTCTCTACCGTCTAGTGGGATAGTAGAAGCTGGCGATGGTGTTGAGGAAGCAAGGTGGAAGAAAGAGATAAGAGGGTGAGCGATTGAAGACGACCGGTTCTTATACACGAGCCACCGATCCTCTCTGGCGAAGGTGGGGCGAGAAAAAAACGGTGCCGGCATCCGGAGCCAAGTGCCGCGGGCTGAAGCTGCAACAGCAGATGTGCTTGCTCTGATCGCGCCTAGCGGGCCGGGAGACGATGGCAGGGTTCACCCGCGGATCGAGGGATGCAACAAAAGAGAGTGGGGCCGCTCTGCCGCCGTGCACAGCAGCAGCAGCCGCCACCGCCTGTTCATTTGTGCACGGCCTGAAAGGTTGCCACGGGCCACCTTTTTTGTGCCCTCTCGCTTTGGGAGCGAAGACTCCGCTGTGCTTTTGCAGCGAAATGACGAATTCCAACGCAAGTTTTCTGGTCCGCCCTTGCACACGCGCCCGCATGAGGCCTAGGCTGCACAGTCTCGAGCAGCTGCCGCGCTGAATTTTGGGACGCGGACAATTTTTCAATTTCCGGCTTGGCTGGCTGGCTGGATCAGCTGCAGATGCAGATGCAGATGCACGCTGCGCTGGACCCTTCGGCTCGTCTCTCCACAAGCCGAGTATTTTGGCCAAAAAGTCGGCCCGCGGCTCATCGCGTAAGCGCAGCGTGTTAAACCGGTTGCCTTCCATCCAGTGCCGCGGCCCAACTCCCGTCTCTGCGTCTCCTCATCAAGGACAGGGATCGGCAAGATCGGCGTTGCATCGCTTCTCCGTGTCTTGGTCTGTCCTCACTACGTTCAGCCGCTCGGCTGAGGGTCTTTGCCTCAACTCGCAAAGCTTGATTGCACGTCAGCGGCTTAGTATGTGGGGTATCTAGCGAGGCGAGCACTCAGGACGAGCCGGGGTAGTCGTTGGTGTTCAAAGGCGGTCGGCCGGTGGGTGTGATGCGGCGTGTACCACCGCTGTCACCACCGAGCTCACCTCCCAGCCCGCCGTTGCTTCCCAACTGCACCGGGCCGCGGAGCGAGTCGACCGTAGCCTTGACCGAGCTGATGCTGAATCCGTTGTACAGCTTGCTGGCCCCTCCTGCATCATCTTGGCCATGGTCGGCATCAAACGACTGCACCGTCACTCCAGGCACGTCCACCTCTCCGTCCGTAGCGGCTTGTGTATCTTCGCCAGCTCCTCTCAGCCATGCCGGCTGGAAGCTGCGCATGGCGGGGGCCGTGCTCGGTGCCAAAATCACCTCGGGAGTGCCCAAGCCCCCGCTCCCTCTCCCTGCGCTCTGCGTCCCCGACCCCGTCTCGCCCCAAACCTGCGGCTGGTGCGATTCGATGTGACTGCCTGTATCACGCAAGTCGGCCAGCGCCTTCATCAGATCCTCCGCCAGCGTGTCTCGATTCGGCGGGTCTTCCCGGATCGGCTCCCATCCGACCGGCGGACTGCCCGGCGGCGAAATCAAGAAGTTCTTGTCCGTAGTAGGCACCGCCAGCGTCTCTGGCTCCGTCGATGGGTCTGTCCTTGGCCCAAAGATGGCCCGAAGCATGGTACCATCGTCTGCATCCACAGCACGCTCCACGCCTTGCACGTCACTGTCCTCGAAAGGCAGCACGAGCCGATCCAGCCCGTGCTTGGCCCGCGTCGCTCCTTCGGTATCTTCAAACACCACCACGGCCCGTCCCACCGACGGCAGCGGGGTCCAGCGCACCATAGGGCCATACGTGTTGAGCAGCGAGAGCAAAAGCGAGCAGATATGCGGGATGAAGAACTCGTTCGGCAGGTTCGACAGGATCAGCGTGTTGGTCGCACCAGCAACGATGCTGGATGCCGTGTCGTCCGCCCCGGCTTCCGGCACGAGCGTGCTAGTTTCGGAAGCGTCCGGCCACTGCATGACACTCTCGAGGTGGACAAGGTTGCGCTGTGCAGAGAGGCAGATCCGTGGACGAGTTGTGTCAGCCAGTGTTTGCACTTGAGCAGGCGACAAGACTTGCCGGCCACGTGGCGTCCTCTAGTACGGGCGGAAGCGTGAGTCGGGGGTCTGGAAATCGGTTCTCACCCTGCCAGTCTCGCTGAGTTCTTGCTCGTCGCCCTCTGCGTCCTCGTGGTCTCCATTCGTCTCGGCATCGTCGAAAGCGCCATCGTCTTCGCCCTCGAGTTCTTCGCCAGATGCGCCCGTCCCAAAAGGTGCAAAGCCAGCGAACGGGTGTCCGCCGTCGTCTTCTGTTGGCCCCGATGGATGCAGCGAGGCACAGTGCGACAGCACTTCGAAAAGTTGATCCAGCGACGCAGCATCGGGCGTGCAGATGTACATCTCGACGAACTCGCCGTCCTCATCCTCGTCGTCGCCCATCTGACCTGTACCTGCGTTGGGGCTCAGATCGAGCTGACAGTACAAGCAACCGTGAAAGCCAGCAGATGAGGAGGAGCCGGCAGCAAGGAAGCTCGGAGGAGAGCGGGTGACGGCATGCAGCGCAACATTGGGGTATCCTAGTTTGAAGCCGCTGTTGGTCTTGGCCGATAGGAAGGCCACCTCGCGCTCGGTGAGCCAGAGCTGCCCGGAAGCTTGAAACACCTCGGCGTCCTCATCCTCGTCCTCTTCGCTCTCGTGGGCGCCGTTGCCATTTGAGTTGTGGTTGGAAAGGAGCTGGAAGCATGATGGCCGTGCGGATGGCGATGGGCTGAGATAGACGGTCGACTGCGTCAGGTGGAGGCGCAGGACTGGCGGGATGGATGCGAACGAGTCGGGCGTGGCTTGTTGCAGCTGTTCGAGCTGCTCGGCCGTGACGTGCTGTGGCGGTGTCGTTATCTCTTCGAGCCCTGCCATTCTGCCGAATCTTGGAAGCTGAGGAGTGGAGATGGTGATGCTGAAGCAGCCTTGACGAGTCGGGTGCACGGATGCTCAGAAGTTGGCTTTGCCGCATCAAAAGCGCGCGCACGCGTCTCGGCCAATTCTCTGAAGACGCAGGTCGAGAAGTGGAGCGAAGCGAAGCTGGACCCTGAATCTGACTAAGCACGACAAATGCTCAGCGGTCCCTTTTCAATGTTTGAAATCTGGCTGAGCAAAGCTCGGCCGAGCTTTTTCTTGGTGTCACGTGCGACGATTATTGCCTCAAGCCACGCCAGCCAGCAACTCACATTGCGACTTGCTGTGGCACATTTTCGAAATTCTGGGACGAGGCGAAAATCACGGCAGCACAGCACGATACGATGCAGCAGGGCCAGACAGCGCTGCTGGAAGCTGTGAGCAGCTGGGCAGCTTGGAGGCAGCCCCACGAGCGGCTCAGGACGGCGGTCTTCTTTGGAGGAGGCGGCGACACAGCCAGGCTGCAGCGCCGGCGAGACGGATCAGCGTTGTCGACGCCATCAGTCAAGTGGCACCTGCCTTCTGCCTCCATCCCTCAAGATCATCATCGACCTCTACACATCCGACACAATGGGAAACTCTTCTAACCCCGCTCACAAGGCCGGCGTGGCCCGTTCTGGTTCGTATCCATCGCCTACCGACCCTTGTCGCCGCCAGCATTTCAGTCGCTTCGGAAGAATCTCGCATCAGCATCCGCCAGCAGCAGTCGCAGTCAGCATCTTTAGCCTCATGGGACACGTTCGCCAGCACGTATCCGCCATTGCATCCAGCACGAATCAGCATTGGCCGCCTTCCGACAGCAGCCCCGTTGATGTATAGCAGGAGCAGCAGCGACGCGGGATCATATTTGCACGCACAGGATGGAACAGACTGGCATTACAGCAGGATCATGTCGATACGTAATTAGGACGTCGTCGGAGAAGGACAGGACGTTTTGCAGATGGGGATTCTTGCTTGGGAATGCCACATTGACAGGTGGAACTTGGGCAGTGTAGGCACGCATGCCGCTGGGATCAGGTGCTTTGGATCATCGCTCGACTTCTGCAGGAGCACTGGCAGACTACAGCGATGTGATCAGAAGCGGACATGACCTACCGAACTGTGTGCAGTACATTCGTCAGCCAGTTTCTTTTCGTACATTCGCACGTTCGCGACGTCCTCATTCCGATGCAGCCAGAGCGGTTGATCCGGACACGTTGCCGTTTCGTTCCCATGCCGAAGCTGCCATCATCCACGTCGTCATTCCGACGCTTCAGCTTCACTCGCCCGACCTTGACTCATCGACGACGACCGGTTACAGCACCGGCGCTTTCACCTCATACGGCCCTGCTGCTGCACTTTGACACTCTGCGACTCGCCCTTTTCAACCAGAAGCGACTGAAATGCTGCGCCCTCCGATCTGCATAACCTCGAGCATTGCGCTGACCTCTCGTCTCCCCTTTCGCACTTTCGCTTCATTGCAACTCTTCAGGTCTCGTCTGGGGCATCAACCGCGGTCATCAGACTGAGCGCCGAGTTCTTGCTCCGCGCCCCTCGAACCGCAAGGGCCGCCAGGGCGAGCGCGTCAAGGTGATCCGCTCGGTCGTGCGCGAGGTTGCCGGCTTCGCCCCCTACGAGCGCCGCGCCATGGAGCTCATCCGTAACTCCAAGGACAAGCGTGCACGCAAGTTCATCAAGCGCCGCGTGGGTACGCTGCGCCGTGCCAAGAACAAGATGGAGAGCCTCACCAACGTGATTGCCGAGCAGCGCCGCGCTGGTCACTAAACGTCGCATCCCCGCATCTCGTCCATCCTTGTACCACCATCCATGCACCACCACCATCATCCACCACACACCCAAAAACATACCGAGCATCAATGCGCGTCTTTTCCTTCCATCTGCACGTAGTGGAAGAGGTGCATTGTCTCGCACACTTTCAAAGTCGCTAGCTTAGCGCAAATGCCATCTACATTTCCGGCTCAAGAGAGGCAGTTACTTGCACGCATCGTAGGATTGAAGCTCGACAGGATTGTCAAAGAGGAGCCGAGTTTGATGTGGATCCAATGAGATACGGTGGAGTAGAACGTCGCAGCATGTGGGAGCCCAAGTGGCAGAAGCGGCACTGGTGGCTGTTGGCACCGAGCAGAGATGCGATCGAGACCCTGCTTAGTCGAGTTGGTGCCGACTGTGACGTGGCGAGCATCGGGTTCAAGCCGACGCCCGTGGAATTGTAGGCCAACATGAGGGCCGATGTGTAAGGTCTCCGGCGTGACATCCCGAAGCCTGGCCCCAGATTTCGACTCGGCGCATCTCAGCATATGGCAGAGCAAAGGTCACTTCGAGCACACTTGCACGCAGGGGCCGCTTCTGACGCCGTCGAGCAGCGTCTCATGGCGACACGCACACTTCGTCGTTCTGCCCTTTGCGAGCCCTCCAATCCAGGCTGCTGCTTAGCATTGCTTACATCCACACTGTACACTCACCCCCCTTTTTGATCCTGGACATCTACACGCAGCCTCGCCAAACCATACTCCTGATGTCTTGTATTCCAGAACCCCGCCTGTGCTTGAGGCTCAAGGTACATATAGTCCGTAGAGTGGCGCGTTGTGGATCATTCGTGCGTGCTCTCTCCCGCGCCTGCAGCTGGCGGCTCCTCCGCTGTCGGCTTGGACGCGGGCTCGGGCTCTGCATCCGTCTTCGCCCTCGTGGTGGGACTAGCCGCCACAGGACTGGCAAGGGGCGACGATCTGGACGGCACACTCGCGATGGCGCTCTGACCAATCGCACCCAACCCACGCACACCTCCAAACGCGCCGAACTGCCCCGCTCCCGCACTTGCCGTCGCCGCACTTGCACCGATCGGCGAGCTGGTCGTCGCACCAAGCTCGCTCATCGACATCTTGCTCCTTAGCTGCGGAACCCCCGGCAGTGCGGGCGCGGACCAAATATCCCCCGCCCCACCCGCCGCACTGCCCGACCCCAGCGGCGGCGAAGACGTCAACCACCCCGACGACGGCGCCGTCGAAGCTCCCAGCGCAGACCCCACAGGCAGGCCAGGCGCAGACCACGTATCGCTCGCGCCAAAGATCGACGTCATCCCCGCCGAACTGAACGGCGGCAAGTTCGGATTCCCGCTCGAACCCAGTCCACCCGCCAGTCCAGGTGCAGGTCCAAACCCTTCCAGACTAGGGTCATAATCCAGCGGCCCAAATTTGGCTGCTGCGCCAAAAGGCGCCGATGAAAGCCCGGAGCTCGCCGCTTCATCGCTGCCCGATCCCTGCTGGCTGTGCAGCGCCATACCGCCGAATCGCGGACTGGCTCCTGCAAATGCCGTTCCGGCTGCACCGTCCATCGACTGAGGCAGCAAAGGCGAGTGCCTCGCAAACGGACTCGCCGCGCCCGACGGCGCCATCGCAAACAGATTCGAGCCCATCCCTCCGGACGGCAGCACATTCATATCGGAGCCCGGCGGCAGAGTCAGCCCCGCGCCCGCACCACCACCAGCACTGTTAGCCGCTGCCAGCGCCGATGAGCTCGACTTGCTCGTGAGCGACGACGTCGCCCCGCCAGCTGTAGGTAGGTGTCGTGCGAGCGGGAAGGCGAACCTGGACGAAGACGTCGGCGAGTGCTCGACCGAAGCGACGCCAGCAGTAGGCGACTGCGCCACCGCCGTGTGTGCAGGCAGCGCAGTCGATGCCGCCGTCACGGGCGTCGTCCTAGCACTCGAAGCCGAGGCATTCTTGCTGATCACGGGAGACGCGTGGTTGGATCCAGTCGAGGGCACAAACTCCGGATTGGCCGGGTTGAGAGCCGTGCTGGTGTTCGACGCCGGCAGCTTGGCCTGCGGCGGCTGGTACGGAATCTGCGGCAAGGGAAGGCTCGACCTGCGCCGAGCATCGATGGACGGATCGTACGGATCAAAGCCCAGCGTCGGGTCGTACAGGTCGTCCTGACTCGCCTCGGACGCGCCCGAGGGAAAGTGGCCGGCCTGCTGCTGCGGTTGCCCATAGTACGGCTCGAGCCCGCCATACGGCTGGCCTGCTCCAAAGCCCGTTCCGACCATCGAGGGGTCTTGCATGCCACCAGGACCGTAGCCAGGCCCGGGCGGAAGCATGCCGCCTGCACTGGGACCACCGGCGCCAGCGAACCCGGCGCCGGCCATGGCGTCGAAGCTCTGCGTCTGGTTGGCGTTGTGACCCGGGCCGCGTCGGAAGCCCTTGCCGAAGTTCTGCATGAAGCCGCCGGTGAAGCCAGCGTTGTTGGACTTTGGCGCCGCCCCGAATTGAGCCGCAGGACTGGATGCAGCGCGATTGCCAAAGCTGCCCGCCTTGCCTCCCCTTGCGCCCTGTTTGCCCTTGGCGCCGGGAGCAAAGGCGGCCGTGTGGGAAGGACCGCTCGCATGGCGATGACCGCCGCCACGTGCAGGGAATACGGCGGCGGCTCCACCGCGTCGTGCGCCGCCGGCGTGGCCGGGAGGTCGGTTGAGCGCATCCTTGGCCTGATCCTTGACCTTTTGGATGTCGTTGTGCACCGAGGCGAGCTTGTCGTCGCGGAGCTCATCACGCTCGGTCTCGAGAGATTTGGCGGTGGCTTCGAGCGCCTTGAGCTCCTTTTCGAGCGCCGCCAGGGCCGCCTCGTCCTTATCCCACTCCGCCTGGGCAGCAGCCTCTTCCGCTTCCACTTCGCTGCGCAATTCGTCGACCTGAGTGCCAATGTCCGAATCCTGCTGCTCCCAGTCTGGCTGCTGGGTTTCGGTTTGCTCTGCCTCCTCGTGGATCTCCTTGGTGTGGATGGTGGTCTGCTTGATGAGCTCCTGCAGTGCAAGGACCTTTTGGCGACTACGATGGTCGGTGGCGCTCATGCGGTCCATGCCGCGCTTGACGGCGTCGATCTCGTGACGCAAGCCGGCCTCCTGCTTGGACGACTCCTTGCGGGCTCTCTTCACCTCTGCAATGAGCGACGCCTTGAGCGCCTCGCTGGCTTCGAGTTCTGCTTGGAGCACGGCGAGACGCTGAGGAGGTGGCTCGACGGGGTCGAGCTCGGGCGCGGATAGGGGCACGCGACCGAGGGGCGAGGGCGATGCGGGGCGTACGGCCGAGGTGGCTGCCGAGGTGGCCGACTGGAGTGGTGCCGGGGACGATTCGAGGGAGCGGGACGGGTCCCGATCGGCTCGGGTGCGGAAGGAGGCGCGGAAAGCGTCGTGGGCGCCGTCGAGGCCGGCTTTGACCAAGAATTGAATGTCGTAATCCGACTCTGGCTCGAGGCCAAAGATGACGACGATGGCTTCGTGGGAGCCGCGCTCGCCGAGGAGGACGTGCGACCAGTCTTGGCCGTTGACGGTGACCGAGACGCGGTCCTTGAAGACGCTGGCGATGTGATGGCGTGCGTCGGATGCGCCTTCGTAGCCGGAATCCGAGGCGTCGGATGCGGAGCCTGCTTCGTCATCGACGGCGGTGGCGCCATCGTCCGAGGGCCAGGCATCGTCGTCGTTGGCCGAGTTGTGTGCGGAGTCCGAGGGAGCGGAACTGTTGGAGCTCCTGCGGGGCTGTGCAGGTACGGTGGGAGGGGCGCGAAGACGGATCTTGGTGACCTTGCGATTCAAGCTGCGTGTGGCGACGAGGCCGTCGGTGAGCTTGGAGATGGGGTTGGCGTCGGATGCATGTTGGGCGCCCGGTGCGGATCTAGTCTTGTTGACGGCAGCTGAGGTTGCTGAGGTGGGAGAGGGGGATACTGCGGTTGCTCGCGCGGATGTGCTGTGAGGCGAGGAGCTGCGGACGGCGCTTGTGTGTGGAGTGCGTGATCGGACACGCTTGCGAAGCTGAGAGTTGACGACCTCGAGCGGGATCGCAGAGAGTGGTGGCGGGCGTGTAGACCAGAGGAGCGACACGGATACGGGAGTGAGGTCGAGCAGTTCTATCCGATACGGATGGTGTTGGTTGTTGAGTGGTCTTGGCCGCGCCTTTGGGCTCTGGCGAGCCAGAGGAGACGAGGAGGAGGATGCTGCTGCTGCTGCTGCTGCTTGGGATGCTGATGCTGATGCTGATGCTGATGTGGATGCGGATGTTACGACTGGTGATGATGAAGACGGCGGTGGTAATGATGCTGCTGTTGCGGAGGATGTGGTTGGTGCAGCATCAGAGGCTGGGGGAAGTGCATTGCGGGGTGGAGATCCGTTGCCGGATCGCGCGGCCGCCGAGGGCATGGAGGAGGTGCGATCTGCCGGTGCGTCCCCTCCAAAGTGGCGCGACCGGAAGGAAAGCGGAGTAGCTAAGTGCGAGGTATGTTGGCCAGAGGAAGCCGCTGCGAATGGAGCGAGCGCGAGCAGAAGGCTAGGTGCGGTGATGGGACATGAACGCAGCGTCGAGATATGCGTACGACGGCGGGTGAAGGTGTCTTGTGCCGATAGATCGTGGTTGTAGTAGACGAGCTTGATGGTGAGGCGACGAGGAGGAATGCGAAGGGTCGGTTGGTTGGACCAACTGAGCAGCCTCCGCTTCTTTGGTCGGACAGCCGCCGCCAGCAAAAAGCGGAAGCGGCGGCGGTTCAACTTTTGGGCGCTCTGCCTCTGCTGTTGCTGTTGCTTCCGAAGCGTTTTAGGCTGGCGTGAAACGAGGCGTGGAAATGGAACTGGAACTGGAAATGCCGACTGCTCTCAACGCACCGCTCCCATCGCACGCGGAACGCGGCTACCGTGACAGATGGCTCAGCAGCAGCATGAAAATTCCAGAAAAGAAACACAAATCGACGCGCGACACTTTGGTTAATGTTACTCTCGTCACCGTAACATCTTGGTCCTTTTTTTTCGCAGTCTCTCGTTGCTAGTCATAAATTTTTCTCGAGCCGCAGAAGGTGGAAACTACAAAGCCGAGCCCGACACGGCGCCCAACTTCCTTCCTCTCTTCTTCATCGTTTAACAAAGTATACGGATATCCCCTCATAGAGTCCTGCTCGCCATCGATATCTTCCGACAGGAAGAGAACTGGAGGGAAGCCGGTCGAGCTCTACGCCTGCATCCCAGCCGAAACGCAGGGCGGCGGGCGATGCGCAACGCCGGTAGGACTCTAACAAGGATACTCCCAGACCAACGGTGCATCTTTGGCTGACTTGCCGAGCTTTCCCCAAGTGGGCGGCTCACTTCTTATCCATGGCGATGGCTCAGTCACCTAATGTACCTACATTCTTCCTCTTCTCGTTGCTCGTCTTCCGCGCGTCGCGACGGGTTTAGAAGCTTCACTGCTCCTGCTCGCCGTCGCATCAAGGCAGACAACAGCTTCGATATCCCCCCCCCCCCCATCCTCTTTCCTTCTCGCAATGATACCCTTAATTCGACACTAGTGAATACCAGGCCATGCATTAGACAGCTTGGCCCCGACTATTTTGTGAACGATGAGGAGCAGAGTTGTGGACACCCTGCCCGGGGGGAAAAGGTTTTTTCTCCCCTGTGAACCAAGTCTCGACGTAACATTTTCTAACCCGACCCACACTCCATCTGGACCGAAGAGCGACACTTTCAGCAGCCGCTCTGCTCTATCACAAGGCCTTGGCGCCTTGCGCACACCCTTTTGGCTTCGGCGATGCGTGCGATTGAGCTGCATTCTGGACGGTCAGCCTTGTGACATGACACGACTAGCCGACAAATGGGTGTTTTGGGCAAGGAAAGAGTGCGGATTTTAGAGCGGCTTTTTGACGTCGTCATTCTTTTTTAGTTTAATTTTTTGTTGTGCGGCAGCATGCCGTTCTTGACAGCCGACATTGCATGGCCATCTTGCGCCACATCACTGCACAACGCCACCCCTAGGCCTGAACACAACTCGATCGAATCAAAGTAGCGAAGTGTGATCCCCATTCCATCGACGAGGACACGGAGCAAGGAAGCTCGGTGGGGCGTGGGTGAAGAGGGTTGGCAGTGGCTTCTTTGGTATTGGACCCTGAATCATTGTGATTGTTGCCCCGGGTGAATTTTTGCGCGAAAGAATGCCCGAGCGTTTTTTTAGCAGGCGCAAGGAAAGGTCATGCGGAGGAGGCGTCATGTGGCCGCTTTGGGCCCTCCACCCCCACACTCGCTGCGGCGTGCTCGGACCATGTTTGTCTGTAGGCAGCGTCGTCTGTCATGCAGCCACTCCCCCCGCGCGCGCAGGCTGGGGTGTTTCCCCGACTCCCTTGTGCCTCTCGAAGCGAGCAGTCGGGTGTCGTGTGCACTCGTGTGGGACCGCATGCCCCACATGAGCCTCATATATAAGCCCCACCCGAGCTTGGAAGCCCACGCTTGATCGATGGACCTCTTCGAACGCTGCAACCATGTCCGGACAATTCAGCCAGCATCAGTTGCGCGATGGCGTCGTACTTCCCGCCGTACTCAACAAGGCGCCCGCAGGCACCAAAGCTCATGTGATCTGTCTGGGGTATCTCCAGGCCGATGCGGGATGGTTCAAGCGAGGCGGCAACACGTCTTTAATGAGCAACCCTTCCGGGCCGGAGAAGCCAGAACGCCGCGATCTCATCATGTACTCGGTGCTCATCGAACACCCTACCGAGGGCTTGATCCTGTGGGAAACAGGCTGTGGCAAAGATTATCCCGGTACGTCTTGATCCCTTGTTGCTTGCTTTGGCTGCATTACTGACGCTGTTTGTGAGGTTAGAGGTATGGGGTGCGCCTTTGAACGATATCTTTGCACGATCGCGATACGAGCCCGAGCACGAACTAGAAGCCGCCATTGCAGCCACGGGCAACAACATCAAGGACGTCAAACAAGTCGTCATCGGCCATCTTCATCTCGACCATGCTGGAGGGCTTGAGCACTTCCGCAAGACCGATGTGCCCATCTGGGTGCACGAGCGAGAGTTGAAATCGGCCTTCTTTAGCTGTGCCACCGGCGCAGACCGAGGAGTCTACCTCCCGCACTATCTGTCGTTGGACGAGCTCAACTGGAAGACGTTCGACGACAGGACCATCGACTTTGCCCAGGGCATCGTATTGCACCATCTGCCCGGTCATACCGATGGATTGATCGGCATGCAGATCAACCTCGAAAACGACGGAACGTTCTTGTTCGTCAGCGACCATGCGCACATCATGGACAACTACAAGCCCGGAATCCCTCAGGGTTGGCTGGCAAGAGACCATCCGGCCTGGTTCAACTCTAATCAGAGACTCCAGAGGCTCGAAAAGTCGACGGGTGGTCTGGTGGTGCCTGGACACGATCTCGAGACCGTCACTCCGCTCCTGGGAAGAGTCCTCACCTAGGCCCAGGGTCCCAACAGTCCACGCCTAGCTTCCCGAGAATGTAGGTTCGGAATGCTTATATCTAGCCGCCCCCGACGCTGATTCGCAATGCAAAATGATCGCTCCGAAAGCATGCACACTCGCACATCACGCTGAAACAAGCTCACTACAGGCTGAAAGATTATACAAGGGGAACTCGGATGCTAAGGGCGGGACGAGAGGCTGGAGGTGTTTCCGGGGCTGTCACCTCCCTCATCGACCTTGATCTTCTTGAGGTCATTGACAAAGCTGAGGCCCCACCAGCTAGCGGTGTGTTTCTTGACGTATCTGCTGAGCTTCTCGAAGTTTTCCCTGCGCACGTTGGTGGGCATGGTGAGGGCCTCGTGGATGGCGTCCGACACAGCAAAGGCGTCCCAGGGATTGCAGATGAGCGACCCATTCAGGCTCTGTGCGGCACCTGCGAATTCGGAGAGGATCATGACGCCCGCACGCTCCTGCTGGCATGCAATGTACTCGTACGACACCAGATTCATGCCATCGCGCGTCGAGGTGACCAGACACGCATCGCTGATCGCATACAGCGCACACAGCTCGTCGAAACTCACCGACCGATGCAAAAAGTGGATCGGCATACTCTCCACCGTCCCGAAGCGTCCATTGATACGGCCCACCGCCTCGTTGACCGTAGCACGCAGGTTCTGGTACTCCTCTACGTCCTGTCGCGACGGTACGGCCACTTGGACCAACACCACCTTGCCCACCCATTCCGGATGGTCCTGCAGGAACGTCTCGAGCGCATGCAGCTTCTGCGGCACGCCCTTGATGTAGTCGAGCCGATCGACGCCCACGATGATCTTGACGCCTTCAAAGCGACGCTGCAAGCTGCGGATGCGCTCCTGGACACTCTCGCGCTGCAGACCGTCTTCGAACTGGCTGGGCTCGATGCCGATGGGGTAGGTGCCGACGTGGACGTAACGGCCCTCGAACTCGGCGCCGTTGGGCATGGTGGGCAGGCCGAGGATGCGTGTGCACGACGACAAAAAGTGGCGCGCATAGTCGTACGTGTGGAAGCCGATGAGGTCGCAGTGCAAGATGCCGAGCAGGATCTCGCGACGCACGGGCAGGATGCGGTAGATCTCGGACGAGGGGAAGGGCGTGTGCAGGAAGAAGCCGATCTTGATCGATCCGCGGCCGCTCGACCCGTCGCTCGTGCCAAGTCCACGCCCCGTTGCCGTGGCACTGCGCGTGGCCTGATCGCGGCCGTCGTAGTCCTCGTCGTCGGGCGGCGGCGAGCTCGGCCTGACGCCGCGCAGCGAGCCGTACGTATCGCCGGCGGGAGCGGCTAACATGTCGTCGTCCTGGAGCTGGAGCGTGCCATCGACGCCGTGCCTGACGTGCTCGAGCTCGCGCTGCGATGTCGCGCCCTGCTGCTCGCTGCCCTCGATGAGCGTGCGCAGCATGAGCGGCAGCAGCATCAGATGGTAGTCCTGCACCCACACCATGTCGCCCTGGCGCACGATGCTGCGGATCTTCTCGGCAAAGCGCAGATTGGCCTCGCGATACGCCAGCCAGTTGGTCTCGTCAAAGTTCATCTCGCCCGGATGGTAGTGGAAGAGCGGCCAGAGGATGGAGTTGGAGAAGCCGTTGTAGTGGCGGTCAGCGATCTCGTCCGAGATCCACACGGGCTGGCAGCTGTACTCCTCGCGCAGGCGCTTCTCGATGTACTCCTCGTCCTTGGGCGGCACCGACAGACCGGGCCAGCCGATCCAGGTGAAGTTCATGGTCTTTTTGCAGCCAGACAGCGCCGAGACGAGACCGCCAGAGGAGAGCGAAAAGGTGTAGCCGCCAGGGACGGATGGGTCGACCTTGATGGTGACGGGCAGACGGTTGGAGACGACGATGAGGCTGGCGCCCTCCATGGGTGGGGCGGACTGACACAAGTCCTCGATGTGCTTCTTTTGAGCTGCTGTGACGGGATCGGTGGGAGCGCCGCCCTGCTGCGGCTGCTGCGAAGATGAAGCGGACGCCATGGCGCTTGATGTGTTCGAGCCGGTGAGTTATGTGATGGAAGGTGGAGTTCCAGATCCGCCAAGACGTTCCGTTCAGACGGAGTCGATGCGGTGATACTGATGGTGGCGGCAAAGCTCGATGTCGGCGCTATGCAAGAGCGCGATGAGTGATGTTGTAGAGCTGAGTGTGCGCAAATATGCGCGCGTGACTAATTGCGCAGCCTGTATGTGCAGCTCGGCGCAATCGGATGCTGGTCTTGAAGCGCGCTGTCTAGGGTTGCTCGATAGCAGCGGGATGCGTAGCTAGAAGGAGCGAGGTGGGGGAAGGCGCGATGCTACTCCGATGTCTCTATCAGAGGTCACGGTGGAAGATGGGAGTGAGGCTCGAGATTGCGTAGATTGCGTTTGAGGAGGTTGTCAGTGAATCTTGGCGGGCGATGTGGAGTGGAATCCAAAAAAGGGACGAGGTGCCCGAGCTGAAGCCACGAGAAGTTTCCGTCCCTCAGAAAAGGCTCAGCGTGCACGGGCATCAAAATACTGCAATCCCGCAAAGCTATGCTCAATCAAGCCAATGCGCAGTCTCATGATCGCAAGAATGACCTACAGTATGACATTATGACACCTTATCTTATGTACAACGGAGTGAGCCTGCGAGTGGTCACGATCAACCGCGGAAGAACTTGCTCTCGACAAAGGGCATTTTGGCGATCTCGGCGTCGCGCAGCTTCTTGCGGATCTCGACCTTGAGCTTGGTGCCCTTTTTGTGGTGGCCGTTCTGGACGAGCGCCATGGCGATGTTCTTGCCCAGGGTGGGGCTGGGGATGCCCGAGGTGACGCGGCCAACCACGGCGCCTTCGGGCGAAAAGATCTCGGCGCCCTCGCGAGCAATGCCGCCGTCGACAAAGAGACCCACCCTGCGTCGCGGCGGACCCTCCTTGAGCTCCTTGAGCACACGCTCGGCGCCGAGGAAGTCGCCGTCCGCACGGCGGTCCTTGCCCACACACCATGCCAGCGCCGCCTCGATGGGGCTCACGGTGGTGTCGAGGTCGTGGCCGTAAAGGCACATGCCTGCCTCGAGTCGCAGGCTGTCGCGCGCGGCCAGACCCGCCAGCTGCACCTCGCTGTCCGCCAGCAGCGTCTCGGCCACCTTCTCTGTCGATGCGGGTGGGATGGAGATCTCGAAACCATCCTCGCCCGTGTAGCCCGCGCGGGCCACGTGGCACTCGACGCTCTCACCGCCAATGTTGAGCGGCACAAAGGCGCTCTTGCCAAAGGTGAGCGTGCTGAGATCAAAGCTACCAGCGAGCTTGGACAGCACCTGGACGGCGGTAGGGCCTTGGAGGGCGAGCAGGCCCCAGCGGTCCATGACCTGGTGCTGCACCTCTCCGCCGGTCCATGCGTCGAGCTGCTTCTTGAACCACGCCAGGTCCTCGGTGCGGCAGCCGGCGTTGGTGACCACGTAGAAGCTGTCGTCGGCATGCTTGGTGATGATCAGATCGTCGAGGATGCCACCCTGCTCGGAGAGGAGCACCGAGAGCGTGGAGCTGAACGCCGGCATCGAGGCGATCGAGGCGGGCGTGAGGTGCTGCAGGAACTTGAGCGCGCCAGCCCCCTCAAACTTGTGCTGCACCATGTGGCCGACATCGAAGAGGCCGGCGTGGGTGCGAACGTGGTGATGCGAAGCGACCTGACCCACGTCGCCGTACGTGAGCGGCATGAGGTAGCCACCAAACGGCACCATCTTGCCGCCGTTCTTCACGTGAAAATCGTACAGCCCGGTCTTGGAGAGCGAGTCGGCGCCAGCGCTGGCATCAGCACAACGCACCGAAGTCGAATGCATCTGACGCACAGCGCTGCGGCCAGCCATGGCGACGGCCGGGCGTGCGGCGGTGGATGAAGTGGCGCGCGGCGTCGCATGCTGGACAAGCTGCTGCCATCGCGGAGCGGCCTGACGACGAGCGGCGCTTCTGAGGACTGCCGAGGCAGCGGATACGGGTCGCGATGCCAACATGTCTGCCAATGTGCGGATGGAGAGATGGTGGTGGGAGCGACAAGATAATCTGTCGCATCAAAGCGGCTCGGGCCCCCGACAGCCTCGAGAGCCGGTCAACCATCCTCGCAATCTTCCACTCTTTCGGGCTGTCACAGCTCAGTCCACTGCTTCTTCGGCCTGGCAGTCGCGGAATAAGGCTGCTGCATGCACGCTGCGCCAGCCGTGGAGGCCCGCGTTTCTAGCCGAAAGCCACAGCCGGACAAGACGGATTCACGAAATAAATCAACGGACCGACCTACCTTTAGAGGCAGTTGCAATTACCTTTAGAGGAAGGTGGGTCCGATCCGCTTATCGCGCTCATCCTTCGCCGCCAACGGTCACTTCCATGCGCAAACAATCGCTCCAATGGTGCAGAGACGTCGGCATGAGATAGCTTGCTTCCGAGACCAATCACAGACAGATGTCCCACCGGCCCGAAAGGCGCCCGCATAGGCATGGCGCTATCCAGACAGTTAGTTGAGTGTACGGTCTAACAAGGATCGAATTTCTCGACCCCGAGATCCGAATCGAGAGAGTGCCGTCTCGGCGCCTCAATTTTCTCGATTTTCGATGTGCCGCAGGCGAGTGCGAGAAGAAAAAATTGCGAGGAGGTCCTTGCTAAAGCGCGGCGCAAGACGGGGTTTCGAAGTCTCGCCTTTCCACCACGCCCATCCTCGGCGCCACACCCCTTCCCCCTCACTCCCCCCTCATCCAAGATGCCGCACAAGAGGGCAAAGCACTCGGACCGCGTGGCGAAGCGCTTCGCCGCCGGCCAGGATCTCGCACCGGGCGGCGACGACGGCTTCTTCTCCGACATGCCCAAGGGCGCCATGCGCATCCTCCAAGGCGCCAAGGTCCAAGAAGCCTACCGCGCAAAACTGCAGGCCAAGAAGAAGGCCGAGCAAGATGCAGCCACCAGAGCCAAGACGAAGGCCAAGGTTGCTGCCGACACAAATTCATCCAGCGGAGCCAACGACGACGCCACGGAGCTCACCATTCGACCGGGCGAGAAGCTGCGCGACTTCAACGCGCGCGTCGAGCAAGCCATGGCCTCCGACATCCATGCCTCGTTCCGATCAGCGACGCGTTCCCAGATCAATGCGCGCAAGCGCGAGCGCAGAAAGCTGCGCGCAGCCGGCATCGACCCGGACGCCGATCCGGAAGATGTCGACAAGGAGGAAGCCGCACGCAAGGCCAAGGCCGACAAGGCGGCGGCGCTGCAGGCCAACGAGCCCTCCAAGGCAGACCTCAAGCGCCAACGTCAGACCATCCAGCAGACCGGCGAGATCAAGGACTTTGCCAAAGCATCCCAGGTCAAGAAGATCAACGACGTGGCTCAGGCACCGCCCACGCTCACGCGCGCACCCCGCGGCGAGTCGGTGCAGGCCAAGACGCGCAAGGCACGTCTCATCGCCAAGATCACCGGCAACGACGAGGACGAGGCGGAGGACAAGGTCAAGCAGGCCGAAAAGGCGCGTCAGAAGGGCAGAGTGCCCCAGAAACTCGCCGCCGCCACCGCAGGCGCCAGCGGTACAAAGAGGAAGAACGACGCACACGACGCAACTGGCGAGCCGAGCATGGCAAGGCAACGCGTGCTTGACGAGGAGCGACAGAAGGCCATCAAGGCCTACCGACAGGTCAAGGAGAAGAAGATCCGCGAGTCGGAATCCAAGCGCGCCAAGAAGGCTTGATTCCGCCATCTCGCACTGCGCCCGCCATCGACGTCACCAGCATACCCAGATCCCACCAACCTCGAGATCCACCTTTCGGCTTTACAGTATACCAGCCTCACCCGGCACCCCTGCAGCATCTTGTACAACATTTCGCATTCAGCATCTCTCTGCATACGCAACCCACGCGGGTTGTCCCGGTCCATCTGTGCACGACTTTCGTGGCCCCGTGAGCCCCTCTCCCGCTCCCTCCTCCCTTCTTGCCCTTTTCCTTTTCCTTTCGGCTGCTCTGCAGTCCCCGCTTGAATTCCTTATCCCAAAAGAAGAAGGCCTGGCTTTGTTGCTGGGCGCCGCGTCTTTTGGCATAATAATCGAGCGAAGATCAACCGTCCCCGTTGCTGCGGTTCTCCGCAGTGGCGAGGGGCACCGAAGACTAGATACCTTCGGCACGGAGGCGCTCTTTCGCTATCAGCCGAAGATGGGCTCAAAAGAGTTCCACTCAATGATGGACGATAGATAGTAGTTCGCCCACACCTCTAACCCTCCCCTTTCCAAGTTTGTCTTTTGAGATGGCCCATCGTAGGTTGGGCTTTGTTCGTACGCATGTCGATCTGGCGTACGAACAGAAATTTATCGCAATTTGTGCAATGGAACGATGTAACACCCTCTGAGTTGGCGCTTCGGAATTTAGACCGGCACGGCGGCGCATTGCGAGCATATGCGCGGTCGAGCCAACTTTGTCGACATGGAAGACATCGTTCCGAGCGTTCGGCAGGCAGACGGTCTGCTGAGCAGCCAACTGGGCCGCCGGCCAATCACGCTCGCCCCGACCGCTGCGCTGCTTGCCGTTCACTTCCATGACTCGTCTGCGTGCACTCAACCTTGCACGAGTCTACCATCTATCCACATCGACATCCGCCTTGCTACTTGCATCGAGCCGACCCATCCCACGCGGCCCTTACTCGCCACTCGCTGATCAACATCGTAGCTACAGCAAGAACGCCATGGCCAAGCTGGGACTTCACGCTGCGGACGTGGTGGATTACACCGAAGCGGCCCGTTCGCTGTCGGGCTACAAGACGACGCTGCGTCAGCCGTACCCTACCATCGAGCCGTTCGAGACGGGTCGTCTGGAGGTCGATTCGCGCCACACGATCTACTACGAATGGAGTGGCAACCCGAATGGCTACCCCATCGTAGCACTGCACGGTGGACCTGGTGGAGGCGTGTGGTCGGAGGAGCGACGATGGTTCGATCCTGCGCACTACCGCATCCTGCTCTTTGACCAGCGCGGAGCGGGCAAGTCGACGCCGCACGCTGATCTGGTGGACAATACGACGTGGCATCTTGTGGGCGATATCGAGAAGCTGCGCGAGAAGTTCGGGATTGACAAGTGGCACGTGTTTGGTGGGTCGTGGGGGTCGACTCTGTCGCTTGCGTATGCACAGACGCACCCGGCGCGCGTATCGGCGCTCATCCTGCGCGGCATCTTTACACTGCGTCGATCGGAGCTCGAGTTCTTCTACCAAAACGGAGCCTCTCACATCTTCCCCGAACAGTGGCAGACGTACCGCGATGGAATCCCCGAATCCGAACGCAACGACTTTATCACCGCCTACAACAAGCGTCTCACATCGGACGATGCCGAAGTGCGTCTGGACGCTGCACGTCGTTGGAGCACATGGGAAAATGCTACGTCCAAGTTGTACATTGATGCCAACAACCTCGCCAAGGGTGAGGAGGATGACTGGGCTTTGGCATTTGCGCGTATCGAGAATCACTACTTTATCAACGCCGGGTGGATGCAAGATGGTCAACTCCTCAAAAAGGAGAATATCGACAAGATCCGACACATCCCCGCAACCATTGTGCAGGGCAGATACGATGTCGTCTGCCCCGCTACGACCGCGTGGGATCTGCACACCGTATGGCCCGAAGCAGAGTTCCACATGGTCCCCGACGCTGGTCACTCGGCAAAGGAACCCGGTATCGCCAACCACCTCGTCCAAGCCACCGACAAGTACCGCTCCATCGCCTAGAACCTCCATCACAGATGCAATTCTCACAATTCCCCATCCTAGTTTAAAGAGTGTGCATTTTTGGGCTAGACATCGATGCCGAGTTTCCTGAGTCTTTGCAACCGATCGGCCTCTCGATCGTAGTGCAGCCTGCGCATCTCGTCGCGCTGCTCGCGATCCAACAAGGCCCAATCCTGCTCCCCCACCTCGTCCAACTGCAGCGAGGTGTCGAGCAACACACTCAGCCGATCGGCGATCTTCTTGATCGCCAGCACCTCGTCTCCGCCTACTCTGAGTCCCATCCGGAACAGATCCGTCTCGCTGACCTTCCTACGTCCGTCTTTCGACACCACCACCAACCCGCCAGGTCCGGCAGTGGCGGGCGTGGATGCTATGCCGAGGATCATCTCGATCGCCGCATTGCGGTAGAGGTCCGAGGGGAGCGCGTCGAGCGACACGATGGCGCGCTCGAGTGCGGCCGGTTTGGCTCCGTGCGGGTGCAAAGGCGTGGTGGGGGTGAGCACCGACCGCAGAACCGGGTCCTTGGCAATGCGAACCAGCTGCGAAGGAAGCAGTGGCTTCGGATCATCGCGCCGCAGTGGATCAAGGTAGATCAGCGGATCGGGCTCGGGTGGGTACTTGAGCTCGTTAAGCGGTCGCAGCGCAGGTGACGCCGGGCGATACAGCGATGCGCGTGCCTCTGCTTGCCCCGACTCGGCCGACTTGACCATCGCCATCCCACCCGCAATCACCGGCTCGCCCAGCACCGGCTCGACCCCATCGACACCAGTCGAGCCTTCACCCTCTGGTGACGCCTCGGCAGCAGGAACCACCTGGATCTTTGCCCTCGTCTTTCTCTGCTCCTCCGCCTGGCCCTCTTCTGTCTCGACGTGCAGCAGCATGTCGTTATCCACAATGAAGCGGATCGCCTGTCCAACGGCATCGACGTGCTTCTCGATCTCGTTGCGCAGCAGCTGGCGCAGCAGGTCCGGCTGGTCGAACGGATTCGTCGGTGGTGCTCGCGGATGAGGTCGGCGCTGTGTCCTTTCGGCGTGAGCTTGGTTCGAGCCGCGGGGGGCGGGTGCGCTGGCTGGCGTCGTCTCGTGTCGCTTGTTGCATCGATCGCCGTAGCTGCAGCGGCCCTGCAGAAAGTGCGTGCAGATGGGCCGACGATCTTGCCGCTCAGCGCTCGGTGTGGAGGCTGAGGCGTCGGCTGCGGCTTGCTCTTGCACTGCCGCATCGGGCGCTTTCGAAGACACCTCCTCCGGTGCTCCGTCGTCCGAGTCGCTGTCGTCTTTGCCGTCTTCGGCGGTATGCGCGTCTGGATCAACGTGTGCCGTCGCATCGGCGCCTGCCTCCAGCTTGGGCCTCTTGTCGTGCTGGCCTGACTCGGATGAAGTCTGGGGTCGTTTGCCGTGCGGAGGTGGCCGCGGGCCATAGATCATCTCGCTCCTCTTTTGACGTTCCTCTTTCTCCCTGAGCTTCTGCTGAAGCACTTGCTGTGTTGGCCAGCGCTTTTTGCGTTGGTTGATCCATTCGGCGATGAGTTCGGGAGAGTCGAGCTGGATGTTGAGGCCCGAGATCGTAGCATCCGCGGGCCCGTCGAGGATGCGGCCATCTTGCTTTGTCGCTGCGGTTTTCGGAGCGTGGCTCTCGTCATCTCCCGAGTCGGAAGAGTTTGAGTCGTCATCGTCTTGGTCAGAGTCGTCGCTGTCCGAGTCAGTGTGCTCTGCGTTCTGCTTGACGGCGGACGCTTGCGGGGCAGAAGCTTGGGCTCGCCTCTGTTGCTGGCGCATACGACGCTGCTGTTCGCGCTGCTCGGCGATGTGCATAGGATCGAGCTTCTTGAGCTCCTCGATGCCGCCCTCGGGATAGACAAGGTGGCGGTCCGCCTTGTGGAGCGTGAGAGCGAGCTGCGAGTGGGTGCGAAAGGGGCATCGGTAGGGTTCCGTCGATGGCTCTGTGGACGACGAAGGCGGGTTCGGATCGACATGGTCACAGCAGAGCGAGCCGCTGAAGCTGTTCGTCATCGGTTGCGTGGGAGCGCCCGCATCGTTGTGGCGGGGTGCTCTCGGAGCGTATCCGGAGTCGCGAGGCTGTCGATGCTGCGCGAAGGTACCTCGACCACGCTGCCGATCGCGGCCGGCACCTCCGCCCCTGCCGCCGCCGCCGCCGCGATGCGATCCTCTGCCAGTCTGACGGCCGGACATCTCTCCTGCAAAGAGAGGCAAGGATGGGGTGTGCGAAAGCTGTGGTGGGAAAAACGGAAAGGTGAAGATAGGCTCAGGTGCTGTGGAGCAGTGCCAGAATCACAACGCTTCCAAAAAATCGAGGCTCAAAAAAGGTCAGGCTTGGAAAGCGCTGTCTGAGATGCGGGTCTTCCGACAGCCGAGAAAATTTCAAGCGGCCTCGCTCGCGTGCCAAGTGGAGGCATACAGGCCGGTTGCGACGCTGCGAGCTTCTGCGTTGGCGAGAACGGCCTTCGGAGCTGGAGCCGGGTTGCTCGCCCTGACACCGATGCTGTCTGAAGCTGTGCCGGCACAGCAAGGTCAAAGCCGCGGAGAGCTGCCGACAAGATGCAGCACCCTCGAGTGATGTCTGCCAAAGCCAGCCACGGCGCCACAGCCACGGTCAGGCTGGGAGGAAGGAGCAGCAGCGGCTTGGCTTGGACCCTGAGCCCACTTTCCCAAAATCTAAAATCTAAACCTTCTCGGCGGACCAACCGACGCAGGGACAGCAGCAGCTGCTCATTTGAGCCCAGCTTCCGCACGGCCCCCACTCCGCTCTGAAAGGGAAAGCGAAAGCGGCGGCGTCAAACGCACCTGCATGCATGCATGCATCTCTGCTCTCTGGCAACTTACCTGCGAAAGGTCCGAACCCACTCTCGCTTCAGTCACGCCTTCATCAGACTCGATCTTCCTCTTCGCCTCTCCCATCGGATGGCTATCCTTTCAAGCCAACGCTAGCCTGGCCCAGCACCACACGGCAGTCGACGGGCGCCAAGGACACGCTCAAGCAAGCCAGACAAAAAAGGCTGGTGCTGCATCACGCCTGACTGAGCCTCCGTCGACGCTCGGACCGCTCGTGTCCTTTCGGTCATCACACCCGCTTTGTCGCCCACCGTTGCGTGGCGCGCTCCGACCCAGCTCGCTCCCGCACCTTCCGCACTGCTCAACTGCTCACTGCACCAGCCCACGTCGTTGCGCCGCGTGTAGCCATTGACGGTTGCGTGTTGCGAGCTCCGTGTTGCATGTCCGCAGACTGGCCTTCCGCACCGCGACTCGACTCAGCCTTCCTTCCGACCCACCACCTCCCTTTCTTCCTTCCCTATTCCCACAATCTCCTCCAGCCCTTCGCATCATCGACGAATAGCGGGCGTCACACCATCTTCACATCATGGTGGCCCGCACTCGCAAGCAAGCCGCACAGGCTAGTACGATCCCTGACTCGTCAGCCGCAGTTCCATCCCGCACCCTCAAGCCAAGCTCCACTCCTCAAAAGCTGAGGTCTTCTCCACGCTCAAAGACGTCGACGCCCTCGACGTCCGCAAGCGCTTTCAAACCGCCAACTTCCCCCTCTTCCTCTTCTTCTCCTCGTCTCAAGACAGAAGAGGCACCCAAGTTGGGCAAGGGCAAGGCCTCGATGCCACATACTGCGACCATCCCACTGTACGATTTCGACTTTCCCCTCGAGCTCAACAGACCCGTGACCCCACGCACATCTGGGTTCTGCCCCGCACCCTACCTGGATCTCTGCGAGACATTCACCCGGTGGTTTCCTGAGCAGGCTCATGACATGTCCGCCGCAATCCAGGACGTTGGAGTACGTCCATACGATGCTGCATCGCAACTGAACGCTCAAGACAACCCTGGCAGGAGCGATCCACCCGCAACAGATGCCAAAGCGTCCGACCCGCCATCGGAAGCGCAGTCTGAAACTCAACATCCCACAAAAAGCCCGGGCAACGGCAAGACCAGCAAACACAACGCCAAAGGCAAGCACGCCAGACCCGATGATGTGCATCTCGAAGTCGAACTCGTGCCTCAGATCGTCGATCTGCACGACCTACTTCTGCCTTCGGACAGTTCGGGTTTCGCGCTCAGACAACTCTCAGACAAGCCCGTCCAGGCATACGCAATCATGGCGCTGGCTCCTCCCAGCTTCAAGCCCATCCGCTCAGCCGCCGCTTCTTCCGGCGCTTCTCAGGCCGGCGAGGCTCCGAGCGTGGATGAAAAGTCTGCGCGCGACGGGAGCCACGGCGAAGACCAAGATGAGGACGAGGACGAGGGCGAGGACGACGATGACGAGGTCGAGACTGCGTTGCTCGGCTACCTTGTCCCTTCGGCATTCAAAGAAGCTGCCCACCCCTTGGCCTACCTCGATCCAATCTTGGTCACAAAAGAGTGGATCCAACTCTACGCTGAAGTCACGCTTACTTTTCCCTTCCTTCCGCCCGGAGGCGAGGTGTTCAGCCAAGATTACGACGACTACGAGTCGAGAGGAAATATTTGTCCATACTGCGGCGATGCTCACGACGACTGGGCGCCTTCGGAGCCACCTGAGCCTGACCAGGACAAGATCCTTTGCACGCGCCTGCTCGGAGCTCTGAACGTCCAGGTGGGGCTCGAGCCGATCGCCTTGCAGTACGGTGCCGGCGATGCGGCCGTCGACGGCTTTGTTGGATCCAACGACGATCTCAAGCACACGGGTGCCGAAGGCTCGTTCAGCCTCGCGCGTGCTCTTCGCCTTGCCATCCCAACCATCGTGGACTGGGACGACAGCTTCATCGCCTTGGACGAGGACGCAAACACCTTCTGGGACCGCAACGAGTCTTTCTACTCTCTGCCCCCAAGGCAATCAACGCTGGCTCGCCACATGGTGCTCGACAAGGTCGACGCCGTCGACCTGCCCGCAGCATCCAAGTCGCCCAGCAAAAAGCGGAAAAAGCAGTCCAGGTCGTCGAGGCCGTCAGCTCCCTATATGGATCAAAGCTGGTCGGCTCGTTCGGACAGCTTTGATGAGCACGACACCGCGAAACAAGCACGTCAGGACTCTTCGTTCAAGCGCAAACTGTCCGACGTGCCCTTGGGAGAGGAAGTCTCGAGAACAGATCCAAGGCTCGGAGATCCCGCATCGGATACCCATTTGCCTCTGGACACCAACATTGCAAGTCTCCTCGAGGCCTGTCGACCTCCTGCCGATGGACCTCAAGTGTTTCCTCCATCGGACATGATCCCCACCCCGCTTCTTGGCTACCAAGCCCGCTGCTTGGCCTGGATGATCAGGAAGGAGACGGTGCTTGACGAGGATGTCGATCGACTCTTGCCCAACTGGGTGCCGTTGCGCTGCAAGACGTCCGCTCACATCATGCACAAACGCATGCAGCTCGAGGCTGGGCGAGAGGCCCTTCTTGATGCCATGCATCGCGATCTGTCGCCATCTCGCCGCAACGCCAACATCAAGGCGGCTCGTGCTGCCGTAGCTCCTGTCGAGTCTTTTGCAGGCGAGAACGACAGCTCGAACCCACTCAAGCGCGAACCGTTCATCGACCCCATCGAGCTCAACTTCTACTTTGATCAGGTCTCCGGCATGCTGAGTCTGCGTCGATTCACGTGCCGTCGAAGCGAGCCCGGAGGCGCTCTCTGCGAGTCGATGGGACTAGGCAAGACGCTCGAGAGCCTCGCGCTCATCGCATCGCATCAGCGTCCGGATAACCCGAGGCTGCTATCGTACGACACGTCGCGGAGCGCCAGGATGATCGCTGAGATGGATCCTGCCGAACAGCCGTTTGTGTCGCGCGCCACTCTGGTCGTCTGTCCCGCTGCTTTGGTGGAGCAGTGGATGGACGAGATCCGCAAGCACTTCCGCAGCCGCAGCGTCCCTGGCAAGGCACAGCCCGGAGCAGACCCTTTAGCACAACCCGGAGTGATTCGATACAGACACGCCGACTTTGCATGGGATGTCGAGTCGTCACGCGAAGCCGTTCGAGCCATGGCCAAGGAGCGACTCACAAAGGTGGACATCGTGGTCGCCACGTACGAGGAGCTCGCGCATCAGCTCCTTGAAAGTCACCGAGTGCGGCGAACGGTCAATTCCGTTCGAACGCCGCTGCTCGAGGTGCTGTTCTGGCGCATCCTGCTCGACGAGGCGCAGATCGTCGCCGGCGCCTCGGGCAAGGCCACCGAGATGGTCCACGAGCTATGGCGCAGCAACTGCTGGATGGTGACGGGCACTCCGGTGACCAAAGGGATCCGAGACATCCAGGGCATCTTTGCCTTCTTGGACCACGACCCGCTCGCTGCGCCGCGTTTCTTCCGCGAGATCCTGCAAGAGCCCTTCAGCCGTGGCTGCGTCGAAGGCATCCGTCGACTCCGTGCCATCCTGCCTCGCTACGTGTGGAGACACACGCAAGCACACGTGGAGCACGAGATGATCCTTCCCGCCTGCCGCGGCGAAGTGCTGGAGATCGATCTCAAGCATGTCGAGAGGCTGTTCTACGACAAGGAGGTGAGCAAGTATCGCGAGAGCTTTGCCAAGAAGGCGGCGCAGGGATCGGCCACGGTCTCTCAGCCGACGTTCCTGGTCAATCTGCGACAACTGCTCAGCCATCCTCAGATTGCCGACCAGCTCATGTTCAGCCACAACTTTTCGCGCCTCTCGTTCGCCGAGCTCTTCCGGCAGTTTTGCGAGCGTGCCGAGTCCGAGCGAGATTCCATGCGCATGCAGGCGATCGTTGCGGCCCTGCAACTCGTGTGGGGCCATGACTTCTACGACGCCGAGAAGGACAAGAGGCACTGGCGCGGCGGCCGGCCCGTGCTTCAGCCATCCGACATTCGTAACGTCGTCGAGACGGCTCTTCGGACTGCCACCATGGCGCTGCAAGACCAAGCGCGGGCACGCACTGCTGTCGAGGCGGCGGCAAATCCGGGTGCCACTGAAGACGTTACTATCACCGAGGCGCAGGATGCTGCCAATCCACCGCAGACTCTCGGATCCGATGCGGGCAACAACCACGACGGTCAAGCTCGGGCAGGCACAGACTCGGCAGCGAGGATCAATCTGACGTGGGAAGAGGCCAGCTACTGGCTACGCCTATTGCAAAGGAAGTATGCGGATCCGTCTTCGGGCACGACGGATGCCACTGACATCGAAGAGATCGTTCCTCCTGCGCGCTGGGATCCGGAAAGACCCACGCGTACGTTCTTCGACAAGGAGTTCAAGAATGCAAACGACAAGAGTGTCAATCTCGCAGATCCACGCTTCCACCTCGTGGTTCAGGACGCCTCTGCTGACGACATGGGCTTTGACGAGCTCATGGCGCAGATCGAAGCGGACAGGGGCGCGAACAGCTCCCCATCTTCGTCCCGCAAGAAGCAGCGAAGGGATGCCGCCATCGAGCCAGGTACGCTCAAGAAGTCGCGCCTCCGCGGCAACGCGTCGCAACGCAAGCAGGCTCGTGTCTGGCTCTACAAGCCCAAGGAACGCTTGGAGACGACGCAAGTGAAGCTGATGATGCTGTCGGCCGACCTGCCACCCAAAGAGCACGAAGCAGCTTTCTTGCGGCAGAAGCTGCAGGAGGTGCAGATCGCAGAGGCCCATTCGCATTCGGAAGAGGCCGGAGATTCGTCGGCGGGCCCCTTGACCGGACCCTCGGACACCAGCGTGCTGGCTTCCACCGTCGAGTGCCCGATCTGCTTCGAGCCCAAGGAGAGCATCGGCGTACTGCCGTGCTACCATTCGTTCTGCACAGACTGCATCGAGAGGATCGTCGAAAAGAACCCGGTCAGGCGTACTTGGTGGCACCATTCGCCAGGGCCTCGCTGTCCTTCGTGTCGATTGTCCTTCCATCCGGATCGAGTCACGCGGGTCATGGAGCGTGGCAGGTCGGCCTCGGCCGAGGCCAACGCCGAGGTCATCGGCGATTGGAGCGGCAAGATCACGGGTCTCATCGTGGACATCAAGTCGCGCCTGCAAGCCGATGCGACGCAGAAAGCGGTCATCTTCTCGCACTGGCCCAAGATGCTTGCCTTTGTGTGCGATGCCTTGGTGCAGAACGGCGTCAGTGCGGTGGTGTTCGGCGGCAACGAGGCCAACCAGGCCGAGGCGCTGCGCGCGATCCGTGACGACGATCACGTGCATGTGATCCTCGTGCCCTTCCGAGCCAGTGCGGGCGCAGCCGGACTCACGCTGACGTCGTGCAACCTCGCCTACCTGCTGGAACCGGCTCTGGACGCGGCTCTGGAGGCGCAGGCGGTCGGCCGCATCCACCGCATCGGGCAGAGACGCGAGACGACGGTGATCCGTGTCAAGATGAAGGACACCATCGAGGATGCGGTCATGCGCATCGCCGAGGAGCGCTCGAGGAGGGGCATGGCACTCGCTACGCATGTCGACACAGTCGCCGCGGGTGCTGCCGCTGGCGGCTTCGACGCCACGCAACCCTCGACCTCGGCGAACAGCAGTGCGCTCTCCATCGTCACGCATGGCGGCACGGCAAGTCGTTCTGCTGCTGCTGACGGATCGCCTCGAAGGCCTGCCACGGGCTCGCAGGTGCGTGAGCAATCGATCAAAGCCTCGGTCGCCGCCTCGGTTGGCACTTCGCGCGAGTCGGACCCTACGGCTCTAACCATGGCCGAGGTTGGACTCATCCTCGGCTTTGACGTTGCCGAAGAAAAGCGAAAGTTTCGCGAACGCCGCGACACGATATTCCGGCGCGCGTACGGCACGGCCGATGTGCCGGACTCGATGCAGCGCATGTCGATCGAGCAGCTCGATTCGCTCGAGGAAGAGTTGCACATGTACGACGACGCAAGCGATGGCGAGGACTTTATGGACGAGGACATGGATGAGGACATGGACGAAGATATGGACGACGGTATGGACGACGATATGGGCGACGGTATGGGCGACGGGCAAGGATTCGGCTTCCACGTTAGCTTCTTCTGATGGATGCGCCGCACTCGGGGATGAGGGGCCCTCCTTTAAGTGCGGATGCTATTAATCAACCTCATCGACTCCGCAATGTGCTCGTTCGCGACGAGAATTTGTGTGGTGTGGATGGTTGCATGGCTTGTGAGTTGCCAGAGGTGACCGGGTTGTGTAGTGACGACGCCCGTGCACTGCCGACGCGTTCCCGAGTGGAACTAGTATGGTATCAGTACTCATTGTGTGATCACGACAGGCACAGTCTGTGGTCATGACGGTGCCAAACTGAATTTGCGCGATGATGCGATGCTACAGTATACGTGATGAGAAAAGAATGCTACAGACACATGCGAGATGAGCTGGCAGCGGGGATCTTGAACCAGAGGACAGCCAATTGAGAGTCACAGACGAGCCTGCGATGGCCACGAAGACTCTCTTGCGGTCGGAGCACTGGTTAAGGTTTCGGATAACAGATTCGTCGGGACCAGCGCGGATCTCACGTCGGACAAGATGCGGCGCAGCAGTACACAGAGTGCGGGAGTCGGTGCGCAACGCGACATCCGCAACTCAGCCGTCCGCTGGACCCCGAGCTGCGTTCTCGCGCCTCCACTGGCTATATATGGCGACGTGTCGACCTATCCCCCATTCTCTTCCTCGCCATCATCTCACTCTCCCCATCCTCTCCCCATCCTCTCCCCCTTCCAGCCCCCCTGTTCCCTTTCCCCTGCCGTCTCTGAGCTTTGCTCTCCGCCACACCGATTCGAACGCGGTGTAACGCGACCTGTGAGTCGTCCTTTGGCTGATGCCGACATGGTCAGGGTTTGATACTGACGTTTCGTCCGACTTGGCGCTTTATTGCCACAGACCCTTGCTCCGGCGCTCGCGCCACCATCTCCACGTCCTTCCTCCGGCAAGTTTGCTCGCATTCTACGTCACCATGAGCGGCAACAGCAGCCCTCCTGTCTCCATCTCCATCAACCTCAATGTCTTCCTTTCTGGAGACGCGCGACACGCAGCCGTTGGCGGCAATGCCGTGACCATCGCTGCCGACCCCGACCAGGTCTTCTTCAGCACCCAGCACTTGGTGCCCAGGGCCCACACCAAGCCCTTCGAGGCTACTGCACGCCGTATCCCTGGATTCCATAGCATCGAACGTGGCCAGTTCTACACCGATGATGGCGAGATGGGCAACACCTGTGTCGTCTGGGCTGTGGTCCGCCGTGATGCCCCCTACATCCTCGCCCGTTCCATGGGCCTGTCCGGCTACCAGGCGGTCCGAATTTCGCCGGCTTGGTACGACATGCTGGAAGAGACGACCCGCATCCGCAACGCGATGGGCGGCAACCCGCAGGGCGACGATCAGGACGATTCCGACGAGGAACAGTACCATTTGGGCGTCCACGAAGACGAGGACTGCACGGGCAACGAGGCGAGCATCGCCGAAGACGATGACATGCGTCCTGAAGAGGATGTGCGCGCCGCCGGCCATGGGCATCGCGCCACCGACACGCAGACTCCCGCGGCCATGCGTGACGTCGACAGGGACCATTAGGATTTGGACTCGGACCCAGATGAACAGCTCGCGATCATGCATGCTCCTCACTCCTTCTGGTGAGGGCAACTCTGAATTACAAATGCGCAACTACACAGAACCCGTGAGATGGGTGAGGTCTTTGAGCATGTGGCGGCTCATGCGCTTGGTGTTGGCTGCGCTTCGGGAGCAGGCTGGATAGGCTCGGCGGGCTGAGCGGGCAGGGGCTCGGATGTGAACTCTTGAGCCTGCTCGGCTTCGAGCTCGATGTCGGCCTCCTCGTGGAAGATGGCGCCGCCGAGTTTCTCCTCGAGCCACTCTACCGCGCCGAGGTCGCAGATGACCTTGTTCCTGCGCAGCACTTCGTAGGCGTGGAGTTCGCCGGGCTTCTTCTTGTCTTCGCTCGTCTTTGCGATGTTTTCACGGTACTCCTCGGTGAGAGCGTCGAGCTCGATGAGCTCGACGTGCGGGAGGTTGCCGCTGGCAAGCACAAAGTTGCGAATGGACTGTTGGTGTTCGAGTTTCTGCTGTTCGTCGTAGACGGGGTCGGCGGAAGAGGGACGTGCGTCTTTGATGAGTGCGCGGATCGAAGGTTGTGGGTTTCGAGGCGCGGTGAGGAAGAGTGCATCCGACCAACCCTTGGACCCGAGCAGACGAGCGAGGGGACCAGTTGAGCCAGGTGGAGGAGTCCAGTCGAGGTTATCGACGACGAGGAGGTCGCCCTGTCTCCATTTGGACGAGAGTGCAGAGCGCAGGGCGAGTTCTCGAACGCGACGCGGGAGTTTAGTCGAGTGATCGCGAGGACGCGGTCCGTGGGCAACCGCACCACCACGAAGCATGGGGTTCGACATGGTGCCCAATCTTGCCTGACCGGAACCCTTTTGCGGACGAAGCTTCCTCATGGATCCACGAACGTCCGAACGACCCTTGGTGGATGCCGTACCGGAACGCTGCGCATCGAGGTAGTACACGACGGCGCTGTGAATCACATCCCTGCGCGCGGGCGCATCGAACACGTGAGCCGACAGTGGAACGTACGCCTTGGCCGGCACTCCCGCCGGACGCGATCCCTTGCGCAGCTCCGACAGCTTCACATGCACGATCGGCGCCTTGTTCGGTACAGCCACCAGATCGCCCTCGTCAAACGCGGGGACCTCGTAAGTCTCGCCGCCAAACTCGAACTGCGAGGCGTGCGACTCGGGCTGCTGCTCGCCCAGAGGCATGGACGAGGACGACGCGACGTCCGATGCGGCCGATGCGGTGGACGAAGATGCCGAGTTGTACGTGGTTGCCGAGGTGTGCAGCGACGAAGAGGCGGCTGCTCGGCGCAGGGGCGAGGGCGATGCGGCGGCGCGAGCGGCAACGGGCTGAATAGACTGAAGTGCGGAACGGAGCGAGGCCAGCGAGGCCAGCGCCTTGGATGATGGAAGCGACGCCATGTTGTGGTTGCCTTTGGTGGTGGGTCGGGCGAAGATGCTGGTGACGACGGCGGGACAAGAGTATGATGGAGGAGCAGCCGGTGCGAGAAGGTCGCGCAGCTGAGGCTGCAACCAACGCATTCCTTCCTCTCCGAAAAAGTCGAAAATTCCCAACCTCGCCCTGCCCCACCCGCACCGGTGATCAAAGCAGGCGATGCAGGATCTCGATATTGGTGACGGCCAAGCACGCGATCGGTGATGATCACATTTGGTTCATGTTAGGGCGTACGACAATACATGTCAGATTGGAAAAATGTGTCGAATTGAGCTACACACGTGACCTCGGCCGAGCTTTACATCGCTATGATTTCGAGGCGCGGGAGCAGGGCTCATCCTGCGTTCAGGAAGGCCAGCCGTGAGGCCGCTCGAGATCGATCCAGAGAGCGGGTCAAGGCTGCGAGCCGCTATGTGGGCGTGGCAGAGCTGCGAGTCTCGAGAAGCCGCGAGGAGGTGTCAATGGCATGAGGAGCGGCCCCGAGTCTTTCGCTGGACTTGGAGGTTGGTCGGTCGGTCGGCCCGTCGCGGCAGCAGCCAGGCGTGCGGGCGCGGTTGGAGGTGTGGGTCAAGTGCTCGTCGTCGTCGACGCCTTCCTTCTTCCACCTCTCCGCATCATCAAGAAGGTACGTGATCTCGACGCTACATTGGAGCATTCGCCAACAGCACATTCGCGACGCAACGTCCAAAGATACGGTCGCTGACTATTTCATCCCCATCTGCCGCCCTTTCTCCATGTCTCGTACTGCCACATTGCATCGCACCGACATCTCGACTTGACTCGACCTGTCGCATCGACAACTTCCGCATTCCAACCCAACTCGACATCTGCACGCATCGCTCGGTCTTCTGACACCACTCTCTCGATCGACCCATTTTGCGAAACGCCGCGAAAATCTGCACCTCCAACCCGACATTCGCACCCATTTGCATTTCTGCGACCACGCACGCCTCTTTACCACACCACCACCAACCCACACCACCACATTCGCATCCATCAGTCATCATGTCCGCTCCTTCCGTTTCGTGCTTCGGCAAGAAGAAGACGGCCACCGCCGTCGCCCACTGCAAGGAGGGCAAGGGTCTCATCCGCCTCAACGGCCAGCCCATCTCGCTCGTCCAGCCCGAGATCCTCCGATGGAAGGTCTTCGAGCCCGTCCTTGTTGTCGGTGAGGACAAGTTCTCGTAAGTATCCGGCGACTAGCATTGCTTCGGCATCGATACACAGCAACGAGGTACACGCAGCAGCAGTGGCAGCAGGGCAGCACTCCGGACGACATTTGATTCAGAAGTGGCTCGTATACAGGCAATCAGCAGGGAAGCAGGACAAATCAGGCAATGTTTGGGGCGACCGAACAGGAGGTGTGATGGAGACGACATGGCAGTTGGCAGTCGAAAGGTGGTCCCGCATCCCATGCAGGACAGAACAGGAGTGGCAATCGTCAAAGCTACGATCGGATGGCAGCAGCATGGAGGAGCCATTTATCGGTCGACATCACATTGGGCGTAGGCGGTGCAAACCGCTCGATGGATGCACGGAAGTCATCGATCTCAATTTGCCCGGCTCGACACAGCTCTTCCTCACCCGCCAACGAAGGCAAGCCTTGAAGATGAGCAGGCATCACCGACCTAGAGGAGGGGAGATCTCGAAGACGGCGAGACGAACCGATGATGGACAACCTCTGCTGCCTTTGTTGGAACCTCACCGCAGCTGCTATTGACGCTGCTGTACTTTTGCTGTTGCGCGCTCGCACACGCCATCGACGACCAATCGCTGACTTTCTGAATCTCGATCTGCCCACGCTTCCACATACACCCAGGACCGTCGACATCCGTCTCCGCGTGTCCGGTGGTGGTCAGACCTCGCAGGTCTACGCCATCCGCCAGGCCATCGCCAAGGCCCTGGTCGCCTACTACGCCAAGTACTACGACGCTGCCTCTGCCCTCGAGCTCCGCCAGCTGTTCGTTGCCTACGACCGCACCCTTCTGATCGCCGACACCCGTCGCTCGGAGCCCAAGAAGTTCGGTGGTCACGGTGCGCGTGCCCGCCGACAGAAGTCGTACCGTTAAATGCGCATGGATTGCAGCTCTTTTCCTGCGGGAGGAGAGCTGTGGCTCGTTCGTGTTGTCGGTCTCGTTTGCATCTCTATCACTTCTTCTACAGCCTCGGCCTTGCACTTTTGTGTGAAGGCGAGTTCCACGCGTTGAATGTCGGTCGCTCGGTGGACCAGCACTGCATTTGACACTGGTCATTGCAACTCCAGCTTTGACCGCCCACCCCACCCCCAAAAACAATCACACATGCATGCACCAGCGTGTGCGCCAACAATGCAATACTTGTACATCACAGCGGCGAGTGTATGTGAGAACGACTGTGCTACTCAACATTGATCTGTAGGAACGTGCAGATTTGGGGCTTTTCAATGAAGGCATGGTGAGGTCAAGCGCTGGAAGACTGCGAAGCTTCGCAGGGGACGACGGCCTAACAAACTCGACTTGCGACGGGAACTGCAAGAGAAGGAATCCGAGCTTCGGTTTGCACGTCGAGCCCAGAGCAGCCGAGGTTAGTCTGACCGCATTGCAATGGTGGGATTGGATGCAGCTGGGCTTGCGACGAATGGCAGGACGAGCGCCGTCGCATGCAGTCCCCATCTGCGCTTTGCACTAGTCTGCGGCTCATACGTTGGACCGAGTTGGACGACTGGCGCGTACAGTGTCATGTGCATAGGACGCGCGCGTGTACAGTGGCCTGTGAGTGTAGAGTTGCACCGACCTCCCGCCGGACTCTGGCTGCATGCAGTCGAGCAAAGGGCCCAGCAGGCTAGCATGGAAAGAGTTGAGCCGCCAGGAGAAAAGGAGATTTCGGATTCCGCGCTGCGCCTCCACCAAGCGCCCGCTGTGACGCAGCCCAGACAAAAGGCGCGTGTGTGCTTGGGCGTGTGTGTGTGTGTGTGTGTCAGGCGAGGGGGCGAGTGAAAGCCAAAAGGTGCGGGCGAGTGAAAGCCAAAAGGTGCGGGCGAGATGTCAAAAATCCAAAACGGCTCTCTCTCCTCGCACACTGCATACTGCAACCAGATCTCATCCCAGATCCACACACAGACACAGACACACACACCGCCAAGCTTAGCCGCCGTGTCTCACTTCGGGAACCATCTACACTCTGCACGGCTCACACCTCCATCCCTTCGTTCCATCACGACCACCACGGCCGCAGGGCTCACCAGCTTCAGCATACCCAACAACCGACCTTGTCGACGCATCCTAGATTCTGGTTCTCGCGCATGGCCACCACCTCATCTCGCGGCGCACCATACAGTAGAGCAACCCACCTTTTCATCATCCACACGCCGCCACGACTATTGGATACCCCTGGCTGCCCATCCCCACGCCTTTTCGGCAAACATACGCAAAGCTCCTCTGCAACGGTACACGCCCTCTTGCTTTCATCTACGCCAAACATTCAATGACCGATCCGTGCACCCGGCGCTCGACCCTCGCTTTCACATATTCCTAGCCGCGACTCGCGTGGCGCGCTTACACCCGTCATGCCCGCCTACCACGGCTCCCTCTCCGCCTCAAATACAGGCGACGGCGACCTCGGCTTGCTCGCCATGCAGTCCAGCTCGCCATCCACCTCCTTCGAGCCTGCAGATCATGCCGATGCACGCGCTGCCGCACTGACCGCCATCCCCGCCTACCCAGGAACACCGCCCGCCGAACCTCCTTCCACCGCATTGCCGTTCACGGATCCATCTGCATCAAGTCCCGGCGTGCAGCTCCAACCGGCTCTCGCGCCAAGTACAAGTTCATCAGCCCCTTCCGCTGGGTTCGCATCTCTTTCGCTCGAGGACGAGCTGGGCCGACCTAACACACCCCGCTCCGATCTTGCACCAGCCACGTCTCCACCTTGCACCCTTCCCGTCTCCCACCGCAACAGGCAGCATCTCCATACCAACAGCCACTCCTCCTCCAGCGACGCCTACACCTCGGCCGCAGAGAGCCCGGCCTCGGACCGAGCGCACCGCAACCCACCAGCCCCGGCTCGAGCTATCGAGCTAGCTTCCGCAGCACCCCTCCAAGCTGTCACCAGCTCGTCCACGCCGCCAAACGCCCCACCCGCCTCCGTCTCGCAACAGAGCATCGCGTCGGTCTCCACCATCAAACAGGCGCGCCTCCCCACCTCGCGTTCGCTCGCCTCTCACGTGTCTGCCGACAAGCACGCGCTGAGCCTCGAACAGGAGCTAGACGCCGACCACGACGCAGAATCCTCGTCCAACGCACACGATTCGGACACGCGCACCAGCCACTCGGCCGCCCTCGCTCGCTCCTCGCGCCGCAGCAGACGCTCCGGCTTGCCACCGCCCCAGGACCGCCTGCCCGTGGGCGAGGGAGGTCCGCACGCTCCGCCCCGCAACGCTTCCTTCCGCGACGCTTCCAAGCGCCTCTCGGTCGGCGCCGGCTACGGCGATCTCGGCGTAGACGCCTACGCGCCCTCGTTTATCGCTCCGTCCTCCCCTTCCATGACCAGCTTTCTCGACCTCGACTCGCCCCGCACCTCCGAATCCAGCACCACCGGTCGCTACAACGTGCCCAGCAGAAGAACTTCGCTCCACGCACCCTCACCTCGCACATCCACCTTTCCTATCCCGCCAGGCTCAGCTCCCGCGCCACCATCCAGCTCGTCCGACTCGCGCAGGCAGAACGGCCAAAAGTCGTCGCGGCCCGGCTCGAGTACCAGCAAGACAGCTCGCGCAGCGACCCAGTCGAGCTCATCACCAGCAGCCTCGGTGTCGACACACTCGCCTGGAACTGCGACACCCGCCAGCTCACTCAAGCTCGACCGCGAAGCCATGCAGCGCTGGGTGCTGTCCGTCGGCTGCGTCAACTTTGACCTCGAGCTCGGTCCGGATCTCGAGTTCCTCTACCCGCCGCTCGGCATCAGCAGGGAGGAGCGCGACAACATCGCATTCTCGTCGTTCCCCGACACGTCCATCTTCGATGATGGCTCGCTCGTCTTTTCGTGGCGAGTGCGCGAAGTGCCGCTCGACTCGTCCGGCTCGGAGCCGCCGACGATCAAGAGCATTGGAGACGCCTTGCAGCCAGCAGCGACGGCAATGGACGAGGAGACGCCAAGACCTTCAATGAACAAGGCAGCGCTGCAGAACGCGCTTGCCAAGGCAGGCAAGAAGCCGCCCACGGGCAACTTGTCCGTGCCGACCAGCCCGACTTCGCCCGCCGAGGCTGGCTTCAGGGACTCGTCTGCATCGTCGGCCACGTCAAGTCATGGCCTGTCGAGGCAGACCTCCGATGCGAATCTGCAGGGCGCTGCAGCCGGACCCACAAGCGGCTTGCCGTCGACAACGTCGTTCCACGAGCGGCTCACGCAGAAACTGTTTTCGTCCAACTCGAGCGCCATGGCGCGCCACTTTTCGCACGACCGACACAGCAGCACGCACAGCATGAGCTCGGCATCGGCAGACGACGACGGTGAAGCCGCATCGGCGGCAAAGTCGGGCAGCGCCTCGGTGGGCACGGCTTCCAACGCCTCGCCAGGCGGCAGCATGATCGCTTCTGGCTCGGCGCCGGGAAGTGCGCCAGGAAGCGAAGTGCTGCCCAAGCGCGTCGGCAACAGCACCAGCAGCAGCTACATCTACGGCTACGTCTTCTTCCGCCAGAAGCGCGATCCCACCAACCGTCGTGGCTACTTCCAAAAGTCGGTCGTCATCCTCTCGCACCTGCCGCTCGTGGGTCTGTTTAGCGAAGTGGTCGCGCGCCTCGGCCCACTCTACTTTGAACACGGCATGTCGATGTTCGAGGCGTTCGCGCACGATATCATGGCATGGCCTGCGCCTCAACCTGGCACCATCCTTACGCTTCCTCTGCTCGGCAGCATCCTGACGGCGGCGATTCCCTTCGGGCAGCAGCCTCAAAACTCGCCTTCGGCCGAATCCGCGCCCATGGCTGTATCACACTCGGCTCCTGGCGGCTTCCGCAATACGGCGACCATGACTATCCGGTCGCGCTCGCGCCAGGCGTCTGGAAACCGCGAGCTGCCCGAACCGCTCATCGGACCCGAAGGCCCGCTACTCGCGAGCGTACCCGCCACCAGTCTGTTCGATACGTTCAAGGAGGCGCTTGGCGATCTGTGGCTGCTGTGGGAATGCGTGCTGCTCGCCGAGCCCATCCTGGTCATCGCGCCCGAGCCCAAGATCGCCAGCGAAGCAGTGTGGCACATGCTGGACCTGATTCGGCCCATTCCGTACGCGGGCGACTTTCGACCGTACTTCCATATTCACGACTACGACTTCCGCACGCTCGTCACCAAGAACAAGCCGCAGGCAGGCACGCTCGTTGCCGCGACCAACCCATTCTTCGCCACGGCGTGTGGACATTGGCCGCACGTGCTCCGTGTGGGCAAGGCGGCGGTGAAGTTGATCACGTTCAAGCACAATCCCAACGGTGGTGCGGGCGGGGCGAAGAAGGGGCCGACTGTTGGCGGAGGGATAGGTGGCGGACATGGAGCGGGTGGTGGAGGACCGGACCACATCCCCGGCTTTACGACCAAGCGCAAGAGACGGATCAGTAAGGATCGACAGCTGCTCAAGCGGTTACAGGACCTTGCTGCTGCGGCTGCCAAGAGTGGTGGAGGGGATGAAGCGGTGCAAGCGGCGTGTCAGGCGGCAAACGTGACGATGAGGAGGTATTTCGCTGATTTGACCGAGCGGTTCCTTGCGCCGTTGAATCGGTACGTTGCCTCGCTGGTGCCTGCGTCGTTTGACCTGGGTTCGCCATCGGAAGTGCCCAAGATTCGGCCTTTTAACACGACGGACTTCCTCGCATCGCTCAAGGCACACGGAACACCGTTAGCGATCCGATCGCGCTCGTTACCTACGGGTGCTAGTGTGCGCCAAAGTGTGTATGTCGACTTCCTGCGGTGTCCCAACTTTTCCCTCTGGTTGCACTCTCGCGTCGCCGCCGCAGAGGAGGAACAGCGCAGGAGGTACATCGCGAGTCTGATGCAGGGCGATGTGACTGCGTTCGGTAGCACGCGTGGCGAGATCGAAACCATCGACCTATACTCGCGCCTCGTCGAAGAAATCAGGCTTGTGGATGTCCAACTCACCACCCCCACCGAACCTGGCCCCGGAAGCAGGTGGCGTACAGACACACCAGCCCCAGCCAAGGATGGAACGGCTACCCCAAACAAGGCGGTCGTGGGCAATACGACGGAAAAGAGGCTCAGGGATCAAAAGGCCAAACTCATGCAACAGCTCGATCGACTCTGCCAGACCCTGCCTGCGGATCTCAGATCGAGTCTGCGCAGACCGGCGTAGTACAATGCACAGAGGAACACGTCGAAATCAGATGCCATTGCTTGCAGGTCATCGCCAATCACAAGTGTGAATGCGTGCGTGATGTCGGAGTGGGAATGCGTGGGCGAGATCGACGTGTGCGGAAGCGTGGATGTGGGAAGGGGAGACGCCGAAGTGGGTCGTCCTGCGTGTGCTCGCCGTGCGCGAGAGTGAGGATGGCGAGATGATGTGCAGCGTGGACAGGCCCCGGCTATTTGCGCTCTTGTAGATGTGTGCGCAGTGCGGGAGAGTCGAGAGGTCGCGGAAGGAGGAGGACGAGCAAGTTGCGTCGGGCGTATGGCGATGGCCGTCTATGCGTCCCGCAAGAGTGTATGGCGGTCGCGAAAGCGGACGAGTATGTGCCATCCCTGCTGTCATCGGCAGATCCTTCGTTGTCGAGGGGAAAGAGATGTTGCACGGCATTCGAGTAGATAAGGGCGTCGCTTCAGGGAAAGCCATGGTCGCAGGGACGACTTAGATTAGCGTGCTAAAGTCGGTGGCTGCAGTCGACTCGCGCACGCTGCGGGCAGGCGAAAACAGCGGGGCGTCGGGCGGCACAATGCTGGAGGCGCGCGAGGAAGCCGCGCGTCTAGAGCCCGAGTCGAGGACGATCGTTCCACTCGATCGCGCATGACGTCGAGTGCCCGACAGGTCGATCGGGTCGTCGACACTGCTGCCGGGTCCCTGAGACAGGGCCTGAGATCCGGCTGCCGGCGTGGATGCCCGACTGGTGCGAGGCGAGGCCGGGACCGACTGATGCCACTCGCCAGCATGGTTGCGGACTCCACCAACGCGAATCGAGCGATGCTGACTTCCACTTGCACTAGCCACAACACTGCCGCCGCGCTTGTGGTCGACCAGAGGCGGCTGCATGAGATCGCTCACGTCGCCCACTTTGATGACCGACGAGCCGCCCACGCTGCGTGCAACGGATGCTGCGCGGTGTCCTGCGCGCGAGCCAGAGCCAGCAACCAGATTGTTGTCGCCAGTCAGGTCGATCGGCTCGTTCTTGAGGGAACCGCGAACGACGGTCGGAGTGCCTTGACGACTGGCAGCTCGTGAAGTGATGGCTCGCGGCGTGGTCTCGCGGCTGCGGCTACGGCTGCGTCGGTCACTCCCCGCGCGCGACCCAACGCCGATCTTGGTCAAGAAGCGCGAAAAGCCCGCCTGGCCCTTGTACTGCGCGCGCAGAAAGCGCATCGTGTCGCGCTTCAGATCAAGCTGCTTGTGCGCATCCTTGTACTGGGCTTCGTATCGTTCCTTCTCGACCTGAATGCGCATGCGCGCCGCCTCGAGTTCCTTCTCCTTGTCCAGGTGCTCGTTTGCCAGCGTATCGCACTTGGCCGAATCCTGGCTCTCGTCCTGCATCACCTTCGCCATGAGGTAGCTGTACATCTCGTCCATGCGCTCCACGGTCGGACGGAAGCCTCGGTGCGAGCGCGACGAGGTTGAGAGCGCCGGGCTACCAGAGTGACGCCCGCGTCGGCGCAGCGTGATCGTTCCACTTGCATCGCTCGGAGGTCCACGCGCACTGCCCGCACGCGAAGGAACGAGGGCCAACTCCTGGATCGCCTGCAGCGCTTCAACGGTCAAGAGCCCCGTGCGGCTGGCGAGTGGCACGTCGGATCCGGCCAGCGACTCGTCGTCTTCAGGCATGGCGGCGGTGGAAGGGCCTGCGTCGGCGTCGGTACGACGGGTGCAGGAAACGATGGTGAAATCGTCTTGCGTAGCATCGGTCATGCTGACATTGTTCTCCGCCTGGATCACCCCTCCGGCGGGGGCATCGCCACGCGTGTCAGGACGATTGTAGCTCGAGCCAGCTTCGCCGTCCTCCATATCGACGTCCTGCGCAGTGGAGACCGCAGGCCTATCAGTGGCAGCGCTCTGTCCCTCAAGAGAGTCCGAGATAGACAGGAGGGCATGAGCAGCGGCCTGCTCGGGAGTTGCGTCGGACGGTGCGTCCTGGTGCTCGGGGGCAGAGCCGTCGCCGATGGTGCGAGCAGTCTGTTCACCATCCGTTGCCGGCATCTGTTCGGCAGTGGTGCTGCTTCCCACGTCCATCTCGTTGCCGGCCGCCGTCACATCGCCCACAACACCGGAAGGAGCAGGCAGACCGCAGCCGTCGATGGTGCCGTGCGAGTTCATGTTTTCGAGTGCGTCTCCGAGGATCGAGTCGATTCCGACGAGCAACTGCTCGAGTCCATGCCGGATGTTTTGTCCTCCCACATCCATATCTTGCGAGTCGATGGTCTGAGCGTTGTCGTCATCCATCGATTCCTGGACACGACCTTCGTTGGCCGAAGCCTCCATCACACCCTCTTTGTGGAGCGGAGCCGGCACATGGACAGGCTGGAATGCATCCGAGCCAGTCTGGGCAGAAGGCGCGGCGGGAGGAAGGGAGGCTGCACGCGACGGCGCAATGTGATTGGCAATGCTGGTGATACAGTTCCAAGCACCGGTCCATCCACGAGGGCTTGTGGGCGCCAAGAGCGAAGCGTCGCCGGGAAGCTGGGCGTTGCTACCAGACGGACCTGCGGCTGACTGAGGGACTGCATGGTCAGGAGCAGTCTCCGGGTTCATCGACGCTGCACGACGAGGCAAGCCAGGGCCAAAGAGGTCGGAGTTCAGCGGAACGGGGCCTGCTGCCGACGACGCCGTGCAAGTCTGAGTCGCAGGGGCGCTGATGGATTCTGCGTGACGCGCATCTTGATTTCCATCGACGTTGTTGCTGTGTCCGGCAATGCGGAAGCCGTAGCTGGCCAAGTTTCGGCGGAAGATGAAGGCGTCGATGTACTGACGAAGCTGGCGTTCTGCCGGGCTGCCTGCTGCGATGGTGCTTGCTTCGTTTCGGTAGGAAAGGCCATCGTCGGACAGCGGGACGCCGGGGAAGGTGGCAACCATCGACGCATCGTCCTGGCTCTGATAGACAAATCTGACCGTAACGTTCTGCTTCAGAGCCGGCCTCTCAACTACAAGCCGTCCAATGGGAAACACGTGGGGAAAAACGCCGCCGTCAGTACGCGAACGCATCAGAATGAAGAAGGCAATGTGTTATGAGCTCCAGACTTACCAAGGACCTCGATGTCGCACTCAGGAACCTCGTGGACAAAGCCGGCATCGACCCAAAGCGATGGATGGCGATGCGAAAACTCGATCGGGTGGGCCTCGCAAAGCACCCGTGCTTCGCCAGTGCCGTTTTCGCGGCTGATCGCCCGGAAAGTCACAAAGTCGCACTTCGATTCGTCAGCGACGGGCTGCTCGCCGGAGTGACGCCAGACGCGGATCAAATTGTGACGAGCCTTGCTGCCATGCGTCACCTGGAACGTAAGTGCATCCACACGAGAGTTGCCCATGGACTGCTCGCCGTAATCGGTAACCACGCGAGAGGTTTCTTGGACACGAAAGAGACCGAGCCGGGTGGACCGTTCAAGAAGGACCCGCTGATCGGCATGATGATACTGCTGGAAGATTTCGGCCACCTCGCGCGAGTTGGAGTGGCCTTCGAAGAGGAAGTGAAGATCGATACCGATGCCCTCGAAGATCATGATGGAAGCCGAGTCGAATTTTTTTTTGTTGCTTAGGTTTTTTGGTTTTTTCTGTCGGATGCTGTTTTGCTGATATGGTCTGGAACAGAGGCACGGAACGATGGCGATGACGAAACTTGAGAGTCTGCTTCGTGTGGTGCTGGCACGGATCGGGAACTTGGAGATGCGGAAGCGAGAGGGTCTTGGTGGAGCTGTGGAAGATGTGGCTGTTGTCTTCGTGAGGATAAGTCTGATGAGGATGAGGGTGTCGTTGCTGAGGGGTGTGTGTGTGTGTGTATGAGGTGTGGATGAGAGGAGGAAAGTCGGGTGAGGAAGGGGGGTGGTGAGTGCTCGCGAGGAGGCCGCCTTATATCTCTTCGACATCAGTTGACTTCCCGCACCTCTAGGAGCTCACCGTATAGCGAAAGCTGGAGGTCAGCGATACCCGCTTCCGCACTTTGAGCGAGCTCCAATGGGTCTTGGAGGTGCGGAACAAGTGTGAGGTGCGGACTTACTGTGGGAGCTACGACGATGATCCGATGATGGTCTAGACGCTGGTTCCGCACCGACTTCCACATGTACGATCCTCCAAACTTTGGCAGGCGATGCACGTCGACTCGCCCCTACTTGCCTCCTATTCGCTCCACGTAGCGGAGGTCCGCCGAATCTGCTCCGATGCTACCGTACCTTGCACATGATCCCTTCAAACAAGCTTTGCCTGAAACCTAACTTTCTGTGTAGACACCGCTCCATGACGGAGACGAGCCTTTCTCCTCCCGCACTCGGAATCAGAACCATCATCTTTGCCCTCGCAACGGCAGCATATTGGGGCCTGACCTTGTGTCCTCACAATCATTTTCACTCCCTGGATGTGGCAATCGTACTCGGGATGTCGAGATGGTGGAAGGATCAATGCTGTTGATTCGTGATAGTGTACATATGGTGCTGTTCGGGTTGCTGAATGTCGTGCCCCGTGAGGTACGTGGTGCGGGTGCGGAGATCTCATGCGCTCGAGCTGTGTTGGTCTAGACCTCGAGGGTAGAGTGCGTGATTAGGGTGATGACAGCTGTGTGACTTTGTCGGATATTCGCGGAGACATATCGGTCCGGAAGACACTACGCCCCATGAATCACGTGTCCAGATGTGTGGAACCCCATCATACCTGGTGGCGTCGTGCATGAAGATCGCTGCGAGCTGGTCGTCCATTCAGAGGCTGGGGCCTAGCAACCTCCTAAGCGTCCTGTTGATCCTGCCTCGCGGGCTGAGGACGGTACCGCCGAGTCCGTTGAGACGGTCTCTGGACATGTGCGAGTTCAAGTGTCGCTTTCCTGCCAGTCCTCGCTTGAAATCGAGCTGGTACGCTTTGCCGCTGCCGCTGCCGAGGGGCGTCCAGCGCTTCTTGGTGCCGGTATGCGACTTGAGCTTGCCGCCGCTGCCGTGCTGTGCGAGGTGCTTTTTGCGCGGGCTCGCCTCGGCGATACGAGATGACGAGAACATTCGTGTGGAGTTGATAGCGCTTGAAAGAGAGGACGGCCCCGCTGGTGTCAGGGGCGAGCGAAGGGCGAAGAGGCTCGGCCTGGCGAAGGCCGCCATGAATCGTGATGTTGTTGCAAACATTGTATGTGTGAAGTCGAATGGTCCAGTCCCGTAAGCAGAGATTGAGGATAGAGTGAGAGGTGCAATGGCCGCGATGTCGTAAGCGTTGAATCTAAGGTGGCCGAAGAAAGCGGCTTGAAGCTGCAGATGTTGATCAAGATGGGATAGGATGATGGATCTGATGGTGTCGGAAGCTTTAGGGCGGGAGGTGCTTCCAACTTTTCTTCTAGCCCTTCACGTGACTCGCGCTTGGGGGCGAAATGGCTTAACAATGATAAAAATTCACCTCCACATGTGCGGGCTGAGTCCACCAGCTCAACACTCATTGCGGGCGGGTGTCCTTCATATCAAGACTCGTATCTGTGTAGCGGCTTGAGTATCGGCTGGGCTGCAGTAGGCGCGTTCGGTACATCAGGTGTCACGAAGGGGGCTAATGAGCCTTTGACGATGGCGGAAGGACCAGACAAGGCGGTGAACGGGTCTTCCGCAGCTGTGACTCGTCAAGAAGCTCCTGCGAGGAAAGACGCCAAAGCCGCAGAGTACCTTGACACCTTCGCGCGCTATTCGGATCTTCCACCGCCTTCCGTTCCGCTAGGACGCTTTCGAGGAACTCAGGAACGCATCATCGACTGCTTCGCTCCGCACGTTCTGGCGGAAGTCAGCGACACGGAGACATTGCAGGCTCTTCCCTACCTTCTTCCTCCACCGCAACATGCTTCCGACTTTTCCGCAGCGTCCTCTTCAAGCAGTCGAGCGCTTTGGGGACAGAGCTTCGAACCGCGCGCATTGTTGCCCTCGTCGCTCGATGAAGAGGTGATTTCTGTTGATCCGGCCATCGCTGCGAAGCTGGAGCGGTTTTTGGACCTCAAGCGACAAGGGATGCACTTCAACAAGTCGCTCATGGAGACGCACGCGTTCAAGAACCCGCACCTCTACTCCGGCCTCGTCTCTATGCTAGGTATCGATGAAGCAGCATCCAATCTAGCTTTCCTCGACACGGCTCGATCGGAATCGGGATGGCGAAGCACATTTCCCTTCTCGGAAGAAATGCTGATCGAAGGCGATCCAATAGCGGCGTCCAACAAGCAGGCACAAGAGGCTTACGCTGCCCGAGAGGCCAAGATCAACGCAAAGGGCAAAAGATCCATCGACTTTGTCTCCTCCTCAACCTCTGCTTCTGACGATACGAGAAAGACGGCACAGGCAGGCAAACAAGCCAGGCTTGACCGATCCGCACATGGCCGGTCCAAACAAAGCCGCTCGTCATCTTCCCACACCAGCACATCCGATCGACATCGGCGCTCTCGTGATCCCTCCGAAGCGGGACCAAAAATTTCCTCAAAACGTCACTGAACAGCTCATACGACGACAATATACCCAGTGCACACCGCCTTGCTCAAGACTGATTACGAATTAGTTGTCTATTGTCTGTGATGGTCTGGTATAGGGTGGCAGGCGTTCAGGCCGAGGGTGGCACTGGCGGGGCAGCCGAGTTCTTCCAGCCAGAGCGCAGACCGGCCATGGCGGCAATGGTGCCAAAGAGGCCGACCCAGCCGTCGGAGATGATGCCCTGTGCGCACGACCAGTGGATGGTGAGAGGCAGGTAGCCGAGGTTGACCCAGAGCTCGTTGAGGATGGCCGCCTTGCGGTCGTCGAGCTCGTCCCACATCCTGCGGGTGATGACCTGCTCTTGCGAGGCTGAGCCCGACTTTTCCGACGGTGTCGACGCGTCGGCGACGAGGCCGTTGGGCTTGAGCTGGATCTTGTTGGGCGTCGGGTGGCCGCGCGAGCGCTCGAGAGCCTTTGCGCGGAGGCGGAGCAGACGGTTGTCCTCGACGAGGTGGAGCAGCTGGAGGCCGACGTAGAGCGCCCAGAAGCGCGAGCCCCAGAGCCAGAAGGCGTTCTGGATGGCGGCGGAAACGGGGAGTACGCCGTGGCTGCCGAGGTAGGCGAGCGCCTCCATCGGGCAGTAGGCGAGCATGGACCAGCCCTGGATGCGCTCGATGTTGTGCAGCAGACGTGTAGGGGGCGGCGAGCGCTCGAGGCCGATCATCCACTTGAAGATGGGCAAGATGCCCCAAATGCGGTAAAGAATCCTGGCATCGCTAATGAGGGCGCTGAGCTTCTGCACCCTCTGAGCTGCCGAAGAGGATTTGGTGGACTTGATGCCGAGCATGCGCAACCGCAAGGCGTATTGGAGGTTGAGCAGGACAATGACGAGCTTGGACGAGTACTGGGTAAGCATGAGCGCCTTGTCGGTGCCGGACCACGTCGAAAGGTAGCGGATCATGTGGTCGAGACGCGGCGAAGGCTCGACATTGGAGAAGCAACCGAGGATCTTATCGGTCGGGTTGAGCTTGCGCGGTGTTGGTCGGCGAAGTGCCGAGGCAGCCGGTGCGGGTTTCGACATGTTGGCGAAAGGCTGTTGCTGTGAACCGGGTCGGGCGAGGCGCAGTGTCCTGTGTGTGCGTTATATGCAGTTACAGCGGCGAAATGCTTGGCTATGGGCGTGGCGGCGGACCAAGGCGCGAGACGTGGGTTGCTTGACGATGCCGGGATGGTAGATGGAATGGAAAGAGGATGCCAGTCGATCGAGCAGTGGAAAAAGTGATGGTTGGAACGACCGTGCCCTGTTGTGTGACCTTAGAGCAACCCACAAGCTCTGCCTCCGGATCCACGCCGAACACGTCCGGCAACCTGAGGCCGCGGGTTTGGGCTGCTTGCCGAGCTGACCGGAGGCGCCAAAGAGCCGATTTCACGCCTTCCCCACCGACGCGACCCGTGCCAGACTGGTTGCCTCTCCCCAAAAATTCCAATCCAAAAGCTCCGGACCCCACAGTCGCATTCAAATCCAGCGGTATGACTCTCTAATAGGTATAAGGTTGCAAAATCATTGCGACCGTTCATTCACGTCGGCAGGAACCCTTCGCAGCGCACTACAAGGCGCGAAGGAGCGTGAAAGGGCAAGAGCGCAGAGAAAGCGCAACATGACAGATCGCCCGATACCGAGGCCTGGAAGCCTTAGCCAGGTCTTCCCTGAACTCTTCTTCACAACAGCAGCGTCGACCTCGCTCTCATCCATTCGTCGTTGTGTTGTACACAAAAGAATCCCAGTGATTAAACGAGTGTATTGCTTGGTCTGCATGGTCTTCGACGTCTGGATCGCCAAGGACGAGCTCAGCTTGCACCAAAGCGGCGGGGGCCAGCAAAGTCGAATCGTGGGCTGCCGGCTCGGACCGGTTCGAAAGAGTGTGAATTGATACCAGCGAGCTTTGTCGTCCATTGCGAAGGCGAAGAATGCGGAGACGGCAGCTGTTGCTGTTGCATCTGTGGCGACGCTACCGGGCTGGGCGTGTCGCGCAGCTCGTATCGAACTCGTGGCGGATAGATCTGCTTGCGGAGCCCCCGATGGTAGGAAGGGAGGTGCACGTGGCTGTCCACCATGGTATCGAAATAACCGTCAGGGGCCATCCTCGGCGATGCTGTGACACCCTCATCCATCAGCTCTTCCGTCTCTTCGAAAGCAACTTGCTGCGCCAACCGATGCCGTCCGAATGCAGGAGACGAGTATTGTGTCGGAGTCGAGGCACGAGAGCACGGCCCAGCACTTGACACGTCCGACTCCGAAGAGATTCGCCTCGATCTGATGTCCGGTGAGCTGGTGGCAGAGAGGATGGATAGAGCCGGGCTCGAGCACATGTCTCTCGTGCTCCTGCTCCAATTCACAAGATCGTCTTGTGATCTCGACGGGCCTATGTCGGAGACGACCCTGTTGGTACCGAACTTCTTGAACGCTCGGCTGATGAGAGTCTTGCCTTTCTGAGCTCGGGGTGCATGTCCTCTTCTGTGCAGAGCCGCTTCGTATGTCCCGTTCGTGTTGCTGCCTTCATCGCTACTATTGCTGAATGCCGAAGCCAGCGAGACTGGGGACGCAGAATGCCGTAGGGTACCCAAAGAGCTGGCGGAGGCATGCGCTGAACTGGATGCAGCGTTCATCCAGTACCTCCCGTCCCCTTTGCCCTCCGTCACGTTGGAGAAAAGGAGGGATGCTGAAGGCGCTGGCGAATCCAAACGTCTTGTTGCAACTGGAACCGTGCTGGCTTGCTCTAGCATTTGCTGTCCTGCTTGCAAGACCTTCTTGGCAATCTCAGTCGCCAGGTCTGGATCGAGACAGATGCTGTCCCCTCTACTGCAGCCAGGCGTGGACTCGATAGGTGAGGTTGGAGGCTCGAACCTTGTGAAGAAAGTTCCATAGCGATCCAGGTTCATGGCAGCGTCTTGCTGGGTCGCCAGAGTGGCTCTTGGCGGTCGGCGCAAGCGAGGTGGCCGCTTAGGAGGCATGGGAGGAGAGCTTAGAGGCGAGCCTAGACTTGTGTCCGTCGACTCTGACTCCAAGGAAGGAGTCGTGCTGAGTGTGCGACATATTGAAGCGACTTCTTCGAATGCTGCCGCAAAGGGTGACTTGAGCGCCGGCGCAATCGTGACATCGCTGAAGGACGAAGCTTGCGAAAATACAGTATCCACGCTCATCCGACGAGAAAGGTCCAACGAGTCTATAGGTGAGGAAGATATTTGAGGGTCAGTATTGGCTTAATGCAGGAATCAACAATCCCAAGCGAAAAGGAAGAGTCCTACGAACCGTCAATAGGACATATATCCACAGTGTCGTCGCTGCTGCTGCTTTGGCGAGACAGATTTCTGTGATCGCTCGTTTCTGCCTTTGAGATTTGTCCGACAGAATCTTCGTCGGCGAATGCGTTGCGAGTCCGGAGCGATGGAGGCTCTACTTTGGTCAGGTAGCTGATTTCCGACATTCTGAGAACGTCAAACAAAAAGTGCAGTGATCAAGGCGATGGTATAGAGACGAAGAAAGGTGTTGTCGACAAGGAGTACACGAGTGCACGCAACGAGCAGCCGTCCCGTTGAAACAAGTACAGTATGTTTGCAGGACACGGACCTGCGTCGAGTTGGCAGGCTCTCTAGTGCGAATGGACGTTCCCTTACTTGAGCAGAGGGCTGGAATCACTTCTGAGTGCTGAAAGGCATCTTTCAGGACCTCCGGTCGGCTCAGCGTCAGGGGCACGTGTTATGGAAATGTCGAGCTCGGATACCAGTTTCATATCGACTCAGCGATCATTGCTGCAGGCGGATATGCAGCGCTATGACCGCGATCAGAGCAATTTAGGCTTTGCGAGGGTCCAGCGCAAAGTCTCGTCCACCCACCTCCCCGCAAGGAGAATGCAGGTCTCACCAAGTTACCCGGAGAGAGCCAGCTGGCCTCCTATGCAAGTGTTTGTGCACACCACGCACCATTCTGAACGGCCAAGACATGTATAGCTCGAGCCCGGGGATCAGTCCGCTGCTCTGTACGATCCAGCAGCGCGAGAAGAAAACAGGGGCGGCTCGGGATCTCTATCTCAGCTTGGACCCTTCTGCGCGCGGAAATCGAGAGCACGGTGCCCTTCACCTTGCAGATCCTTTGTGCTTCCGACTATTCCATTGTCTTCTTTCGTGCTATGCACACTCACCGCCATGAATCTCGAATGACAAGTTAAGGCTGACAAGGCTGACTTTGACGTCACGCGCTTCAAGCTCATGGCACGATAACACGTCTGGACCTCCCAATGGGAGGCCCAAGCGGCTCGAAGTTGAGCCTTGCTTTCATGTTTGAGTGAGCTGGACCGTCACCTGCCAGTATCGAGCTAGCCTTGAGGAACAGACTCAGCGATTGCGCCTCAGTGAGGACGCCCCGCAGCGGGGTAAAGCATACTGCTTTCTGCATCCCTTGCTGCACCAATCACCACCGAGCTATTCAGTGGATCACGAAGGGAATTCGACGGCAAAACATGCAAGCTCAAAAGCGATGTGGATGAGAAGGTCTAGCAGCGATACCAGCGAAGGCGCAATGATGAACGTGCGAAGATGCTGCTCGGATAAATCTGCCGTGTTGAGCAGGCGAGTCGGGCGAAGGCGGGCTGCGGGTTCTGAGACATGTCAAATACGATTTGCCGATAGCAGCGTGACAGGCGGCAGTGCGGGAGAAGCTGAACTTGCGCTGCCGGCTCAAAGGCGCCAAGTAGCCGACAGATTGCTTTCAATCCTCATAGCCATAGCGAGTCGCAGGATTGTGAGATGTAAGGGGTAGTGCTGCGGTCACGGATCTTTCTGGGCAGCAGGACGAGGTCGACCGAGTAGCCAAAGGCACAGCCCAAATGAAGTCAGGCGGGTCGGGCGCATCGGCGCTTGGACCGCGCTTCGGCTGCAGGCGCTGGATCAACGGAGCCGCCCGCGACGCGAAAGCATACAATCTCTGTCCGGTTGGTTGTCTGGCAAACAATGGCCGCGTAGTTACAGTGCCGTTCTTGCTGTTGGGCGCTTTTGCCGCAGCTTTCCGGGTGCGAGCTGCTCTCGAAGAGGATCACCTCCGCTGCATCGTTCATCAGACTACACCGGGAATCAATGAGAATCTCAGAAAGGCCGCAACTTTCGCTCTCTATGACCGCCCAGAATCTGTCCATTTATAGCTCTCCTCGATGGATTTATCGGTCCAGAGAGCCGGTAGGCAAGCAGCTGGCGTGGAAGAGCTTCAAAGAGAGAAGTGCATGCCTCCACAAAAAGAATCCTTGCAGCCACGTCCCCTGAGCGCCTCCGGGGCTGGAACAGATGCTGTACGTATCGGACAACGGCATGGCGTTGCAGGGTGCAGATCGCGGCTCGAAGCGTCTTTGTCAGTGCCCGATGCCTGTTGCTCTGGCTTTGATACTGCATGCGAGCTTTGGCACTTCAATACAGATGTCAGCCGTCGACGCGGCTGGTCTGCTCCAGCCTGAAATTGCCTCTTGTTCTACTCGGCTACCACCGTAGAGCACAAGTAGCTTTGCGCAAGAGCAAAGAACGAGGATCGTCGCTGTGTCTCATGTGGTGGGCTGAGCCGCCGCCACTCCATGGTATCATATGCGAAAGTGGCGCTCAGGAAGCAAATGAAGTCAGGGACACAGGGTGCTGGTGCCGTTGGATGTGATTGTGTGCATCTCGACTTTCCCACTTCATTTCAGCCACATCAGGTAAACGCTGATCTCCCGTAGCCACAAGGGCCTTGCCGAGCTAGTAGAGTCTACACGACTGCTTACCACCACCACTTGTCATTCCGAGCCCCATCAGATAGCGCTATCGTACTAAGAGAGGTCAGAAGGTGCTTGCACTTCGACTCGCCACCCAGGGCACCCCCTCGTCACCTGGACATCACCAATAATACCGGCCAAACGGATCAGGTCCCCGCAGCATCGCTTCTGAGCCGTGGACAACTGCTCCTTACCATGGCAGCTGGCTTAGGATCGCCTGATAATGAAGGCAATATGGCGTTCGAGCACACTGAGAACGATGCTGTCGGCGGAGCATGGGGGAAACGCAGGAGCAGAGACATGCTTGCGGGGCGCGACAGCTGGATCTCTGTGCTCGACAGTGCCTCGACCCTGGGCACTTTCGCTATTGATGTGCTGGCCGCATCCGAGATGCAGCCACCCAAGAAGACTCCTCAAGCTTCGGAGTTCCCGCCACCTCCTCCACGGCCACCTGTCGTGCCGGCTCATCAGCCATGCAACGAGGAAGTCACCAGGGCAGATACAATCCCAGCACGTCCAACGAAAGCTCCAGCCCGCAACGAGAGCGTAGCTTTGCCAGCTTCTGACCCCGAGCGTCGCCAAAAAAATCGCTCACAGGGGCAGATTACGGCCGCGGGCTCGGGTGGTCGAATGACTCTCGAGCAAACACAACGCCCAGGTCTCAGTCCCGGATTGCCAATTTCTTTCCAAAGCAAACATCGACATGATCCGCTACTCAGCGCTTATTTGGAAGGCACGATGGCGGAGTCTCGTCCACGTCCGGCTCAAGCAGATGGTCCGGCCGAAGAGGTCGACAAGTCAAGAAGGAGGGGTGTCGACGGGTGGAGACAGCCACCTCGCATGGTTCCAAGTCCTGTACTTCACATAGAGATGATGAAGGACGTACCGTGGCCGCGCGTAACAAGTCCGCCTTCTCAGACAAGGCCCACATCGAACGCCCCAGCTCATTCACGGACGCAGTCTGCGCAGACTACGACTACCACCTCGTCTCACTTCAGCCGCGGCTCAAGCGTCACGTTTCCGTCCACTGCTCCCTCGTCTCAGGAAAGCTGCATTAATGTCGCTGGCTTTGCGGCCGCGAAAGTCCAAAGAGGTGCTGCCGGGAGTCGAAGGGGCTTCGGCACGGTCATCGGCTCGATATCAGATGCTTCCTTGAAGAACGAGCATTCTGGCGGCGTCCAGAAGCGGGAAAAGGAGCAGCATGATGGCAGCAGACACATACACGCACAATCGGGGTCTCGAAGCATCGTGGTGACTGTCGAGCAGTCGTACTCCTATCACATCCTGGAGCCCGTCAGTACGTGCGAGGCGATCATGCTTCCACGACCTCGTCTGCGATCTCGCAGCATGGGAGCGAAGTCGGGAGCTGCAATCACCACAATTCACGCAGCCCCCGAGCGGGTCTGGCATCGAGATCGACGCCCTGGTGCGGGTCAAGCAGCTATTCTGACAACTCGAGCTACGCCGATCGGAACCTCAGGCAAAGTGGTACACTTTTCGCGATCGAAAAGCGATGCTCCGCCACCGTCGAAGCCAGAAAGCGACCCTTGTCTTCAGCTGCATGCTAGCATGTCACCGCCAGTACCTCCTAAGGATCCGCTTTGCTTGTCAGCGCACATGGCTACGAAGCCTTTGCCACCGATACCGACTCCATATCCTTGGAAAGTAACGTTCTCGGTAGACAGGGAAAGAGCGGAGTCGGTGGAGCTCTTGGAGGCCGTTGAAATTCTCGAGCTCAATCGACAGCTAGATGCAGAACGACAGGCTTGGCGCCACCAGCACAGCTCTAGCATACGTTCGCACGGGTCTCCGTTCTTCGACCGCCTGAACCCGTGCCTGCTAGATCCTTCTGAAGCGGGCGTCGCCACGACGCTCACCAATCGGCGCGTCAGGAAGGCAAAATCGGATCTTCGACACCCGGTCGAGGGTTTAGTCAAGGTGGAACGCCTGTGGATTCCGGATGGTCGTGACCAGACCTTTATGGAGGCCCCGCCTCAGCAGTCCAACATATATACGAGTCGCAGGATGTCGGCCAGCAGCCCTGCCCTCGTCCAAGGGCGGGAGGAGCCTCGAATGCAGCGTCACAGTCTGCTTCGTCATCTTGCGACGGGTCTGTCAACCATGGTCAAGCGCGGGGATAGCCAGCAGCGGAGGAACAAGGTGTCCGACACAAAGTTCACCTTCCCCAAGCACAGCGACGGTGGACAAGGACTCGATGCAGCATCGACATCGCAGCTCGTAGGATCGAAGGCATTCGGAAATGGGCGAAGAATCGTTGCTGAAGAGCCCATCGTCATTGGCCGGGGCTGCGTGCCAGTGCATGCTGAGGCTGCGAGGACGGAGAACGGCGCGAAAGCAAAGGAGAACGGCGCGAAAGCAAAGGCGCGTGCGAGCCTGACGACACAAGTATCGAGCCTCGGTCATGAAACAGATGTCGAAAGTAGCCAAGCCGCCAAGCCGCGAGCGCGCAACGCGGTTCCACGCTCTGCGCGCGATGTGTGGTTTGATGCAAGCCAGAACATCAACGTGCCGCCTCAGCCCACCTTGTGCACTTCTTCCGCAATTGACGCTCCGGACAGCGGCCATGCCGAGTATAGCGCGTCGCAGGAAGAGCGCGACCAGCTCGAGCTCGACCGCGCGATTGCATTGTTCGAAGCTGAAGACAGAGCCACAGAACTCGATGCGCCTGCCACTTCCAAAACGAGCTGCAGGACGTCTGAGTGCTCCTGTCAAATGTGCCGAAGGTCTGCAAGCAGAACAGCGCGGCATGCGAGTCAGAGCGGTACTGCCACAGCAAACTGGCTGGATGAACCGGTCCTGCTTCTAGCGCCGGCCGACCAGACACTCTCCAGCTCCTACGAGGAGATCAAAGGCGATGCGACGCGGAAGTGCGGACCGTCCGAGCACAAGCTTCAGCGGACCGATACGGACAATTCGAACCTTTCGGGCGACGCGCATGGAGACTTTCGGATTTGGGAGGCCAACACGGTGGACGTTGATAGTCTTTTCTTTCGGCCGCCCCCGAAGAGGACGCCGACGGACTAGATTTGTAGCAAGCGCAACTGCACACCTTTGTGAATGGAGATTGTAGCCACATGCCTGCTGAGCTGCGACTCATTGAGCTCGTCCCATGCCACTTGTTCCGAGCTGGAAACGAGATGCCCACGTCAGGGATGGCGAGCGAGCTGAAGCAGAAACTGCGGATGATGTGGGTGGTGTTGGTCGCTAAATTCGGAACTCGGAACGACGACGCGCTAACGCGAGCGGAATGCGGCTGGACCCTGACCTGTCCTTCTGAGCTATGCTTCCCCACACATCACCACCACCACAACCACGTATCCTTCTGGTCTCCGCGTTCTGGCGACGTTTACAATGCAGGACCACGACGAGGCCGACAAAGCCGCCGGGTATAGTGCCGCAGCTGACGACGTCAAAACGATGGATGTGGACTTGACGCCGCCCAAGAAGCGGGTCAAGTCCGCCCAGATCAGCCGCCAGGTGTCTGTCGAGGGAGACATGACCCGCGACACCGCCGCTGACGCCCATCACATCACAAGAGAACGCGTATCACCGACTTCAGATCTTCCAGCTACTAGCTCATCGGCTATAACAGAATCCGAGATCAAGATCGAGCCGGCAGAGGGAGCGCCGCTATCCGCCTCGCTACCTGCACACGACACTACGCCAGTCGCGGTCAAGGCTGAGTCTGACCTCGTCGGCGCCACTGCCGACTCCGTAGTCGAAGTCGAAGACGCGCCTGCACCGAAAAAGAAGAAGACGACGTCAGCTTCCAGCAAAAGCAAGAAGGGTAGCAGCACGAAGAAGGCTTCGGCGTCGACAAGTGCGCACGCCGAATCGTCCACCTCGAGTCGCTCCAAGGTCAAAGTGGAGGAGAAAGCACCACCAGCTGCAGCGCCTGGCGAGGAAGAAGAAGAGGAGGAGGAAGATGATGCACTGTACTGCATCTGCAGGCGGCGGCAGGACGATATTGAAGGCGGCATGATTGCATGCGACCGATGCGACCAGTGGTACCACTACCGATGCATGGAGATCACCGAGGATGATGCGGAGCTTGTCGACCGCTTCGTCTGTCCGCCCTGCCACGAGTTCACGCCGGAACGCACGACGTACAAGGCGGCGTGTGCGCGCGCAGGGTGCAGGCATGCTGCGCAGACGCCGTTCAGCAAGTACTGCTCGGACCGATGTGGTGTCCTTGCACTGTCGGCACGCCTGGCCGGGCTGAAGGTGAATAGGAACAAACAGGCAGCGGCGGTGTTCGAGGCAGATCTACGCGTTGTCGCAGCGAGAAAAACGGAGGCACTCACACAGAGGACGGACGCATTCCACGATGTCAAGGGCGAGTGGAATCGAGTGGTTGCGGGAGGGCTGTCGGAAGGCGCTACGGATGCGGCAGTGCAGAGGCTTGGTCTTTCGGGAGCCTTTGCCCTGATGCTCAGCGCTGACAGCGCACAGCCGATTCCAACCGTCAACGGGGCTGATGAAGCAGCAGCAAGTGACGAGTCGGCAGAGCAAGCGCCAGCGAATGCGGAAGGGCCGACGAACGATGCCTCGTCCGCTACGAGTCTCATCGGCCTTGCCGAGCAGTTGCGGCTGGTCACGCGCCAGATCGCCGCAGTCGACCTGGAAAAGATGCAGATCAACGCACGGCTTGACCGGCTCGACCTGCGCAGCACGCTTCTGCATCTCGTCTCGGACCGCGTCCCCACGCTCGTCGCCGCGCCATCCGCCTCCGCACCCGACGCCACGGACGCAGGTGAGGACGAAGAGATGCCGGACGAAGCACGCCCTAAAACCAAGAAGAAGAAATCCGCCAAGGGGCGGAGCAAGGACGCTGATTCAAGCTCAGGTCCTCTTTGCGGGTACGATCAGCGGCTTCACTGGGACGATCCGGATTTCGATACCTGGGCACACACCGATCTGGGCCGCACCATGCTCGCCCACGACGCGCCGCTGGATGGCGAGCTGGACGACGCTGCCGGCCCAAACGCCGTCGTGTGCTCAACGGTGAAGCGCAAATGCAGGAGGCATATCGACTGGTCAAACCTGTGTGAGCTCGCGCTCGATGCCGAAAAGGCCGCCCTCGCCGCCCAGTCGCGCATTCTCACGCACAGTAAGCTCGAGCTCGCAGCTGCAAAGGACCGGTTGCATGCAGAGTACGATGCCGTGCAACAGCTGGCGCAACAGCAGCGAGACGGCCAGAGAAAGGCGGCCGAGCAGCGGGATCGCGATATGGCTCTCGCCGTTGCAGCGCACGGAACTCGCCGCGTTGTAGTCTAGATCACGGCAAGAAATCGCCATACATTCCATACAAGGTGGTGAGGGTATATGTGTACAAGCTAACGGCTACTGTGTGCGAGGTTTGGTGGGGTTGAGTGCGGCGTCTATGATCTGGAGGCGTTCGTGAGACGACTTTCTCCTGGCGCCTTGTGTGAGTGCCTCTGCAACGCGGATCGCGACCTTGACCAACGAGGTTGGGGCGACATCGCCCGTCACATGCTGCAGGCTGGTGACTCTGGCAACAAAGTGCGATGCGACGCGGTCGTCGCGTGCGAAAAAGTACATGGGCAGCGGATTGCCCAAATCGACCAGCTCGTTTTCAGAACCCACGCTCTTCTGCGCCGCCTCCATCTGCGAGCCTTTGAGCTTGACGAGCGACCACAGCGACATGAGCAGCAGATCCGACTGCGCATTCGCCACGTAGTCCTTCACCGCCGCGACCTTGTCGGTCTTGTGGCGCAGCGAGTCGGTCACAAACTGCATCACTTGAGACCTGGCTCGTGCGACGGGATCAGCACCACCATCTGCTAACGCCGCAGCAGAGGAGCGCGCAGAAAGACAATGTGCTACATCCTCGATGGCCGAATGCAGGAACGGCGAACCCTCGGACATGACGAGCACTTGCAGATACGACGCGAGCAACGACGTCTGGTCCTGGAAAATGCTGTGGTCAATCGCGAGCTTGAGATTGACGCGCACCTTGCGTAGCCGTGCCATGGTCCTCGGATCTAACTGCAGCTTCTTGGGCTTCTTGACCTTGGTCACCTGCGCCCCGATGGCACTCGATCCAGACGCATTCTCGTACTCGTCCTCATCGTCCGGCAGCTGGTTGACAAACTTTGACAGTGCGCCCACCAGAACGATCGATACGCTCTCCCAGCCTTTGCCCAGCGAGATGGCATAGCCTAGCGGCGTGTTGGTAGATCCACCTGCCTGCGCTGCTGCGGCCGATGTCTTTGCCTTGCTGCCCCCTTGCGACAAGTCGAGCAGCAGGTCAAAATTGGCGTTGCGGATGGCGAGGATGGTCTCGACGTCCTTCTTGTCGATCGCCTTGAGCAGGTCGTGCGTCTCGTACTCCCGTGGCGGTACTACTCCAGCTGATTTCGATTTGACTGCCTCGGAAGATGCGTCCCCTTTCGCGGCCCGACCCTCTTGGTCCACAACTGCACCGGAGAGGTGTCCTGGCTCTCTGCTGTCTGCATCGCCAGCCGAGTCGGAAGCGGTGACAACGATGCGCGAGAGAAGAAGAGCGAGCAGTGCGTTTCCACGGTTGGCATCGCTGTGCTCTCCCAGCAGCTTAGGATCCAGGTCGAAGTTGAGATGCATCTCCTGCAGCGCTGCGTGCACCCACTCTCTGGCGTCTTGGAGGTCATCGTCAGGCAACAGCCGCCGGATCTGCTCGTCTGAGACGGAAGGAAAACTGTCGATCCGCTTCAGGTCGGAGGCTGAAAGAGCTGAGCGTATCGTGGGTTTTGTTGCAGCTGCAGATGAGCTTGCTTCATGGGGACCTGAGGTGGGGGCAGATGAACGCTGCGCATTGGTGCGGAAGCTGAGCGCGCGCTCCACGAACGACGCCGCTTGGTGGAAACCACTCTTGGGCGCCGTGCAGGCTTGTGCGTTGGTGCTGGATTGGTCCATCCCTCCTTGCCGGTGGGTGGCAGTATCAAGGCTGTGTCTTGTCGTTGTACACCGATGGTGGCGGTGAGAGAGACGACCCTGCAGCTCGACTCAGCCCTCTCCTAACCATGTCTGTGCGCTCGGCCCAAGCAGCCTCCACCCGCCAAATGAAATTGATGTGGAGGCTTTTGCCAGAAAAACAAGATCGAAAATGAAGGCCAAAAAACCAATAAACAAAGATAAAGAAAATGGGAGCGTGGTGCCTGTCAAACCGATTCGCTGATATGGTCTGGGACCGTACGAGGGATTGAGCTTGAGATGGTCGATGGCTGTCCCTGGGACGACAATAAGACGGAAATGCGAAGGTGGGCGTAGCCAGAGAGCTCATACATATGCTTGAGCGGGACCGTTGAGCCACAAAAGTCGAACAGGGCGATGCTGAATCCACCCACATCGACCATTGTTCCGCAAGATTTGTTAGCTTCCACTGTTCTGAGGTTTGAGATGATCTGCAAGCCTATCGTGCCTGCAATGGGAGTGGAGAGAGGTAGGGTTCTTGAAGAGTGCGCTTGACGGATATAAATACATTCTCACGCACTACCTGTTGCGTTCGTATCGCTCTACATCTCCACAACTTAACCACAGTCGTTACTTCAATCATGGTCCAGATCGCTCGCTCTTCTCGCACTGTGCTGCTGCTCGTTGCACTCTTTGCACTAGCCTCTCTGCTGGCTCAGCCCGCTTCGGCCGTCCCGGTGCCAGGCAACTCGTACGAGCGCCTCCAGCCTCACAAGACGATGGGGCAATTCCTCAGCAAGCCGCTCAATTCCAGCCCTTGGTCAAAGATCAAGAAGTAAGTTGATTGCCCGAAGCCACACTCATTGAGCTTGCATGAGCTAACATCCTGCGTGGCGACTCCACAGGCTGTTCAACATCTTCCCGAAGAAGTACTAGAATTAAGGTGCCGGCCGCCTTCTCAACCCACAAACTTGCTGTACCGGCTTGCTGCCCATCCTCTTCTAAACACGGTCCTTTCTTCTTCCGCTCCTTGCTCCCTAGAAGGGGTCGTCTGTTGAAAGTGCTATGCTTCAATACACACTTTCATTAATCCGCACGCACTGATCCATTGGGCTGCCCGCATACCTTAGTGTGCAGCATCTGCGAGAATCAGGGCGATGTCTATCGACAAATATTCGCCGAAGACTCGTGGCCTCATTAACTCACGCAGGCACAAAATGAAACAAAGCACAAATAATTCAGCATCTCCGTCCGGTCTGGTCGTACAGCATCTAGACGAAAAGGCGCATCTGCGACATCAGAACAGGATGGACGAGGCTACGATCTGTTTATCCCTGAAGAGCCTTGATACCGAAGTTGGCGCCCATGGTCTGAACGTTGGTGTTGTATCCGTAGGTAAGGTGCTGGGGGGTGATTCCGAATCCGGAGCTGACGTCGCAAACTCCGTCGCCGTAGATGCAGATGTCGAGCGTCTTGGAGACCCAGTTGGAGGGGACGCCCTGGGTGAAAGCAGCCGAGATACCTCTAGCGCTGAAGGTGGTCTTGCCACCGTTACCATCGACGTTGCAAGCGAGGTTGGGCTTGTGTTCGGGGTTGCCGATAAGAATGACACCCTTGACGGCGTCGAACGCCGCACCAGTAAGCTGAGGAAGGGCATTGCAGGTGGCAGCGGCACCCTGGGAGTAGCCCTCGAGGAGGAAGCACGTGTTGGGGTTGCGGGCCAGACCGGCCTTGACCTGGGCCACGATGTTGGCAGTACCCTGGGCCGAGTTCTGGTCGATACCGGCTGGGTAGACGGTGTCGTATTCGGAGCCACCCGAAACGGCGGAGCGAATGCGGGTGTTCATGGTGCGGAAGCCGACCGAGGGACCCTGAGGCTCGCTGGTACCGCGAGTGTTGATGATGACGTACGACGAACAGCCAGCACGCTCCTGGAGCGGAGCAGCCTGCACGAGACCAGCGGCGGCAAGGACGAGGGCGGCAAAGGTCGACTTGAACTGCATCTTGAGATAGATCGGAAGAGAGGTTAGGGGATGGAAGTGGATTCGATGGAGTGTGGACGCTTGGCTGGTTGGACGAATCGGTGAAAAAAGGAGAGGTATGGGGGCTATATATGTGGTGGCGGCTGCGGCATCGTTCTATGCAAGAGCATTCGTGTTGCAGAAGGACACTACTGTTGCCAGAAGGACACTACTGTTGCCGACGTTGCCGGTGACGGTGACCAGGCATCGAGCGCAACGACCGGCATTGCGATGTTGCCGGATCGAGTCAAGCATCGTCCGAAAAGATTGGAACAGGCTTCTTCCCGAACGGCTTGGTGTGAGCCGCGGAAGAACCGCATCTCTGCCCAACCTGGGTGGTCCCGGGATCCTAAACAGGCAGGAAGAGAAGACGGCGAGAATCAAGGGTCCACCTCTAGCGAAGCTGCAGGCTCCTGGGACGCCGCGATGCGATTGGCGAGGGCGATCAGATTAACTCGGGTCCTCGATCTTGTCGATGGAAGCCACGTTCGGCTATGTGGCTTGGCGCCAGTGCTTGCGGGCCAACGAAGCGGGACGGATGTGCATGATCCGCGGTCGGTGGCTGACGCATGGGAGTGATCCGACCTCGCTTTCGATCAGAGACGCCATGTATCGAATCGCCTCGAAGCCGCGCAGCGATTCGATCGAAGATCGCAGCACCCTAAACTTTGACCAGGATGAGATGAGCAGAGCCTTGGTGCTTGCCGCTGGGAGAGAGGATAAACACTGCAGATGAAGAGCACGAGTGTCTCGCGTAAGCCATCGAACGCAGTATCGGACAGACTATCATACTTCACAGGTTGAGGCCACAGAAGCAAACAAGGGAGTGTCTCAGAGCCAGCCAGCACGTTGAGTTCATGAAGCGTTGGCTGCGGCAGGGTGTAAAGCGACTCGGGGTCAGCTGATTGGTGCTGGCCGATCTAAGCGCTCTGATGGCCGCATGGATGCATGAGCAGCATCGTGCATGCGTAGCTGGTGCGACCGTGCTCGAAACTCCCTGAGATTTCCGGGGGGGGGGCGGGGCAACAGGCTGTGAGAGCAACCTTTTCCGCGGATTGAGACTGCGGATCGGCAACGTTTCAGGATGAGCATTGATCATGGACACGGTAAAGTTGAAACGGAGACGACGTTCGGCGCCACCTGATGGGAGCGGCGCCAAGCAGCAACCTTGGCATCGCCCGCCGAGCGCGTGGTTGGGCTGCTGTGACAACGGAACGGGTGACACATGTCGGTTGTCACTTTAGCGCGGATTTTGGCTCACCCATGTTTTCGCACTGTATCCTCACCACAGGACGTTGCGAGCAGGAAGCGCTAGCGTCTTCCACGTTCCAGGGCTCAATGAGTTGTGGTCGAGATGAAGCTACACGTGATGGGAAGGCAGACTCCGTGACTTCCAAGCGAGTGAGTTTGGAAGCTCGACACAATAGAGCAGCAGCATGCACAAGCATGAGTGAGACAGACTATCAGATCTGTTAGAGCCAATGATGTTGTACCTTGGATCGGGCAGCGCGTGAGTCAACCACCGCAAGTCAGACTTGCTTGCTCGCTGCAGAGTCTGCGATTGGCTGCACATCGTACGGAACCGCCTGTCCATTTTATGGTACGGAATGGCAACTCAATTCAGCGTCTTTTATCCGTCATCATGTTCCACAAATTCCATCAATGTGCACGTATAACTGTGTGCTGACGCCGAAGGTACCGTGTTCTTCTCGATCGTGCCCTCCTTCGAGCAGCGAAGCAATGCGAGAAGCAAGGTAAGCCGGAGAAAGCTCGAGACAAGAATTAATTGTCGGGTCGGCTTCCGGAAAGAAATCCGGGGGGCGCCTTGGCAAAGAGGGGCAGCAGCTTACATCATCCTGACAGACTCACCTGCGTCGAGGGCAGTGCCGGCGCCATGCAAGTTTCGGCGTGGCGAGGCTAGTTGCTCCGGTAGCCGAATTCGCACTCTGGCTCGCTTGGACGTCGGGGTTCGAGCGCAGACACGCTAAGCGCATCGCCTCTGCACGCGTGCGTAACCGGCAACCTTTGGCCCCACCAATGCGAAGCCGGGCAGCCCGGTCGAGTCAGAGCTGAACCAAACCTTGGCGCTGAAGGACCGATCGAGCGACGGCGCGGATTCGGATGCGGTTTGCTCAACGCAGAGCTTGGCGGGGCTCGATTGGGAGCTGCCTCAGCTGCGATTTTGGCTTTCTGGCGCCCACGCCTTGCAGCCGTCAGTTAGGCTTTGGCTCTGCAGCGGAGAGAGGAAAGGCTGAGTGAGAGGTGGGGATTGCAAATGCGCCGATCTCATCGGAGAGAAAAATCGTTGGAATTTAGCGCTGCGCCTCTGTTCTGATGCCTGCTTCTGGCGCGCTTTTTTCGAGGGTTGGCTCGATGCGCGTCGGCTGTCACAGCGGAAGCTTCGGCTTCTTCGGCGCAAAAGAGCGAGGCAAAAAGAGAAGGAGCCAAGCACGCGTTGGGCGCGTCGGTCGAGCATCTGAGCATTTGACGCGCATAGCCAGCCGAGCCGCGACCGGTGGCGGCATGCGCTGCACACCTCACGTCACCTTTTGACCGCCCGTACAGGACTCGGTGCGCTCCGAAGCGACTGACGACCGATAACAGATTCGAGCTGTTGTGGTCAAAGTGGGTGACGGCGCAGGCCGAGTTGGCAAGAGGGGAACGGCAAAGTCAACCAGCGCCGGTTGCAAAGCCTTGTTTCGGTGTTGGCGCCGCGCGTTGCTGTTCTATTCCTGTGCGCGCGCATTGCACCATGACGCCGTGGCTCGAGCTCATGCATCCCTCCTCGCCAGCCCTCTTCGCTACGATCCTGCCTTTGCATTCGTCCACCGGCGAATTCTTTTTGCCCCCTCCTCCACGCTTCATGCCGCGAGCCTTCTCTCGTCCACATCGCTTTCGCATAGCCGAACACGGAGCCCCCTGATCCTACTGCAACCCCAAACCACCCCCACACCCAAACATCCCCACCATTCCTGCGCTTTCCCTCACGCACCCCTATGGCCACTCTTCCACCCACAACCTCAGAGACACACCTGCACACACCCCTTGCGCATCCATCTCGCATCGACAGCCAGCCGGAGCCTCCACCTGCCGTCACGTTCTTGCCGTCTCTCTTGTTTTGCTCCTCGTCAAACAAGACCGCATGGTCAAACTTTCTGCGCTTACCCTCGCTTCCACTCCATCCTCTCTTGCACCTGTCCTGAGACTCGCTTCCCGCGCTTGATCCCTTTGTTTCGCTCTCCCATTGGCGGATTCCATCGGTGCTGGCCTCTGCACTCGTCGGTCGACCGCGTTGTCGAGCCTAGCCGATCTACCGTTCCGACTCTTGGCACTTCAACCGCCGCGCACATCCTTCGCTCATCCTTCCGTACAGAACCACTCCGCAGACTGCCGGATGAGCTGTAAGCGACCTTTACTTTCCCCACTTTGACTCTGCCACATCGGAGAATTCGCTTCCGCTGCAATCATCTCTGGCTAGCGGACGGTGCTCTTGCAGCTTCCGTTAAAACCATCACTCCCCCGTAGAAGGGAACCCTCCTCTCCCTATCGACTACTCTCGACGGAAACCTCCATCAAGATGAAGCTCTCCACAGTCCTGCCGCTGGCCGTGCTGGCGTGCGCAGGCTCTGGCCTCGCCGTCCTTTCGCCCGAGCCCGACTACCAGCAGCTATTCGCCGAACGCGATGTCGACGCCGCCGCCCACTTCCTCGAGCGCAGACAGCAGGGTATCGGAGGCGCTGGTCAGAACGGCCCTGGCTACCAGACCGTCCCCAGCGTGCCGTTCAACGGAAACGACTCGCTACCCTACTCGCCACCTTTCTACCCGACCCCTCAGACCAAGGGAACCTCTCAAAATTGGAAGGACGCCATCGGCAAGGCGCGCGAGTACCTCCAGCAATTCAACCAGACCGAAAAGGTCATCCTCACCACCGGATCCGGTTGGGAGCGTGGACCATGCGTCGGCAACATCTCGCCCATCCCGCGTGTCGGCTTCCCTGGTCTTTGCCTCATGGACGGCCCCGCTGGTGTGCGAGGCACCGACCGTGTCACCTCTTTCCCCGATGCCATCACCGCCGCCGCATCCTTCGATCGCGACCTCTTCTACAAGCGTGCCCACGCTCTCGGTGAAGAGTTCAAGACCAAGGGTGCCAACATCTGGCTGGGACCCATGATGAACGTCGCACGTACCCCCCTTGGTGGCCGTAACTGGGAAGGCTTCGGTGCCGACCCGTACCTGAATGGCGAGGGCTCGTACTATTCGGTCCTTGGCGCACAGGATGCCGGCGTGCAGGCCACACTCAAGCATTACATCAACAATGAGCAGGAGCACTTCCGAAACGAAGGCAGCTCTAACCTCGACTCGCGCACCGAGCGCGAGATCTACCTGCATCCTTTCCTCCGCGGTGTCCAGGCGGGCGCAGCATCGGTCATGTGCTCGTACAACCTCGTCAACAACTCGTGGGCCTGCCAGAACTCGGAGCTGCTCAACAACCGTCTCAAGACCGAGCTGGAGTTCCCCGGCTACGTCATGTCGGACTGGGGTGCCCAGCATGCCGGTGTCGCTTCTGCCAACGCCGGCCTTGACATGACCATGCCCGGCGACGTGCTCTGCTGCAGTCTTCAGGAAGGCTCGCTCTGGGGCGGCAACCTCACCTCTGCCGTCAACAATGGCTCGGTCGCCACCACGCGTCTCGACGACATGGCCACGCGTATTCTTGCCGGTTGGTTCTTGCTCGGCCAGGACCAGGGTTACCCCAAGGCCAACTTCAACTTCTTCGACAAGAAGGATCCAGCCACCAACCAGCATGTTGACGCGACGGCCGATCACGACAAGATCGCCCGCGAGGTTGCCAGCGCCGGTACTGTGCTGCTCAAGAACCGCCGCAATGCTCTTCCGCTCAACAAGCCAGGCAGCATGGCTGTCATTGGCTCGGATGCCGGACCGCTGTACCAGGGCGCCAACTACTGGCCCGACCGCGCGCAGAACGGCGGTCTGCCTTACGGCACCCTTGGTCAGGGCTGGGGTTCCGGATCCACCGACTACTCGTACTTCTTCTCGCCCTACGAGGCGCTGCAGTCGCGTGCCCGCAAGGACCGCACCGGCATCGCGTGGAACTTTGACGACTTCAACCTGGCACAGAGCGTCATGATCGCCAACATGACCGACGTTGCGCTCGTCTTCGTCAGCGCCGAGAGCGGTGAGGGCTACATCACCGTGGACCGCAACGAGGGCGACCGCAACAACCTCACGCTCTGGAACCAGGGCGAGCAGCTCATCCGCAACGTCACGGCGGTCAACAACAACACGATCGTCATTGTGCACTCGACCGGCGCCGTCGACATGGAGAGCTTCGCCGAAAACCCCAACGTGACGGCGATCGTCTGGGCCAACCTTCCTGGCAGCGAGAGCGGCCGTGCGCTCGTGGATGTGCTGTACGGCGACTACAACCCCAGCGGTAGGCTGCCGTACACGATCGGCAAGAACCGCACCGACTACGGCACTGACGTGTTGTACTACAACGACACGGTCACGCCGCAGATCAACTACACCGAGGCGCTCAACATCGACTACCGCTACTTTGACACCAAGAACATCGAGCCCAGGTACGAGTTTGGCTTTGGTCTATCGTACACCAAGTTTGCCTACTCGGGCGCGTGGACGCAGCAGATCGGGTCGGCCGACAACAGCTGGTGGGGCTCGGCGAATGCCTCGACGGGTCTGCCCGAGTGGCTCTTCGAGCCCAAGTACGAGGTGACGTTCTCGCTGACGAACACAGGAGACTGGGATGGCCATGAGGTGTGGCAGGCGTACCTCGAGTTCCCCAGGAGCGCGGGCGAGCCGCCCAAGGTGCTCCGTGGTTTCGGCCGCGAGAAGATCAGCAAGTACAACACGAAGGAGGTCAAGTTCCACCTGAGCCAGTACGACGTCTCGACGTGGTGCAACGACAAGCAGCAGTGGCTGCAGCCCGATGGCAAGCTCAAGGTGCTCATCGGCGCCTCGTCGCGCGACATCCGCCAGGCCGTGGTGCTCAACTGAACCGCACAGACTTCACGAGTCTGCAGTCACACGCGCCCGATCGGGCCGCCGTGGATCGCGCTTTGCTTCGTCTTCGCCTTCATTCTTGGCTACCTCATGTGTAGCTGGACATTCCCTTGCAACCGTCATATCATTTCACTACTCTTCTACCCAAAGAAGAGCGCACTGAGTGGATGTGTAGCGTGTGACCGCGACAGGGTCCAGTCTGGATGGACCGCGTCAGGGAGAGAGTTTTGTGTTTTGTGGGATTCGAAATTTTTCCCTTCCCCACATCTGCTGCGAAACAGGCGCGACGGCCGCAGGGTTCTAGAGCCCGATTCCCGAACTGGCGTGCATCATCTTGACATCCAACCATCATCACCAGCTCGCTGCTTTCGACGCTTGGATCTGTGCGTCGGATCACCCGAGATATACCCACGCCTCGAGGCATCGCTTCGGATACTACACCAAGGATCGATAAAGCCGCATAGACGCACCGAGCATCGGAAGTTTCTTCAGCACGAGCGAGTATCGGCACATCCGACGATTGGCTTCCCTGGCATCACGTTTCGCTCGTCTTTCGATATCACGCGAGACTTTGCTGCGCCGACGCCGCACCACATCCTCGTAGAGCTGCAAATTATCCGCTCATATCCATCTGGCTGTCAACCACGAGCTGTGCGCTTGACGCCGCACCACCACTAGGCATCGAGACACCCGCGTGCAGGAAGCGCTGCGGCAACGATGACTTCCGAGACGCTGCACGAGATCGGGGCGGGCTTCGAGTGGAAGCCTGCGTATGCGGAGCAGCTCGCACACATTGCGGATACGGACGAGTTCATCCACGATGACGAGTTGCACCCGGCTTCTTACGACTGGCCGACGCTGAAAGAGGCGATCAAGTTCCGCATCCGCGAGCACCTTCTGGAGACGTTTGCATCCGAGCGACCGCTCAATCTCCACCCTGCTGCGGCTCTTCTCAAGTCGGGCTCTGACGCGACATCGCAGACGGCTGTCGGCGTTGCTGCGGCAGTGAGCTCGGCAGATGAGCTAACGGACGAGGCAGTCGAGGATTCGCAAGGCGCCAAGGACGAAGCGCAAGAGCGGGCGTCTAGTGAAGAAGAGGCGGAAGCGCGCGTAGGTCCAGCGGATATGCAGAACTTCTACCCATCTTCACGCGCACCCGCCTCCACCGTATCGCCGCTGAGCGCCGACGAAGTGACCAAGCAGTTGCGGCTGCTGTACGGCATGCTGGACGACTTTGACACGCAGCCGCCGTTTACGATCCAGCGGCTGTGCGAGCTCGTCGTCTCGCCGACAGGGCACTACAACAGTGGCGCCAAGTGGGTCGCGGCGCTCAAGCGGTGTCTTGCCGTGACGGCCACGCGCGATGCATTCCCTATCAGCCCGATTCAGAACGCCACGAGCGTGCCCAACGGACACGTGGACGAGGCCAAGTCGGACGTATCCGAGCTCGAGATGGACCGGATGGACGGTCTGGCGCCCAGCACGGGCACACGGTCGAGGTCAGCTAGCGTGGCCAGCGTTGCGGATCCACTGTTTTCGCCGATTCCGTTCATCACCGAGGCGGCCGAGGCAGACGAGGCGGTCCCGGAGCTCGAGCTGGGTGGTGCGGATCGAACGCATGCGGATGCCGTGCCGAGCGAAGTCGTCGATACCGCCCCACCCACCGCGGCTGCTCCGGTTGAAGAAGCTAACGTGGTGATGCCCGATACAACGGAAGAAGCAGGCAGTACAGCACAGGCGGTAGATGCACTCACACAAGCCGACGTCGAGCCAGCACAGGCGACAGCACCACTAAGCGTCCCACCCGGCGAAGTGGACGAAGTCGACAACGCAGCTGCCACCATCCACCCTCTCTCAGCAACCACTGCCGCTCCGCCAGCAGAACAGTCGACAGGCCAAGACGACGAGGAAGAGGCGCGCTCCACCAAACGCCGCAAGAGCGTCGCTTCGGAATCCGATCCACGCGACTGAGCGAGACTTTTGCATCCATTTCATCTCTGCTTGTGCGTGCCTGTTTGCAGTGTGGCTACCTCAGTGACGTTTGCGTGGGTTCGGCGTGTCGGGAGTCGGAGTGAAGGCGTCTCGTGCAGTGTACCAGGACGAAAGACCTCGCCAACCTCCGCGCGAAGGGGACGGTGTCGCCTTGGGCGGTCGTCGTTGCTGTGCGGTTGTGGCCTTCCTCTTCTTGGGCTTGATTCCTGGTGCGCGCGCGAGTCGTTCTTGCTGTGAACTTGGCTCGGCCGCTTTGGCAGCCTTTGTGTGCTTGGGCTTGCGGAATGAGGTTTCGGGCGAATGTGCGCGCTTCTTGCGCGGCGTTCCAATCATCTCCCGCATAGAAGCAGGTGTGGGCGCGTCTAAGACCACCTCGACCTGTTGCGAAGGCGACTGGCTGGGGATCCACTCGGAGACCTCGGCTGTCGACAGCGAGTCTTCCGCCGCAGACTTCTCTACCGCACGTTGCTTTCCGCGCGCTACAGCGCTCAGAGAGCCGAGCGCCCCGCGTTGACCAGTGGGAGACGGCGACCGAGCCCGCTTTGACGGAGACGGCAGGAGTGTGAAGTATGAGCGAAGGTCGCGCGGGCTCTTGTCGGAAGCGCTGCGTGATTTGGAGATGGCGGCGCGTGCAGCGGGTTGCGTTGAAGAGGAAGAAGGAATAGCGGCAGCGGCCTGGCCGGGTCTGGGAAGTGGAATTGCTGCCGAGCCATTAGGCTGCTCCAGTCCGGGCGATCTGGACGTCCGTACGGAGAATAAGTCATCGATGCGCCCGCGATTTAGGGCAGTGCTTGCCACTGGCACGGGCGTCACTTCCCGAACCGATGCGTCGTCATCATCGTCGTCTTCCAGCATCTCCACTTCGACAGGAGTGTCGTCGTCGTCGCTGTCGTACATCTGCGCTTCGACGGGCAATTCGTCATCATCCACGTCCACCACGTCCAGAACCATCTCCTCTGAAGCAGAGTCTGAGTTTGGCACGGCCTGCTTACCCGCTAAACGCGACGCAGATGTCAGCTTGGCAGGCGAAGCCGTGCGCACGATCTCCATCCTCTGCTCGCTCTCCTCTTCCTGCGAGATTGCGGCCTCGGAGCGCTGAAGATCAAAGTACACGCGGATCGTTCCACCCGTCGCGCACGTCACCTTTGCAAAGCGCGTACGCCCCGCGCCGTCGATCTGCGTTTTGACGCACCCGCAGTCGTTGACGTCGACCATGACGAGGCCGCGCTCGCGCGCGCGATCCTCCTCGGCAAGCCGCTCGAGGTCCGACTGCCCTTCTTCGAACCTCAACCACTCGCGCCGCTCCATGTCCGACAGCACGCTCAGCGCGTCCGGCAGAGGAAGCTTGCACGATCGTCCGGCACGCAGATGCCGCGCCACGCTGTCGAGTCCTTCGGCATTCGGTGACCGCCCCAGGCGCCCCTCGCCGACACAAGACTCGAGCTGCATGCGCCGCTGTGCTGCCTTGGGCCACTGTTCCTGCAAAGAAAGCAGCTCACCAAACAAGATTTTACGCTTGGCGGGTGGAGGGATCTGCGGGCTTGTCGGAGGCGGAGCGGGTCCGAGGCCGAGCGCGCGACGCGTGCTGAGCGGGAGCTGAGCTAGACCTTCGCGGTCGGCGCGCACAGGAAGGTCCCAAAATGCTGCTGGATGCAGGGTGCGGGTGGGTAGTTGGCGCGCCTTGGCTACGGTCAACGCCCTGTCAGGGTGCGCACTGCGGGTCGAAGCGGCAGGGAAGGTCGGCTCAGCCGAAGCGGCAGACTGCGCCTTTGCGAGAAGGAAGTCGGCGAAAGAGCTCTGTGGCCTTGGCCGCGTGTGAGATGTGCTTGTAGCGCCCTGACGGACACGATCGAGGAACTCCGACGACGCAAGGACCACGGGCAGCGTCTTTCCCCTTTGTCGAGCTGGATGGCTGACTTGCGCTAACGCCTCTTGAGCATGCTGCCGCTCCCATCGCTCGAAGGCGCGCCGCACATTGTAATCTGTGACGTTGCGCGCGCGCTTCGGATAGCGTCGGAAAGCCTCGCTGTCGGAGCCAGTGGCCGGAGTTGCTTGCGAACTTGAGTCGTCAATGACAATGCTTTTGGGTTGCAAGCCACCATTGAGGACGTGATCCGACGAAGGCTGTAGAGCGTGTGACGTGTCCGATGAGCTGCCCATCTCCACATCCAGCAGATGCATTGACTGCTTGGCATCGGGGAGCACCACCACAGGGTTGGCGTTGGCAAAGCGTGAGGATGCAGAAGCGCTGCGTGCGGATTGGCCAGGAAGCTTTGGGGTTGGGCGCGTGTACGCCTCATCGGCGGAAGAGTCATCGACCACAACGATTACAGCGTCGTCGCCCGCTTCCATGTCTTGGAGTCGTGCTATGCCGACACGCGCAGGCACATGGTGATGCGCCAGAGCCGATTCAGTGCCGCTTGTCTCTTCCGTATCCGCCAGAGTGTGACGCGGGAGAGCTACACGCTCGAGATGCTGCGGGGCTCTGGGTGGCTCGGAGGTATCCGACTCAGCAGTGTGCGGCGTATCGGAGGACTCCGACTGCACAACGAGCTTGGATGACGACGGGTGTGGACGGACCGGCAGGGGCGCCGTATTCGAGCTCGCAGACGCGCTTGGTGGTTCCGCTTCGGGCGTTACCGCGTCATCGAGATCATCGTGACCGTCGTCAGGCAAGGGCGTTGCCGACGGATTGAGCGCGCCTCTGCGCGGGACGGGCGTGCGAGGAACGTACCTGACGCGGGCTCCTTGAGGCGCTACGGACACGGAAACGCTGCGCGATTGGCTTCTGGCTGCGGAAATCATTGCTACGTCGGAATCGTCGGATGCGCCGGATTCGTCGGCCTCATGTTCGAGTTCGTCCGTTTCGGTCTGTAAGAAGCCTCGTAAGGATCTCGTGCTCACATCGCTGTCCGAGTCGACGGAGACTGCGCTTGATGGGATTGCGGCGTGCTTGTTCTGAGTTGGAGGCCTGAAGGAGGAAGGCTGTGCGAACGAGGTTCGCGACTCGTGGTCGACCTGTGGATTCCTTTCGGATTCGTAGCGCTGGTTGTACAGGTCAGCTAATGAGGTGGGCTGTGGGTTCCTCTGGCAATGGACAGATATGGTCTCTGTGCGGACGTCGGTGGTAAGTGTCGGCGCGGAAGTGCTTGGATCAGGCACACCAAGTTCTTCTGCGCGCCGAGCATTGTAAAGGTCGACGAGGGAGGTCATGACAGAAGGTGACGAGGCGCAAGACGAGAACGTCGCGCGAGCATGCTAGGCTGCAAGTCGCCCTGACGTGCAAGTGGAAGCGAAGTGGCTCAGCTGAGCAGCGCCTGCATGGCCGAGGAGGTGCGGATGAGATGCAGGTGCGGATACGGGAGTAAGGTTTCCCACCGAGCTTGAGCTTCAGGCAGATTGGCGCGCTCTGGAAGGACCGCGCTTCTCGGATGAAATGAAGCGATGATGCAGCGCGTGCGAAAGTCGTGAGGTGGGGGCGGCAATCCTGGCAGGCGCTGCGCGTCGCGATGTGGAAGAGGGTTGTATGAAAGGAAACGAAGCAATGACGCAGGTGAGCTGGTGTTGTTCTCTACCCTTGCCTAGCAGGCTAGGAGCCCGGCTTTTATTCGCACTGACAAATGATCTCTGGGCGGTGGGAGCGGCTCGCGTTTTGGGCAGCAGCACGCGGCGCTCTCCTCCTAACCCTGAAATCCTCGACAGCGCGCCCTGCATCGCCATCTCCGCCTTCCGAGAAATCTCTCGAGCTTGCTGAGGCTCTCATCTTCACATGTCGCGCCAATTCGATTCAGCCTTGCCCTCCGCAATTCACCTTTCCGTCCTCATCCTGACACGGACACCGGTTTCGAAGAGAGACCACTGGACATCATGACGGACCAATGCATTCCCAATATGTCTACATCAAATTCTGACCATGGCTTTAGGAGCGAGCCGCGTGATTGGCCAGCATCTCCAGCTCTTCATACTCGCCCGTCTTGCGGCACATGTCGTAAAAAATGCCTTTGCGCTCCAGCAGCGCAGCGGGCGAGTCGTTCTCAGCGATACGACCCTTGTCCATGACCAGAATGCGATCATAGTCGATGATCGTCTTGAGTCTGTGGGCGATCGTGATGATCGTCGTCTTGTGCCTCGCGTCGGCGTCCAGCGGCGACCGCAGCGTACGCTGAATCTGCGTGTCTGTCTCAAAATCAACAGAAGCGGTTGCCTCGTCCATGAAGATGATCGATGTCGAGCGCAGCAGCGCTCTCGCCATCGAGATCAGCTGCCTCTGCCCCTGCGAGAAGTTGCTGCCGCCTTCCGACACCTTGGTATCCAGGCTAAACACCGTGCTTCCTGCTCCCGACGGTAGCACCGAATTGACCGTCGTCGATGACGAAGACGATGCATGCGGCTCCATCGACACTTCATGAATCGACCCGGCGCGGCTCGGGAGCAAGCTTGGTGCGGCCGTGTTGATCGGGCTCGTGCGCAGGTTGACCCGACGAAGCGCTAGCATGCATTCTTCGTCTGTGCGCTCATCGAAGGGGTCCAGATTCTCGCGGATCGTGCCACTGAACAGCACTGGATCCTGCGGAATGATGGTGAGTCGACTGCGCAAGTCATCGAGTCCAATCTTGCTGATATCGATGCCGTCAATAACGATCGAACCTGCTTCGTACTCGACAAAGCGGAAGAAGGCAAGCGCCAAGGTACTCTTGCCCGAGCCCGTGCGTCCCACCAGTCCGACCTTTTCGCCTGCTCCGATGCTGAATTCGACACCGCGCAGCACCGGGTCCAGATCGGGCGCGTACTTGAGCACCAAGTTGCTCACCTGGATTCCGCGGCTGTCGATCTTGGATGGCCATCCAGGGGGCGGACGGTGGTCCTCGACGACTGCGGCCGGCTCCTGTGGCAATGCTAGGTATTCGTGCATCCTCTCCACCGAGTTGAGGTCCATCTCGAAGCCCGTCCAACAGCGGCAGAGCCAGTACAGCGCGAGCACGAGCGTCTGCGCTTGGGTGATGGCGATACCTGCCAGACCGGCATCGATGCCGCCTGCCAGCGACAGTGCCGAGGCGCCAAAGACAGTGAAAGCGCCCATGACGTCGAAGCGCAGCATGAGCCAACGGTTCGCCATCCAGAACAAGTTGTAGCAACTCTGCGTTGCGTCAAGTCGACGGAAGAGCGTCTGCATGAAGCGTTCCTGCGCACCGTACGCGCGCACCGTCGCAATTCCGTTGAGCACCTCGGAGAAGGACTGGAAGATGGGGGATCGCGTCACCGACTCGAGGCGTCGCAAGTCGCGCGCTGCCGAGATGTACGAGACCGACGTACGGTAGTAGGCGTAGGTGATCACGAACAGGAACGGCACGAAAGTCGGCACCGTGACTGCCATCGTGCCGATAGAGAAGACGCACGAGGCGGAGAAGAGCAGGAGGAAGCGGATGTTGCCGAACAGCGTCGTGTCGACCGTCTCGACATCCTTGGTGAAGCGATTCAGGATGCGTCCTGTTGGCGTCTGATCGAAGAAGCGCGTAGGAGATCGCACCACGGTCTTGAGCATGCGGCTGAAAAGCTTGTTGCCCGCACCAATGGCGCCGATGCCACCGACCAACGAGGACAGGATCATTGTGGCGTAGCCGAGCATCAGGATGCCAACGTACACGCCCAGGTACGGAGCGACATTGGCCCTGGGATCGGCGAACCAGCCCTGCTTATCGGATCCGCCTCGGTGTTCGTACGCATTACCCCAGAAAGAGAGCCAGTACTTCTCCAACACGTCGGCGAAGCGGGACACCAATGTCGTGAGCAGCACAAACGTGACAAAAAGCCAGCCAAAGGCCGACAGATACGTGACGTAGATCTCGCGCTTGACGCGGCCCGTCGACTTTCCTTCAGCGCTGACGAGCTTGCCTCGTCCCGGCGCGCTTGCTGCACCGTTCTTGCCGGAGTCGTTCGTGCCTCCATAGTCCGCCTGAGCCTTTGCCTGTGCATCGACTGCGGCGTCTTTTGCTTCTTCCTCCTTCATCTGGTCCTTCGCAGCCTGTTTGCCCTTGACGTTCGGGCTTTCCGGCGAGGATAATCCGAGTACAGCTGGCGAGAGAAGGCCTGCCTCTCTGAGCTCTGATGACGAACCGCTAGCCTTGATGCGGCCGCCATCGAGCATAACAACATGCTTGACATGAGGGAGTACAGCATCGACGTGGTGTGTCACCAACACGACCGTGCGGCCCTTGACGAGCTCGCCACATAGGCACTCGTCCACCAGCCTCTTGGCCGTGTGGGAGTCGACGGCAGCCAGCACATCGTCGAGGAGCAGGATCGGTGAGCGAGAGTACACTGCGCGTGCCAGCGCCACTCTGGCCTTCTGACCACCCGAGAGCGAGACGCCGTTCTCGCCGACTTCGGTCTGGTCGCCCTCGGGGAACGTCTTGAGGTCCGGCTCCAAGCAGCAGCAGCTGAGCACAGCGTCGTAACGGGCCTGATCAAAGTACTGGCCAAAGACGATGTTGTCACGGATGCTCATGGTCTCGAGCCAAGCCGTCTGGGAGCAGTACGCCACGCCGCCACTGAGCAGCCGCAGAGGACGTTTGGGCAGCAGGACCGAGCCCTCGAGCAGCTCCATCTCGCCCATGATTGCGGACAATAGCGAAGACTTTCCGGATCCGGTCGGACCACAGATCAGCGTCATCTGGCCGGGCGGCGGTCGCAGGTCCAGGGCCGTTAGGTGGAAAGGCTCTGCCTCGGGCTCGAGCTGTTCATGTTCCGTGGCAGTCGCCATCTCGGCATTTTTCGCTCTCTTCCAGAACTGGAGCTTTGAGAGGAAGGAGCGCTTGGCGGCCGGCTGATCTTGCTTCTTCGTAGGCTTCGCAGCGTGCCAACGGAGCGTTGCATCGCGCAAGACGATTGTTCGGTCGCTGTGAGCGGTTTCGTTTGGCTGGTCTTGTGCATCGTGCGCCAAAGCGTTGTGTACGACCCAGCTGGGCACCTCGTCCTCCTGCAAAAACGTGTTGATGCGGTCCACCGAGACCTTGGCCTGGAAGATCATGTTGATGATCATAGGCAGCACGCTGAGCGGGTTCTTGAGCATGCCGAACAGGGCGATGGCCGTGAACCCTGTCGCGACATCGAGCTGTTTGCCCTCGACCAGTGTGTACGACGCAAACGCGGTGATGGTAAACGCCAGCGGTACGAGCGCAAACGACGCGATCAGCCCGGCCATGATCCACGCATTGCGGTAGAGCCACTTGACCTCCTCCTTTCGGGCGCTCAAGATCCGTTTGGACCATCCCTGCTCCCAAGCGAAGAACTTAATGAAGCGGATCGATGTCACGAGCTCGTTGAGCACCGTGATCCTCTTGTCGCGCGCCTTGAGGAGCCCCTTGTTGTTCTCGTACGACATCATTGTAAAGCGCTGTTGGAGCGGCATCAAGATGAGCGCAGGTCCGACGCCGGTGAACGCCGACCAGCCGAGGAGTTTGTAGAGGAATGTGGTGGCGATCGCCAGCTCCAACGGGGCCGAATAGCCCATGTACAACGCGGTCACCGAGGTTGAGATCGAGTTGGCATCGGTTGCCATGAGGTTGACGACCTTGCCAACGCTTGCGGCGCTGTTGTCCTCCTCTTCCTGCTGCTGTTTTGCTTTCTTGGCGGCTTCGGCGTCTCCATCCTTCTTGTCCGTCTTTGCGTCCTTGTCCGCCGATTCATGCGTCTGCTCGGCATTGGCAGTGGAGGTTGCGTTCTGCAACGAGCCCGAGATGTCCTTGCGACGGAGCGCCTTGTCATAGATTGCCAGAGTGAGCTCGGTCTTGATACGAACGCTGGCACGGCGGCTATAATACAGATGCTGAAGGTCGGTTTGCGTCTTTACAAGCGAAGCGAGCAGGGCAAAGACAGCGAACAAGAAGGCGCGTTTCCTTGCCGGATCGATAAAGTCGGGGACCGACTTCATCCAGCCCAGCATCGGCGTGGCATAGAGTTGAACTGTGCCCTGGATACCTGTGGAGATTGCCGCCTCAGCCGAACCTCGGGAGAAGTCGTGGGCGGAGACGAAGGCTTCGGTTGCAGGGGCGCTGGTCTGAAGGGAGTCCAGAATTTGCTTGAGGAAGAAAGGGCTGGCGTACGCCAAGCTGTAGGAAACGATGGTGAGAACAAAGTCGAGCGCCATGTCCCTCGAGTTCATCCAGAACACCTGGCGCACCAAGTTGGGCTTCTTTGCCTCGGCCCTCTTCTCGGCTTTGGCGCGTGCATCGGCACTGGCCGTCTGGGCTTTTTCCTTGGCTGCAGCATACGCTTGGTCATCCTCGCGCTGGATCGTTCGCATCTTGTTCAACAGCACCTGTGACTTGGACAGCTTGCTGAGCTGCGAGACATCTGTCTCTTCCAGCGGCCTGGTGAGCGCGGCGTTGATGATGGGATTGAGCCAAGAAAAGCTGACCCACTCCCAGAGGGTGCAGTAGTCCTCGAGCGGTGGAGGGTATCCGTTTCTGTCGTACTGCGGGTTGCGGTCGTACACCTGAAGGGGCAGGCTCATGATGAGCGCAACCGCAACAAGGCTTAGCGCAAGAGAGGCGATGCTGAAGGCCGGTGGAGCGAGCTGGCTGCTATGTGGTGGATGGAACGGAGGATGGGGAGTGGATAGAATCGAGCGGTAGCCTGACACAGCCGAGCCGGCCAGTTGAAAGGCGTAGAAGACGAGCAGAGTGTACGGCGGTGTGGGCGACGGGAAGAAGCAAGAAAGGATGCTGGCGTAGATCCAGGCACCTGTTTGGAGAGCGGCTGCAAGCTGAAGGCCCGCCCGTGTTTCGAAGCCGGCTTCGTTGCCCAAGCGGCTGGCGAGGCGAGGGCTCAGCAGGGTGATGAGAAGAGCAGCCGTCCATGCGATAAGGTGGAGGACGCTGATGACCGAGAGTCCAAAGTGTACTGCAGCAGGCTGTTTCGGCACATCATCTGTAAAGTTGGGGATCTGCGAGTCGGAGCGGCCTCCCAAGAGCGGCGAGGTCTCGGAGTTTCCCGCCTCGTTCGATGTAGCAGCTTTGCTGCGTGGCGAGCCGTCGGCCTTCCCGACGTGTGTAGACCCATATCCGTCGGGCGAGGCGTCGGTATTCAGACTAGCACCGATCTGCTTGTCCTGTTCCTTCGCTTCCGCCTCCTGACGGTCGTATTCGTGGACGTCTTCAGGCGTAACGAACGAAGTGAAGACGCGACCCAGCAGCGACGGCTTCGAATTTGACGATTTGGGCCAAAGCCGCAATGCCAGCACGACGACGACGAAGGCGGCAGGTAGGAAGGCGTCAAAGACGAGTGGGACCGACTTGTATCCATGGTCGATCGGTGTCGTTGACGGCGCACCCGCCATCGCACTTGTGTTGGTCATGGTGGGGACCGTGTTCGGGATAGCCCCTGCTGCGCGAATGTCAGCAGCAAGCGGGCTGTCGTCCCACAAACTCGATCGCGGTGGTGATGTGAGCGAGCGATAGACGGCGGAGGTCAATGTTGTCGGGAAGGAAGCCGAATGTGGTGTATATAGGGTCGTGATGCTGAGCTGGCGGAAGGCTCGACGACTCGAGCAATGGCTCGGCTATGGTGAATTCAGGCAATGCAAACCAGGGCCCTGGGGTTGCTGAGTTTTGTGCCGGCTCTCATTTGTCCCCCGCGAAGATGCGGTGACTTTTTAAAGCTGCATGTGGAAAAGGAAGGATGCCCGCTGCAGCTCGTGTCGGGTCGGAGCGCGCCGACGCGTTCACTTTGGCCCCTTGGCTGAGCCTACCGTTCAGAGACCACATGGTTGCTGAGTTCTCGCCATGACCTCCGGGCAATGACTCCACTCACACTGCCTCAAGATTGTGGTCGCTCCGGAGCGGGACAGCAGCACCGATCCGTGGCGGAATTGTACGGTGTCGAAGCTTTGGTGCAAGGAACACCGTGTCTCGTTCCGACCGGCGGCTCTACGGAAGGGCGAGCGGGCAGGCGAGCAAAGCCCGCTCGATGTCACAGAACTGCACAGCAACACCGACTCAGCCGCAAAGCCGCGGGGCGGAGCACTCATTCTCCCACTGCAAGGGACCACCTACCGTGCATCTCGAGACATGCCGGCCATCACGCGGCCAGAGTCGAGTCACGGAACGTGGACTCCATAGCTAGCCAACCCTTGACTTGTTTGTAGCCAGGGCACTGCTTTTGCTCACACGACGTGGTCGTCCAGCCCCAGAACGCGGCAACGATAAGGCAGAGGCAGCTTCGGCACGCGTCCTTCCGACCTCGCATCGAGACGAACCTCCGCGGATCCAAGGGGCTGTGAGCGCCCTGGTTTGTGGCTTTATATATGTCGCAACAGCGTTTCCTGACATCTGCGGCCATAGAACCTTGGAAGCACCGCATCCCGTCCGATCTGCGAAGTGATGCAAGGTATCGCCTAGTCAGTACTGCGGTGGGGGACCACGCGGGAATCCTAGGTGCTGCAGTTCTTTTTTCTTTTTGCTTTTGGCCGTTTGCACATCCAGCTTACAGACTCAAGTCGACCTTGCCGTCGCCTTCACAAGTGCACAGCCATCGGGAGTCAGTCGCATGGAGAACGATCATGGGGGTATATTGAGGATCGCAACACCGCGGATTCATGGCATGATTCGTTTCGATGCGTGGTAGGCATCGACTTAGAGCTCGAGGACCGGCGCTGGTGCTGGCGAGTCTGCTGCTTCGTCGCCGAAGATGTCGCCTCTGAGCTCGGCAAGTTCGCCATCGTCGAGCTTGCGGAACAGAATACCGTTTGCCTCGTCCGTACGCATCGGTCGACTTGTGAATGAAGACATGCCATCAGCAGGGCGCGCCGGGTTGGCGCGGTTCAGCCCGATGCTTGGATTCGGAAACCCGCTGCCGCCGCTCACATCATATAGACTCGACGGTGCCGTCGACAACGAGACCGATTGAAGCGCGAGCTTGTTGAACAGCGTCCGGTGTGTGCGGAACATCCTGGTCGTGCAGAAACCATCATGGCTTAGCACTTTGCAATCGTCAAGGGTTGGCAGGGCAGCAACATACCTATAGACTTCTGGATTTGCGACTTGTCCCTCACGTAGGGACTCAAGGTTGTCTTCCTGGAAAGCGTTCTTCACGAACTGTAGGATGTGGAAGACAAAGTCCTGCCGAGGACGCCATGCTGTCGGGAATCGAGAGCTGAGCAGCAGTCGGCCAGTGTCGGGATCGACGAGCGGATGAAGCAACGTGGGTGGAAAGAAGACTTGCGGTGTTGCCGATGGGTATGCTGGAGGGAAGACGATGTCAAAGCGGAAGATGCCTCCGCTGAATGGTCCATTCTGAACAAAGATCACGCCATGCCAAACTGCCGTCGCAGACAATGATCCCGCAGTAGTTCGTCAGCTCCAGTTCAGAGCACTGCCCGACAGCGAAGGCTGCTTGACTCACGGTGAGTGTCATCGTCGTCCAGCTGAACGTAGACGCCTTTGGGGCAGTTCGAAGGAAGGCACAGCTGTGCGTATTGGAACGAAATGTCGCGCTGCGCAAACTCGAGCCGCACTTGCTGGCTTGGCGGCATGCTGACACTCGTCGTTCCTTCCTGTTCTGGTTCTGAGCTGTGAAGGTGCTTGTCGGATGTGCCGGTGTGATCGCTTGACCGATTGCGCAGATTGCTCAGCGTGGGAGTCGAGCGACGCTTTCAATAGCTCGGACCGTCGGAACTGGCCGAAGAGAAAGGAAAGTGTGGGTGAGCAAGGCCGTAGGGTCAGAGTGTGGATCCCCTCGACGTGCATGTGTTGGTCTGGATCGGAACGCCCGATCCAACAGGACCCTGTTTGGCACGCCGAACTGCTCCACTGCCCTGCACCTGCTGCTCTGGAATTTTCAGATGGACCCGCGTCGTGCAGGCAGGGCACGGACCTGAAGCGAGCTTGCAGTTCTTCTCGAGGCCAGCCTCTCTTCGGACCCTCGCTGACTCTCCCACATCATCCTTACCGGCCCGAGCTGTAGCGATCGCTCGTATCTGGCACCTGAAGACCTCAACGAAGGGCCCTCGGAGTCGGCTGAGGATATGGCGGGACCAACGCCGACGAGCGCTGGTGCACAGCCCGATGTGGCCGGTGCCTCGACCACAGCGAGCCACGTCCAGTCAGCCGGATCGCTTCGCATCAGGAAGCTGAGCAAGGTCTCGCCGGCTCGCTTTCTTCTTCTGAGCCTCCTATTCCACATCGTCTACATCTCCTCCATCTTCGACATCTACTTTACCTCGCCCGTCGTTCATCCGGAACCGCGTTTCAGCGTCCGGGACACCCTGGCGCCAGGGCATGTTGGCGAGTCTCTTGAGGCACCGGCGAAGCGGCTCGTACTCATGGTCGGCGATGGACTCAGAGCTGACACGCTGTTCAAACGCCATTCGTCCGAGCTCTTGCCCCCATGGTCCGCCGCCAAAGAGGCGGATTACGACCTAGATGGCACGTCCGGCTTGTGGGCATCCTTCGCCCAGGATCCCTTCAGCGCACCCTACCCGTACCGGCTCGCGCTGCAAGAGAACAAGTTCATACCATGTGCGCATGATCAGAGCTGCGCGCATCCGGACCAAGCCTTCGCAGCACCTTTTCTGCGCAGTGTCTCTCGAGACCGTGGTGCCTGGGGGATCAGTCATACTCGAGTTCCGACCGAGAGCCGTCCTGGACACGTTGCGATGCTCGCAGGAATGTACGAGGACGTCAGTGCGGTGACCAAGGGCTGGAAGCTCAACCCGATTGCATTCGACTCGATTCTAAATCAGTCGACACATTCCTTCGCCTTTGGCTCGCCGGACATTGTGCCCATGTTCGCCGTCGGTGCTGCGGCTGACCGTGTCGACATGTGGACCTACAACGAGGAGGACGAAGACTTCACCAAGGACGCTACGCACCTCGATCTTTGGGTGCTGGACCACTTCAAGAAGCTTCTCAACGACGGGGAGAACAATCCTGAGCTTCGCCGCAAGCTAGAACAGCCAGGCACGGTGTTCTTTCTCCATCTTCTCGGCCTCGATACGACCGGCCACTTCTATCGACCCACCTCGCCTGAATACGTCGGCAACACCATCGTAGTCGATGCCATCGCACGTGAGGTCGAGAAGCTCATTGACGATTTTTTCGGAAATGACGGTCGCACGGCTTACATCTTTACGGCCGATCATGGCATGAGCCTCAAGGGCAACCATGGCGACGGCGATCCAGACAACACGCGCACGCCCATTGTCGCATGGGGCGCCGGTGTTCGCCGGCCTCAGGTTGCCACGTCACAGCAGATTCAAGAGGCCAAAGCAGAGCAGGAGCGCGATCCGTACTTTTCCAATTGGCATCTCGAAGACATTTCGCGTGTGGATCTCGCCCAGGCCGACATAACCCCGCTCATGGCGACGCTGCTCGGGGTGCCTGTTCCAGCCAACTCGGAAGGTCGCCTGCGTCTCGATCTGCTGGACCTCTCTGCAGAGCACAAGGCGCGCGCTCTACTCGCCAATGCGCAACAAGTGCTCGAAACCTACCGCGTGAAGCATGCATCGCGCGCGCGCCGCATGGTTCGTTATGTGCCCTTTGCACCGCTGGCGCCTGTACAAGACGAGACGCTGCCCGGCGAGGAGAAGATCGATCACATCCTCATCAGCATCGAGGAGGGCGACTTTGATGAAGCGGCGCTGCTCTCGAATGCGCTCATCGACGAGGCAATCGAGGGCGCACGCTACTTGCAGACTTATGACTGGCTGCTTCTGTGCTCGGTCGTAACCATCGGCTACCTGGGCTCTATCGTCTATTCTTTTGCCTTTCTGCTGCGCAACTACATCCTTTCCGACCAAGAAATTGCTGCAACCGCCCCGGTGCCAAAGCCAGGAGGAAAGTCCCCCACCCCTCTCCTCAAAATCCTGGTGGCTCCCGTCTCTGGGGCCGTGTTCGCACTTTTCGCGGCGCAAGAGATGCCGTTCTCGTACTACCTCTACGCTGCGCTGGCGTTTCTCTTCTGGGGACGAGTGCTGGATGACCTTCCGCTCTTTGCCGCTGCATACCGGCGCATCTCGGGCTCTCAGACTGGCTTTTCGATCGTTGCAATTTTGCTCAAGGTTCTGGCATCGCTGGCGATGCTTGAGCTTATGGCCGTGGGATACTTGCGTCGCGAAGCGTGGTTCGTCGGCTTTATTCTGCTTGGATTCGCCTGGCCGGCTCTTGGGATGAACGCGGATTTCAAGTCGGAGAACGAGGGTCTGCTGATCGTCTGGGGCTTCTCCTGCCTCCTGAATGGCCTGTTCACCATTGGGAATGTCAACAAGGAAGAAAGCATCACGCTGCTGATGCTCAGCGCTGCAGTCTTCCTGACGGCAGGCTCGGTCATAATCTCGCGGCCGAAGCTCTTCTTTCCCGCAGCAAGCACATCTGGAGAGAAGGAGAGCAGCGGAAGCGATGAAGATCGCGCAACTTCGGACAAGGCCCGAGAAGCGGATGCATTGCATCTTGGCCACACCCTGCAAACGCTCAAGGTGCAGCTGGTCGTGCTCGTCGTAACTGCCATCACCACGGCCGTCTCGGCACGGTCCCTCCGTCTGAAGCAGGGGCTTCCGCTCGTCACGCAAAGCTTGGCTTGGATCTGCCTTGCGACCTGTCTCGTCTTTCCCTTCGCTTACGGGTTCCGCGGTCCTGTCGCGATCGAGGCGGGCGGCAAAGACGCAGCGATCTCTCTGGTGAGGCAGCCCAGCAGTCAGCGCCTGGCAGTCGTCGTGTTTGCCTTTGCTCCAGTGTTTGTGCTTCTATCACTGCGAGACGAAGTCTTGTTCTTTGGCAGTTTCATCACGACGCTGCTCGTGTGGGCCAAGCTCGAAGGCGCTCTGCGCGAAACTCGCCGCGATCCGACCATGGCAGCAGATCAATCTGGCAAGCGCTACCTGCAGATTTCGGAGCTGCGCGTCAGCCTCTTCTACCTCTTCTTCCTACACATCGGCTTCTTCGGCACAGGCAACGTGGCCTCGATCTCGTCTTTTTACCTTTCGCCCGTGTATCGGCTGGTGCCGGTGTTCAATCCGTTCCTCATGGCGACATTGCTGCTGCTCAAGATCCTCGTTCCCTTCGTCATTCTCAACGCCATCTTCTCGCTGCTGGCCGCAACACCGAGCATTACCGCGTCACCTCCTGGCTCCAAAGCTCCCGACCGCGGATTGAAGCTGCTCGGCGACACGGCGCCCGGAGGACTGGGACTCGACTCGGGTCTGAGCCTCGTCTTTGGTGCGGGCATTGCTGCCGATGTGCTGGCGCTCAACTTTCTCTTTGCGGTCAAGAGCGAAGGGAGCTGGCTTGAGATCGGCCAGACCATCACGCACTTTGTCATGGCGAATCTGCTGCAGATCTTCATGCTTGCACTCGCTGCTGCAAGTTCGGCGATCCTTGGATGAGTGGATGAATAGTCGAGCGCCTACACTTTCTACCACCCAATCGACCCGGTTGTAATAGGACAATCTTCTCTTGGTCCGTGCCTTGGAGCAACGGAGTGAAAGCGCTGTATGCCTGAAGAGATGCTGAGTGAGAAAGGCCAGCTCGGAAATCGGAGAGTGATGTGTTGGTTTCCAGACGAGGCGCGCAACGCGTCCGCGTAGAGGTGTCGGAGACTGTCGTGATGCGTAGGAGGCGGCTGAGGCTGAGGCTGCAGCGCAGCACTTGCGAACTTTTGGACTCGGAAAAGAAAGCATTCCGGCTTCCTCGGCTTGCATTGCGTCCATCACGCCCTAATCACCTTTCCATCTTCTTCCAGTTCTCAATCAAGACAGCCGCCCTTCGCTTCTTCCGACAGCACCAATCTCCTCGAGCTTATTGCGTGCGCCTGCCCGAGGATCATTTAAATCAACGGGCCGCTCGCAACCTTCTTTGCGCTCTTGCGGCACGACACGCACAATCCAGACTTCCGCAGCAACTTGTGTCATCTCCCTCATCGGCCGCTCTCCTCGCTGGCCGGATCGACGTTCTCATTCGATCCTTGCCACCTCGCTCAAGTGGCATGCAGTTCCGACGCTGGACCCTCGAACAACCTGTCTGAGGTCTCCAGGGCCATGCAGCCGCCACGCGTTCCTAATTTCCTCCGCTGGCCACTTGATGGTCAGACCAACGATGCCCACCCCCTAGGCCAGCGTCACCACCTTCATCCACCAGCGACCCGTCTCAGTGCTCTGCCCGACATCTTTCAGCATGCCTCCGGAGCCCATCGCCCTTGATAGCCCGGATGAGGACGAAAGGAGGTATCCCCTCCGCTCGGATCGCCGCAAACCAAAGCGCGAACACGAGTCCGACAGCGAAGTAGATGAACTCGAATCCGACAACGACGATGATCCGCAATCTTGCTCTGCGCCGCCTACGCGCAAATCGCCGGTGCGATCGACCAAGCCCAAGTCGGCCAGAAAGCTGAAAAAGGAGCGACACCAAGCCAAGAAGAAAAAGAAGAAGCAGCAACGTGAAGCTCGCGAAGCTCGCGAAAAGAACGATGCTATAGCTGCAGAGTCTGCTCCTGGCCCTGTGCCACAACCTTGCGACGGCGACGACGTCGATGAGGACGATGACGAACACTTACCTGGCCTGGTCGTTCCCTCCAAGGACGCCCGTCGCAAATCGCCTGTGGAGCGCGTCACCGAAACGAGGAGCGAGGACGAAGTCGAGCTGATCGCTTCGGAACCGCCCGGGCCTGAAACCGCTTCGGTCCCACCAGAGCGGTCGTCCGCTCCCATCACAGTGGATGATGACACAGACAAGCGTCCGCCCGACAGCGCCGCCTCGGCCCCTCCCACAATTGCAGACTCGCGCGCGGATTCTGCGCCGGCTCCCGGAGACGTGTCCAACCCCGTCGCGTTCGAGACATCCTCCCCACCCATGGCTGCTAACAACGAGGCCGCCGATGATGTTCCCGATGACGCGTCCGTCTCGGATATCAGCTCCCTGACCTACTCTGACTCGGAAGAGTGCGTCGAGGGCGAAGAATTCTACACGAGCTCCGAAGGATCTCAGCATGGCTCGGACAGCGAGGACGGGCTCGGCTCGTGGACCAAGCGCGATCAGGACAAGTGGCAAGGCTCAACTGCTCACCTTGACGCAGCCTATGACGACGTCTACGAAGTGCGTGCGGTCCTTCGACACCGCCGAAACCCGCGTCGCGGCTTCATGCAGTATCGCACCGTATGGGCAGGCTACCCAATCTACTCAACAACTTGGGAGCCGGAGTCGCATTTCAACAGCAGGCGGACCCTCGACGAATATTGGCAGCGACAAGGCGGGCGTCCAGCTGACGCCCCGTACGACCCCGCGAATCACTCTACGCATGACTCGGATACCGACCGTGCCGTGATCCGTCGACCGCGTCGCCGTGCACACGAGGCGCTGAAGAAGAAGCGCCGTGAAATCAGGCGTGACAAGGTCGACCTTCGCAAATACATGGCCTCGCTCGACCACGAACGCGCCGAGAAAAAGGCAAAGGCGGAGCGCAAGTTCGAGTTGTGGCGCCGCGAAAAGCGCGTCGAGCTCGAGACCGAGCGAACTCGCGAGAAGGGCACCTCGCGCAGTCACCAGAAGAGGTTGGAGAAGCTCAACAAGAAGCGTTGGAAGCGCGCTGGCGGCGCCGACGGCGCAGGTGCTGCCGCTTCAGCCCGCTTCAGCGCAACCCATGCAAACCGCAGCATGGCGGACATTTCGATGAAGGCGCGCGCCGGCCCAAGCGTTTCGGCGCGAACTCGAGTCTCCCAGCTGGACGACAGCATCCCCGAGAATGACGACAATCAGCTAGTCTTCCGAAAGTCGGCCCCGGGCTCCGGTTCCAACTATCCTGGACTCGCAGCTTCCATGCCCGGCCCCAGTCGTTCCAGGCCGGGTTCCACATCCGTGCGCCCCATTGCAGGGCCTTCCTCTGCCTCCAGGCCTGCCACCGCCTCAGGTTCGGCGTCTGGCTCGAACAGTCAAGCACCGCCTCCTCGCCCCCCTCCCGGCAGCTACAAGGGCCAGCACCATCGCGGGCCCAGGGTGCAGATCAAGGAGGACATGCACAGCTTCCTCAACAAGCTCCACAGCGATGTCGCGCGGAGTCGTGCAGCACAGGATGGCAATTCTCAGGCCGTTCCAGCTCCGACCGACTCGGACGGCCGCCCGATCGCGATGAAGCGCAGGCCGTCCGAGGCCAAACGCAGCAACCTCCTCGTCCTGCAGCCGGTCAAGGACTTCCAGGGTGGCAGCAGGCCTGCGGCGCCGGCCTCCGTCGCGCACGCTTCACACTCGACGTCTTCGGAGGCTGGAGATGACGGAGACAACGAGCCACTCGACATCCCCGAGATGAGCGCCGTGCGTGGTCAGTTCAACCCGCACCAGCCGGCTCCAGACTCGGACGAGGAGCGCAAGCGGGCCTCCGTACCTAAGAGGAGCAGTCTCGCGCCACCTGCACCTCAGCAGAAGGCAAAGCAGACCGAGGATCCTCGACGCCGTCTCAACCCTCCCTCCGCTCCGAAGCGTGACCAGCACGCGTCTTGGTCGCCGCCAGCGGACGATGCAGGCTGGAACCCTTCCGGATGGGACATGGACCCCGGCCCGGCCTTCTCGCCGCCCACGTTGACGCCTCGATCGCCGCTCGAAGGCGAATTCCGCCAGCATGGTCACGGCGCGCCGCGGGCTCCCGCGCCTCAGTCCGTGGTGACGCACTGCTGGTTCCAGATCGTGACAGACGGAACACTTGGGCTGGAAGGAACGCTGTGCTCGCACGAGCCGTTTCCGAGCAACCGAGCCGAGACTCTTGGCCTCGCGGATCGCGTGACGATCCAGTTCGATCGAGTCATGCCGTTTGCGTGGATTCGCGAGGCTCTAGCCGGGCCCGATATCGCCTGGCACGAAGCCATGGTTCTACACGCGCAGGGACCTGGCGTCATCCGAAATCGCGCACACCTTGATCACCTTTCGGAAAGGCTCAAGGTTACCGACATGGCTCTGCTGTCCGCTCTCCCATCTCCTCGCGCGTCCGTCAACGCGGAAGGCTCTGCACAGCAGCAAGAGTATCTCGTCGCGTTTTCGAACAAATACAGCTTGGACCCGGTTGCTGGCGTGCCGCAGGCGCTGCAGAACATCAGTGGTCATTCCTCGACCCTCTGCGTGATGCCTCTGCGGCTCAGTCTGGTGTCGGCCCCATCGCAGCTGCTCGCATTCCGGAGGCAGCCGCCGTTAGACTCGTCCATTGCCAGCATCTTTGACATCGCCGTTGGAAAGCGGTCCATCGAGGACATAAAGATTGGACGCAGCGAGGTCCGCAAGGTGAAGAGGGCCGCGCAGCGATACGGGATCGTGCCAGCGCTGTACGAGGGCATCCGCAGCCGCTTCAATGTCTTGTTTCTGGGCCACAACCCGCCCGCGTACGAGAAACGCGTGCTCTACTACATGATCCGTATCTTCGAGGGTGGCGTTCGTCTGATGTTGGACGAGGAGAAGGACGCGAAGCTGTACAAGGACCCCAAGATCGGCGTCAACGTGTTCGTGCGCAATGCCGCGCTGAAGGAGATTCTAAGCACGGATCAGGAACAGGAACTCGTGCTCGCGGCGTATCTGCGACGCTTCAAGCGAGTCCAGCGCTGCCAGTTCTGGACCTTTGGCTTCTCGCCCGAGGATCCGGACGAGCGCATCCGCGAACTCTTCCCGGGCCACAGTGGACTGGTGTCGTTTTCGATGTCTGCAATCCTCGCGGACCTTGTGCGATCGTGCACGGAGGAGAAGCAGTCGCAAGACAGCGAGGAGGGCCAGCTGACGCAGCAGACGGAGAAGGGATTGCAAGAATCGATCTTGTGCAACACGCAAGATCACCTGCCGAGCCACTGGCGAGTGCGACTGCATCCGTGGATCAGGCCTTGCTTCAGACTGCTCGCAGATCATCTCGAGCCGGTGTGCCGTGCGCTCAATCTCATCGGCGAAGAAGACGAGTTCCCGATCGAGCTGTTCCTCGAGCTGGATGCAAAGCTCGAGGCGGTGTACACGGCGGCGTGGGTGGAGGAATGGCCAGGCGATGCAATACATGGCCTGCCGTTCGAGGAGCCCTCGGAGCTGCCAGACGAGCCGGAGGCCTTGATCAAGCAGATGGACGAGGAAGTGTTCGCATCGCTGCGCGACAACCAGCTTACCAGCATCCGTGACACGCGCTTCCACGTCATGGTATCGGGCTCACAGGCGGCGGACGAGCGGGGCGAAACAGAGTTGGCCGGGGTCGAGGTCGTCAGCCTGGCCGATTTCGGCAAGAACGTGTGTTCCAAGCTCGCTGCCTTCCCCGGCAATTAGGGCGATTTGTAATGTACTGTACTCTAATGCATCCGGCATGATCATCATCATTTGCGTACTCCATCGTGTGAAACCTTTGGAACGGAACTCATATTGTAGACTGTGCGGAGAGGCGATGAGGTGAGCATCAGCGGAGAGGCGGGCGAAAAGGTGAGGACGCGCACTTTGGAATCCTTTGAAGTCTCGGCTGAGCGGAGGACCCTGAAAATGCGCGCGAGTCGCGCGCACAGACGTATCTTTCCGACCACCTGTCACTTCGCTCATCCTAGCTCAACCCGCACTTCGCGTCCGCACACCACCACCTTCGCAGCCACCTCGGACCAGGTCGTCAAAGGCAGGGAAAGCGCAAGGACGCAGTCACACCCGACATCCCTCGACCTGTGCTGCATCAGCGAGGGTGAGCGCCCGACGTCGGCCCGGTGCCACATAGCGTCTTCCTCTGCAGTGGGTGGGTCGAGCCAAAGTCGAATCCACTGTCAAGGCGACGTCTTCGCCCTTGGAATGCACCCGTCGATGCCGAGGGCTGATCAGCTCGACAATGGACCGTGACTTTTACTCGTTCGTCCGCTTGTCGGATTTGAACTTGAACGTCACCTTCCGCATCTCGTCTCTGCAAGGCAAGCTCGATCGTATCTCCCGCACTCAGCTCCTCAGGCAGCCCGAAGCGCGCCAATGGGGCGCTCAGCAGAGCGACTACCCTGATCTGCTGGTAGAGTGCTGTCTCTTTTCGGACAACAAGCCTCTCAGCGTCCCCGTCAAGACCGCCTACCGCCCGTTCCGCAACAACCACCAGTGGAACGAATGGATCACGCTTCCCTACAAGCTCTGCGACCTTCCTCTCGGCGCTCAACTTGCGTTTACAATCTATGACGTCGCTTCGAGCAGGGCCGCACGCGTGATTGGAGGAACGACCTTTCCGCTCTTCAGCAAGAAGGGCACACTCAAGTCGGCACAGCATCGACTGTTCGTCTGGAAAGGCGCGGGGGCGGATGGAAGCGTCGAAACGGCGACGCCGAGCAAGGTCGGCGAGATGAAGGACGAGATGGGAAGGCTCGAGAAGGTCATCAAGCGTCACGAGCGTGGAGACCTTCCGAGGGTGGACTGGCTGGACAAGCTGGCGTACCGCCAGGTCGAGAAAGTGTACAAGGCCGAAAGCCAGTCGAGCGACCGGCTGTTCTTGTACATTGACCTGCCAAGATTCGAGCTGCCCGTTGTGTTCTGCGAGGCCGAGTCCATCTTGCCCTCAGCTGCCGCATCAAATGGTCTGGCTCCTCTGGCAGGTACATCGATGGGCTCGAATGCGGGGCCGACCGGCCTTCCCGTGGCTGGGGGCGGCCATGATGTGGGAAATGCTGCCTCTCAAGCCGGATCCTCCAACGCCGGCACAGCGGCATCTGGCAACCCGACGACGGCCGCGGCTGCCGCAGCAGCGGCAGCAGCGGCGCTTTCCACAGCGGACCCCAACAGGATCACCTCGTCGCTCTTCACGATCTTTGACCCAGAAATCTCGCGGTCCAATCCAGTGGAAGCAAAACACCGACGTCTTGTGCGTTCGCATCGATCAGGCCCGCTGGACCGCGAGCTCAAGCCGTCCGCAGAGGTGCGAGACGAGCTCAACGAGATCCTGTCGTATCCACCAACGCGCGTACTCAGTCCCTCGGAGATGGATCGGGTCTGGTCATTCCGATTCTATCTGACACGAGATCCTAAGGGTCTCACCAAGTTCCTCAAGTCCGTCGTTTGGACGGACCAAGGCGAAGCCAAGCAAGCCACCGAGATTCTTTTGCCAATGTGGACCGAGCCCGGCCTGGACGACGCGCTCGAGCTGCTCGGACCCACTTTTCAGGACGCACGAGTGCGCTCGTATGCCGTGCGCCAGCTCGAGCGGGCTGAAGATGAAGAGCTCATTCTGTACCTCTTGCAGCTGGTGCAGGCGCTCAAGTTTGAAAAGCCCCTCGCTCGTGCTACCGGTGCGCTGGCTGGTTCTGCGACTGGCGACTTTGACGGCGACGCCCGGCGCGGCACGAGTGCAAGGCAGACTGTGGGCTCATCGTCAAACTCGCTCAGCGACGATGCAGCTGGGCAAGACGCAAGCGGGCTGGCGGATTTCCTGATCCGGCGCGGCCTGTCCAACCCTGCACTGGGCAACAACCTGTACTGGTACCTCGAGGTCGAATGCGAAGACCCCAAGACCGGCCCGCTATTCAAGACGGTCAAGCAGCGCTACCTGGATCGCCTTGGGCAACTGCCCACGGGTGCAGCGCGCAGGGAGACGCTGACCCGACAGGCGACTCTGCTGGCAACTCTTTCCAGACGGGCAAAGGAGCTCCGGTCGAATCGCGACGCGCGGCCAAAGAAGATCGAGAAGCTGCGTGCGCTCATCGCGGATCCGAAGAATGGGCTGAACCGCTTCGAGCCGCCACTGATGCTGCCACTGGACGCCTCGGTGTCGGTCAGCGGCATTGTCGCCGAGAAGAGCACGATCTTCAAGAGCAATCTCTTCCCGCTCCGGCTCGAGTTTACCACCGTCAGTCAGGCCAACTCCAACTCCAACTCGTTGGTTTCAGAGGAGCGCAGCAGCGAACTTCCGGACAGCATCACTGCCAGTCTGATCGAGGACGATATCGAAGATGATGGGCTCGCCAAGGCACGGGCTGGGGACGGGGGGCAGTACACGCTCATCTTTAAGAACGGCGATGATCTGCGGCAGGATCAGTTGGTCATTCAGCTGTTTTCGCTCATGGATCGGCTGCTGCGCAACGAGAACCTGGATCTCAAGATGACGCCGTACCGCGTCTTGGCGACGGGTAGCGTCGATGGGATGGTGCAGTTCGTCGACTCGCTCTCGATCGCCGCCATCCTATCGGCACATCAAGGCTCGCTGCTCAACTTTCTCCGCGCGCACCATCCGCAGCCCACGTCGCTGTCGACCTTTGGTGTGGACGCCGGTGTCTTTGAGACTTTTATCCGCTCGTGTGCGGGATACTGCGTCGTCACCTACCTGCTTGGCGTAGGCGATCGGCATCTGGACAACCTGCTCCTCGCGTCCGACGGACACTTTTTCCACGTCGACTTTGGTTACATTCTCGGCCGCGATCCGAAGCCGTTCCCGCCGCCGGTCAAGGTGTGCAAGGAGATGGTGGATGCGATGGGCGGAACGCAGAGTCCGCACTATGCGCGCTTCAAGGCATTCTGCTACACGGCGTTCACGAATCTGCGCAAGAACGCCAATCTGATCCTGAACCTGGTGGCGCTCATGGTGGATGCCAACATCCCGGATATCAGGCTCGAGCCGGACAAGGCGGTGCTCAAGGTGCAGGACAAGTTTCTGCTGCATATGAGCGAGGACGAGGCGATCAAGGAGTTTGAGAGCCTGCTCAACGAGACCAGCTACCTCAGCACCGTCTTTGACAGGTTGCACGACATGGCCCAGTACTTCAGGCAGTAGATTCGGCCCACACGGTGCGGACGGGCAGTGGCGCTCGCAATGCAACGTGCACAGGATGCGATGATTGTGGATGGTGGTGGTACAATGCGAAGAGCCGTGAGGAGGAGTGGACTAGGGCGCGCGTTGGGGATGCCGCATTGACGCAGGTTCTCGGGGCGGCCGAGATGCTGAGAACCGCTCTTGTGCTCGCGATGGATGTATTGGTGGTTGTGGAATCGGCTGTGGTGGTGGTGGTTGATTTGCCCACGACAGCTTGAGGTCTTCTTGAATCGCCTCGACGTCGTCATCGTTGAAGTCGCTTGTTTCTTCCCACATGTGGCTGAAGTCGAGATCCTGGGTAGTCCAGACCCTATCACCATCCACATCGTCCCGCTCCGCTCTGGGACTTGCCGTCTGTGTTCGGGTGAGGTACGTTGGATCGAGCTGCTCTGGTCGTGTTCCAAACAAGCTCTGGCTCGTATACGCCGTTGCGGGCAAGATCCATGCCCTTTCGCGAAGCCGCTTGTGTCTCTCTCGATCCTCCTCGATGCGCCTCTGCATATCTCCCGCATCGACCACTGTCTTGCGCCTCTTTTCCGGCGACATGGCATACAACGCCGCGCGTCTCACCTCCAACATCTTCTCGGCATCCTCCAACAAGCTCCTCTCGAGTACAAATCTGCTTTTCCACGATGAGATCATCTTGGTTGCAGCAGGGAGGTTGAGTAGCGCATTCCAGCGGTCCTCCGGAACGGCAAGGTCGAAGATGAGGTAAAGATCGCGTTCAAGGTGCGGAGTATACACCGACCGGACTGTTGCAGAGAGCGTATCGTCGGTGAAGATGGCGTCGATGAGGAAGAGGAGGTTGATGCGGCGGTTGATGCTGGCGGACTTGAGCTCGTCGGTGATGCATTCCCACAGCTCCGGGTGCAGCGTGGCGGCGTGCTCAACGACAAACGAAAGCGCTTTTTGGATGGTCGGTAGCGAAGCATTGACGCGTTGCAGCGCAGAGACGAAGCGCAAGCGCACCTGGAACGGATCCATCTCTGCAACCTGCTTGCACCGCAACAGAAAGGGGAAGGAAGTGGTTGAAGTTGCTTGGAAGATGAGAAGCCCAGTGTCCAAAGTCGAACGCGGATTTCGAGGTGGCATCCTTGAAGGGTCGAGTGGAGGGATTTTCGGATTTCGGGCATGTGGAGCCTTCCCGCGGCATTTGCACGTCGACCTCACAAAGTTGATACGAACGCTCCACTCGGCGTGCTACAAAGCAATGATGGAACTGGTATGCGTTGCTACGTTCAAAGATGGCTCGAAAAGTGGTTCGGTATACATTCGGCAACGGAGAATCAGAGGTGTGCGAGAAATACGGAAGAATAAAGAGCATCAAGCCTGATTTTGGCCGGGGATGCCGGTCCTTCTACTGTGCCTTCTCGCTGTCCGAGCGGATCTCGATACCAGGTGGTTTGCCGATGAGCTGGCCCACCTGTGCATACAGTAGGAATTGTCCAGAGACCAAAAACGCTGTCATGAGCACACGAGTGCCGAGGCCTGCCCAGATTCCGACAGGTCCGGTCTCGCCAGCCAGACGGATGAGCTTGGTCATGGCGCTGCCCTGACCTCCTCCGCCCTTGTTGATCTTGCTGAGGAGCGTGTCGGCAGGGTGTGAGAGCACTGCGGCGGCAACACCGGCGACCATACCGCATCCGAGTTGGATGGTGACCTCGCCAGCCTTGCCGTACTTGGCGCGGTCTTCTTTCGAGATGGTGGAGTCGGCGACGGTGTGTGCCCACTCGTTGGTGACGAATTGACCAATGGCGTAAGGGATCTGCTTGCAGAGAATCGGTGCGTATCCAGCATAGAAGCCGCGAATGCCTTCCTCGGCACCCATGCGGGTGATAGCCGAGACAAGACCCTTGGCGTAGCCTCGTTCGGAGACCATGCGGATACGAGCTGCCTCGAGAGGCGTCAAAAGGGTGGTGGCGATGAGCTCCGCGGCGGCTGCGCCACCGAGGTAGATCGCCTGTCGATAGCGCTGGGCAGCCTCGTGGCTGCCGGCAAGGTCGACACCCTTCTTCTTGAAGAACTCGTAGCCGGCGAACTTGGCACCGCCCTGGATGAGGTAGCCGACTGCAGTGGGGCCAAAGCCGGTGAGGAGACCGGCAGGACCCTCGGAGGCGATGATCTGGCGACCCATCGAAAGCATGGAGGCCTTGGATCCCTTGGGCTCGAGCTGGATGCGGGTCTTGACCACGTCGACGGGGGTCATGGCGCCGTGGGTGATGGTGGCGCAGAGCGCGCCCGATGCAAAGAAGCGTGCATAGTCACCGACGCTGAAGTTGGAGGTGAGCGCGCCAGGCTCCATCTTGTAGCCGGCGCTGGATGTGGAAGCGGCCGACATTTTGCTGCGATGCTAAGATAGCTCTGATAAGGAATAAAGAGTTGAAGACCACGCGGCCGACGTCGAAAATCAAGCTGTTGGCAGCTCAAGGGGCCACGGACAGCAGCACGATTGCCTGGGTATAGCAGTGACCGATCCGAGCCACGAGCAAGGGCGGAGGGCAGGCGATGATGGGTTGATACGGATAGGCAAAGAGGGAGACAGCTTCTCAATCACGTAGGACAGGACACTTATAGGTCGATCCCTGACTCACGCAGATCGACGGGCCACGGCCAAACTGCTGCGTCCGAGGTCTTCGCAATAGCGGGATTGCGTTGCCGGCTGACCCGCACATCAGCGAGAGGGCAAAATTGCTTCGCACTGTATGCAGGGCCCAGTTGCAGCGGCTTCGTCACAGTGCGGCGCGACATGTGCTCGAATCCGAACTTGAAGCCTGCAAGGCTGACGGTTGACCGTCCTCTCTTTCGCGTGTCCGTGCGCGACAAAACCCACGGAGCTCTAGCCATGCAGAGGAATGACGTGCCTACACATGCAGGACGCCGCACTGACGCGCTCGCGACTGGTCCTGCGCCCTCCAGATCAAGCAGCAACAGGAATGCTCCGAATCCGAAATTCATGACCCGCTTCGGAAGAGTTTGGGCTGGAGCTCGAACTCAAAGCTGCACCTTCTCGGCCCGTCAGCGACACTCACACTACTGTCCTCGGAATTGCATTCCGTTCTTCCTGGTTCAAATTTGAGTTAGCTCCGTACCTTGATTAAATATTTTATTGTCGGTGGCAGTGACGAGCAATCGCTGACAGCGCCTGCAAAACACAGCAAGACCGATTCCCAGCGTCGGATACTTCCGTTGCCCGCTTCTTCGGCTCGCTAGTGAGCTCTCACCGGCCTCACCACAGGTGATGAACCGACGTTCTCGACCCATCTCTACAATCGAAAGGCTCTCGTGGTGTGTGATCGACACAGAGACTGATACAAAATCCCATGCGTATCGACGCTCTGCGCCCGAGAGACGCCGAATGCTGGATCTCACGAATCGCCGCGAGTCCCCCGATTGGCTGCGGATTTAGGCCGATGAGGTCGTGGAATCGGCGCAAGCGCTCAAGGGTCCCGCCTCGCGAGAGGCTGCGCATTGGAATACTTGGCCGCGGCGCGCTCTTTCAACGTTGGTCCTTCACGCTCTCGATCCTTCCGCAGCTTGACCAAACGCATTTTCGAGTCTTTGGCGCACCGCACGATCCTGTACCTTCACCGACTCGCAAGTTCTTGCTTCGTTCTGGGACGACTCTCGATCTTCGCCGCCTCTTGATCCAGCGCTTGTAGCGGCAAACCCTGCTGCGCCTAAGCACGCTGCGTGCCGTCTCGATACGCGCAGATTATGGACGCCAAGATGGAGTCGGCGGGGCCAAGCTCGCCACCTCCCGCACGGACACGCAAGCCCGGCGAAGTGCGGTCGCGGAGCGGATGCATCACCTGTAAGCAGCGCCGCAAGAAGTGCGATGAAGACTTTCGCATCCGTCACAACGGCGCCACTTCGTGCAATCGATGCGCGGATCGCGGCATCCACTGCGAAACCAGCTCGCATGCTACGCCTCAGCGCACCCCGCAGCAACACCGCGCATCGCCTTATCCCTCTGCCTCTTCCAATCCGAACAGCGCGTCAAAGCCGCCGTCACGCGCCGTCCGAGGTCCAAGTGCCATTCCAGGCGGTCACTTGTCCGATGTGACTTCTGCATCCTCTTCCTCGGCAGCTCCGACGGCTTCGTCATCGGCGCATCCGACAGGCCCTAGCGTCGATACCAGACACTCCGCATTTGCTTCTCCACTGGACCAGAGCCAAGCCTGGGCCGCTTCGGCGCACTTCCCGGTGCAGCAGCCGCTCCCCCAGCAGCAGCAGCCGCAGAACGCCGCCACTTTTGCCGGGCTTCAGAACCCTGCCGTCATGAATCAGCTGGCGTGGATGAACCAGAACGCGGCGGCGCTCAATCGTTCGGCGATCCGCTACAATCGCCCCAACATTTGGCCCATGGCTGCCTCCAACGGCGGCATCGATGTTGCCGCAGCTGCCAATGCTGCCGTCGTTGCCCAGAATGGAACGAGCAGTGCTCCTGCACAGAATGGCCCCGTTGACATGAACGCTCTGATGAATCTCTTCAACAACAGCAATCCTGCTGGCGCTGCGCCAGCATCCAGCCAACAGCAATGGCCGCAAGGTTATTCCAACAGCATGGACAACGTTATGCTCGACGACTTTGTCAGCGAGCTCATGAGCTTGACAGGGCCTCTTGTGGGCGGCGATGGCGCGTCGCTGCCTCAGACGTCGGACAACACGCCTATGGCAGCCAACCAATCATCTCCTGCTCCGCTGCGCACCGCTTCCCGTGCATCCAATGAAACCGCTCCTTCGTCCTCGTCTGCCAATAGCAGTGCACAGAGGCAAAACCTCAACTCCTCCTCGGCTTCGTCCGTCCCCTCTTCTAGACAAGCCAGGCCGCTCGACAGCAAGTCGCCTTCGAACGCACCTTCCAAGACGAGCAACGCTAAGGCATCCGCGCCTGGTCGCGTGTCCAATCGCTACCGCAAGTTGCTAGACTCGGATGCCATCGAGTCGCTGCTGAGCAAGTACAGCCCCATCTACGAGCGCTTCTGGCATGCGACCCTCATGCTCCTCTCGAACAAGAAGAAGCAAGCCGCTGTGGACTACCTCATGAGCGTCATCCGCTCCAACAAGGCTTGCCGTGCTTCCGTCGTCGTCGTCTGCCTTGCCTACCACGAGCTGGTTCAACGCGTCCGAAAAGGTGCACAAAGTGAGCAAGCAAAGGCCTCCCTCCAGCAGGGTGTGCCACCGCCCAATTGGACATCGGTAGCAACCGACGCCGTCCATAATGGGAGAGCCGTCGATACGCCCGAGGGCAGCATGTCGCACACCATCATGACCATGATTCCGGAGGACACGGACCGAGACGATCGACGCTCTTCTCGCTCGTCTCGCCCCAGCCGACATTACGGATTGTCGCGTGAAGACAGCGATGCCGAGGACGACGACGGGGACGAGGAAGACGAGGACGACGATGCTATGCACACAGAGGAAGAGATCAGCACCATCCAAGGTCGGTCAGGAAGCGATCGGCGCTTCGCACAAGGCACCACCCGGCACAGCTCAGAGGGATACGGGTCGACCAGCTTCTCGCGGCGCAGCGACCCGGGTCAACGTCCAACACCCTCGGCCGGGCGGAACTTGACAGGCAAGCTTTCAACCGTAGAGGACAATATCCAGGAGATGGACGACCCTTCGCGTGACGCCTTCAAGGGCCAGAGAGTGGAGGAGTACACGGTGGAGCTGTGGTTCGACATTGCGCAGGCCGAATTGCAACGCAGCAGGGACGAGCTGACGCTCGACCAAGAGTTGTGTGCCATCATCAACCTGCGCTGGGCGTGCCTCTGCTTTGCGGGTGCCGAGCGAGCTCGCCAGCTCACCGAGGAGCTCGGCGTGGTCATGCAGCGCGAGGGCATCGACATGGACCATGCGGCCGCAGAAGAGAAAAAGGGCTCCTTTGTCTCGGTCATGCTGCTCACCGCTGTCTACACCGATGTGCTGGACACCGTCTCGGATCGGGGTAAGCGCACGCATGTCTCGCTGCGCACCGACGCGCAAGCAGCCCGGCCGTTCCAGCCTAGGCGCGCAAGCAGCTCGGCGATGGGCAAGGGCGGCTCGGCGGACAAGGACGAGCCGTTCTTCGGGCGCATCTCGCTGATTTCGCTCGAGCTGCTCACCTGCTTCAAGCTGATCTCGGATCTGGCCGCGGACGTGTGGGGCCCAATCAGCAGTGCGGTCGTGCATCCGACGCGACCGTCAGAAGATGAGGTGGCGGAGCGCTCGCGCGAGATCGAGCGCAAGGTCATGTCGCTGCCTCCCTGGTCGGATCCGAACACGTCGTCGTCACTGCGGGTGCGTGCATTTGCGCTGCAGGAGATTTGGCGCCAAACCGCGAGGCTCTACTTGCTCCAGGCCGTGCACCGCCGCGGGCCGCTGCATCCGGAGCTGCAGAACATTTTGCACGAGATCATTAGGCTCGCCAAGATGATGAAAATCCAGAGCTTCTCGCCCGCCGCGCCTACGTTTACGGACGGAGCGGTGGCGGCGCAGCGCTATCCCTCGCAGGCGACGCAGCGCTCGGCACCCGCCAATTACATTGGAGGACTCAATTCGGCTGATCCGACCAACGATGTGCGTGATGCCAATCATCCGGATCCAATCATCAATGCGACGTACGGCATGGACGATTTGGACGAGCCGTTGCAGCCTGATGACGACGAGGATGGGCCTGGCCCGGCGCCGTTCCAGATGTGGCTGGACGTAGCCAGCTGGGAGATGTGCACCGTGTGGTTCCTGTGCTCGACGGTCGCGCTGACGAGGCAGGACCGCCAGTTCTGCATTCATCACCTCGAAAGTCTCGGACTGGAGCGCGCCAACCGCGACAACATCCAGGTCATCCGCGATTACTGGGCCAAACAGGACGCCACAGGCCACACCATGGACTGGTTCGATTTTGTCAAGTCTTCCGGCCGATCCGTCATCTTTGCTTTCTAGTGCCGAAATGCAATGCACCGTATAGCCTCTGCACCAGCCGCGTTCTGCAGGTGAGACTTGCGAGCGGTGGGTTCGAGTGCAAGACCCGAAGAATCTTTCAACAATTGATTGATGGCAGCAATCAACGACGAGAGTTTACCTCGAGGCAATAACAGCGGTTCCGAAAGTTCTCGGAACGCGAGAGCAGCCGCAGCTGAAGTTGGACAGATCAGAGGTTTGACACGTCTCCGCCGCTTCTCGGACAGCTAACTTAGATCAGCTGTGGCTGGAACGAGACTGTGATTGGAGTCTTGACACATCTACGCCTGTGTTCGCATTGTACATCGGCCTTTCCGCTTCCCCGCGTTTGTGAACGGCAAAGAGCTGAGCGGGAGAGAAGGCAGGATCACTGTCTTTTCAGATCTGAGCACCACCGCGTTCACTTTGACAAGATTTATTCTCGGAATCAGTGGAGTCAGGAGCGACTTTGATCTCAACTTTGACCTCGAGTTCGAACTGAAGCTCGACCGCACAGACATCGCGGATCGCTGGCTATGCTGTCTCCTCTCGCTTTCCGCACTCTCTTCTCGACAACGCTTGACCTCAAGCGCCTTCAGCACCCGGTCAAGAGGGCCGCGCTCCTCCTTGCGCACCCTGCGCTCGAAGAGCTACGAGGTGACCGGTGTAATATCCTTCGGTCTCTCCCAGCCCCGCTCACCAGGGCTACGTTCGTCCTCCTCGAGGGCGTACTGCACCTGCTACTTGTGAGGCATCTGTGTCCCCCGGTACGGCGTCTGAGACGGCACTGATACGGAAGCGCGGAAGAGGCCGGGTCTGTCGCTATTGGTGGGCTCGGCGTTCAGGTCGAGGGTGACGCAGAGACAAGCAAGGCCCAAAAGGACGCTGTTCTCGTGGTTGGTAGCCTGCGTCACCGAGTTTGCAAGGGCCAGATCGATGCGCCAGATCCGCTCTGACGCAACCACACTCGCTCCGCCCCCTCGTCGTCGGCTTCGTTCCGGCGATGGGTAAGTACTGTAGGTTCGGTGGAATGTCGCATCATGCGAGGCTGATTCCTGCCCTGATCTTGCTCAATAATGCAGTGCGACCGTGAGTAGGAGCGATCACAACTTTCTGCATCTGTTGCCTCTGTCATCAGCAGAAACATCCTCCAAGCTCTTCTCGCGCCAGCAACAAGTGCGACCTCGCTAGTTGCCTGTGTGCGCCACGTGAAGCGCATCGCCTCATTCCGCCCACTTGCAAATTTTTGCCAAAATCGTGCTCCCCGCCGAGGTTCCATCGTTACAATCGAGCGACTGCTGTATCACATGCACTTTACAATCAAATCCTGCGAAAGCGTCGCTTTTGGAAAGTGTTTTACTGCTGAAAGCAAGGTGAAACAAGTCGTAAAGTCTAAGTACGTACATGTAGTGGCTAAGCAGCAGCAGTCCAGGGTGCATCGAGCCTGGCGAGTGCGGCGAGTGTGTGCTCAGGATGTGGCACAGACGAAGCGAGCTCTGTGGGGAAGTGCTTCAGCAGCTGGGCCTGGATCTTCGCAAGGGCTGCACGCGTGTTCTCGATCTCCGAGAACAGCGGAGCGTACTCCTCGAAGCGTTCCTGAGTGAGCGAGGCGTACGCGAGCAGCTGAGAGATCTGATCCTCGCCCATCCCTTCCTTTCCACTTCTTTCGAGCAGGCGCACTGCATGCGAGAGGTACACAAGGTGCAGCGAGAAGAGCGCCCGCTGGTCTCTGTCCCGCCTCGCGAGTGCGGCCTGAATTGCCTCGTGCACGAGCGTCAGCGCGTCAGCCCCACCCGCTGCGCCAGAATCCTTGATGGCCACGAGGACGCGGACAACGTCATCCACGGCCTCGGTCTCGTCGGCGCCCGCGCTCTGAAGCACGGCCTCCAGCTCTGCTTGCGCCGCTTCCGCCAGACCCGCATCGTCGCTACCCAGGCCCAATACGGCCAGGGCCAGGATCGACGGAACATGCGTGGACAAGTTGTCGTCGGCACCGATGTTGCCGAACAGTTCCTGCTTGACCTCCTCGATGCCCGCACTACCGTTCACAGCCCAGAGCAGTTTGGCCAATTGCAGCGTGAGATCACGCTCGAGGGCAGCAGCGCCGGCCGCGCGGGCGTTGGAAAGCGCATCTCGGATCGATCCGAGCGCGTTGTCGTTACGGCCGCCAAAGTGCTGCGCAAGGGCGAGACCAAGCTGGCTCTGCACCTTGGCGATCTCCAATACCTGCGGCTCGATCTTGCCGTCTTCCGCGTCGTCGATCGCCTCGTCGTCCGCAACGTCAAGCAGTCCAATAGAAGCTTCGAACGCAGCAGCGGCACCGTCAAAGTCGCCAGCAGCAAGCCTGATGCGACCCAAGTTCGACTCGGCCACAGCGTATTGCCGCGCGACGACGGCCGACTCGGTCGCCTCGTACCTCTCTTCGAGCAGCGTGGCTGCCGCACTGATTCTATCGATAGCCAAGTCCAGCTGACCCAGGCGCTCGGAAACCAGCGCCGAGAGATGGAGCGCATCGACATCGCTGGGCGAATGCGCAATGTAGCTGGACAGCGCGAACGACGCGTTCGACAGTGTCGCCTCTGTAATTCTTGCATCGGCTGCGGTCGTAGCTGCGTGTCGGCGGAAGCCATCAAACACCGCCTCGCCCAGCCCGTAATCAGCCTCCTGTACGCTTCCCTCTGTCAGCGTGACTGCATGCTCGAGAAGCACGCGCGAGGCGCGGTGATCGCCGTAGTGTTTGGCGACCAGTGCCTGACCGACCCATGCAGGACCATAGTCAGGATCAGCCGTTTGCGCCTTGATCAGGCTCTCATTTGCCAGTTCCACGTCGCCGTGGTGCAGGTAGAGAAGGCCGAGGTTCGTCCAGCCGATGGCGCTCTTGGGCGCGTTCTCGATCGCACGGATGAAGCAGTGCTGAGCCAGATCCACCGACGAGTGGAACGTCAGATTTCCCAGAAGCAGCCAGTACGCTTCCTGGCCTGGTTCGTGGCGGAGTGCCTCCTTGATCGAGCCGATCGCCTGCAGTCGGGCCTGCACACTTTGTGCTTCGGCGACTTCTGCGACCGACGACGTCTCGGTCGCGACAAGGCCAGCTTGCGAAGACGGCAGGAGCATCGCACGAGAGAGACGGTACAGCGCAGTCGCGAGGTCGGCCCATGCGCTGCCAGCAACGTTGTCGTCCGACGCATTAAGCACCACTCGCAGCTTGTACAGGTAGACACTGATGTTGAGCAGCCTGAAAGGCGACATGCCCTCGTCAGCGCCAGCGAGCTTCTCGTACGTCACGATGCTGATCGAAGGAAGCTTGGCATCCGTCTGGAGCTCGGCAGCGAGCTCGAGCAGCGGTCTGAGCCCTCCAAGCCCGTCTTCCTCCAGGAGTGCAGCCTGATGAAGCTTGCCAAAGTTGCTCAGATGGAAGACGGCATCGGCGACGATCTTCCATGCCGACCTGAGATGACGGTCGTGTTGCAGCAATGCTTGAAGCGATGCTCGAATGGCGCTATACGCCGAGATCTCGGCCCTTTCAACGTAGCCAGTGGCAAGCTCGTGTCGGGACGAGAGGAGAAAGGCGTTGCTCAAGGCTACCTTGACACCAAGCTCGTCCGGGTGAACCGCCAGAATGGAAGCAAAGGTTTCGATGGCGGTCGGAAAGTTGCCGAGCTCGAGGTGGACCTGACCGATGCTGTATTGCGCCTGCCAGCCGTCGTTGGCGGGATCGCCGGTAGCACGGACAAGGTCAAGGCACTTGGCAAAGCACTTGAGCGCGGCAACATGCCTTCCTGCCAGAGCATAGGCCTGACCAAGCCTCTGCCAGGAGATCTGATCATCGGGCTCGGCGCGCAAGGCGATCTGGAAGGCCATGATGGCGTCCTCAAACTGCTTCTTGGCAATCTCGACGTTGCCGATTGCCTTCCAGGCCCACGCGTTGCGTGAGAGGTGTCGGCGTGAAGCCTGTACGGCCGCAGCCGTGCTGGATCCCATAGCATCGGCGCCACCTTCGCCCTCGATGGTGCGACGGGCAACGACCTCGACCAGATCCCACTCCTGCTCCTCGGCGAAGCCTTCAGCGAGCCTTCTCGCAGCGACGTCCTCGCGAGCATCAAGCTCGAAAGCTTTCTGGAAGCACTTGCTGGAGCGGACGAGGTCGGGCGGCTGCAAAACGTCCCCGTAGTACAAGCCCAGAGAAGTGTAGGCCGGAGCAAAAGCTGGGTTGCGCTTGAGAGCGGTGATGAAGGCGGTGAAAGCGTGGTCCGGGTCAGAGCGAAACTCGCCATCCATGAGCCAAAGACATTGGCCGAGACGCCACCAAAGCTTGGCGCGAAGCTCGGCGGTAGCGCCTTGGAAGGAGATGGGATCGACCCGCTCGAGGATGGTATCCATCTCGCTTTTGGCCTGCTCGAGATCGCCGAGATTGACGTCGCACCAGGCCATCTCGATCCAAGCCTCCTGGTCAGGATCGGGGCTGAGCGAGAGCAGTCGTTCGATGCGATTCCTGTAATCATTTGCGTTGAGAGAGGCGGCGATGCTTCGCGCCTTTTCAAAGACGCTGCGAGCCGACTCCCAGCGCGAGGCGCTCTGGTCGATGTAAGCCTTGGCCAGCAGCGTGTCGATGTGTGATGGATCCTTCTCCAGAACGCCATCGATGAGACGAGAAGACCGGGCATGGTGTTGCGGAGGGTGAAGGTGCGTGAGGGCAGTCAAAAGCAGCTGAGAGATGCCGAGTTGAGAGTCTGCGAGGTCGACGGCACTGTCGCTTTCGATGCTACTAACGACGCGAAGCGCGGAATTGGCGACCTCAGTGGCCGACTGGAAGTCACGATCGAGCAGGTAGAACGTCGCGGCGATACGATGCGACAGGACCGAGTCGGGGCATTCCTCGAGACCGTCGATGGCCAGGTTGAGCAGATCGTCTTGCGATTGGGGCTGTTGGATCTCGGAGTCCGTGCGCTTCTCCTCCTCCTTGATCTCGTTGAGGAACTGCTCGTCCTTGATCCAGAGCAGAAAAGAGCGGAAGGCTTTGGTGCGGCCGGAGCGTGGGAAGAGCGAGACAAACTTTCGAATCTGCTCGAGTCGCAGATCGACGAGCGAGCGGACGGGCCGCCACTCGAGATCGATTTCCCACGCCAGCTCGTCGGGCAAGCCGATGATGACCATTCCCGACGCGAGCTTGAGGATTTCGTCTCGCAGCTGCACCTTGGCATCCTGGCGATCCTGCTCGTCCTGTCGCTGCCTCTCTTGCTGCTTGGCGTCCACGGCAGCAGTGCCGGTTGGCGCTGAACCTGCTCTGAGTTGCTTGGGTGGGAACGAGGTGAGGAGCCCGAGGCGGTGTCGCAGAAGCTTGGCTTCCACCTCGATACGCAGCTCGTCGGCCGCCTTGGGATGGGAGAGGATCTGCTCGTAGAGACTCGGGAGGCGCGATGCAGAGTAGACCTCGAGACGCACTTCGTTGGTGAGCGCCTCTTTGCCCTTGCTAGCTCCTGCCAGTCGCATGCGGCGCTTGTCAGCCTCCTTCTGGATCGTATCCGCCTCCCACTTTTCCGACAGCTCGGTCATCTCGAGCAGAACGTCAAGGCTGTTCATGTGGATGGCCATCTGCATCTCGAAGGTGGTGGTCTTCTCCGGCTGGGTCTGGTCTGGCTGCTCAAGCAACGACAAGGTGCCGTAGCACTTGGAATCGGGCAGCAGCAGGGAGAGCGTGTCGATGACTAGCTTGCGCCCGCCCTCTTCTCGCTCAAGTGCCAGCAGTCGTTGTAGGGTCTCTGCACATTTTGTTGCATCGCTTGCATCATTGTAGAGATCGAGCAGCTGGTGGAGCACATCACGCAGCTTGTCCCAGCTTTTCCGTTGGTCGTAGAACTTCTGCAAGCCCTGCCATGCCAGTAGCTGTGTTGGCTGATCCCGCGTCGCTTTGATATAGGCAGCTTCGGACTCGTCAAACTTGCCCTGGTTTAGCAAGGCCAGTCCGAGAAAGACGTTGGCGTTGTAGTTGTCGGCCTCTTGCTCGAGCACGCTCGTAGCGGCGTCGGCAGCTGCGGGCCAGTCCTTCTTAGCCAGAGCATCGCGCGACTGCTTCAACTTCTGCTTGGCGTATGCAGATGACATGGCTGCAGCAGCTGAGCCCGTCGGAGACGCCGAAACGAGCAAGACCGGGGTATGAAGGCAGCGAGAGAGCTTGGCTGCGACCTTCGCTGATGATGTGATCTGTGAAGGGTGCTTTCAGAAAGCTCGGACGCTCGAGGAGCCAATTTCTTCCGGACCGCGACCGCAACGTGACTTTACCTCCACTTTGCTGCCGTTGCGCCAGCCAAGATCGAGCAGCCCGCGTTGCTTCATCTTGCGCTCAATCACCACCCCGCTCATCACATGAAGTAACAAACTGCATCAGGTTCAAGCCTAGCTGCACGAACCTGTATCTCGAAGACAGATAACATATGGCGTTGCGCGGCTGACCGTCAGAGCAATGCAAGGCTTGGGGGAAGCGTGGGTCACGTGACGGGTGGAGGCGCAGGAAGGCTGCATATCTAAGCCCGAAATTCATGCCGCTGCTTAATGTTCGACTGGCCGCAGCCTAGCTCCTTCTTATCAGCCGGAACCTTCTACCGCACAATCGTCGGATCAACTCCAATTGGTATCCTGGAGAGGTAAGATCTTCGCAGTCATGGCGTCGCGCAATCCTTCCAAGTGCCCGATGCAGGACGAGGCGGAGCGATATCCGCGCCTTTGCCCTGGCGGCGGTCTACTCATCGCATGGCAACTCAAGGGCAAGAGGGTCCTGATCGTCGGAGGCGGTCCCGTAGCAGCCGGTAAGTGTCAGCGAGGTGATGGATGATTCAATGCGATTCCAACGAAAGACAGGAACGACAAGTGTGGCTGACATGACTTGCCTTTTCGCGCTGCTTAGGCCGACTGGTCAACGTGCTGGATGCCGATGCTATCTTGGATGTCATGTGCCCTTCCTCGGGGCTCTGCGACGAGATGCGCTATCGCATTTACACCGAAAAGGTCGTATCCAACTACGTTGATGCCAACTACGACGAAGCGCACCCCGAGATCCTCGACCAGTACGACATGGTCCTCACGGCGATCGATGACGTGGAGCTGTCCAAGAAGATCTGCTACGAATGCCGCTCTCGCCGCATCCCCGTCAACGTTGCAGATGTGCCGCCCGAGTGCGACTTCTACTTCGGCTCTCTGATTCGCAACGGCCCACTGCAGGTCATGGTGTCTACTGGTGGGCAGGGTCCGAAGATCGCCTCGCAAACGCGCCAAAAGATCCAAGCTGCCATCCCAAAGAACGTCGGTCAAGCCATCACGAACGTCGGCAAGCTGCGGGCGATGCTGAGGAAGAGGGCGCCGAGTGCAGAGATTGGCGCAAGACGCATGCGATGGATGATCGAGGTGTGCGAAAAGTGGAACCTCGACGAGATTTGCACCATGACCGAGCCAGACATGAAGAAGATCCTCGACGGTTGGGAGACCGGGTACGTGCCCAGCTATAAGGAGGTCAAGGGTGGATTGCCGTTCTTGCCCTCGGATGTTCGACTCAAGAAGGCGCTTTTCGGAACATGTCCAGTCGTCGGATACCCAAGTCCTTATCTCACCGGATTCGCTGGCGTTCTCCTGGGCGCAGCCGTGACTTCCGCAGTTTTCCTCTCAAGAGGCCTCTCCCGCTCCTCGTAGTTGCCTTCATGTACCCCTGTCACGCCTCACTTGTATCAATGCCAGCCTTTTGCGAAGCTATGCACAGCGGACTGGCGCATGATGTCCTTGGAGACGTATCTTGTTCGGTGGTACAGTCAGAGACGGAAACAGTATTACAAAAACGGATCTAGTCGTCATCTTCTTCTTCCTCGTCCTCGTCATCGTCCTCGGCATCATCATCTTCATCCTCGCTGTCGGCGACCTTGCGCCTTGCGCCGCTCTTGCCGGCCGCAGCAGCGGAGCTTCGCGCCGACGCCAACTTGGAGGTGGACTTTCGGCTAGCTTTGACAGCCTTTGCGGCCGACTCGGCATGAGCTGCGATGACGTCGTTGACATCGACGCGAATCGCGTCAAAGAACGCTTTGAGCCCGCCGAACGCCGGCGTCGAGTCGAGGTCGAGGCCATCGAGTCCAGCTTCGCACTGCGCCGCATACGCCTTGACGAACGCAGCCTCGAAGCGACCGAGTGCATTCTTGGAGACAGTGTCCTCGAGCGGGTTGAGTTCCTTGAGTCCCGTAAGCAGGATGAGAGTTTCCTGGACCTTCGCGTCGGGCAGTTCGTCGGGGAGGAATGCCTTGCCGAGCAGCTGGCACATGACTTTGCGCTGGTCCTTCTCTTCGATGGTGTACATGGCTTTGATGAGGTCGATGGCCACATCCACGTGCACCGTCTCGTCGCGCACGCGACCAGCGACCATCATGACCTTGTCCGGATCGGTCCAGTCGAGCAGCTGCAGACCGACCTGCATGGGTGTTACCATCTCCTGGTCCTCGTCCTTCTCTTCATACACCTCGGTGAGCACCTGCAGCACCGACACAAATACGCGCTGCAGGCGACGCTGGTTCCAGCTCGACGAGCCGCAATAGACGGGCAGGAAGTACGACAGGCACTGGCGCAGCTCCTGATTCTGCATGGTCTCGGGCGACATGTAGATGAGCACGAGACTCTTGAGCGCCTCGTCGTCTTCGACCATGCCGGTCAGCATGAGCTTGGCCATGCCCTCGCATGCTGCGCTCTGGATGGCTGCATCGTCATCCTCGAGCAAGCTGAGCAGATAGGCCACGATCTGGCGCTTGCCCGCTTCTTCGCCCGCAGGGTTGCACGAGCACAGGTAGGGGATGGTGTGGCAGATCAGAAGATCGAACACGGCCTGGACGACCCGCAGCTTGATCTCGCCTTCGGCTTGCTGCACCTGTTGGAGAAAGAGTGGGAAATATTCGAGCGCCAAATTGCGGTCCAACAGACCGCACAACGCGAGACACGTCAGGCCGAGCTCACGTACGGGCGCGTCCTTGGAGCGCACCGCCGGCGCGATGAGCTGGGGAAGCAGACCGTGGAAGGCCGTGTTTTCCTGGAGCGCACCGACGACACGTTCAAGCATGGCGCGGACGATGGTCAGGCGCCGATGCTCGATGGCGAGCGCATTCTGCGACGGCGCATCCTTGGCCTTGATCGACTTGCGCGGCTTCTTGCGCGCCAGTGGCGTGCCATCGATGCTCATGGTGTCCTCAGCGTCGTCGTCGTCCGATACGATCGTCTCGTCATCGTCCTCGGCTCCGAGCACCTGGACAATCTCGACGATCATGCGCATAAAGTCCCTCTGTCCGTTGGACAGCTTGAGCAGGACATCGAGGCAAGTGGGCACCAGATCCTCGGGCAGCTCGACGTCCGAGATCATGTCGCGCACCAGGCCAAACATCTTTCTCCTTCCGATCTCGTCGCCGTAGTCGGAGGCGAGCGCGATGCCGAGCAGCTGCGAGACGACAAAGGTCTTGTTGCGGATGGTGAAGGCGACGATTTCGATCTCGTCTGCTGGAGCGAGCGCGCTGCTGGAGAGCACGTTGTACTGCTCGATGAGCTGCACGAGGCCCTCGTATTCCTTCTGGATGTGGAAGGCGAGCGCAGTGACCATGGGAAGGCATTCCTCGAGGCGGCGATCGTTCTTGGTGCGACGGAAGTAGTCGACAAAGACGCGGACGAGGAAGGCGGTGGAGGGAGCGAGATTGGCCCAGAATTCGTCGGCATCGAAAGACACCTGGGCGACGATGGCCGGGCGGCTCTCAAAGATGCTCATGAGGGCTGCCTCGATGTGCTTGGACGCGACGACGTCGAACTGGTTGAGGAAGACGACGAGGTCGCCGCCGCACGCGTCGAACCAGGCGGTGACGAGCTTTTGAGCGGCACGTTTGACGCTCGGCTCTCGTTCGCCCATGCCGACGCGGACGACCTCTCCGGCCGCATCAATATCGAGACCGAGACGTGAAGGCCCGGCTTGCGAAGAGGCGGCGCCCTGGAGCGACCTGTGCTGCGCCTTGAGCATCATGGTGAGACTGCCGAGATAGACGCAGCGGCGGTTGATGGGGTCAATGTCGCGCAGGCGCTCCAGGAGGAGGGGCGAATTCTGCTCGTCGGGCGTGAGGTTGAAGAGGGCGGCTCGGCGCACCTCTGCGCTGGGGTCGAAACGGAGCGTCTCGATGAGGGCTTGCTTGATGTCTTCCGAGTCCTCGTCCTCGTCATCGTCGGCGGTCTGAAGCTTGGTGAGGGCAATGACGGCTTGTACACGGACAGCTGCCTCCTTGTCCCTGGCACGGGAGAGGAGGAAGGACTTGAGCGTCTGGAAGAGCTTCTCGTCGACGGCCTCTAGACCGTTGATGAGTAGGGCGATGCAGCCACAGCAGCGAAGGCGGACATTCTTGTTCTTGGATACGAAGCCCTTGAGCAGGTGCTTGAGGAGGAGCGAGGTGAACCTGGTGGCCGAGGTGTCCTCCTCTTCCTCGTCGTCGTCCTCCTGCTCCTCTGGCTCACCGGCTTCCTTGCGAGCTGCAGCGCGGTCGGCGCGTGCCTGCAGACGGAACTGCTCCTGAGCATAGGTGACGTATCCGGCGACGAACTTGCAGATGCGGTCGGCGTTGGGGACGCCCTTCTTGATGGGCAGGACGCGATCGAGGCAGCCTACGAAGATCTCGTTGAAAGCCTTTTCGCCGATGGGCCTCACGCGGCCGTCGGAGGCGGGCTCGGTGATGGCGGCGACCTTGAGGTGGATGCGATGAAGCGAGACGATGTTCTTGCGATGGTTGGCAAGGCTGTGCTGCGCCTGTTGGAAAAGAGGCGGGATGGAGGCGTGCAGGGCGAGCAAGGTCGGATGCGTGATCTCCTTGCGCGGCTTCTCGACGGCCTCACGGCGAGAAGCGCCGGCCGAAGCCCTCGAGGCGACCGCGACTGGCATCGTGATGGTTGATGCAGAAGTATCGAGATTACGATGTGGACGTAAAGAAAGGCAGACGAACAGCGCCTTCGCTGCGGTTGAAAGTGTTTGCGGCGCAGTCGACCGGCAGGGTCTGTGGATGTGCTGTTGCTGCCGCTGCCGCCGCCATTTCCCGACGACGCGTTGAGTTGGCTGAGGCGCGAGCAGCAGAAATTTCGAGCCACAGCAGCCTGGATGATTTTGCGGTATTTTGATGCAACGCGGCGAGGCGGGGGCGAAGTGTGTGTGTTGGTCTCGAGGCGCAAAGCCCAACAGGCGTGTCGAATAGCCTGGGTCACGTGCCTCCACTTTGGCAAGATCTTTTTGGAGGTTTCCTGCTTTTTTTCCCGGCTACTGTGGGAAGAGGCAGGCTGCAGCCTCTGCCCTCCGCTCTCTGCCACCTACACCACACCATTGCGACAATCGACACAGCCATGGCACCACAAGCTCTGTCGCGGTCGCAAGGCGACTTCTTCCTACGAGGTCTCACTTCTGATCCACCGCAAAGGTCGGACGGACGTCATCTGCTCGCCTTTCGGTCCCTGCAAATCGACACGTCCGTCGCAGCCCAGGCAAACGGATCGTCTCGCATCACGCTCGGCGGCACAGAGATCTTCTGCGGTATCAAAGCAGAAGTCAGAAGCTTTGGCGATGACAGCGACGACGAAGACGAGGAGGCCGAGTTTCAGACGCAGGACGACCAGGAACTCGCCGCCGAGGGCAGAAAGACGGGACGCATCAAGTGCTCGGTAGACTAGTAAGTGGCACACCCTCTGCCTCCAAGCTGGGCACTCTGAATTCGGTATTGACCATCTTTGCATTGCTCCTGCAGCTCGCAATCCTTGGTGCACTCTTTCGACAGCAAGGTGCTGGACGCCTTGTCCATCTCTCTCTCATCCATGGTCAACTCGGCCTTCTCGCCAAGATCATCTCCATTGCCTTTGCACCAGCTGCTCATCATCGCCAACGCCAAGCACTGGACAATATACATCGACCTGCTCGTCAACTCGCTCTCCGGTGGCAATCTGTTCGACGCTGCTTTTGCTGCCATCTTTGCCGCCTTCTACGACACTCGCATCCCCGCCACGCGCGGTGTGGCCTTCGAGGCGCCTGCGACGCTTGATGAGTCGGGCAACGCTGTGCAAGGCGCATTTGCCAACTCACAGGGCGATCTGGACCAGATGGGCATCAAAGGTCTGCTCAAGAAGAAGCCCAAGACACATGCCGCGGGTCCGGCCAACGCGCGGTCCGGACCGGCCTCCAAGGTGGTCGATTTCGAGCTCGAGCACAGCGGTGAGGACGGAGCCGCACTAGATGGTCGTCAGGACTTGCCGCTGTGCATCACGGTCAATGTGCTGCCCAACAGCTACTTGCTCGATGCCGATGTGGACGAGGAGGCGTGTGTGGGCGCACGCGTGCAGGTGCTCGCAACACGCTCGTCCAAGGTGCTCTCGGTACGCACCACGGGCACCGAGGAAATCTCGTTCAAGCGTATCAGCGAGGCCATCCGTATCGGAAGCGTTCAGGCAGCAAGGCTCGTTGACGCGTTGTTGGATCAGCTGGCTCGATCGACAGGTCCAGAAGACGAGGAGGAGGAGGAGGAGGAGGATGCCGCGGACGGCGTCCCAGCGCCAGCACAGGCGTCGATGGACGTAGACGCATGAACAGCCACGTGGATCTTTCCTGCGTCCATCTGCAGCGATGGCGTACAAACCTGCCATTGTATCTCGTCGTTCGCAATGATACCACCACGCCATCTTCCCACGCAATCAGTGCCACGCCTGCGCCACGCGCGTAACTTCGGCAGGAGCGGCGGAAGAGCCAATATCTGAAACGTACAGTGCGACAAGACTACGGCAGCACATGACGGCTGTGCCATTGTCGCTTCCCAGAACCTCTTCGCACGGCCCAGACGCGGGAGTGCGAGCGCGCAACCAGCTCCCTTTCTCGCACAACGAATTCGGCGGGATAGCGCCACCCTGAGCCACTCGTACAAAACCAACAGGATCCAGAGCCTCATTGACCTTCTGCTCGGGCTAGACCGACATCTGTGACTGCTTTCGGCTTCGCGCGCAGATGTTGCAACGCCCACCCCTTCCGCGACAAGTGACTTGCAAAAGCTAGCAAAAGCTAGATCGGAACCGCTCTTCCCTTTTTCCACCGTGGTTGCAATCTTGAAAAAAGGTTCGGGAAAGAAGGCCAAAAAAAAAGACGATTGAAAAGGCTCACGCCAAGATCTGTGGCTGCAAACACTGAACGCCGAAATGAATGCCGTAGCCTGTCAAGAACGCATGAGAGCTGGCGGAAGAGGCCGTACCGGAGCCGGTTTCATTTGGGTATGGATATGAGCTCACGGCGGAGTGTGAGCAAGAGAGCATGTTGAGCTCCAGCGGGTCACGCGAGCTTTTTCAGAGTGGGGCGCACCCATCATGTGGAGCTGCCCTGTGCGCGGAGCGCAGCCTCAAGCTCAGCCGCGGGAGCCACAGCCTTCGATTGGATTTTGGAAATGGGACCTGCTGACTTGGCCAAGTCGCCGCGCAGCCAGGCTGTGTCCATCATGCGTCCAGCCGGCCGAGCTCTGTCTGCACGAGGGGCAGAGCATAGAACTAGCCATCCCGCCTTCCTTTCTCTTCCGCCTCCATCCCTCTCGAACGCTAGTTGCAACACCGACAGCGATCATCAGTATGGCGTCGTTCTTCGCAAAGGCTCGTGAGCGCGCCGAGGCTGCGGCCCAGCAGCTTCAGGCACACCACGCCGCCTCTTCCGCCAGCAAGACCGGCGACACCTCGAGCTCCAGCACCACCTCAGGCACCGGTTCCAGCTTCTACACCGGCTCGGTTCCTCACCTCCTCCGACACGGTATCGCCTCGGTCGACCCTCGCTACGAGTCCACCCGCCAGTTCCACCTCCTCAGCCAGGCCGTCAAAGGATTCAACATCGACCACGAGGCGGCGGGCCGAGAGGCCAAGAACCTCGCCAAAGCCACATTCACCTGGGGACAGCATCATCTCCCGGAGAAGCGCGACGACAGTGTCGGCGATGAAGTGCTCGTCGATGTCACCGATCGTCTCGCCTACGTCTGGCACGAGATCGGACAGCTGGAGACCGCGCACAGCCAGAGCGCCGAACAGGCCCGCAACCGCCTCAAGCGTTTCGAAAAGGCAGAGATGGAGCTTGGCCAGCGCCGCGCTTCCCGCAACAAACTCAAGAAGGAGCTCCATGCCCTCGTGCCCGAGCGCGCCATGTCCGCCGGCAGCGAACGCGCTCAGGAAGCCGAGAAGCGCCTCAAGGACCTCATCGACGATGACCAGGCCGACGAAGAGTCCCTGAGCAGGACCAAGCGCGAGAGCCTCAAGGAGGGCTACTCGGCCATGTTCGACAGTCTCATCGAGCTCGGAGAGAAGATGGCTCTCGTCGCCCGCTACGGCAAGCTCATGACTACGCTCATCCCTACCGACAAGTCGCCCTTCCCGGCCACAGTCAAGCCGCGCGGCGAGACCATCCCGCTCTGGGAAGGCGCGGCTCGCACCGCAGAGGTGCGTGCGGCGCTTGCCTCTGCCCTCACGTCCTTCCGTCCGGACCTGTCCGTGCCGAGCTTGCCCTCGGAGGCCGCACTGTCATCTGGCACAAGCCTCGGCCGTGCAGACACCGTCTCCTACGCCGTCTCGCATCGCGCGGAGCTGCAGCGCGACGAGGCTGCAAGCGATGCAGCGACGCCAGCGACTGTCGCCAGCGCTGCACCTTCGTCGCCCCGACGAAGCAGTTTGTCGCCCGATCGCAATGATCGACTTCAGCCAGCCAGCGCAGATGGTAACGGATCGACGCAGAAACTCAACCTCAGCCCGTCCACGCTTCCCGCGCCCCTTCTTCCGCCTCGGCCCACCCGTAGCCCCTCAGCAACTTCCGACACGCTGCGCTCGCCTCAGCCGGATCCTTTCGCTGACCCCGTCGCCGCCACATCGGCGGCCCATCCATCCGTTCAAGACGAAGAAGCATCCGGTCCTCCCGGTCCGACGGTCGCAGAGACCGGTGTGGTTCCGAGCGGACCCGGCGGCCCCAAGTCGGGCACGCTTCGCCCTCGCAGGGCATCTGCCGGCCAGCGATCCGCCTCGATCTCTGCGGGTGCGGTGGCTTACCTCGGCCCTACTGGCACCTACAGCCACCAGGCGGCGCTCAAGGTGTTTGGCGAGACCGGAACGAACCTCATCCCCATGCAGAGCATCACGGGCGCCATCGACTTTGTTCGCCGTGGCACGCCCGGCAACGCCAAGATCGCCATTGTGCCGGTGGAGAACAGCACGTTCGGACCTGTTCGGGACACGCTGGACAATCTGCTCAACATCAGCAATGGTGACCGCCACGCCATGCGGCCCTCGGAGGGCGCCCACCTGCATGTGGTGGGCGAAGCATGCTTGGCGGTGGACCATGCGTTGCTGTGTGGGCCGCGCACGTACCAGAGGCTCCTGGCGCTTCAGGGCGATTCGGATGCCAACGCACCCATTCGCGACGACACGCTGTCCAACATCACCAATGTGATCTCGCACGAGCAGGCGCTCGGACAGTGCGCACGCTACCTCACGCGCTATCTGCCGCAGGCGCGCAAGAAGGCGGTGGACTCGACGGCGGCGGCGGCGATCACGGCGCTCGAGTTCGAGGCCGGGACTGCGCCGGGCATGGCATCGGGCGAGTCGCTCGGCTTCTCATCCAACTCGCTCGTGGTGGCGGTTGGAGCCGAGGCGGCTGTAAAGACCGTTGGCGTGAGGGTGCTGCGTTCGAAGATCCAGGACGTGCAGGACAACCGCACGCGCTTCCTGGTGCTGGCGAGCGAGCCGCTGCAGAGCTTGCTGGCCACCAACTCGCTGCCGGCCTCGCTGTCGCGCCTGTACAGCGCGTCTGCGCCGGTTGGCATGGTGGGCCGCTCGCTGCTGGGCGTGCACGATGCCGTCAGCTCGGACCTGGTGGCCGAGTCCGGCAGCTACAGCGACCTGCCGAGCGTGCTGGACAGAGTGGTGCCGGAGCTGAGCAAGTGCACCGAGGTGTCGATTCGCAAAGTGGACCGTCGCCCGGCTTCCATGGTGGCGGCATCAGGGGCAAGCAGCGTGTGGAGGGGCAGCTACGTGTTTGAGCTGCAGTACTCGGCGGCCGCTGCTAGCACTGCAGAGGCGAAAATCCGACAACTTGTCACGCAGCTCACGGTGGGTAGCTCGGCGATCAGAACGGTGGGAGATGCTGCGCCCGTAGCGTACCTGGGCAGCTGGCTGGTGGACGGAGCTTCGCTGCGGGGCGAGCCGCTGCTGGGTGCGCAGTCAGGTGCGCCGCTTTCGGCTACGCCGCAACGAATCGGTCCGGGTATGGCATCGTCTGCATCGGCGGCATCGGGCTTCTCGGATCTGGCCACGCCTGGACACAGTGGTGCGGTGCATCTGCCAGCATCCGGATCGACGTCGTCGGATCTGTCTCAGTCGACGCTGCACGCGGGCGCACCGATGAGCGAGAGGGAGCGCAAGGAACGCGAGGCGAGGCAAGAGGCGGCAGAGGTGCAGCAGCACGCGGCGCAGGCGCGGTTGGTGCGACAGCAACAGCAGGCAGAGCTCTACGGTGTCGAGGCGCAGCCTTCTGGGGCCGGTGCCACCCGCCCAGAGCCACTGGCGGGTCTGCAAGAGAGCGAGGCGGAGGAACGCCTGGATGAGGGCGAGGGCCTGCCCGCGTACCAACCCTTTGATCCGTCTTCTCGGACCTAACCTCGGAAATTTTCGCCGGAGTTGGCTTGTCGTGACACCGCCAGTCGGTGTATCCGTTGTTCCGTCTCAATAGCTTCAAATCGTAGTTCGTATTGGCTCAGACCAAGGCTTGTGATACATTGCCGGGACGTGGAGATGAGCAGCAATCAGCATGACCGCGGAGTAAAGGACCGCGTCGGAAGTGCCTGGCGACACAGCCATCCGGCGCAAGCCTCCTGCAGCCGCGGAAGAGGAGAGGGCGGTGCAAAGGAAAGAAGCGCGCAATTTGCGGCCGGGCGTTTCTTGTTTTTGACAGGGGCGCTGTACAGCTGTGCATAACGTCGTTGGATGCGGTGTGCAGAGGCGGGGGGTGATCCAAAGGGTCCTTGTGCCCAGTTGCCAGGTTTCGTCAGCGCGGCCCGGCCCGTCTTGGCTCTCCAGGGTCCTCTAGCCTCGCCTCTGTAGACAGGAGAATTTCCATCCGAAGAAAGGGGGCACAGGGGCGCGGACTTGCCAGAAACGGCGAAAAAAAAAGTGGAGCAGACGAGGCGATGATGCAGATGCGCAGAGCAACACCTCTCTCTGGGCGCGTAGATCGGATAGTCCAACACGGCCTTGGCTGGCGTGCCTGCCTGCCTTTTTTGAAGTGCACCTTCTTGGCGCGCCCCTCGTCCGCAGCCGGCGCACAGCCTTGGCCCGCACGGCGCTTCCTCAACTCACGACTGCCTTTGTGTTCCGCCCGTCCCGCTCACGTGCAAAGCTCGCCCTCGAGTGCGCATACGAGCTCGCTCAACTCCGCACTTTGCTTTCCTTCCTGCGTGTTTGTCTTTTGCTACCACCATCTTCCATTCGTGGTGCGCAACGACGTCAAAGACCGGGCCTAGATACCCAGGAGGAACATTTTCCTCTTTAGCACGACCCTCCCTTCATTGGTCCGGACCTACGCCCTGCAAGCCGGACTGGGACCTTCACCTCATTCTCCCTCGAGGACCCACGCGCGCGCGCTTAAGCCCACTTCGATCGACGCAACGCATCGCAACTCGCAATGCCCCCTCGCTATCCCTTCGGAGGCGGCGGACGCACCTCGGACGAGGCCCAGCACCAGTCGCCCGACGGCCGCCATCCTCAGACCGCAGAGGCTCGAAGGCAGTCGCTCACTCGACAGAACAACGCCTATCCAACCTACGACCTCGGCGCCGAGCCTACCTCGCAGCCTCACGTCTCCTACGACCCCTATCTGCCCCCTTCCAACTCGGGCGATCACACCGGCTACGAGCTGCCCTCGGCCGACTACTACGACCACACACGGCCTTCCTACCCGCCCCACGTCACCTCGCCCCGCATGTCGAATCCCTACAGTAACTCGCAGCCCCACCGCGTCGGTGTCGACCCCTTTGACGAGCACGACAACGATGTGCCCCTCCTACCCAGGGACGGCAACTACGCCTACGCGCCCGCGTCACACTTTGACGAGCATGGCAACCACATTGGACCCATGGACAAGTATGGCGACGAAGACGGCATGGACGTAGACGGCGCCAACGGCCGCGGCCGCCTGCTGCATCCGCACAGCGGCGACCCAGACGACTACATGCCCGGCGGCTTCGACCCCAGCCTCATGGAGAACGGCACTGCCGGCGGCGTGCGCTACGGAAAGATCCCGCAGCGTGTGCCGCGCAGATACAAGACGCTCAAGCGCGTCGAGCTCTACCACGGCAACCTCGTGCTCGACTGTCCCGTGCCCTCCAAGCTGCTCGACAAGCTCAACGACCGCGAGTCGCGCGAGTTCACCCACATGCGCTACACCGCCGCCACGTGCGACCCGGACAACTTCAAGGACGAGCGCTACACGCTCCGCCAGGTACTCTTCGATCCGCCACGCAGGACCGAGCTCTTCATCGTGCTCACCATGTACAACGAGGACGAGGAGCTCTTCACCCGCACCATGCACGGCGTCATGACCAACATCGCCCACCTCTGCACAAGAGAGCGCTCCAAGACCTGGGGCAAGGAGGGCTGGAAGAAGGTCGTCGTCTGCATCGTCTCGGACGGCCGTCTCAAGATCAACTCGCGCACTCTCGCCTGCCTCGCCGCCATGGGCGTCTACCAGGAGGGCGTCGGTAAGAACGTCGTCAACGGCAAGCCCGTCACAGCCCACATCTACGAGTACACCGCCCAGCTCTCCATCGACCCCAGCATGCACTTCAAGGGTCGCGAAAAGGGCATCATGCCCGTCCAGATCCTCTTCTGTCTCAAGGAGCGCAACCAGAAGAAGATCAACTCGCACCGCTGGTTCTTCAACGCCTTCGGCCAGATCCTCCAGCCCAACATCTGCGTGCTCCTCGACGTCGGAACCATGCCCCGGCCACGATCGATTTATCATTTGTGGAAGGCATTCGACATCAACTCCAACGTCGGCGGCGCTTGCGGCGAGATTGTGGCTCTCAAGGGCAAGTACTGGAGCGCGCTCGTCAACCCGCTCGTGGCGGCGCAGAACTTCGAGTACAAAATGTCCAACATCCTCGACAAGCCGCTCGAGTCGGTGTTTGGCTACATTACCGTGCTGCCCGGTGCCTTCTCGGCGTACCGCTACATTGCTCTGCAGAACGACGCCATGGGCCAGGGGCCGCTCCACTCGTATTTCAAGGGCGAGACGCTCCACGGTGGTCAGTCGGACGCGGACGTGTTTACGTCCAACATGTACCTCGCCGAGGACCGCATCCTGTGCTGGGAGCTCGTGTCGAAGCGCGACAGTGCGTGGATCCTGCACTACGTCAAGTCGGCGCAGGCGGTGACGGACGTGCCGGACCAGGTGCCCGAACTCATCTCGCAGCGTCGTCGCTGGCTCAACGGATCCTTCTTCGCGGGCATCCACTCGATCATCAAGTTTGGCTACATCTACCGCTCGTCGCACTCGTTCGGGCGCAAGTTTGCGCTCCACATCGAGATCATCTACCAGACCATCCAGCTCGTCTTTTCGTGGTTCGGCATGGCCAACTTCTTCATCGCCTTCTTCATCCTCACCAGCGCCATGAGCGACCGCATCAAGGCGCTGCATGTTCCCAATCTCGTGCTCTCGTACATCTACGTTGCCTTCATCATCTTTTGCTTCCTGCTCTCCATGGGCAATCGACCGGCGGGCAGCAAGTTCGGCTACACACTTGCCATGGTCGTCTTTGCGCTGCTCACGCTCTACATGACGGGCGCAGCGATCTACCTGGCGGTCGACTCGATTCTCAACGCTACGGGGGCAGGAGGAGGAGGCGCCGAAGCGCTCGTCTCGAACCGCACCTTCGTCAACATTGTCATCTCGCTGGCGGCGACGTTTGGTATCTGGACGATCGCGAGCATCATGTTCCTCGAGCCGTGGCATATGGTCACGTCGATCATCCAGTATCTGCTCATGGCGCCGACGTTTGTCAACGTGATCAGCATCTATGCCTTTGCCAACATCAACGATATCTCGTGGGGCACCAAGGGTTCGGACAAGGTCATGACCGATCTCGGTGTCGTTGGCGGCACGGGCAACAATCAGGTCGAAGTGGCGATCCCGACCGAGTCCAAGGACATCAACGATGCCTACGACGATGCCATCCACGTGCTTAGCAACAAGCCGCCCAAGGCAGGGCCCGGACCCGTGGACAAGGACCAGAAGCAGAAGGACTACTATGCGACGGTCAGGACCAACGTCGTGCTGTGCTGGAGTCTCAGCAACGCCGCGCTTGTGGTGGGCATTCTCAATATCTCGTCGATCAGCACCAGGACCGTGTATATGGGCTTCTTGCTGTATTCCGTCGCCGGTCTCGCGCTGTTCCGGATGACGGGCTCGACCATCTACCTGATCAAGCGACTCTTCTCTGGCGAGTAATGCTCCAAGAAAGACCGCTCGAACAATCTGCATGCTTTCTTTTCCCGTTCGTCTCCTATACGATACACTTGCGCAGTAATGAACCTAATGGCCAAAGACGATACGTTTGACGTGCTTCCATGTGTGCGGCCAACATGAGGCGAGAGACTGATGTGCTGCGTTAATTTTTCTTAGCCGTGCCTGCGCGGGAAAGAGCCTCCACTTGGCGCTTGAAACGAGACTCTGATTTTTTGGCGGTCAGAAAAAGTTTGAGGTGGAAATCCACGTGCTCGCAGGAATTGCAACAGCCGATGCAGTGTGCGCCTCTTGCTTGAAAATCGGGCATTTTTTCGCAGGATGACGCTTTCCTTCGCGCCCCATCACGGCCCTCACCTTTCCGCACCACACTCGCCTTCATCAACCTATCGCGCCACGTTCCTCAGCTCAACTCGCGCAGACTGGACAGCCATCGTGCGTCGGCATGCACTGAAGCATAGACGGCCTTGTATTGATCACGTACTTTTTGGCGCCGCTTTGACAGCAGACATGGCGGCAAATTCGGTCATGGCGGCTGCGCAGGACGCGGCCATGTCTGCCGTCCAGCAGGCTACTTCCAACGCCAGCAGCTCACAGAGCGGCCCATCAAAAACGTCGATGTCAACGTCGCGGAGGGCGAAAAAGCGAGGCAAAGGCGGTGCATCCACACCAGCCTCTTCAGCCGGGCCAAGTAGAGACGCAAGCCCAGGCAGGAGCCAGGAAAAGCACGCAGTCAACGGCACACAGCACAGTGACGACGACGATGACGACATGGAAGAGGGCGAGTATGCGGGAGACGCAGGCGAGATGAGCTTCGTCTTTGACACTGCGGGCGATATGGACGTGGACCGCGAGATCGCATTGGAAGACGGCCCCAAGACCGACGGCGCCGATACGCATGTCGAGGCGGGTCTGCTGCTTCCTTCGCACGTCAATGTCATCCCGCAAGCCGATCCCAGCACCTCTCTTAGCAACGGCCTGGAGCAGGCAGGTGGATCAGCAGAGGCGCCAGCGGACGGCAGCGACGTCGAGGGCGATCTGGGCGACTTTGAACAGCTGGACATGGACCCCACCACAGCGTCACGCTACTATGGCGCGGAAGAGAAGGCAGAACGACGGGCAAAAGAACAGTGCCTTGCGTGCGGCGAGCTTGGACATGACCGCCGACACTGTCCGCACCAGCACTGCCTGGCGTGCGGAGCGATGGACGAGCATCCGACGCGCTTCTGTCCGCTCAGCACGAGCTGCTTCCGCTGCGGCGGTATGGGGCACCAGACACGCACGTGTCCGAAACCGGGGCGCGGCCCGCGCAGCGAGGAGTGCGAGCGCTGCGGCTCGTACTCGCACGTCAAAGCGCTCTGTCCCACGCTGTGGCGCGTGTACGCATACAGCACCCAAGACGATTATGGGCGCTTCCAAGCCAAGGCGTTTTTCAAGCTGGAGTCGACTGCGGGCGCGCGCGACCCACGAAAGGACCTTGAGCCCGATGGCTCCGAGCTTTCGGACTCGGAAGACGAGTTTGTGCGCGCCGGAGAGCCCGAGCTGTCTGCCAAGGAATTCGACCCGGCGACGAGGTGGTGCTACAACTGCTCGGGGGCAGGCAATCACTGGGGCGACGACTGCCCCGAGCCGCGCGTGAATCCGACGCGAGGAACGGGCGAGCCCTCTGCGTTCTCCGAGTTTGTATCGCGTCTAGGACCGTATGGCAAGTTGGTGCCGGGTGCGCCGCCGCTTGCTGGGTTCCAGATGCCCTCGTCGCAGTTCACGTTCAGCGTGGGCAGCAGTGCGACGATGCACGTGGCGGCAGATGGCGCTGGCAATGGGTCCCCCCGCGGAGGCGCCCGACTGGGGCCGCCGGAGGGCAAGCTTGCGATTGGGCGACACGTGCTTTCGTCGCGCGATACGAGTCGTGCCTCGTCGCCGTTTGCCGGGTCTGGCGGTTCGACAGCAGGCGGATCTCGCAGCGACAGAGTTGTCTCGTTCGACCGCACGCAGGCTGTTGAAGTCGATGGTGGATTCCTCACTCGCAAGGAGAAGCGCAAAGGCAAGAAGCCTCTGCCTGCTGAACTCTTCGCGCAGTGGACACGGGATAAGCAAGACCACCCGGAGCACGCGGATGAGATCCGCGCCGCGCTGGAGCGACGTGCAGACCTCGAGGCCAAGGGTCTTGATTCCTCGGGCGTGCCCACAACGCGCGATATCGTCGGCGAGAAGAAGTGGAACCGCACCTCGCGCGACTCGCGCGACGACTCGGATCGACCGAGCAAGAAGCGTCGTGCCGACTCGCCGGACAGCAGCGACTCGGATTCAAGCACTGGCCATAAAGGCCGTAGACGCAAGCGCCGAGGCGACGGTAAGAACTCGCGCCCGCACACCGGCTGGTCCCACTCCGGCAGTGCACCCGACGCCCCACCCTCTGGCGGAAGCAAGTTCTCCATGGGCGGCAAATTCGCCTCCAAACGTCCCGGCAGCTCGAGACCCAAGGATAAACGTCCCAAGCATCCCAGCTCCAAATCCGGCAAGGGCAGCAACAAGGGTGCCAACAAGAGCCCAAAGAGAGACGCAGCTCCACCGCAGCAGCAACCCAAACCACGCGGTGGAGGAAGCAAGTACCGTGGCAGCTACTTTTAGACTCGCACCCATCTTTGCAATCGCATTTCAAGCATACAGTCGAGGTGTTTTGCCCCTCATCCACAGACCATGTGTGCGGAGACTCGAATGGAATTGTGCTCTCACATGAATCGAGTGCGTGACTACTCGGGGATGTGCGGGACCGCAGGCTGGGCTGCATCGCGCACATCGGCACTGGGCCTGTTGGCTGCCGCTGAGCTCGTGGCCGAAATCCGGCTGATGGCCGAGCCCCTGCTTGTGCTTTCTGAGCGGTTGAACGCCGCACCGCCGGCGTATCCGGATGAGTTGGACGGCCGTCTCGCTCGCAGCGCCGACGTGATGGATGGCGACCTGCCCTTGATTCCTGCCGTGATAGAGCCTCTGCGCTCGCTCAGCGCGCCCGCGGTGCCTGCAGCCCCCGAACCGCTCGCAGCAGCACTCGCCGAGGTGGTGGTGCGCGTACTCGAGGTCGAGCGCCTTCGGCCCTTGAGACTCGCCACAATGCCGCTGCCAGGCGCGGTGGACGAGGTGGACGGGCTCCTCCTGCGCTGTGCGGCATCCAATCTTGGCGGAAGCTCGCCGATCTTGCCCTGGTGGCGGAAGAGCTCGCCACCCATGACATCCAGCGGCTGGCTCGGGATGAGGGCGCGCTCCTGTGCACTGAGATCCTGCAGCGACATGCCGCACACGCAGAAGAGCTGCGACTGACCGCTGACCGCTGTCGATGTGCTGGTGCCGTTGGGTCCTGCCGTCGAGAAGCCACTTGTAGTGTTGTGACCGTGGTTGAAGCTCGCCGAGGCGTTTCCGTCACTGCTCGGCGGGTGGTGCGCAAAGCTCGTGAGGTCGTACGGCATCTCAGCGCGGCGCGAGGACGGGTCTGGATCGGCTGAATACGCCGGCAGGGTCACCGCATCGTAGGCGCAGCAACACGACGGAACAAGCACGGGCTGTCGAAGCGCAAACACTTTGAGCCTCCTCTCCTTGGCCTCCTGTTCTGGCGTTGTCGCCGTACTTCCAGACGGCTTGCGACTGTGCACGATCTCGACGACGATGATGTGGCTGAAGCGGATGCTCGCCTTGGAGGCAGCCACGGTGGACGCGCGAATGTGGTTGTCGTCCGGCATGCGCGCGATGCCCTGCACAGTCCAGGCATCCTCTGTGCCCGAGTTTCGCACAAAGCCGTCCGTCTTCTTACCGTCGCCATGCGATCCGTCGTTGTTCTTGGGCGGCACCCAGCCCTTTTCGAAAAGCTTGTGGCGCTGGACGGGCACCGTCTGCTTGCCCTTGCGCTTGGTACTGAGCTCGATACTTGTCTCGAGCGAGACACGCACCAAATACACGATGAGGTCTTTCGGCGGGTTGGGTGAGTTGACATCGATGTTGAAGACACCGCCGACGGAGATGTTGTTGGATGTGCAAGCGATGGAGACCAGGCCCACGGTGGGATGCATGTCGTTGTAGAGCACCGTGAGGGGTGTGGGTCCACTGTCGGGCGAAGGGTTGACCATAGGATACAGGTCGCGCCAACACTCGACGTTCGATTTGGCTCGACCGGCTCCGATGGCGGTAGCCTTGATGATGTAGCGCACTCTACCATAAGGCGAGCGCTCGTAAGGAGGAGCATCGCAAGGAATAATGAAGGCGAATTCGAAGCCGTGCACGCCCTTCTGCAGCTCGAGGCCGTCTTGGTTGGGTTCTGTCTCCCAACCACCATCGCCCTCGGAGCCTGGAGTGACGACGACACCTCCAGATGAGCCCGAGTGCTCCAAAGGAGGACGGTCGGCGGGCCCTCTGCGGCCCCTCTCGCCCTCCTCGTCGACCTGGACAAGGTCGCTCGTGTGAGCTGCGCTGCCGCGCCCGACAGGCACGCGTGATTTGCTGCGTGCCTTGCGAGAGCCGAAAAAGCCGATGGAATGGCTCCTGGATTTGGCCTTGCCCTTGTCGTCTTCGGCGTGAGCGTTTACGTGCAATCCAGAGGATTGCGAGGAGGTCGACTCTGCTGGTGTTGCGCTCATGCTCCTGCGCTCGGCGTTGGCATGGACGGCAAGCGACCTGCTCAGGTGTGCAGCCAGCTCGTCAGTCTCGCGCATCGAGGATCCGCGTTCGTCGGGTGGAGTGCGATCGTTGGAAAAGCTTGGGCGTCGTGACCTTTGGGGCGTCGCGGAGATGCTTGGCGGCAGGCTGTGCTCAGTGACCTCCTGATCCAAGGGCGCGGTGGGATTGGTGCCGTTGCGCAGCGCCTCCGAAATGGCGTAGGCGTAGGTAGGAGGCGAGCGCATGGATGTGCGGCCTCGCTCGGACAAGGCTGGGGCGCTGGGTGAAGAGGCGCGACTGGCAGGGCGACTGTTGGACGGCGAAGGGCTGTGACTGATTCGGCCCATGCCCGAAGCGAGCTTTCGACCTCTGGAGACGGCACGCGCCATCGAAGCCGGGATGCTGCCTCCGGGACTGTGCGATCGCATGCCGAAAGCCGAGCCCGAGCGACCGGCGCGGTCAGGAGTCGCCGAGCTCCGTCCGCGTTGTTGCTGCGCATGTGAGGAGGAACCGACCTGATGGCTCGGCCCAGCAGAAGCCGAGCGGTGATTGAAAGACAGGAGGTGATGGTGGTTGTGGTGGTGGTGCTTGTCCTTATCGCTTTGGATGCCGATCTCGACGACCTTTTCAAGGACAGTGGAGTCCTCCCAGCTGATGGGAGTGAGGCCAGCCGATGGATCGAGGATGGCGATGGTCTGGACTGCCTTCAGACGGACGCGGATACCCGAGATGTGGCGGGTCGATGGGACGTAGAGTTCGACGAGACCTCGCACGATCTCGTCGTTGGCCATGGGCGGCCTCTCGTGGCTCTCGGGCAGAGGGCGATCAGGTGGATGCAGGAAGACGGCATTCTGGAGCAGGTGGAGTTTGAGCTCGCAGGGCTGGAAGAAGGTGGAAAACATGGTTGCGCTGGCGTCGCTCGTAGGGCTGTATGACCCGGAGAAGCAGCGCACTCACCGCCTCAGGTCGTCCGAATGCAGGCGTTCGGGGCTATGAGCGCATATGCAAGATAGGCCGCAGCTGGCTGGCGGCAAAGGATGTTCCGAGGTCGGGCGGGTCGTCGATGCTGATCACGATGATGTGGTTGCGATGAATGCGAAGAGCGAGCAGGAAGATGAAGATGAGCAGAAGGATTGATTGTCGAGACGGAATCGAAAAGATGCACTCTGTTGGTCTGCAACGGTCGAGGCGGCTCTTGTGGGTGAGCTGTGCGGCTTTGCGTTCAGGGTCGCAGTCGCATGCACATCCGTCGCGGTCGACCGTGATCCGAGGAAATCGCAGCTGCAATCTGCCGAAACCGAGAGTGGGTTCCGCTAAAATTCCCGATGCGTTGCAGCTTCCGAGCGTAAAATCTGGTCCGCACCGCAAATCTTGTCCGCATCTCTGGCTGCCATTGTTGCCTCTTTGCTCGGCACCCAACTTGCTCTTCGGCATCGCTTAGAACCCTGCCGTCGGCGAAAGCGGCGGCCGGAGTACGACGAATCACACACAGGGGTCCAAGGGTTCCGTGCGTCCGTCGCTGCACCGCAGCCGCTTAATGCGAAGACGTATCTGAGCCAGATGGACGCACTCGCACCCCCGCTGCAGCCTTGCTGTGAGGCTACTTGACCGGCCCACCGTCTAACACGTTGGAAGCATCGCGGGCTGAGCCGAGATTCGTGAACACTTCGAAATCTCAGAATGTTAGGTTCGACCGATCTTGAACTCATCGGGCCTTCGGTAAGTGAAATCGCGATTATGCACAAAATGGATTTTGACAGGCCCAAAGGGGCAGGTTGGACGAGCATCTGCAGGTACCCCTGAGCGAGCCGAGCGTTGAGAACGGGTCGACGGCCGTCTTGCAGCTTAGAGTTGACTGCGAATCCAGCTCCGCTCCTCGACATGCCGTCGTACCACTTTGTGTCGCTCACACGAGCCCCTGTGTACGTCGGCCTCTTATCACGCACGCACGCACGCTGGTCGCCCGGCTTCTATGTGTGACCTCTGACCTCGTGTGTGTGCCTCGCCCGCGAGCGTAGATTCCAACCTGGGCCGCCCTCGTGGTCGTACTCTGAGAACCAACGCGTTGCGCCTCCCAAGGGCTTCCACGAACCCCCTGAGCGCCACCTGAACCTGCTGCATAAGTTACCTCGGCCTACAGCCAAGCAATCAAGCTTCCTCGTGCACCTGCAGCCGCTTTCATCCGGGCCCCTTCAGCATAGCCCACTTCATCTCACCCACCACTTCATCATCCTTGCTTCGTTGCGACCATCCGCTCTGACACTTTGCTAGGCTGCCTGGCGCCGAAGCGTCTCGGCCGCTCCTAACGCACAATGGCTCCGCAATCGTGGGCTCGCTCCACCGCACCATTGCTCGCCATTCGCAGCACCGACCCCGACACCACCTTCCAAGGCCACGACTCGACCGACATTGCCAATGCGCTAGCAGCGCATGCCCATAACATGGCCGAGATCGCCAAGGAGTCGGCTGCGTCCTCGGACGTAGGCGCCGCTTCGTTCCAGGGCCACGACTCTGCCGACGTCGCAAACGCCATCCAGAACTACGTCGTCAACCACCAGGACGAACCATGGCCACAGAAGTTCACGCAGCCCGGCCAGAGCGCCGCAGGTGTCCAGCAGACGGCGGTGGACCTGGCTGCAGGCGTACATGCTGTCACTGCCAGCTCGGATAGTGCCGTCTTTTCTCTGTCCGGTCACGTCCACGATCAATACTGGATGAGCATCCTGCTCTGCATCGTCTGGATCGTTCTCGGTCTCTTCATGCTCTTCTTCGGCTGGGCATCGTTCTTCTGGGGATGCAACGTCGGCACGAAACGAAGCAGGATCGACGACAAGGCTACAAAGTCCCGCCGCTCATCGTTCCTCTTCGCAGGCACGCCGCTGGCAGGCGGTATTGGCGGCGTCGTCGTCGGCTTCCTCTTCTTCTCCTTCCTCACCACCGTCATCACCTCGACCATCTGCATCACCCAGGCCAAGTCGGTGTCTTCAACCTCCTTCTTCGTCATCTGGCTCATTCCAGGTCTACTGGGCGCAGCTCTGGCTGGGCACTGGTCGCTGCTATCGCGCGCTTTCACGGGTCTGCTGGCAGGCGCCTGCTTCACGCTCATCGTCACGGCAATGTTCGGCATCCACACGCTGATCATCCGCGCCATCTTCATTTCGGTCTGCACCAGCCTCATCACCGCACCACTCCTTCTACCCAGGCGCAGCGCTATCCACTTCCATCTGCTCAACATCTGCGCCTCCCTCATCGGTGTTGTGACGTTCCTCGATGGAGTGGCGCTCTTTGCTCCGCCTCGCGCCAGCTCCGATTCGTGGATCGACCTGTGGGTGCTACTGTTTGCCCTCGACGGCTCGGCTTCCGAGGCGAGCGCATCAAAGAAGTGGGGCACCTCGGCCTTCAAGGGCTTCATCGCTGCTGCCGTCCTCGGTGCTGTCGTCGGGTTTCTCTTCGAGTTCGTCTTCCACAAACACGCGTCCGAAGACCCTGATATGGAGTGGAACAACTACCTCGGATCCTTCACACAGCGTCTCGAATCTCGCCAGCCCGCGGACGCAGAAGACCGCGCGGGCTCTTTCGAGCCTGCTCCGGGTGTCTGGCAGAAGCTCTCGCGTGCCTTTGCTCCCTCAGGTCAGCCTGCGGCTTACGGCAACATCTCGGCCGCTGGCGATCTCGAGAAGAGCCCCCTCACCAACCTCCCGGGCGCGGCATCAAGGAGACAGGCTCGTCGTGCTCGCTCGTCCAAAACCCGTGGCGGCCCAGCCAAGTTCGAGGCGCTGGACAAGCGTCACGGCGACTTTGACTTTGACTCGGATTCGGACGCCACGGAATACGACAGCGACTCGAGCCTGCGCAAGCTCAATCCGCGCAGCAAGGCCGTCTCGGCCAAGAGCATGATCAGCAGAGCCGATGCAGATGAGCTTGCCGACGAGCTGAGGCCGTTGAGTGCTAGCAACGACTCCAAGACCGATGCCTTGCGTCTTCCAAGGCCTCCCAGCTATCGCACCAACAGCAGCGCAAGCGGATCCGGATCAACTGGCAGCGGCCTCAGTGGCACCACCGTCAACTCCAGCCGCGATCCCTCGGGCGTCTCCAGCCCAGCCGCGCTGTCCTCCCCGACGCGACCATCGTTCTCGCGACATACCACACAGTCCCCTCCGCCGCCCTTCCCCACGGCCGAAACTCAGCTGTCTGGCTCCTTGAACCCCTCGGTCCCCGCAACGCCCTCGCTTGTCAATGCCATTACTCGCATCCAAGCTGCCCAGGCGCAGGCTCGCGCCTGGTACGAGACACAGCAAGAACAGACCTCGTCCGGACTCAAATCGTCTCTCTCGGACCAAAAGATCGCACCGAGCGCATCAAAGTCGGCAGTAGAGACGACGTCCAAGGATACTCAAGATGCAACAGCACGCGCTGCATCGCCCACGGTCAAGCCAGAGAACGCCGACTTCCAGAGCTGGTGGGGCAAGGAGGTGAAAGGTCACAAGAAACCTTCCTCGTAATCAAGCTCGGCGGCGCTTTCTCCCGATTCCGGACCCAAGTGTGAGATGGATCGATGGATGCACTTCCGCATCAAATCGTCGTTCATGTGATGCAACCGTCTTCCAGCGTCTTGAAGATCCCACCTTGTAAATCATAGGCGCTGAGTTCTCAAGGCAACGATCCCTGTATAGTTATGACTCCATAATGCACCTTTCACGATAGGACAATATTATTTGATGCGACAAGTGCAAAGCCGAGTGTGTTCTCAGAGGCAAGAACGTCGCCTCTCGGTAGCGTCAGATGGATCATTTTGATTGCGATCGCAGCTTTGCGGTACAAGACCAGTTGAAGCTCTTCTTACAGCCGGAGATGAGCGGATACATCGGTGCCCGACCTGCGAGCCTTTGTCGAAGGGCGATTTGGGTAAGAGCTGGCACAAGCTCAGCAATGCAGACACGACCGCGTATGACTGAGGGCGCACTGCCACACCTGGTCAGACGAGTTTCTTCAGTTGCCACCGTTGGGAGTGCCACTCCTCTTGCGGTAGTCGCCGCCGTGCTCGCTGCCCTTGTCCTTGCCATTGCCTTCACCGTTGCCATAGCCATAGCTGCCTTTCTTGCCGCCTTTGTGGCCTTTGTTTCCGCCGCGTCCCTCGCCTCCCTTGAGATCGCCACCGTGACCACTCCCCTTACCATCGCCCTTCTTGTCGCCGCCCTTCTGATTGCCACCATGGCCACCATCTTTACCTTCCCCCTTGTTGTCGCCACCCCTCTTGCCGCCGTTCTCTTGACCACCCTTCTTACCGTCACCCTCCTGGTGACCGCCCTTGTTGTCGCCGCCCTTCTCACCGCCACCGTGACCCTCTTTACCGTTGCCCTTGTTGTCGCCGCCCTTCTCACCGCCACCGTGACCCTCTT